CCCCATCACCACCATTCTCCCGCGCATGTTTCTTCTTCCTCCTCTTCTGCACCCACTCCCATGGACCTTGACTCTGTCTCGGTCCGCCCTGCTAAGCTCTCCGACGTCGAGAAAAAGCGACGTCGTGAGCAGGGTCTCTGCTTGTACTGCGGGGAAAAGTCTTGTCCCGGCAGTCGCGATGTTCAGCAGTGCCCGGTTCTGGTCAAACGGAACTCGGGAAATGCTCACAGCCGAGCAGCACCTCGCAAGTAAGCGAGGTGGTCTGTTCGGCGATACGAACATCTTCCCCCTCTGACTCGTCACTATCGGACGATAAGCTTCTTCTTCCGGCCACTCTTATCGTCATGAGTCTTTCTGGCCCGGTCTCCATCTCCCTTTCTGTTTTTATTGATGATGGATGTTCCGCTCTTGCCCTCATTGATCCTGCCTTTGCCGATCTCCATAAACTCTCTCTTATCCCTCTTTCTACTCCTTACTCCGTTTCCCTTGCTGATGGTTCTTCGGCCGGTTTCATTCGTTTCCAAACCGCGCCTTTGACTCTGACCATTGGTTCCCACACCGAGTCGATTTCTTTTCTTGTGACTCGACTCTCCACCACTCCCATCACTCTTGGTCTTCCCTGGATGCGCTTGCATAATCCAGTTGTTAATTGGAAGTCCCTCTCCCTTTCATTCTCCGATCCCTCTTGCCTTGCTGATGGACACATCCTCGCGGATGTCTCTGCTTCTTCCTTGGACACTCCGTCCGCTTCCGGCTCCTCGCCTCCCCCTTCGGGCACTTCGCCTTTGACTCCTCCTCCCTCCGGTCCTTCCCTTACACCGGTTCCCTCCTTTGGCACTTCGCCTTCCCTTTCTTCCCGCCTTGACTCTGCTTCGCTTTCTGAAGAGCCAACGGCTTTATCTTCACCCGACATTGAGCTCGTTAATGCGGCGAGTCTTCTCCGTCTTGCACGGGAAGACAAGCTCGACATTTTCGCTGCCCAAATGGATATCCGTCCTCCTTCGCCGGAGACGTATCCTACGGTGTCGATAAGGTCCGTGCTCACGACGAAGGTGTATGCCGAGTCTGGCACCCCTGTTGACTCTCGAGGCGTCCCACTCAAATACAATGAGTTTGGCGACGTTTTCAGCCTCAAGTCTGACCCTCCTTCTTCCTTGCCTCCTCATCGTCCGTATGACTTGTCCATTGAGTTTGTACGGACCGAGGATGGAAAGGAACCTCGTTTGCCAAAGCCGGGGAAAGTCTATCCTTTGTCCCCGGCCGAGGAATCTGCTCTTTCGGAGTATCTGACCAACGCCCTCGCACGTGGTTGGATCTCCAAATCCTCTTCTCCCGTTGGTGCTCCCTGCTTCTTCGTGAAGAAGCCCAATGGTGGTCTTCGCCTTTGCGTCGACTACCGAGGCCTCAATGCCATCACGAAGAAGAACCGTTACCCACTTCCCCTCTTCCAGGATCTTCTGGATAAACTTTCTTCTGCCCGCGTCTTCTCACACCTCGACCTTCCTGATGCTTACCACTTGGTTCGTGTCAAGAAGGGCGATGAGTGGAAGACTGCTTTTGTTTGCAAATCTGGCTCATTTGAGTACAATGTTATCCCCTTTGGTCTTTCGAATGCCCCCGCTGCTTTTCAGTTTTTTATGAACGACATCTTCTCGGACCTCCTTGGTGTCTGTGTTGTCATTTATCTTGACGACATCCTGATCTTCTCAAAAGATCCCCAGGAGCATGAGGAGCATGTTAAGCTTGTTCTCTCTCGCCTTCGTGAACACTCCCTTAAGGTCAATCCGGCCAAGTGTTCTTTTGACCTTTCTGAAGTTGACTTTCTCGGCATGATCATTTCTGCCGATGGCATCAAAATGGACCCTGCCAAGGTCGAGGCCGTTTCCCTTTGGCCTGTTCCCTCTTCTGCTCGCGATATCCAAGTCTTTATTGGTTTCGCAAACTTTTACCGCCGCTTCGTCAAGGACTTTTCCGCACTTGCTCGTCCTTTGACTTCCCTCACTACCAAATCCTCCACCTTCTCTTGGTCTCCCGAGGCCCAAGAGGCTTTTGATTCTCTTAAACTTTCCTTCACTTCCGCACCTATTCTTCGATACTTTGATTTCTCTAAACCCGCTGTCATCGAGCCCGATGCTTCTGACTTTGCTTTGGGTGCCGTCCTTTCTCAGTTTGACCCTGACGGCGCTCTTCACCCCGTTGCTTTTCACTCTCGGCAATTCCGTCCCGCCGAGGTGAATTATGACACTCACGACAAAGAGCTCCTCGCCATTGTCGATTCCTTTACCGCCTGGCGTCATTACTTGATGGCTGCCGACCCTGATATTCCCACTCTTGTTTTCTCTGATCATCAGAACCTTACCCGGTTCACTGCCGCTTCTCAACTTTCTCGCCGCCAGTTCCGGTGGGCCCAATTCCTTTCTGACTTTGCTTTTCGCATTTACCACCGCCCTGGTCGTCTCAACACCAAAGCCGATGCTCTCAGTCGCCGTTCTGACTTTGAGATAAAGCCTGGTGACTCCCTCCACTCCACCAACTTCCTTCAGCTGTTCGAGTCTATTTCTCTCGACAGCATCACTGTTATCGGCTCGAATCCCGACTTTCTTTCCGAGATTCGAGCTGCCACCCTTTCTTGTTCCCTCCTTTCTGACTTTAACGCCAAACGTCTTGATGGCGATTACTCCTTCCGTGACGGTCTCCTTTACTTTAAAGACCTGATCGTTGTCCCTTCCCCCGAGCTCCAGCTCAAAGTGTTTGAGCAACGTCACTGCTCCGCTGCCGCTGGTCACTTTGGTCTTGCCAAGACCGTTGAGCTCGTCTCCCGGGACTTTCACTGGCCCCGGCTTCGTAAGTCTGTGCGTCGCTTCATTGCTAATTGTGAAGCGTGCCAGCGAGCCAAGCCGTCCCGTCACTCCCCTTATGGTTTACTTCATCCTCTCCCCGTTCCTTCCGAACGTTGGTGGGACCTGTCGATGGACTTCATCACGGATCTCCCACCTTCGAACGGTTTTGACTCGATCTTCGTGGTTAAGGACCGCCTGTCCAAACAAGCACACTTTGTGCCCACCACGAAGACGGTTACAGGCGAGCAAACCGCCGAACTCTTCCTCTCCCACATCTTCCGCTTGCATGGTTGTCCCCGGTCTATTGTTTCGGACCGAGGAACTCAGTTTACTTCGGCCTTCTGGAGGCGCTTCAATGAGCTTCTGAAGACGAAGATTTCCCTTTCTTCTGCCTTCCACCCCGAGACCGACGGTTCGACCGAGGTTCTCAACCAGGTCATCGAGCAGTATTTGCGTATCCATTGCAATTACCTGCAAGACGACTGGACCCTTCACCTTCCCCTTGCCGAGTTCACTTACAACAACTCGGAAAACACCTCCACTGGCATGACTCCCTTCTTTGCAGTCCATGGCCATCACCCCATTTTCGATCCCTCTATCATTCGTGATCCCTCTGTTGTGCCCTCTGCCGAAGAACGTGTCGACCGACTTCAGACCGTTCTCGAGGATCTCAAGGCCAACCTCCGGGTTGCCCAAGAGTCCTACACTGTGCAGGCCAACAAATCCCGTCTCCCCACTCCCGACATCTCCGTTGGCGACCTCGTTTTTCTGGATCGTCGCCACATTCGCACCCTTCGTCCCTCCAACAAGCTTGACCAGAAAAAGCTTGGCCCCTTTAAAGTTCTTCGCCGCATCAACCCCGTTGCCTTTGAGCTTAAACTCCCTTCCACACTTAAAGTTCACCCCGTTTTCCATGTATCCCTCCTTGAACCCCGAACGAAGGACATTGTTCCCGAGTTCACCCAACCAGAACCACCTCCCATTCTTGTTAACTCCCAGGAAGAGTTTGAGGTCGAGACTGTTCTCGATTCTCGGCTCTTCCGTGGTCGCTTACAGTACTTGGTTCAGTGGAAGGGCTATTCCGAGACTGACCGGTCTTGGGAGCCCGCTGCCAATGTTTCCCACGCCACTGATCTTGTTGCTGACTTCCACCTTCGCTATCCCTCAAAGCCGAAGGCGACGTCCGGAGTTCGTCGCTAAGGAAGGGGATGATGTTAGGGATAGCTCCTGCTTGTTCTCCACTTTGACTGCACACTTGGCTATTCTTTTGCCTTTCTGTTTGTTTGTGTGTAGCCTTGCAGTTCCCCTCCGATTTTCCGCCTTTTGCCTGTCTTTTCCGCTCCTTCCGCACTTCCGTTTTCCCGCGCTGCTCCGCTTCCTTTGTCTTCTTCGCACGCGCCGGTTTGTTTGTGCACGCGCCTTGCTGCGATTGGTTGCAATTCGGCTGCCGGTCATGTGTCCCCCCACCGGTGACTCATGACCTGCCTGACCGCCCCGATCTCTTGTTCATCTCGCATGCATTTGCCCCAACCTTATACTTGACCAATCCGCTTCTTGGACGTTGAGTCACATTGCTTCGCCTTTGCACGTTTCTCCTGCCAGGTGCTTCGCTTTTGCTTGCGCCTCTCTCGCTTTGGTTCTCTGCCTGTCTCGGTGGTCCTTCTCGGCCCTCGTTCGTGCATCGCCCCCTTCGCCCTGCTCGATCGCCCACTTTTCCCTCCCTTGGCCGCCCTTCGCTGCCAAGTCCGGACTTGTCTATAAATAGCCTGACCCCCGCGATGTGTAGTCGAACCTTAGCGTTCAAAATAGGACTAAATAAAGTGCCTTCTACTTTATTCTCTGAGTGTTCCTCACGTCTCATTTCGAGACAAGTCTTATCTTGAACGGATCTTTGCTTCCCTCGCTCCCTCTCCGAGTCCACTTCGGACTCTACCCTTGCTTTCCCTGAGCTCACTTCGAGCTCACTTCTTCTTTTGCCGTTGAGTCCCCTTTGGACTCTAACAGGCAGGCGGCTTGCGCCACCATGCACCTCTCGCACGACGCACAACACTTGGTTTGTTTCTCCTTCGGGGGAGGGGGCGAGGTGAACTTCCTCTGGAGACGCGTGGACTGCATTGAGCAATCCACGGCGTTGGTCTCCTACTAGGGCTCCAGAGCCACCTAGTAGGGTCGGCCGTTTCCCGACTTCATGGGGCACTCCTTGGCCTGGTGTCCCGGTCGGTGACAGAAGAAGCAGGAACCATGGCGGAGGTCCTCCTGCTTCTGTCTGTCCTTGGGGGAGACAGTGGCAGCTTGCTGGAACCGGGAGCGGGGAGGGCCACGAGCCTCCATGGCGTTGACGTCAACGTCCATGGGCTCAGGCATGGGTCTTGCGGGCGGGGCCGGGCGAGGCGGACGGGCTGGGACGTGATGAGACCGATGGCCGCCTGCCAGCTGCGGGTAGAACTGGCGGCCATGGTACTGGACGTTGTCGAGGTTCTCGGCAACGTCCATCATCACGTCCAGGGACTTGCGGGCATCAGGGTTGCTGGCGATGTACTCTCTGATCTTGGGCTTGAGGCCCTTCTGGAAGAGGTACATCGCATCAGCAGAGCCCAGCTCCTCAATCTGGGAGGAGAGGTCTTCAAACTCCTCGATGTAGCGGGTCACAGAACCACGCTGCACGAGAGAGTATAGCTTGTCACGGGCAATGAGTTCAGCATTGGGGCTGCCGAAGCGGCGACGGAGGCGGTCCTTGAAGTCGTCAAACACACCTTCGCTCTGCTCGTCGAACCCTTGGCGGCGGTACCAACGGTACGCCTGGTCCTTTAAGCAGAGCTTGGCGGCGACGATGTGGTGGGTGGGGGCGACTTGGGCAGCATCGAGGTAGTCCTCGAGTTGCTGCAGCCAGTCCTCCACCGAGGAGGAGCGGCTCTTCCCAGTAAACACTGGGGCACGGAAGGTCTTGAGGAAGGCTTCCGGAAGTGGGCGGGGGTTGCTCATGGCAGGGGCAGGCTCCAGGGACAGAGAGGAGAGTCGGTCGGCAAGAGAGGCGGGATCCAGCTTGAGGATCTAGAAAGAGGACAAACAGGACGAAAACAAGACGAGGATTTCCGATGCTACCATGTAACGTCCACTACTGGGACGTTGGGGCAAGACGGGGAGGGAGGGGGTACAAGACAAGACAGGACAGGGCAGAACAGGGCGGTGCTAGGCTACTCTAGCGGACGGGTGAGCTCGGGAAGCACTTACGTTTATTCACGATAAAACCGAACTCCAGACAAACGGGGGGAACGGGGGCAACCCGCAGGTATACCCTGCGGTGGCCTGCCTGCGGTGCGTGAAAACGCAAAGCGCAGCACAGGTCACGACCCACTGCGCCGCGCAGTACGCGCAGTACGCGCAGCACAGCGTCGGAGATACCATCTCCTACAAGCCTGGTTTGGTGCAATGGACATTGCACTTGAGGCCGGTCTGGACAGCGCGGCCGGGGCAGCGAGTGCCATCTTCGAGGACTTCGGCGCAACGAAGGGAGCGCAGAGGGACAGCGGAAGAGGCGGAAGGAGTAGACATGTCTGTGTTTGAATGGAAAGTGGGTGTGTCAGTGACTGGGATCATGTCAGCATCCTACAGTGTGCGTGGGAGAGCACGAACCTGGAGTAAGTCGTAGAGCGTAGTCGCTTGTAGTGAAGTAGGTCGTAGTCGAGTAGAGACTGGTGAGGATGAAAACTTCGATGCGGGAGACAGCGGCCTATTTATCATCGGCCAGCCAGATACCCTCCGTGCGCCTCGGAGTATGTGGTCTCCACCCAAATCAAATCACATCAAGGAGAAAAAACCCAACGGCAAGGAAAAAAAGCAAGTACCCTCTCGAGTGGTGCATTGGACGACAAGCCAGGGACACTCGAAGGAGCCGCATGCATCATGCGGACTACCCCAAACGGCATGGGATGTGTTTGTCGTCGCCAGAGAACAAGATCCGCAGAAAATCATGCTGCGCCGCATCCTCCCGAGTGGTGTGATGGGAGACAAGAACGGGACACTCGAAGGAGCCGCATGCATCATGAGGGCTGCCCCAAACGGATCGGATGAAGGTATTTGTCACTGAGGATGGCAAACCCTATCTTTTTTTTGCACCATATGATTCTCTCTGGGGCGTCCATCAAGGAGAAAGCCTCGCTATCGATTTTGAAACAAACCCCAGCCAATCGACATGTCCCATGCGCACGCAGGCAGCGGACGCACCCCCCGATGATAAAAGGACACCCGTTCCCTCCGTCTCCGACGCAACCGCACCTCACCGCACCCACCCTCTCCAGTGCTTTCCTACGACTTACACACTACACTCTACTATATACATTCTACATTCACTATGAAGCGCACCAATGCATCTCTCGTCGAGTCTACCACGTCCCCGTCCAAGCGCCAATGTGTCCGCGAGCACGATGATGCTCCAGCTGAACCAGCTGCCCCGCCCTCTCCGGTTTTGTACCCCACGGTCAAGCCCGTCTCGGATCATGTCACCCAGGTCGCCACCATCCGCCGAGTCAATCCTATGACCCAAGCTGAAATCGTCGTGGCCAATGAAGCCTTCCTCTGGCTCCTGGACATCCCCACCATACTCCGCCTCAAGCAAACCTGCAAGACCTTTGAAGCCCTCATCCGCGGCTCCAAGTTGGTTCAATACCGCCTTTGGATCGGCTTCACCGGGTTGGAAATCTACCACAGCCACGAAGACTACCTCGTCAACAAGAATGGCTGTTTCGATGTCCAAACGACGATTTTGGACGAGGAAGTACGACGTCTCTACCAGATCTATCCGTCTCCGTCCCCGAGCTGTTTCGACGACCGATGGCTCTTGAAGATCATGGACGCACCCGAAGACACCACAACATACACAAAGGCCGAGCAAGCAACCGCCGCGACCGTTTTTGCTCGCCTGATGATGACCCGAGTCATCAATTCTAACGGTACGATCAAGCTGACTCAATCCAAAATCAAGACATACTTCGAAGCCGTCGAAAAGGCCGCCAAGCTCGGGGACGTTGTCGCGATCTACCTCTTGGGCATTGGGCATTTGAATCGGATTTGTGACATGTCGATTCACCCAAGCGATGACACTCCAGTGCGCCCACTCCTCAAGATTGCCAGTGTCGCCGGATACCCATTCGCCACCGCTCTCCTTGCCACAATCTACAAGTCGTTTGATTGTGACAGGACGCAAATGAAGTTTTGGAGGCTGCTCTTCAACGCCCAAACGACTCAGCATCCCGCCCATTGGGCATCCGTTTGCAAGTTTCATTCGAAACACGTCACCAACCCCCCATTTCCCATCTCCATCCCCGAAGACGTCGTGGACCTGCTCGCGCGCAAGAGCGATGCCTTGGCGGATCACCCTCAATTCAAGCCTCTTAGTGCCAAGGAAAGCAGGGATGTCTTCAAAAATGCCCGGTGCCATGATTTTTTCGAAGATGAAATTGAGTGGCGCGACGACATTGACTCTGAAGACGAACTTGTGGACGACATCAGCACCGCTTCGGATGCCGAGGATGATGTTGTTGTTGTCCCAGCCGCTGTCTTTGTTCCCCCCGAGCTCAATGGTGTGACGTTTGACTTGACTTCTGACTCTGACGACGACTTCACTGAATAAAGAAATGCATTGATCCATGTACACGCTCTGTTCGCTGCATGTGTGTTTGGCTGCGATGCTTCGAAGGGTGAATGACAGGTCGAATCCTTGTGCGTCTCCACGTGATCAGGCTGGATCCGAATCGAGCCATGATTCAGACGGTTCGCGCGGATTCGAACCTGAGGCACAGGGCATCGCCACACACGCAAAAAATCAGGGCCAGAGATCAAGCACCCAAGTCAACGCGATCGACTGAAAATGCCACCAAAGACGTCCTATTACTTTGACTATGAGAGTGATGATGTCGACTCATGGGAATGCCGGATGCGGTGTGAACGCTGTGTGGCCACCAAGCTCGATGGTCGACGCTGCACACGCACGACCTGCATTGGGGTCAAATACTGCTACTCCCATCTGGCGACGGTGAAAAACCTGCGCATCGACGACTCCACCATCCCAGGCGCAGGAAAGGGGCTGTTCGCATACAAGCATGTGCCCGCGAGCGTCTACGATGACGAAGAGCGCGAAAGGCTCGAGAATGCAGTCCTGTTCAAGAGAGGCCAAGTGATCATCGAGTACGATGGGCAGCCCATCCCTGGCCAAGAAAGACGTTCCCGATACGGGAACACCAACGCCCCATACCTCGTTGAACGCCGAATCGGGCTCAACGCGGGACGCTATGAAGATGGTGCATGCCGGAGAGGAATCGGAACGCTCGCCAACCACTCGGAAGACGGCAACGATGTCAACGCAAAGCTCGCCCAGGACAGGGGAGTCGGGGTGGTGCTGAAGGCACTCCGGGACATTCATAATGGAGAAGAAATCTTTATTGATTATGGCGGTGCCTTTGGGCTGGACGACGAAGATGCAGTGTTTGGTACGAAGCGCAAGACCAACACACGCGAGCGAATCGCACGAAGCAGGACATGAAGGGCCTGGCACTCAGTCCTTGGAGATCCAGGCGGGCATCTCCCTGCCAGGAGCAAGGTAACGCAACATGAGTGCAATCACAGCTTGGTCGAACCCACCATCTTCCACACATGCCATGGTCACTGGATCGACAGTGATGTTTTGTGCCAGATTGATCACGATGCTCTCCTTGGCGCAGACCTCATCCCCCACGAGGCGAAACGAGCCGGGCCACGAGTCGACACTGACGATCGTCTTGATTCGCCCCATGTCGAAAGGCACATCCCCCATGGCTCGGTGGTCGAGTTGGATTGAGGTGACCGATGTGAGAGTGGGGATGTGGCTGGTCTTGACGATGAATTGCGAGCTCTTGAGTCCTTCGCCCAGAATGCAGGTGGCACCAGCGTCCAGGGCCTCGGTCACAAGCTCCTTGACATGGGCACCGCTGGGAGGGTTGATCCGCGAGACCAGCCTATTGCCTGGGACGCTCAGGATGCGCGAGCCCAATGCATGCTGGATCAGACGCAGGAGCAGGCGCTTGCCATGATTTTGGTCGTTCCCCACCAAGAAGAGAGCTGACTCGGACGTACGAGATTTGGCGGTGAGGCATGTTGCCAGGAAACGCAAGAGCAGGTGGTACTCTCTATCACTGCTCTTGCCCAGCATCGAGCGAATTATCTCCTCCAGCTTGTAGACTTTGCCATCGACGCCACAATAAAAGTCGTCAACCACGTACGAGACTGGAAGCGAGTGGGTGAAGCAGTCACCAGCATTGACCCGACGAGCCTTGAGGCCAGGCAGCTCCAGCACAATCCCATTGGCGAAGAGGATGGTGTTGGTCGATGCATTGGCGTGGGTGATGGCAAAGGTCTCGATGTTGAATTTTTCGTGCTGGAACGCCAGGGCGAATCTGTACCTGTCTTTGATGATGTCTGGGATGCTTCCCAGAGTGTGCTTGATCTCCTTGACCACTTCCTTGGCATGTTTGAGCTTGTTCGAGCTGGCATACCTTGCTCGAACCACTTCGACCCACCCCTGGAAGGCGCCCTGGGGATCAGTGAGAAGCTTGGTCAGGGCGTAGTCCAGATCCACATGCTTCCAGAGGAGCCCATCAAAGAACCAGATCTTGTGGGTCTTGGTTGCATGGGGCTCGGCGTGAAGAACTTGGTGTGGAACCAGGCCTCGGAGGATGTGGGTGATCGATGGAAGCGAGCCCAGGGCAGCCATCTTGATGGAGATGTTCAAGATGCTGTCATTTGGGAAGAGCACGACACCATCATCCAGAATATCGCTGCTCAGGCCCACGAACACCTCGGTCAACTCGTTGGACATTGTTGCACTCTAACTCTGGTACGCGATCTTTGTTTGGCCCATCCTGACGCAGATCGCGTTTCAGCGATGAAGCGCAAGAACAACCCACCCAAACCACCCCAACCACGCAGTACCTATGACCGGACCAGAATGCCTACGATCCAGACGACTGCGCGTCGCCCAAGATCCCAACGACGCCAGCACCTATGGCCCAGGTGGATGCGCGATTTTTGCGCCGGGGCGCGAGACCACGTGAATCATCCACGTGACCACAGATCTGGCGGCAATCGACCATTCACACCCCAGGAACGCCGTGATCACATGACCCTGCCATCCATCCCGGTCACGCCGGGCAAACGACACGGGCAGGAATCGAACCTGGTGCATCGAAATGGGTGTACCTTGTGTAACCCCAAACGGCAGTAAGCAAATCGCCACCACAGAGAGCGTGGGCGGCCCACAAGCCAACCAACACACACACCACCATGCACCGCCACACAATCGAGTGACACAAACGCGCCAAGCTGGCCAATGGGATGTTGAGGGCTGTCCACTCAGGTGAGATAGAGCTGCAAACCCATTGTTTGTGTAGCCGGGGTGTCTATTATGGATTTTCCTGGGCTGTCCTTGCATAGCAAAACAAAATTTTGATTCAGAAACAAAATGTGTTTTTCGGGTGTTTTGAAAACAGGCCTTTTTTCAATAATAGACAGCCCGATTACATACTTAAGGAGCAAAACAACAGCCCGAAACAGCCCGAAACAGCCGAGGACCAACCATGAAGGGGTTACAGACAACACAAACACACAGATGGGGGTGAATCACAGCAACACCAATGCGGGCTTCGCTTGCTGCTCGCTCGAACGACAACCACCAGACTTCCATAGATGGAAAACGGAAAGCGGAGCATCGCCTGGCTGCGCTGGATACCTGGACACAGCAAGAGCCGACGAACGCCGGCGAGAAGCATGGTCTCGCCATACCACTGCAGGAAACCCACAAGCTTGTAGCGAACACAGAGACAACGCAAAACCCAGCCCCTGCATCGAACCACCCAAAATGCGAGTCTCGCCACTCGCGTATGGCGACCGGGGCATACCCCCAACCCACCATCACCCATGGCCCAGACCATGGCTGCCCTCCAACACACGCGAACGGAATCTCCTCGGAATCTTTTTATATATGAATAGGAATCTTTTAGGAATCTTTTATAGTGTATTTCATATCAAATAGGAATCTATAGACCAAAAGTCGAGCCTAGGGAGGGCAAAAACAAAACGACAAAATGACAAAACGACAAAAACCCCTAACCCCGTCACAACGCATTGGCCACGACATCGGTTTGTCATTTTGTCATTTTGTATTTGGCTCCCCGGGGAGGACTTTACCCCAGAGATTCCCATTTGATATGAAACACATAATAAAAGATTCCGAAAAGATTCCTTTTCATATGAGAAAGATTCCGCCGAGATTCCTACCACACACACACACACACACACACCACCAGGGCTGCCTACCTGTACACACAATGAGCCCAGTCTCGCCATACCACTGCAGGAAACCCACAAGCCTATAGCGATCACAGAGACAACGCAAAACCCAGCCCCTGCATCGAACCACCCAAAATGCAAGTCTCGCCACCCGCGCATCGCAACCAGGGATACCACCAAGCACTCAGCACCCCAGACGGACACACGAATACGCGAGAACCAACCAACCCACCCAAACCACCCGACCCAACGAACAACACCGAACCCCAACGAACACCCAGATAGCCCAGATACCCAAAATACCCCAGATATGTAATCCGCCACACTGCGCACCCGAAAACCAAGCCACACCACCGTCTCCCTCAGCAACATAAAAGCAGCAGCATCCCCGCCTCCATCAGCAAATCCACTCTCACCCGAAGAACACCGCCTACCCCGACGACACCCAAGTACACCCAAGTACTACAATTCCCACGACTACCCCGACTACTCCCAAGTACCCCACCAAACCCGACTCCCACGCCCAACCCGCCCCTCACAACCCTAACCTAACCTAACCTAGGTTAACCTAATTACCCACCCAATACACCAAATACACCGAATACACCAACTATAACTACTATAACGAATACACCTAATACACCAACTATAACTACTATAACAAATACACCGAATATACCAAATACACCAAATATAACTACTATAACATATACACTTAATACACCCCACCCCACCCCTCCCCACGTCCACCCCTACTACCCCGACTACACCAACCCTACCATCCCCCTCGTCTACCCCCTATACAATCGTATACGCCAACCCTACCGTCCTCTGCACCACCTCCCCACGTCTACCCCTACCCCTCCTCTTCCCTTAGGTTAGCCAGCTATACCGTTTTCCACATATCCGTCATCTCTCAAAAACGGTATAGTTACCGATATACCCCTATACTACTGGTGCTTCTCTCGGGCCATGAAGGACAGGATACCACCGGCGACGATAGACTCGCCAGAAGTCAATCAAGATGATTCAGGATCACAGCGAGGACCACAGCGAGCATCTTTCGAGCACAGAGGATACGCACAGCAAGCTGATCGTCGGTGAGAAGCAGACGATGCCTCGGACCAGCCAGAGTTGCTGGATCGAACGAGACAGCCAACATCACAGCAAGAATGCACAGCGAAGACCGAGCAGGGACTGTGGCAAGAGCACGAGCAGGATACGGACATTCTGCTGGTCCTGGCTGCAGGTAGCCTGCCTCAGAGACGGGGGCTGGGGACAGCCAGAGGCATCGATCAGCAGCCAATCTGAGGGAGGGACGAGTCCGGGGAACTGTTGGGCAGATGAGGGGAAAGGACAATGGCGCGGCCATCCAAGGCGCGGATCGGGAGTTGAGATGCCTGCGAGCGAGTGAGCGAGCAAGCAGCTTGTGTCGACGGCAGCCGGGAATGTCAAGAACTGCCGGGCAGTACTGCAGGCAGCACGCCCGCTCGTCTGCGGCTCAGGTATGTGTATCTACAGCTGGCGAATGCAGCAGCGTCGACGCTGGGGAGCCAAAGTATGTCGAGTTCAAGGCAGTCCCAGCAAACATGGTGTCGGGAATGAGTTCCCCGGCTCGCTCTGGCGGTGTCAATCTCACGGAATCAACCTCAACAGCAAAGAATCACCATCATGCAAGGGCCGAGGCGGCCGGTGTCTGTATCAGGCAACTCACTCACCCCCAGCACAAGTACCGACCAGCACAGGAAGTGCCGTGCATTCATGACCAAGAGCATTCCAGCCAGCTGCCCCAGGAAATGGACCATTATGAACCCTGTATCTGCTCGGGACGGAGTCACCCGGATGTCTTGCTCGACAGGTGGCAGCCACAGTGCATTATGACATAGCTGACAGCTGACTGGCACAACGGACTGGCACAACTTCATATCGCAGCAGTGCAGAACGACCGGGATACCAATGGCAATGCTCTCACAGACGATGCATTTCTCCAAGGAACACTTCTTTCACCATCACCACCACCAGCAGCAGTGCATTCTATGCCACAACTTCGAAGATGCAACTGACCATCGGATGACGAATGAATGGATGGACGTATATTCGGGTCCAGAAACAAAAGTGGCCATCTGTCACATATATAGGGCTATCCTCACCATCCCTTTCCCCCCTGCTTTACTTGGTGGGCGGCGCCGAGCTTGTCTATGTCGTCCTCACCGAGCAAAAGTCGTTGAAATAGCGCTCGCCAAGGATAAAGTACGAGTTGACGGGGTTCAGAGAAAGCACCTCATGGAACCCATCGAGAATGTCGGGATACACCTCGTCGCCCTGGGAGGTCATCAGGGTCAAGGCCGACAGGAAGGGCAGTCGCTCGATGGTCTCGGTCAGGGCGCTGCGAGAGATGGTATGCGGATCATCCGTCTGCCTCATGATGGCATCGTCTTCGCTGTCGTGGTCGAGGAGCTCCAAGCGAAGTGAGTGAAGAATCGGGGTCGACAAGGTGAGATGGCTCAACAGAGCATCGGAAACATCGCTGCTGGCGAGGTTGAGCGACAAGAGTCGTGGGCCGATGGCATCCAAGAACCTCAGAAGCACCTGGATATCATCGTGAACGCAAGTTCCCAAGGATATGCACTGGAGCCTTGGTAGGTACCGAGTAAACGCCGAATACGCCGCGGCGGTGTCGAGCTCGGCCAAATCCACGTCGAGGACTCGCAGATTGTGTGCGTCCTTGCAAAGCGCCATGAGACCGTCGTTGGTCAGGGACCAGTTGGGGTAAATCACCAGGGCCTCGAGCCTGGGCAGCAGCTTGGGCAGCGCAGTGAAGAGCTCGTCGTCGAGGTTCTCGCACGAGTTGATATCCAGAGCGATGATATTTGGGCAGTTCTTGCACAGCGTGATCATCTGCTCGGTGGTTACGAGGGACTCGGAGAGCTCGATTGCGCGCAGGTTGTCGCCAAGGGATTGTACAAGCAGATCCAGGAAGGTCGAATGTCCGCCACGCGGGCCGATGACGATCTCGTCCTCCTGGCCGAGATCAAGACACTGCATCTGTTTCAGGGACTGCACGATCAGTTGCGAGTCGCTGATCGAGCTGGGCTGCATCTCGGTATACTCGGGCCCGGCCAGGACGGCTTGCAAGCCCACCAGCTTTGGACAGTGCTCGAAGAACGACTCGAGCTGGGAGAGGGCCAGGTCCATGCCCACCAAACAGAGCCTGCTGAGATTCGGCATGCACTTGGAGATCAGCGACAGGCCTTGGAAGGTCAGGCGCTGACGATAGTCGGTCATGGCATCCCGCAGACGGCCGTGGAATTGGACATGCATCTCACGGACAAAGTGAAGTGGCTCGACGTTTCTGCGAAACACAAACCGGTCGGCCGCTGTCAGGTCGGCTGCTGGCTGGGTGGCTCTGACACCGAGCGCAACTGAGCCGCTCGGGTCGTGGCGAGGGGCATACAAAGATACCGGAGCTCCATGGGCACGGGGCAGCCCATTTTGGTGGTGCCGTCGCCGCAGTTTCTCGTTGGCCTGGTACCATATGCACCGAAGCGAGAACTTTTCGAGATTCTCTGGGCTCCAGAGTACCGGCACGGCCCAGAGAATCGGAGTGGCGACTTGGTTCCAGTGTCGGTTGACCAGACAGCAGTTGGTCAGATTGAACTGGTGGTGCTTGAAGACAATGTTGGCAGAATGCGGTCGCAAGCCATCTGGGGCGAAGCGCTTCAGAATCAAATGGAGAATATCGGGCGGAAACGTTGCTGCCAACGAGGGTGTTCTCCTGCTGCGCCGGATATCCTGGGACGCCGGTCGCATGGAAACAGCCGTGCTAGAGCTAGAGGCTGGTCGCGGCGGCGTGAGATGGATGCTGTCGATGTCTCTGATGATGTGCCGTGAATCTTGATCGAGTTGCAGAGCCTGGTCGCTCGGACGTGGGACGCACAGGCCCGAAGGAGGTGGTGGATGGGCAATTTGGGCTGATGACGGAGTTTGCTGTGGAGTGGCGGCGGTGACGGTAGAGATGCTGTCGGTTGCCGCGATTGATGCTTGCGATACGCAACCATGGGCATCCCGAGAAACGGCTCCGCCCGGGGCTGGTGCCGGTGCCACTGCTGGCTCCTGAGGACCGGGTGGAATATTGGGATTCAGCTTCCACGACGGCGAGACAATGTTGTCGGCCATGGGAAACACATCGAGACACATCTGGACGGCCGACAGGGCCGCCTCGACATCGAGGGAGCGCTGGAGCATGGGATACTCGGGCATGGCCATTAATGCCGGCTCAAGCATGTCAAGGTCGCTGCGGTACTCCTTCAGGATCTTCTGGCAGATGAACAGCACCGAAACAACGAGGTAGTGCGTTTCGGGGAACTCTCGGCGCATGTTGCGGCCAAAGGGATAGCGGACACTCGAGGTGGTCTCGAAGGGCTTCCATCGGGGCGAATCGCCGTCCATGACTTGGGATTCTCAGGTGCAGCGAAGGCGGAGTATCGGCAGGGAGGTTGGAGCGGGAGAGGATCCGTCAGAGGACTCGTTCGCGACAGCGGGTCGATAGCGATGGGGGCGGGGACCGGGCAGTAAGGCAGATGTTCACGAATCTCCAAGACGGAGCGGGGGTGCTGATGAGCGAGTGCGACAGCTGTCGACGAATGGGTGCGTGGATGTTGCCGAGAGGTTGCGTAGCCGTCGTTGAGCAACTCGGATCGAGAGACGGCCGATCTGGGTTGACAGAGGACCACCACGGAGTCAGAAGCGGTCGCTGCGGGGACTGCAAGGTCGAGCTTGGGCACCGCGACCAATGCGAATTTGGAAGATGGGCGGCTGCGATGGCACCCGAATCCAGAGCAAGAGCGCTAGAGCGGGCGTTGGCAGCGCAGGCGTGAATCAATTGGAATCTTGGCAGCAGACGGCGGATCTGTTGCGGGCAACACGCCGCTACTTGGAAAGGGCGGTGTGGGACGGCGGTTGATTGGGAGAGCTGAGGTCGGCCTGCGATGGAGAAGGCCAGACAAAGGCAAGATCAAGTTCGGGACGGCCGCCGCTGGTTGCCGGTGAGGCTGGAGAAGCAAGCTGCAGCGCCGACAGATGGGGCTGGGAACAGAGGGGAGGGCGAGGGAGGATGGTCCTGGCGACCCCATCCTCTGCCGATCCAAAGGTGGGGCGGCCGCCGATTCCTGACACCAACAGCGGACCCGATGGACACCGGAAGCAACGTCAAAACGGGAAAGCGGCCATGGCCCAACCGCCCCAATGCAAAGGCGGGCCACAGAAAGCCCGCCTGTGCCGTCATCTCCATCGCTGCGAAGGTACTGGCCCGACGGGAGGGACCCGTGGCAGACAGAAGAACATGTTACTGAGATGATGACTCTCATAGGCAGTGCTGGGAATGGTGACACCAAGGAAACGATCTGGCGGGTATGCCAAGTACAGCCTGGGAAACAGAGCTCTGTGGACGGACAACAACAGGGTCGAGCCATCCACGGCCCTCAGACATGGCCCTCAGACATGGCCCTCAGACATGGCCCTCAGACATGGCTTTCGCCAGGCGACAGGCGCTGCTGAACAAAAAAGTGCTGGAGGGATCTCGCCACGGGACGCTCACCGACCAACCAGACTTGAGGAGGCCGCAAACAGTAGTTGCTGCTTCAATAGGCAGTATATGTAGTAGGCGTGAGGGAGCAAGAACCGGTGGGACCGTGCTCTGGGTTGGCAAAGAACGAACGCACAGCAAAAGAACGATGAAAACGGGCAGTAAGGAATCACGGCTGAGCAGGAAGGGGGACGGGGAGGAGGGGAGGAGGGACAAAAATCGGATTAGGTGGCACATGAAGCGGAGCAAAGTCATCGAAAAAGTCGTCAGGATGAACATGGGAGGAGGGGGGCTCAGCGACAAGAAGGACCCATGCCACTTGCGTGGCAGATGGGATGATAGGCACCGGCGACAGAAGCTTCTTGTCTGATGTAGCACCAGTCCAAAAGAAAGGGCAAACGGTAGCGCGGTCGGAAGTTCCGGCCCTGCATCGGTGACACTGTGTCGAGGCGCGGCGAAGAGCCGGGCGGTTTCAGAGCTCAGGGGCCCCTAACGAGGCCGATGGGGCGGGTGACGGAAGAGGAGGAGGAGGAAGAAGAGAAGGGGGAGAGCGAAAAAAGAAATAACAGCAAAGAGTGGGAATGAATGAATGAAAGAATCACAACCTAACAGTCAACGCAGCCAAATGCATATGGAATGGGGGGGAACATCGGTCTACTGATGGATGGCACCGCCTCGCATTCCAAAGTTGATCATGGCTCTATGAGATTCTGCTAGCTGAGCCTCCAGATGCTGGATCCTCGAGACGTATTCCTGCTCACGGGCAGCCCACGAGTGTCGCTCGTTCTCCAGGACGGCGAGCCGGATCTGGAGCTGGGACTTGTCGTTTTCGAGCAAAGACACCTGGTGTTCGAGCGAGTCGAGTCGCTGGATCTTGCGCTGGCGAGATCGACGAGCAGCCTCGGTGTTCTGATTGGCAGGCATATGATATCCACGGATGCAGCGATCGAACAGCGAGAAGATGAATGGTAGTGAATCAGCGACCGGGAGAGAATGGCGAGATGGTGTGCAGACTCAACTGCCGGCGCAAAACATATCAGGGCGCAGACCGCTTGCTCGACGATGCGTCATTTCGAGGCAGCAAGCCAGAGTATGCGCGAGTGGGCGTGTCAAAAGCGGATGATCCAGAACGGAATCGATCCGAATACAGACTGGCATTCGCCAGGCAGCGAGCAGCGACCCCAGGCTCACGGCTCACCTTGATGCGCTTGGCGACGACGGGGTCGAGCGAGCTGGCATCGTCGCTCGAGAGGGAGCAGTCGGACGAGTTCAGCGGGCGCTTGCTAGCGAGACAAGAGGTCTTGGCGGTGGGGTTGAGCTCGGGAGAGGACATGACGTGCGAAGCCGTGATGAGCTCAGGGAAGGCAAGCTCGTCCGACGAGTCCGAGGGCATGGAGGCCGTGGTCGGGATGACCGAGAGGGGAGGGGAAGGGTACAAGGACGGGGCGGAAAGATCGACGGTGGCGAGCTTGCCGGCATCGGCAACGACGGCCCGGTCCTGCGTGGCCAGGAGCGAGGCGACAGGGGCGGCATCGTTGGGGCAGAGGTCGGAGTTGTTGGGCGAGAGCCAGGCAAAGTCGCCGTTGACGGCCTCGGTGAGGAGGGGGTCGTTGAAGAAGCTGTCGAGGTTCTTGATGTCCTCGGACGACAGCACGACATTGTCAAAGTTGAGGTCGTTGAGGTCGGCGAAGCTAAAGACGTCGGGGGACTGGTTCGGGGTGAAGGAGTCGAGGGTCGCCAGCGAGAACGAGGCCGTGGAGGGCGTGGAGACCTGCGGCTTCTCGAACTGGGCGCCCGTGTTGGGGAGCGAGGGGGTTGCCACTGAGGGCTTGATGGACTTGACGTAGCACATTTGCGGGGAGCGAAGATGATTTTTCTGCTGAAAATCGATGGCCGAGGGAAGAGTAGGGTGGCGGGGGGCGGCAGGCAAGAAAAGCGCAAACGGACGGAGGGCGAGAGGGGCGAGAGCGGGGCGAGAGAGGCGAGAGAGGCGAGAGCGGGCCGAGAGCAGGCCGAGAGCACCGCTGCCACAAGGGGCGCCGAGAGCGTGTCTGTGTCCACGAGCGCGTCTCGCTGTGCGTCTCGCTGAGCGTCTCGCCCGGGCGAGTGATGCCTCTCGCGCAACTCTCTCTGTTCTCCCACAACTCTCGCTTGCTCTCCCTACAACCCTCGTCTCGCCCTCGGCCCAGCCACACACACACACATACACGCACACACGCATACGGATCGACACAGCACTGACTGTGGACTTTGTCGGCCATCCCTGTCGGCCTTCAAGCGCACACACCACAGCGTGGGCGCTAATCTCGGTGTCTGCGGCAGTGGGGACTGGCCACCGACGCACACAGCTGCCCTGCCGCCCAGCGTGTGCTCTGTGTCCGCCCCCCGACAAGGGCGTCGGTGCCAGCCCAAGCGCCAGAGATGCCTGTCTCCTGGTTGGACAAGGGCCGGCAGCCCATTGGCCGGCGTGTCGGGCCGCTGAGTCACTTGACCCTCGCGTCTGGGGCACTCGTCGCGCTGTGCGGTATTTGTGGCCACTGCATGTGTTCCCGGCAGTCCCGCGTCCCACCCACCCGACGCGACGCTTCTGCTGGCGTCCAGACCAGCCGGCGGGTATCGGCGGATATCAGCAGGCAGGTGGTCGCATTGACTGAACAATGCTTGCATGTCCCATGGCCCAGTGGCGCAAACGCCCGTGCTTGTCGCCAGCACCCACATGTGCCTTTGCACTTGTGTCTGTGCGCCCGCATCTGGCTGCATCAACGGCCCGCTGTCCCTGTCGACTCGAGTCTCCTCTCCTCTCCGTTCCCACGCCTCGGGCAGTCTCGATCGCTTCCTGGTGGCTGCTTGGTCGCCTGCTGAATTCGAATGCCACCGGGACCCCGCTGCTGCACAACCTGTTGTTCTTGGGGTCTTGCGGTCCCGACCGAGACACCATGCGCCGCTCGGCCGCTGACCGCTGGTCGCCGGATGCTGGTCGCTGGTGGCTTCTCCCCCAAACGGCCGTATTTGTTTCGATGTTTCCGCTGGGCGGCCTCCGGAAACCATCGCCCCAGCCAACATCACTCTGGCCTTGAGCGAGCCGCTGTTGCTGCCGCAGGACCGAGGCAAGCCGATAGACTTCCCGCACCCACCCAACCAAATCAAGTGGCAGTCGCAGTATCGGCAGTTCCAAGAACAGGGAATACAATTTTGACCTTGCGATTCAGGAGAGCCAAGGCCGGGACTGCTTTGGACTACTCGCACAACAGCAACAGCAGCCGCAGTATGTGTTGGCCAAGTGGCGCGCCCGCCCGGAACACGCGTCGGTCATCATGATGCATGGTGACTCTGGTCCGGAATATCTTTTTTTTTCTTGCCTCTTCGTCCACTCTTCCCAACACCTCCCTCTCGCCCAGCAAGGGACAATTGACCACAGAGTGGGCGCCTATTCTCCCCATGACCCCCGTCATCTGATCCCGTGCGACCGCATCAGCGCCCAGCCCAAGGACATGGTTTGGTCAAGTATGTCTCTGTAGACCCAAGCACGCCCGCTCGTCATGTCAACGTCGGCTGGAGCATGATTGCGCTGGGCCAGCCAATTGACACCGGCCGAGATCGGCCATATTGCATTCGTCGGGGTGCTGGCAAGGCCTGGAAAGCAACTGCGGACACGATCCTCCTTCAATGAGACGGCCAGCACTCCATCCGAACCGGCGGCGTCTATTGATAGATGCGATCCTGGTACACGGCCTTCTTGAATGTCAGACGCAGAGTGCGCTGGTCGTCCTCCTGTCCCGAGGCGGCTTCTCTTCGCCCTGCGGGATTCTTGGTGGCTTTCGCTGGTCTCACGAGAGACTCGGGCAGGGCTGTGGCAAATCGCACCCGGAATTTTCCGCTCTGGCCAAACCCGGACTCGATCGTTCCTTCGTGGCCTACTCACCGCCGATGAGCGGGAAACCACGGGTGGCAAGCGCTTAGTTCTATAGACCCGGAGCAATCCGGCCGGGAGCATCGGAAGCCTCCATCGTGTATCGACTGCATCACCCCCATGCTTGCACCGAATCACCAACGGGTCGGTAGTTGGTCGCCAGCTCGACAGGGCGCTGCTCATGCCACCCACTCAGAAACCTACTGGATCCCAGAACCACCTTCATTCCCACAAACAGTTCCAGGTTGGTCTCCTTCTTGAACATCTTGGCACCGATCAGCATTCGTTCGTCCACAACCTGCCCGGCAGAAACATCAGTCGGCCTGCTGATTCATTCATACAGTCCCCTCAATCCCTTCAATCGCCAAATGCATTGCCCATGGCCATGGTTCATAACCATAACCACAGCCCTGTACTTACGCGATCGATCGTGCCGACTTTCTCCTTGAGCTTGTAGACCCTGAGCATCTTTGCAAGCTGTTCCTTGTAGTTTGGGTCTGCCATAGCATGCTGCACACGTCCGTGAAACGCTATACGGCATGCACCGGCGTCTGCCATGCGGCAAGGATATTATGAAGGTCAAGTTCAGTCCCAATTTTTGGCTACTGGGACGCAGCCCCCATTCGCTTTCCGCTTCCGCATTCGGAGCTCAAGGGCGGCTCCGGTCTCGTGCCGCAGTGTTTCGGGGAGTCAGCATTCCAGCATTCCACGGCGCCCCAACGGTCGGGTCGAGTCGTTCCCACAACTCACGATTATCGTCATCAAGCTTTGAGGTGATGAAGAGACTATTCTTGGGGCAGGCAATGGGCTTGTCAAACTCAAGCAGAACGCTGTAGCGGTTGGTAGTTTGGCCGGGTGCCTCCCGGTGGTCAGGCAGCAGAGGCTCGTACTGATACTCTTGCTGAAAGTCAAAATCGTCTGCAGGAAGCAGTTTCGAGCGTCAGTTTCCTTCGCTCGGCTCGATCCGGGCATCTGCCGCTGTTCCTTATGGGTGGCCCGTATTCCCGGCAAGTGCTGGACAAGGGGCCGTCCCAAGCGACCAGCTTGAGTTCCGGCACTTGCCTTCGATCGGTGTTAGTGCCTTCAGGAATGTGATTGTTGCCAGCGCTGTTTCGTGTCCGATCGTGACTGCATCGTTGCCAAGCAAGCCGGCGCAAGGTTATTACAGAATTGTCGAGGTCGACCGACACAATCGAAGTAGTAGACTTGGGATTGCAGACGTCCGTGCTTGCTCAAGAGCGGCTGCCTTACCATGAATCTTGGTCTTGGATGCGATTTCGGGCTTGAAGTAACGTATCCGTTTGGCCGTGGCCAAGGCGGCGTGCGCAAATATGACGGAGCCAGGTGCTGCGAGCATGCCTCGCTCAACAAGAGACGGCTCCAGCTTGGTCACGCAGATGCCCACTCGGTCCCCCTGATTTGAGTTCATCATCCAAGGCCACTGTCAGTACTGTCATCCGCCACAGCGAGGGCCACGATTCAAGGGCGGCTCACCCCCTCAAACAGTCACAGTGCATCATCCGCATGAGCTTCCGGAAGGAACCAGTGTCGCCCTCCCTCCTCCATCCCTCCACATACGTCTCTTCACATACCTGAGCGACTGTCGTGACAGGCTTTTTGAACGACTGCATCGACTTTATTTTCCGATTCTCGGAGAGGGATACAATCTCGATGACATCTCCGACCTTGGTCGAGCCTTCCAGCACCGTCCCAGTCAGTACCGTACCTTGGCCCTTGATCGCAAAGCAGTGGTCTACCATGCACAAGAATGGCTTTTGTGTCGAACGCCGGGGGACACAGACGCTATCCATGACTCCGCGGAGCAGGGCTTCGATGTTCATCCACCGGGCGTTGCATTCATACCAACCATCGCCACCGGCACTACTGGCGGTGGTTTGGACTCCGTCGCTAGTTCCGGTGGGATCGGCATCCTGTGTCAACTTTGCAGTTGGCTCCAGCGGCTTGGTGCACACAGGTATGATGGGCACATTGGGAAATCCCGCAGCTTCCAGGGTCTTGGTGATTCGCTGTGACATCTTGCTGATCCGGGCTTCCCGTTCGGCTTCAGGAAACAGATCCACTTTGTTGAGGGCCACGATGATCGTCTTCCGGGTGATCTCGGCTATGATAAGGCACTGTTTGGGATTCTAGGTATCAGCACCGGCACTTGAATCGAAGTACAGGATGAAGGGAACGGTGGGCGACATCCTCAACAGGGCCATCTCTCTGCATCGGGCTGATGTCACTCGCGACAATCGCCCGGATCGAAAACCAAACGGGCTCAGATGACCCTCGAAGGTCGGCTCACCTCCGATGTCTGTGTCTGGAACCCCTTGGCTGCATCGATCACGAGGATCATGGCATCGATGATCTGTGCTCCTGAGCAGTCGCAATTGGCAGTTCGCTGTCGGTCAACAGTTCTGTTGCTGGGCATCGAAGTCGGTGCCGAATATGACCCGGTTGGAGAGTGCCGCGCAACCAGGATGATAGGCGGCAACTTACCTCCCAGAACGGTCTTGACGAGCGAGGCATGGCCGGGACAGTCGACGAGGGTGATCTGGACCTTGCTGATACCAGCGGCTGGGTCAAAGGCGATGTGTGTGAGCTCTGGGCACACAGATCGTCCAGCGGGATGTCCGTCGCTGGGCAGCCCGGGTCGATCTGAGTCGATGAAGGTGGTCGAGCAGCCAGTTTCGAGGGTCAATCGCGCTGGTCCTGGGTAGCAGGTTACCTTCGAACTCTGGGGAAACAAGCTCTTTTGGAACCTGAAAGGCCGAGAAGCCAAGATCCAGAGTGATGCCGCGAGCCTTGCTTTCGGGATGTTTGCTGCATCAAGGCGACGGACAGGTGGATGAGCCCTGCACGAATCTGTGATCTGACTTGTCTCTCTGCACCGGTCCTGGGCAGACATCGTCTGGATCACCTCCTCGGTCCCCAGGCCATCCAACTAGTTCGTTCTCTCCAGATGCTGCCTGATATCTTACTCGAATGCCGCTGTCGAAGTCACGGGCGCAAGCGATGGCTGTCCGCAGTATGTGCCGAAGGTCAGCGCATAGGCCAGTGCGGTCTTGCCAGCATCGACGTGGCCCAGCAGCCCGATATTGATGTTGCATGCTGTTGCGGGCATCCCGGCTCGGCCTGTGTGGGGTGGTTCGGACGCTGGTTTCGATCGGCCGACTGCAGATCCGGCCGCTGTTTGATCAAGGCCAAGGCCCCAGGGACCCATGTCGGGCATTGCTGCCTTGTCTCCTTTGGCTTCGTCCAGCGCGGTTAAACCGCATCCCTATCCCATCGCATCCAGGCCGTCTGCATGCACCGAGCGCCTTGTTTTCGGGCCGGAAAGGCCGCATCTCTGGGCCAGCCAGACCTACGCCGTGTGCAACAGAGCGGTCCATCGTATATGACCTGTTAGCGCCATGGCGGCGCTGGTTTTGCCAGCAAGGGCACAATGCCCTTGCTCGCCGATCGCCGATCCGAATGATCGCTCGCCCATCCGCTGCAACCGACACGAAAATAGCGGCTGTCGACACAAATCGATCGTCCGGAAACCGAGCCACGAGCGACTTCCTCAAGTTCCATCGCATCCTCGAGGCTGAATCTCGGCTGGCTGCTGGTTGTCCTGTGGAATCGTTATCGGCGCGTAGACTGAGCTCGGCATGCCAAAGTTCAAGCAGAGCCCCCCATCCGAAGGGCCGCCCGCTCCGGCTGCGGCTCCCAAGCGTAGCCTACTCAAGGTGATGGCCGAGTTTGTCGCGGGCTCATCGCCAAGCAGCCCGAGCCGATCCTTCATCTCGATGCAAACCGATGGCGAGAGCGCACGAGCACTGCATCCCGAGTCCCACGATGCTCTCCCACGCAGCGTCCAAGCAACTTCGCCCACATCGCCGGTGCCGGCCTCAGAGAAATCCTGCGGCCCGGATCCAGTCGTAGTCACATCCATCAACGAGTCGATCCTGGATCCAGCGATTTCGCTGACGCTGGACGCCATCATCGATGCCGTGGTCGTCGCTGACGGGATGGGCACGATTATCGCCTTCAACTCTGCCGCCGTCAAGATGTTTGGTTATACACAGGAAGAGATGGTAAGATCACTGCCTCCGACTAACCCCAGTGACAAAGATACACTCGAGATGCGGGTTTGCCCAGCCGAGTTGGAACTGTCCCTGTCTATGGCCGAGGAGCAGAGCTGATTATCATCTTTCGCGACCGCCAGGTCAATCGCGAGAATGTCAAGAGACTCATGCCGGCGCAATACTCAGACAACCATGACAAATATATGTCTACTTATGCCAACGGAGGCACGCCAAAGCTGCTGGGGATTACCAGGTAGCAGGCCCACTCTCTCAGCTGCTGGAGGGTCCGTGAACCTGTGTTGGTGAGCCCTGAAGTTAACGAGCCTTTCGCTCAGAGTCCTCAAGGCCATCCGACGAAACGGAGAGGCCTTCCCTGTCGAGATATCCTTGGGAGAGATTCCAAAGAGGTAAGGGCGCAGGCGATACTCCGTCCTTCTCCACCACGAAGTGGCCTCCACTCTTGATGGGCCCTGCTACGCAGCGGTCGTAACGCTGTCCTCAAACGCGGATTCCAGATGGATCGAAAAGTCCAACATCACAACAACAAGCATGTTTGTGGCCACCCTGCGGGATATCAGCCGGAGACAAAACGAAATTGCGTGGAGCCAGAGCCGCTACAGCAAAGAGTTTGAAGGTGACCGATACAAATGCTGGAACGCACTCTCACCATCCCACCATCTCACCATCTCACCATCTCACCATCTCACCATCGTATCTATGTTGATGCATCGCACTCAGAAATGGAGCTTCTTGGGCGTGGTGGATTCGGCGCTGTGTACCGCTGCCGCAACCGCCTCGATGGTCAGATGTACGCCATCAAGAAAGTGGAACTCTCATGTCATCCCGAGGTACACTTACCGGATTCTGTGACAGTATTGATACAACCCTGAACATCCAGTTGCTGCCTGCCTGATACTGCAGGCCGAATTGTGTATTATTTGTCTCACAAATATCCATCGCCAATATCCATCGCCACTATCCATCGCCAATATCTTCATGTGGGCAACGAATATCGCCGTTTGGGACCGGAAGGACTATCAAGCCATCATCACCATGGCTATACCGCGAGACCACGATGCAGCCGATCTGCCTCGGCGCCTCTCCAATGCAACTCAGGTCAGCGAGTCACTTGCCGACGAAGATATCCGGATTATCCAGGAGGTCCAGATGTTTGCTAGGATTAGCCACCACGTAGGTATCGGGTTAACATCGGCCAGCCCAAGCGCTCTAGATCGTGAACTCACTCGGAATATCGGAGGCTGTTGCCACATCACAACTAACGTTACGCCGCCCGAATCCAGCCCAATGTCGTTCGGTACTACACTTCCTGGGTCGAGGCGCAGCTGCTGGACCAAGATGAAGTCACTGCAGAGGATTCCGAGAGCGACGAATCCTCCGAATGCAACTCGATACAGCCATCGATATCTATTCTTCACAAGAAGCGGTCGATAAAGCGATCGAACCAGGCGAGACCTCCAGCAGACCCCAATAAAGGCAGGGTCCGCCGCACGGCCGCCAAGAAGGAGAAGCCGCAAGATGCTGTCCTTGCGGATGCCATCGCACAGGGCTTGACCACCCAAGATCAGGCACCCAGGTTATCCGATGCCCAGGGGACTGCTGTCGAGATTGACATATCGCTGTCTTGTCAAGAAACTGGGGTCGGATATCGAGCACATCCGTCTGTTCCATCTTCCCAAGGAGCGTCCCCCGAGATTGCCTCGGGAGTCGAGTCGCAGACCACCAGCCCCACCAAGCCCGACCGGCTCGCTGCAGCCACTGTATTATACATCCAAATGCAGCTTTGCTCGTCCTCGAGCCTCTCAAAGTGGCTGGCGTCCCGCAACAAAGCCGGAGCGGGAGAGATCGATCGAGTTACAAGCATGAACATATTTCGGCAGATTGTCATGGGCCTCGACCACATCCACAGAAGCGGATTCATTCACAGGGATATCAAGCCCGCAAACAGTAATGACCCTGCCCCCCGATTTGTCCATGCTCCATGCCGCAATGCTAGTATGGCCGAGCGGGCGATACCCACCAGAATCGTACGCGACACGATCGGCTCATGCTAACATTGGTGTATCTTGGCCACAGTCTTTATCGAAACTGGAGATCGAGTCTTTATCGGAGACTTTGGACTCGCCGTCAATTCGTCGCCTCGATCGTCCTCTAATGAAGAGCTGGATGTCTTTCTGAAATCAACGGACGCCAACCCAAGCTCCAAGAGCACGCAAAGCGACAACAAAACCGCTGGCGTGGGAACGACTCTCTATGCCTCGCCGGAACAGCTGTGCGGCCGATCGTACGACACCATGACGGACATATACTCGTTGGGGCTGGTGTTCTTTGAGCTTTTCTTTGTGTTTCGCGACAATGGCGATCGATTCCACTCCCTGACAGAGCTGCGTCATGGAAAGTGCCCCTCAAGTTTCAAAGCCGGGTTTCCGCAGCATGTGAGTAGTTGCCATGACTTGCTTTTACGCTGACAGCTTCGGGGTCGCCCAGCTGTAATCTGTTGGCGGCAGGCGACGGGCTCATACCCAGTATCTAACCCAACAACTGCCGCGCAGATGTCGCTTCTGAAGAAGCTGCTTTGCGAGATTCCCTCACGACGACCAACAACCACGGATATTCTGTGAGTGTTTGTGCCCAGTTGCGCCTTTCGCACCGGGTCTGCTGCTGAGGGTCTGTTCATGTTCATCGCGAGAGTCTCATAGTCTGCCATGGTTCTGGCTTCCAACTGGCAGAGCACATCCCCTGCTCCGCGATCAAGAAAGCAGTTCCTCACGACGAACGAGTGAGGCGGTCAAATCCACTGAACAAAGGCCAAGCGACGTCGAGACGTGCGCCGCCTGCCAAGAGAAGGATCACATCATCACAAGGCTCAAAGCAGAGATCGGGCAGCTCAAGGCGCAGCTGGTTCACTATGAGGCCACTCTGGGAATCCAGCCCCCAGCAGCGCAACAGCAGGAGGACGGATCCGCATGAGCACGGATGCCGAATACAGTCTTCATACGACACCAGCGCTGCGTCCTCAGTTTTGTTGGTGTTTGTGGCTTGAATGGTGGTGCGCAGAAGACTGGCTGGGAATGATTCATCGGTAGCCTCTCGTAGTCTGCCATCTCCAGACAAATAACTGAGTTCATGATCTGCCCTGGATCGGAGGGCACAATGGAATATAGCCTGTTGAGCTGACAATGGGACACCCCATATCTTTCGGACAAGCACGCCGCGGCTGGATCGTCTCATACTCGGCCAAGACCGACTCTGTGGGCCAAGTCATTCCGATCCATGCTCTCTCATCGGCTGGGTCTGTCACAATAACGCAAGCGCCCATTGGCGTCATTCGACCAGGCAGCATCATTCAATCCGGGGTTTGGAGTGTGCGCTTCAATAGGACCCGACTGTGAACACCATAGCTTGCTTGAGTGGACGTTGTCGACCGCTGGATCCCAGCCCCTGGTCGGAAATTCAGCCCTTCGAGGGCGGTCGGGCCGAGCCAATGACTGGCTCTCCCATCCAAGCGGAAGCTGACCAGCTTGCTCCCTTCATCACTCTGACCGAAGCAATGAAGGAAAAGAACGACGTCGTCTCTCGCCTCACCGATACGTCCAAGTATACGGTTGGAGCATCGTTCTCAGGACTGCTTGATATCGTTACTAGGGGCACTCGTGATGGACAAACTGACGCATGTACATTCGTAGGGCTCTCACAAGGAGCGTTTCGCTGCCGACGGGACCGGAAAGGGGCTCGCCGGGCGACAGAACATCGTCGTCAACGACGGCAGCACCAGCTCTGCCGCACGCAACCACGAGGTTACCGACTCTGGCTCCAACTCAAATCTGAAAAGGGTAACATCCGTGCGGTCGTGGCTGATCACAGGCTGGACAAAGTGCTTGGACCACTCGTTATGGCGCTCACCTCTGTTATTCTTGTCCCCTCCAACCGCTGCCGACTGTATCAAGGCTGGCTCAAAGCCCGTGGCGAAGCCCAAAACCAACGAGGAGACCTACGGAGTGACTCCTCCAAAGATCCTGCTCTTCCAGTATGCCGACAAGAACCACGCTGGCGAGAAGCTGGTCTTGACCAAACAAAAGTACCCGACATTCAAGCAGGTAGGCGATTCGGGCACTCGCGCTAATACATCAGCAACAGTGCCAACACATCTCATGTCACTCGCGACAGTTGATCGAGTTTACAGTCAATCCAATAAAAAACGGGACGCCCTGGTTATTGACCATTGATCAACTATTTTGTTACCCACTCATCGCGCGCTGGCCATGACCATTCTGTGTTTTGAATCAAGGACGCCATGTGTTCGATGGAGACATGCTAGACAAACAGCTGTACTTCAGCCTGACCCGGCGACGGCGATTCAAGCGACTCGATCTCTACGGCAAGCGACAGCGCACTGTCCACGAGATGTGCAAGCAAGTCATCGACCAGGCACCAAGGGAGACCGAAGTGGTGATTGCCTTTGGGAATGCATCCTGGAAACAGGGGAAGGGATATGCATCCAGTCCCCGGAGACTCAGGTTCGCCAAATACTTTGAGCAATTCATACACCACCAGAGACGACCACCAGACCGATCCGTATCCAAGATCCATGTGTGCTCGGTGAACGAGTTCAACACATCCTAGGTGTGCTCACATTGCCGGGAAGCCAAGCGACTCGAGAAGGTCGAGCATCTTGATATCGAGAAACCACACTTTGTCCGGAGCTGTGCAAGCTGCCATACGCTGTGGGATCGAGACATCAATGCCTCAAGGAACATGATCTCGGTATGCCAGTCGATCATCGCCACAGGAGATCGGCCGGGTGTATTCAAGACTGTGCTTCCCAAACCACCCACAACAAAGAGATTGCCAACCAGGACGAGAAACAATCTCACGGCTTGCTCACCGGGGCCTACGGAAGTTCAGCAGGCTTCAGATATCTGAAGCCAGAAAGGGAAAGTGACCCGTTTCTTTCTGGACCGACTGTACAGTGCAGATCACCCCGCCAGGAAAGCCCAAGCTCATTCTTGACCGCTCGCTGAAGGAGATCAAGCCGCTTGATGAGATCCTGGACGGAGAGAGGTCAGTCCTCTGCGACGCACTTGTTGGTGACCCTGTCTAGGATCCGAGCAGCTTTCGCTTGACGCTCAGTTGGCTTGGCTGTGACGCACTGTGCAGGTACCTCGTTGTTACTTCGGCCGACCGAGCCAAGATTGACGAGTCCAAGATCCCATCAGCTTTCAAGGCCTAGCGATATGCTCGCGCTCAAAAGGCAAGGGTATGCCAAACGACGTGCTCCTGCCAACAGAGTATGCCGTCGATTTCGCAGCATCCCTGAGAAAAATACAGCGCACGCACTCGTGTTGTCCATGATGTGTATCAATTGGTGGCCCATCAGTGCCACCATCGGCCGTCGGTGGCAGTTCTGCCGTGAAAAACGCATTCTTGAGTGTAAATGATTGATCTCATGGCCAATATCTGATGATCGCACACTGCGTTTATGATCCTGGTCGCGACGGAATCGTTGTCCTGGATGGGAACGACCGCGATCGTGGAGAAAGTGGACGGATATTCGTGTATTTCTCCGTCAAAGTGAACATTGGATGTAAATGCAGCGTATCTGGGCTGACTTTGCGATCAGCATGAAATCGAGCTGTCTTTCTTTGGTCTCGGCACCTTTTGGCAATACGACACTCTATGCTCAAGCTCAATAATGCAGCCACTCCTCCATATCGCATTCAGGAATGGAGTGGAATGGAAAGCGATCGCCCAAATCATTTGCGCCGAGAACGCTAGTTCAATATGGGCTGTTGTGCCTGGTTTCTACCGCTACCACGGATATTGTCCTCGGTATAATCTGGGCAAGTCCATCGCGTATCAATGTAGACCATATGTGCATCCAGAGTCAGCTCCTTCGCCACGAGCACTCTACTCCTTCGCTGTACAGCACAGTCGTATGTGAGGCTGCTGCACAGGCCGCGTCTGTGCCGAGGGTCTTTCGATGTACATACCATCGTAGTTTGGTACGCTGTTCTGTGCGTTGACCGTGAGACTGACTTTGTACGGACTGGTTCCAGACGGGAAAGAACCCTCTGTAGACGGCAGCGGTACATCGGCATATCAATCTCGGGCATATCTCTGCAGCACCTCAGCACGCCTGGAGAAATGCAGCCGGCGGCTGCAGAGCGCACTCATACGTCAGATCCTCGACTGGGTTTGCGGGTGAGGACAATACCTGGACACTGCCATTTGTTTGTTATCGTATCGAACTCATTCGGAATCGTACACATTCCCTTGGTGTCGACGCAGTATCCCTGACCGCTCGCCGAGATTTGACACACGCATGCGCAGTTCTTCCAGGAGCCGTACATACAGCCGTTGCTGGGTTTGGGAGAAATACATCGGGAGGATTCGTTGCCAGCGGCCTGAGGAGGCGGAACGGGCACGTCCGGAGTCGGCTTTCGTTTTGGGCACACAAAGCATGTGTTGAATGCGTAGCCGTCGAACACGCAGTTATTGATCAGGCCCTCGTCGTATTTGCCTGGCCGTAGGGTGTGTCAAGAGCGAGCACATCAGTAAAGCCGCCAAGACCGCTGCTGGGCAAATGTATCTGCATTACCTCGGCGATGGCTCGTCATTCCATTGCATTGTCCTGGCTTGACCTTGGGCGGCACACATTGCATCGCAGGGTGGGCTTTGATGCGGTCAAGACCCGAGGGATAGCGCATCCACTGAATAAGCTGCTTGGCAGTGATGTAATAGACCTGCTTGTTTGTGACCTGCTGGGTCCACTCGATGAAGTGGTTGATGGTTTCAATGCGGCTTTCGTCTTGCAAGAGCCATGCCGGGGTCATCCAGATACCCTGGGGATGCAAGGAGCGGCACACGGCTTGTCAACAGCCATCTCGTGCAAACAACAGGTTGTTGGCTGCCGATTTGAAGCAGCGTAAGAGCAACGTGCCGCATCTCTGGCCGATAAGACGATGCTGACTAGAGCGATGTATTAGCTACCATTGGCGCACGCTTGTCTTCCCAGTGATGTCGCTTGAAGGTGCTTTGAAGGACCGTGAGGAGTTGCTCGCCGGAGAAGGGGGGATCGACCAAGCGGGACGCGCTCTTGTCCTTTGACAGGTAGATCTCAGTCAGGGGCAGCTCCCAGAGTCCCTCGAACTTCATATCTGGATCGTAAGGGCATGTGGCCGAATCGCTCTTGTCGCTGCATGGGACCCATGGTCAGTACAGCGCATGCTTGCCCAAAGCGGCTCGGTCTCATGAATCGAGACAGTCCAGGTGCTCAGCGAGACGGATTCATACCAGGAGACAGCCAAGCCGTGATCCAAGGTGTATGGCCAGTAGGCATGTTGGAGCGGATGGCGCACAGAGGCGTCGTACCAGAAATCCAGCGATCTGGATGGCAAAGTATCACCGAAGATGGTCATGATGAAGCTATCTCAGCACGTCGCGCAGCATCTATGACGCAGCCAGACTTCCCTGGCCGGACATTACGGCATCTCGCAGGCTCACACTTTGCTCGACGATGAGAATGATGGTGTCACGGCGCCAGCCCGACCGATCGACCTACTTGAGCAACGCAAAGGTTTCTTTGTCGAGCTTCAAGAAGGGTGCGCGGAAGCCCACGATCTTGGATTTCGGGATTCCTGCGTAAGCTGCAGTACGCGAGGCACCAACGGTAAACAGTTCGGCAAATTGATTCCGTGGACACCAGGATATCGAGCAACGAGCAACGAGCAATGGGATAAGAGGGCAAGCAGTCGGAATCAGGGCCGGTTCGTTTCAAGGCGCCTTCCAACATCAAGTGCACCGGCGTGGTATCAGAGCGATATACATCGCTCGCACAGACATTGGGAATGAGGAATGCAAGTCCTCAGACACCACCGCCATCATTGACACACGCACCTTGGATCGCGAGACGATGGCCTTCGATCTCGGAGATATTGGGGTTTGGAGCATGGGTCATTCTAGGGACGCGCAAGCAAACTCAATAATGGAGCAGATCGGAGGCCGAGATGATGCTGGACGGCCATGATGCCTGTGTGCCGAGATTTTGGACTGGGTTGGGCCAGAAGAGATGACGGCTCATTTTTCTTACGTGTGACTGGCGATCTCGACACCGTGGGCATCGAGCACTTGGATCGAGTGGTAATCCGAGTTGTCGGTGGTCGTGAACCATCTGGGCAGAAGCGGCGCAGTCGTGAGCATTTGATCTTCAACGGGACCTCAACACAATGTCCTGGGCACGATATCGAACTTGAATTCCGCCCTTGCCCACAGGAGCGACGGAGCGAGCAATCCAACTTACGTAGCTCCGATGGGACAGCCGTTGGGGTTGCTGTGGAGCCGGACGATGTTTTCGTATGCCTGCGGGAAGGTCACGGCCTCCATGACCGGATCCTCAAAGGTGAGAACCATGAACTGAGGCACATTCGCGACCTCGATCCCTGCAGGCGGATATCTGGAGGCACAGGTGCAGTTGGGGGTTTTGCACGTCGCCACGTCGCAGATGTATCCGGTGCCGTCTGGAAAGCGCCGCGACGGAATGTCAGCAGTGGAGCAGATTGGTTGTGGGACATCTTCTGTGACATAACACTATGTTGGAAGGCGCCATGCGTTACTCGCAGCGACACCAGTCAGACGCACCGGATCTCTTAAAGTTGAGCTTGGGTGTGTCCACAAAGGATCCAGGACCACCATCAACAGCGGTGGATCCTCCAGAGACGACGGCCAAGATGCCAAGGTAAACACAGCCTGAACCATGATGGATGTGAGTTGATCGCGCCAGCAACACAGGTGGCTTCGGCTCATCGAGCTCGCCATCCACGGCGTGCGAACGAATTGCCTGCACGAGGATGTGCTTCCCGGACGGTGAGGATGCAGAAGCATGGGCGAGACGCGATATACGAGCAGCAAGTCTGTTGCCTACCGGCGACTGTCCCAAGCGCAAGAATGTAGCCGACCCGCCGGAACCATACGCCCTTGGCGTATTCGTCGCTTCGGGTATTGTGATTCGAATACCATTGCGGCGCCGCGTAGTCGTCAAAGGTCGCGGGAGCCCTGAAGCGCTTGCGAAGGGAGGAGGAGTACATAAACGACTGCTGGTGCGCGGGTTTGTGGTGGTGGTGGTGGTGATGGTGATGGTGATGGTGGGAGCAAAGAAAAGTATGCCAGATATTCGGAACGACGTTGCAGATGAGTATACGGGCCCCGATTCGCTGTTGATGTTGGATCGAGAGGTGCACCGCGATCGCTGGCGACTCGACGACGCGGAATAACGAGCGAAAAATCTTTCGGTCACGGCCGTGTGAATATATAATCTTGAGTCAGGAGAAGGGGGGGGCGAGCGCCTCTCGCGCTTCTCTCAACCTCATTCGCTCCTGCTCATGGCAGCAGGTTTGCTCGCTCCCAAGCCCTGACGGGGCCACGGCGCTCCCTGCGCAAGGCCTGATAGGAGTATCTGGGCAATGACGCCGCCGCTCTGATGTCACTCCGTGCTGATCAGAACGACGATCCGCTGCATTCGTGACGTCGATGCGCCGTTTCGGAATGCAGTCGACGCCAGGAAGATATCCTTGGCAGCCGCCGCTCTCCACTCGGCTGTTGGGCTTGGAGTCACCATCAGGCTCGCAAAATGGCTGACCGTCGCGCATCCGAGGGCGAGACTCGCAAATCCGAGGGCGAGACTCGCAAGTCTGAGGCGGGCAGGGCACTGGGTCTTGCGGAGCCGATCCAACACGAGCGGGCTGTCGAGAAACCGGAAGTATCTGAGAAGGAGGACAATGATATTCCGCTTCCGCTGCCGCACACGACCAGAAGTGCCAAGGACTCCCAGCGCGAAGCCAAATTCTCGAGCTACAGCCAGGGATCGATCACCCGAGCCTCCAAGGCGCTGATTGCCCAGCTCAGAGGCAAGAGCGAAGATGAAGAGACTGAGAAACTGATATCCACCAAGAAGCCCAAGAAGGGCGCGTCGGCAAACATATCCCCCAAGGTTATCCAGAAGGCGGCCGAGATTGTAAGTGCATGGAGTCTAGTTTGCACGTCGTCCAGCTCTGGGTTGGGTGCTGTCTGGGGAAAGCATTTGGCGAGCATCGCGGCCCAGCTTACTGATATATGCACATCCTGCACATCCTGCACATCCTGCACATCCTGCACTTTCGCAGACGGAGCATCTCAAGAACACCGAGGAGTTGGCAAAGTCGCTGCGATCGCAGGTCCACCGTGAGAAGCCATCGAGATCCGGGGGACTGTCGCAAGCTGCCGCAGAGGAGGCCTTGGAGAAGTTTGGGCCCAACTCCATCACGCCACCCAAGCCCAAACCCTTTATCATCAAGTTCCTAGAATGCCTCGCAAATCTCTTCAACATCCTCCTCGTGGCAGCAGGCGGAGGCAACATCGTTATGTATTTGCTCAACACGGACGAGAACACTGTGAATGTAAGTAAGGCACAAATCCGGTCGTGTTTGCCTCCGCTCGGCGTATATTCCCGAGCTCAGGCGAGACTGCTCCGGGTGTCTCCAGAGTGTCTCCAGAGTGTCTCCAGAGTGTACCGAGCGACGCACCGCTGGACCAAGACTGGGGCGGTTCGAGTGCACAGGCCTTCCAGACATTGATAATTTGTAAAGGCTAACGAACGCTGCTGAACCCGGACAGTTCTATATTGGAATCATCCTGATGGTGGTGTCGATCTTGAATGCCGGAATCGAGCTCTACGAACTTCACAAAATATCGACAATCCTCAAGTCATTCTCGGTACGCTGGAGCGGGTCGCTCGGAACAGGGCTTTGGTCATATCGAAGCAGCAGGTGACTAACGACCTCTCGCATTCTGCAGTCTATGGTCGAGCCAAGCGCCACGATTCAGCGCGACGGAAAGAAGCAGAGCGTGCGAACCGAAGATTTGGTCCCGGGCGATGTGCTTCATCTCGGCTTTGGCGACAAGGTGCCGGCGGATTGTGTACTCTTTTGGGCCAGTGACTTTCGGGTCGACAACTCTTCCATCACAGGGGAGTCTGATCCACAAGAGCGGCTGTCGACCGTATCCGAGGCCGGCACGCTTCCGCTGGATGCCGTGAATCTTGTGTTCAGCGGTACCGTTGTAATTTCAGGTGAGACTCGAATGAAAACTTCCTGCAGGGACTCGGACTGCAGCATCTCTGGCGTGACTCAAAGAAACGAGTCGATCGTGTCGCTCAGAAACAGAGGGAAGCACGAACTAAAGTCGGTGTGATGGAATGGAGGATCCTCTCCGGCACTACATTGATGCCACACCACCACCCCACCCCCCACAACAACCCATCGATAGGCGAAGCATACGGCATTGTCATTCGAACTGGGGACCAAACCGTGATCGGACAGATAGCCGGCCTAACAAAGATTGGAAAGAAACGCAAGTCCCCCCTGACCGACGAGATCCAGCGATTCTGCAAAATGATATCGGTGCTGGCGAGCATGACGGCCATTGTGTTCTTCGTCGCCTGCCTGGCCCAGGGCCGCAGCTTCGACTATGCGTTGCAGTTTGCCATCGGCATCTTGGTGGCCTGGATTCCACAGGGGCTGCCAGTGACGGTGACGATGCTCCTGACGATCGCCGGCAGGAGGATGGCGGAGCAGAAGGTCTTGGTCAAGGACTTGACCGGTGTCGAGACTCTAGGGTCGATCACGATGCTGGCCACCGACAAGACTGGCACCCTCACAAAGAACCAAATGGAGGTCGCCAACATCTGGACCAACAACTACATGTGGTATGCCGGCTCGGGTGGAGCCAACGACTGCCCCTTGGGCGAGCGCATCCTCAAGATGGATGCCAGCGGCATCGTGCCGATGCTGCATATCGTTTCGACCTGCACAAGGCAAGTTGCAGGCGTTGGTCTCGTCGAAGCGATGGCCAAGGCGATAGGCTGCGATTGCGACGCTGTCGGCGTTTCGAGTCACTGAGACGAGTGCTGTCCGGTGGGTGGATCTAGGGCCAAGTATCGCTCGGCAACGAAATCCAACGAAGAAACGTAAGGCCATCTCCTGCACCAAGCAGATCCTGCCAAGTAGATCCTGCCAAAGCCGCCTGCCAGGAGTTAGAACAGGTGTCATGAACCCGCGACAAGGGGAAATGCAGAGCAGAGAGCTGATGCTGATGCTGATGCTGATGCTGATGCTGATGCTGATGCTGATGCTGATGCTGATGCTGATGCTGATGCTGATGCTGATGCTGATGCTGATGCTGATGCTGATGCTGATGCTGATGCTGATGCTGATGCTGATGCTGATGCTGATGCTGATGCTGATGCTGATGCTGATGCTGATGCTGATGCTGATGCTGATGCTGATGCTGATGCTGATGCTGGTGCTGATGCAGAGAGTGAACCAACGATGTCAGGCTCACTATCGACGATTGCTTCCACGGCCCCGCGCTCTCGCTTTCTTCCGCAGTGTCGAGGTTGGTGATGCTACCGATCTCGGTCTCCTGAGATACGCAGCCTCTCGCCTCCTGAACTTCAACAAGGTATGTGTGGTCATGCTGCTGATCCAGGCGGCTCGAAGTGATTGCTTGAATCCTGAGAGTGCCTGGGATCCAGACTACTGTGCTGGTCCCGCAGGGCGGGGTGGTCACCTTGCTGCCCATAGATCAATATCCGCCAGAGAGAAGGCTGAAACAAATCCATTCCCACCCACACGCATACTCGCACAAAATGAAATCATGGCTTGCGACCGACACATAGCTCAAGGACCTGTACCCCAAGATGTTTGAGATCCCCTTCAGCTCCGACACCAAGATGCATCTCTCGATCCACCGCAAGTCCCACAAGGAAGGTGGCCTGACCCTCTTTGTAAAGGGAGCCCCCGAGCGAGTCTTGGCGATTTGCAGCCACATCCTCATCGATAACAAAAGCATCCCCTTGGACGAAAAGTACAAGAGCTCCTTTGATGCGGCATACCTTCACATGGCGTCTAAGGGCCACCGCGTCCTCGCATGCGCACAGCTGTTGCTCCCTGGCATCAAGTATCCGGACAACTACATATTTTGCAACGAAAAGCGCAACTGGCCAATGGTGGGTGTGGGGACAAATATCACAGTCAAGCATGTGAAGCAGAGAGAGAGTGTGTGAGAGATCAAACTTGCTGAGCCGGATGTGGCTTTACTTCCTCTTGTGGATATCAGGACAGCTTGTGTTTCGTTGGCTTGATCAGTCTCGAGGATCCACCCAAGCATGGCGTCCGAGAAGCAATTGGGCAGATGCGCACGGCAGGAATTAAGGTTGTTATGATCACGGGCGATCATCCGCTCACAGCCGAGGTCAGTTTGAGTGGTCGTGCCAATGCTGTGGCTGCAGTATCGACTCGATTGCATCGATATATGGTCGCCGATGAATCGGATGATCACACTCTATGCATAGATGATTCGGACAATGACTATGTGAGCTGCTCGGTGGATGTCCGCGAAGGCAAACGGGTTGGTAGCGCTCCGCAGAGGGACAACGAGATACTCACGACCGAGTTCTCCTGGCTTGGCAGACAATCGGACGCCGGATCAATCTCGTAACGGGCGATACTCGCGAGTCGTTGGCCAAAGAGCGCGGCTGCTCGGTCCGCGAGATTGACGATTCCGAGTACGACTCGATCGTGGTGCACGGCCAAGATATTCGAAACTTTGACGACCACCAGTGGGAGAAGATCTTCAGCAAGGATGAGATCATCTTTGCGCGCACGAGTCCTCAGCAAAAGCTGGAGATTGTCACGCGGGCCCAAGCGCTGGGCCACATCGTGGGCGTGACGGGCGACGGAGTCAACGACGCATCCGCCCTCAAGAAAGCGGACCTCGGCATTGCCATGAACAAGACGGGATCGGACATTTCCAAGGAAGTCTCTGGCATGATCTTGCTGGACGACAACTTTGCATCGATCGTGACGGGGATCCGCGAAGGTGAGCGACTCGCTGTGCAGGTGTGAGGTGTGAGGTGTGAGGTGTGAGGTGTGAGGTGTGAGGTGTGAGGTGTGAGGTGTGAGGTGCGAGGTGTGAGGTGCGAGGTGCGAGGTGTGAGGTGTGAGGTGCGAGGTGTGAGGTGTGAGGTGTGAGGTGTGAGGTGTGAGGTGTGAGGTGTGAGGTGTGAGGTATCAAGATCAGAGGGCACCTCAGAAACTGGACGCGTGATCGCTGCATCGATTCGAGTGATGATATGCACACAGCAATAGATGGCGGAGCAACCCCCACTCTGTCGATGCTGTTTCTAACCACGTGGCATGCTTCCAGGACGACTCATCTTCATGAACTTGAAAAAGTGCATCACCTACTCGCTCACACACATCATGCCCGAAGTCATCCCGTATCTTGTCTACGTCCTCGTGCCGCTGCCTCTGGCGCTGATGGCGCCGCAGATCCTTGCCGTCGATCTGGGCTTTGAGATCTTCACGTCGCTGAGCTTCGCCTGGGAAGTCCCCGAGAACCCTGAGATCCTGATGAAGATGGCGCCGCGACGACCAGTGTCGACGCTCTGCTCGGCTTCTACCGTCTACGAAGGACACCACGACATTGAGAACCCCGACGACGACGATCGTGTGGACGCCAACGCCAAGCTGCAGTCTAGATGGCGAGGATACGTCGAAGAGGCGCGCGAGATCCTTACCAAGCCTCGATACCACATGGATGCTCTGCGCGAATGGATGGAGATCTTGCGAAAGCCGACGGGCGAGCGACTCGTGGACCTGGAAGTCCTCTGCTGGTCCTACGTCGAAGGCGGGTTTCTAGAGTGCGGCGGGGCATTTCTAGCGTACGCGCTGGTGTTTTATGAGTACTTTGGGATATCCCTCCACGATGCTCGCGTGGCCCAGAAGACCGGAATGTACTTCAAGCCGCATTCGCCCAACATGCAACTGGAGAACGGATCGAGTTTGGTAGGTAACGAGAGAGGGCCATGTTTCGATAGCAAGATCGACGGCGATATCAATCAACTGTGCGTGTGCGAGGGGGAGGGATATATTCACGACCACAGATCGTGCCGGAAAACTGACCCATGCATCAATCCACACCTCTCCGAGACAGCCGAGCGACGTCCAAACCCAGGCACTCCGACAGGCACAGTCGGCGTATTATCTGTCGGTGCTCATCATCCAGATCTGGAATCTCTTTGCGTGCAAGGCTCGACTCCGTATACCGTTCGGCAAGTTCATGTTTGAGTAAGTGCAGAGGCTGTTGCGTCACCGACAGCTGGGCAAAGTGGACGGATGCACTGATTCGGTCATGGGCACGGCAAGACGACATCGGCAGCGAGGATCGCCTGAACACTGTACTAGCTGTGGTAGCCGTATTACTTGAAGCCCATATGGGTGCATGCAACTCCAGTCGAAGGACGACCCGGACTGATGTGCCAGGCGATTCTTGTCTGTACTCATTTCCCCAGGAACCCCAAGACTTGGTTGGCAGTCGTGTTTGGAACGTCGTTCGCGTTCTTTATTGTCTACGTTCCGTTTATGAACAGTAAGCAGAAGCGACAGAACAATGTTGGTGCCGCAGAGAGCGAGCTCGGTCTGAGGCGACTTGATACTGACGATAGCGATTGTTGTCTATTGCGGACGGGGCGACGTTACTGTGGATGGTCCTGCAGCGGTGTTCCTGACATCGTCGCAGCTGGATCCAATGATCTTGGGAGTCCCGATGGCGTTCGGGGCGTTCATCTTTGGGTACTCGGTGGCGCGCCGACTGGTACTCCAGAAAAGTAAGTGTCGAACGGACGCCGTGGAAGTGCATCTACGACGAGACGAATGCTGCTGCCAACCGCACGATCACTGACGACATTTTGATGCATCTAGTCAATCCCGAGAAATTCAACCCGGAGCTGGGCAGGCTCAACATGGCGACCTCTGAATGGGTGAGTGAGTCAGACTGAGGGGAGACGGATGCTCATGGCGGTCGGGAGGAGCACGAACTAATGCCGGTATATCCGTGGCGCTTTGCAGTCGCTGGGACCATCCGTAGATGCAGGGACTGCCAAAGCGATTCCGCTCCCCAAGGCCTGAGCAGGCCAATGGAGTGGTCGTGTCGATGGGGCGGTCATGTCTGTGGAATAGTAGCATGTCGAAGGCAATGGTGCAGTTCCCCTCAGCGCGCCAGATCGGTGCCCAGGGTTCCATGGCCATGCATGTGTCCGGCGCAACATGTGCTGGCCGATCGGCCGATCCGGTTCCAACGGCCAAAGCAAACGTGGCGGAGCAAGGCGCCTCGTGGGTTGTGCAGCAGCGAGCAGAAGAGCCACTGTGGCTGTTGTCGATGGGCTCTGGTGTGGCGGCGAGTCGGGCGAGGGCTGTGCAACAGTGCGGCTGAGTGGCGGGAGGCGGTTGCGGCCGCGTGGCAGCAAAGGGCGCGAAAGGTTTGCAGCAGGGCGCTTGATGACGGCGGAGGGATGCTCTGTGAGTTGCCGACAACTGACGAGTGGACGCTGTGCAGCTTTGGCAAGGGTTTGCGTGGCTGCGCTGTTGCGTGCTCGTGTGGGGGTGCTCGCGGCGATGCTGTGGTGCAGCGCTGCGCTGTGGCCGACGGGTGGCACCGGCGAAGTGAGACGCAAGGGCGCTGTGCGGGGGGGCTGTGGAAGGGGACATGCACGAGCGGGTGGATGGACGAGTGTGTGAGCGAGTGTGTGGGCCAGTGTGTGGGCCAGTGTGTGGGCCAGTTTGTGGGCCAGTGTGAGCAAGTGTGCGAGCGATTGGATGGACAAGTCAATGGCAAGTCAATGGCAAGTCAATGGCAAGTCAATGGCAAGTCAATGGCAAGTCAATGGCAAGTCAATGGCAAGTCAAGCCCCAAGCACCAGCTCCTCTCGCCAAAGCTGCAGCAGACAGCCGAGACAGCACGCACACTGACCCAGGCCATGAGCGAGCGCGGCACAGCGCAGATGGGCCGTTTGCTCGGCACACTCACGACACAGGAGAGTGCGCCATGAAGCACATGGAGGGTGGTGGGACAGGCGCACGTCGCACAAGTGCACGCAGCATATTCTGTACCCAAGCGACAGCACACAAACACAGCGCGCAAACACGCTGCGGCACGCGCCTGCTGGCGCCCGCAGGGGGCCCATGACGCGCGCGGTTTGCCGCACAAGGCAGGCCGCCCGGGCTCTGGCCGCCAGTGGAGCGGCGCTGTGCTGAGCGCGCCTGTGCGCGTCGATGCGCGTCTGCGCCGCCACGTTGTGCTGCCGAGCGCGCGTTGCCGCGGCGTCGCCCGTCACACATGCGCGTCGATTGCCTGTTTCGGGCAGGCGCCAGCGCGTCGCGGCCCCCCGCGCCGGCCTTTCCTTTTTTCGTGTGCGTTTTGTTTGTTGTCGCGCGTGGCATGGTCGCCCCTCGCGGCCGCCCCTCGCGGCCGCCCCTCGCAGTCGCCCGCCCCGGTCTCTTAAAAGCCTCGGTGGGTCTCCATCGCTCCTGTCGCCCGTCTTGTCTGTGGAGGAGGTTTTTCTCGATCCCCAATCGCTCTCCCTGGTCTGCGCTTTCCCTGCTCCTCCCAAACCTCCTCTCTGCTCCTCCGTCCGTCGCATTCCGCCATGGTCAAGCTCCTCACCGTCCTCTCCACCGCCCTCGCCTTCACCGCCGCCGCTTCGGCCGAGGTCAAGCATGTTCGCAAGTCGCACCACCACGGCGTTCGTCTCCAGAGCCGTGCCGACCAGTCCGACATCAAATACGGCCCCCACGGCCGTCCCTGCCTGAACCAGCCCGGCAAGCTCGTCGGCACCCCCGTCCCCGCTGCCGTTGCCAACCCCCCTCGCCTCTTCGTCGCCGTCTCGACCTCGGCTGCCGCTCCCCAGCCCACCGGCCCCGTCGTCGTTGTCGTCGATGCCCCCGCCCCTGCTCCCCAGTCCACCGACCCCGTCGTTGTCGTCGTTGATGCTCCTGCCCCTGCCCCCGTCGAGACCAACAACTTTGTTCCCCAGCCCAGCGAGACCGCTGTTGTTGTCGTTGTCCAGCCCTCGGCCCCCGCCCCCGCTCCCCAGTCCACCGAGACCGTCGTCGTTGTCGTCCAGCCTTCGGCCCCTGCTCCCGCTCCCCAGCCCACCTCGGCCCCTCCTGCTCCCCAGCCCGCCCCCGCTCCCCCGGCCAACAACGACCTGGCCTCCCAGTGTCTCGATGCCCACAACACTGCCCGTGCCCAGTACGGCCACGCTCCCCTGACCTGGGACAACAACCTCTCGCAGGCTGCTTTCGCCTACGCCCAGACCCAGGCCGCCACCGGCAACGGTCCTCTTGAGCACGGCGGTGTCCCTGCTGGTACGTTGAATCGAAACTGAATTGGACTGTGTGCATCCGTGGACCCGTCGACACAGCAGAGCCGGCGGTCGAGGCTGCAATCAGGTTCAGCCACCGACAGGAATGCGCCATGGACACTGCTTTTGGAAATGTCCAAGTGCACGTGCACGGAATATCGCGGCATTTCGCGTCGTATGGGTCGGCTCTCCCGACTCTCGCTCGACAATCACCTCCGGCGCCACTGGCCTTTTGCTGACCCGCAAATCTTCTCCTGTGTCTTCTGCGGCCTTTCCGCTCATCCAGGTGCCGGCCAGAACCTTGCCAGCTACGGTGGATACCCCAACGCCTTCGACTGCCACACCCCCGTCGCCGCCTGGGTTTCCGAGTCTGTCTTCTACTCTGGCCAGGCCATCGACATCAACAACCCCAACGACTTCGAGAAGTGGGGTCACTTCACCGCCGTCATCTGGCCCACCACCAAGACCGTTGGTTGCGGTTACGCCGGTGACAACACCCTCCAGAACGAGGTCTTCTGGGTTTGCGACTACTTCCCTGCGTAAGTTGACCTGCCTTGTCGCTGCTACGTTTCCTCACCGATGTTTCCCGGTGGTTGCTCCCAGCACTGCCAGTCTTCCTCCTGACATGTTTTCTTCCTCTCTTGCTCATCTGCAGTGGTAACATCCAGGGCGTGTCTGCCTACTAAGCCCTCAACTCTCCCACGCAAGTACGAGTTAACCGGACCCTGTCTGTGCCAGCACCGATGCCTTGAATACATATAGACGACCTGTATTTGTGCCTGCCCCCCCAAAGCACGACAACCTCCGTCGACCTGCCTCTCGCTTTGTAGATCCTTCTGTTACGCCCACCAACGCCCAACCCGCCCCCTCCGCCTCGACGTCAATGATATATTAAACAGTTTCCTCCTTCCCCCGCCCTCTGCCCTATCCACCACCACACTGCTCTCCTGCATTCGTGTGTTTTGTTAATTGTCTTTGCGACGCGATTCACCGTTCCTTTTTTTGATTGTCTGTCTTGTACCTCCTACATTTGATTCTTTGAAAGAAGAATATACATTCGTCGTTATTGCAGAAGGCTCCTTTTCGACACCGGCGACTTGCTCCCTCGACCTCCTCTTCCTCCGGCACCCAGCTCCGTTCTCTGCTCCGCGACCTCTCCTTGCCTGCCCTCCCCCTGGCTGTGCCAGCCCTAACTCTTCCGCACAATCCCTCTTCGACCTGAAAGAAAATAAATGGTCTGCTTTCTATGAATCGACCTTTGTTTCTTCGTTCTGGCCCCGCCGTCCAGGGGCAGAGTGGGGCGCGAGAAGATATCCAGGCCAAGGGCGCCACACATCGGTCCTGCATCCATGTCCGGTGAATCCCTTCGCTCCGTGACAATCCCTCTCGCTGCTCTGGCTGCTGCTCCAGCGGTGCTCGCCCTGGCTCTTCCCTCCGCCCCTCCCTCCGTCCATCCTTTCGTTCCCAGCCCGCTTCTCGCCTCCTTCATCTCCCTTCCCCCGCACGCCCTTGGTCACCCACAAGCGCGCTGACGCCAACACAGGATCCCGTGGTCCAGCGCCTCGCCTCCCATTGGTTCCGGACCGCGGCGCTGTGCAACGTCTCTGCTGCGTGAGTGAGCGAATTTTGCCGACCACTGCCGTGACGGTCGCACCAGTCTCGATTTGCTGAGCATGGTGACACCGCTCCAAGTGCTGCGCACCAATAACGCGCTGGATGGGATTTCATGCAAACCGGCACTTGCCAAACCGACAGACCATTCGATTGCCGACCAAGTCCATTCGATTGCCGACCAAGGCGGGAAACAATCCTCTGCGACCGGCATATCGTCATTGGATCCCGTGCCCGTGCTGACTGCAGTGACTGCCAATACTCCGCCATTGGGTTTGTTTTGCACAAGCTCTGTTTCGGGCGCTGCACCAAAATGAATATGTGGGCATCCCAAGTTACTCGCGGGCCAGAGTGTGTTTTGTCAGACGCACATTCCAGAGCTGCACCCCGCAGGGTTTGCCTCGCCTCCAACCCTGATTTTCTCCAGTTGAAAGTCACGGACGCGATGATTGTACTCCAGAGGCAGGGGCCACCCCCCCCATCGAGGCTTCTCAGGAAATCGGCGCTGCTTTCATGATCTTGTGGATCGTGCATTCCTTCCCGAGCTCCTTCAGCTCTTCCTCGAGCCGCACCACGCTCATGTCAAGTCGGGTGCAGATTTCGTCGTAGTGGTGCTCGCCCGTCAGCATCGTTCGCATGATCATCCGCCATGGCTCGGTGCCCTTGGCGAAGGCTCCAGCAAACAGGGCAGATGTCGGTGGCCCGGCCGTCGGCGTCATTGGCCGCCGCTGATCCAGAATGCCGATGCTGCTCTTGCCGGCGTGGTTGTTGCTGTTGCTGCTGCTGCTGTTGTTGTTGTTGTTGTTGTTGCTGTTGCTGGAGCTCTTGGTGTTGTTCTGGCTGCTTTCGCCAAATTTCGGCACGAGTATGGGGTAGGTGTGAATGCGCTGGAGCAGTCCGTGGACAACTGCAAACACAACGAACCGTCTAGATGCCCAATGTTGATTTTTGCATGAGTCAGGGTCGTGTCGATTGGGAAGGGCAATCGGAAGTGTGTCAACGTGGGCCACATGAAACATTGATTGAACTTCATCTTTGAGCAGAACAGGACTCATGCGACACATCTCGCTGCCGTTACTACCCGGATCGGGTTTCAATCCCAGCCGCAATGAGCAAGCCCCTACCTGATATCAATGGATGCGATGGTCGACCCTTTCGAGTCCATGAGCTTGCTCACAGGTGTGTCGTATGTGAACGAGCATAGCAACTGAAGGAGCAGCTCGTCGCTTGGCGTGGCCACCCCTGCAATCGAGTCCGTGTGTCAACAGCTGAAGCCATCCGCTATTCCATTCACTTACCCACTCCCTGTCGTACCTGGAATGCTCACAAAGGCTCTACACCTCTCCCGCAGCGACACATCTTGCATGAAGCGCCGAACTTGCGGAGTGACAATGTAGATGTTGGAGAACTGTTTCGATGTATGATTGTCAGCAAGAACAACGACGTCGAGCCGATGGCAGCACACGGCTTTCATTCCCCCCAACGCTGTCAGGCCCCATCCAGTCACAGGAGTGGTGGTGTGGCGCACAGTCTAGACGAGGAGATCCGGGTCGACAATAGCAATCCAGCTTTGTTGGCCGATAGATTCACCGACTGACGTCTTCTCTACAGCCCATTTGTACTCGGTATCGTTGCGCTGACGAAACCAAAGCCAATAGGCGTCCACCACAGGCAGCACATCGTCCATCGTCCATCGTCCATCGTCCATCGTCCATCGTCCATCGTCCATCGTCCATCGTCCATCGTCCATCGCCTCCCCACCCACATTGCCGCTTTACCTGAAAGATATCCACCATTTTGACGCATCCATAGTAGATCAGATGCCGGATCGCCAGGCGCACGAGACTGGACTTGGCGTTGGAGAGCTGGGCGATTCTCTTGATCGAGTTCACGCCGTTGATGAACGGGAAAATCTGATGTGGGACCGTCCCTTGCAACGTCAGTTTCCAGAGAAAGAGAGAAAGCGAGAGCAGTGATCCATTGTGTTGCACGGCGAAGCGCCTCGGCACTCCCAGTCCAAACTTTCCACACGAATGCTATGTCATATCCCCCCGCACCGCCTGACCCATTGATCCCTCCTCCTCCTTCACCCCATTCGCCCATTCACTTGTCTGTCCGTCTACCTATCCAAAAGGTGAACATATGTCCACCTCTGCGACTCACCGCCTGCAAAGTAATGTCCCAGTACTTGTCGCTCTCTAGCTTCGTCACAATCAAGGGAACTTGAAAGTCGTACACTTCTGGCGGATCCGGGAAGCGCTCAAAAACCTTGATGTTGATGATATTGGACGCGTCTGTGCCGACAACCCCAACGGCGACAATAGTCCAAGACAGAGCTCATCAGTCTCTGCCCATTTCCATATCCAAAACCAAGGCCAAACTCTACAGATATGCGAATCGAACACCGGTGAGCATTCAGCGCCACCCCCTCCCTTCCGCTCAACCCTACCAATCGAGATTTGCGATTCGTGATACTCGTTGAGTTCCTCGTGGAGCTGTTCCATAATCTTGAGCATGATGGGCCGGGTGCTGGCAGTGCTGAAGAGCAGACTCTCTTGCTGTCGCCCCAACCCCCAGGCAGTTCGTCAGCAATAACGACAGAGGCAACAGCGATGACAGTCCCGTTCCCAAAAAACGCCAGTGAAAGCAGTGCCTCGAGTGTTTATCCCCCATTGGCCTCACCCAAACTCCGAGTCACCTCACTTCAATCACCTTCCTTATTTTTGTCTTTTCGCAAACATCGACACTCATGAAAGAGAATTCCATACCTCAAGGGATCTGAGAATCCGTGCCAGCTTCCGGACCACCAACTCATAGCAAGACGTGTCGGCATCACGCTCAAACACAAAGCTGAGGTTGAAAAAGAAGGCATTGCGCTCGTACTGTGGCCCTGGAATGTGGATCGGGTAGTTCATGATCTGATACCGCGACGTGACAATGTTGATGAGCCGATTGCAAGACTTGGGCTTGGGAATGATGCACCATCGAATCTCGTTGATGTCCACGAGCGGCGGCGAAGGACGGGTGTAGTCTTTCGACGATCCACGCTGTGTCTTCGGGGTCGACCTGGCGTCGGTGCCGGCACCGTCATTGGAGAGGGTCCCATAGATCGAGTTGCACATCGAGGGCGGGTTGTGGTGCGAATTGTCGACCGGGTCGATTGAGGCGAATCCGGCGTGCAGGCCGCTGTTGGTTCTCAGCCGACTGATCCGACCAGGGCTGGCATCCTTGAGGTCGTGGCTGGAGTGATCCTCGTCGTTGGCGGCTGGGGCCACAGCACCCGACCCGCTATGCAACCCGCTTTCATCGACGGGCGCAGATGCAACCCTCGCAGATACTGGCCGCTGACTTTGCTCTGGTGCATTGCGGATATCGGACGAGTGCTCATTTTCCTCAGACGGGAATCGCTCATTCTCGCTGCCTTCAGCTGGCTGTTGGATTTGTTGCGCATCCGACTGTTCAACTCGTGCGTTCGATCGTTCAGCTTTTGCATGCGACGGTCCGGCATCTGCAGTCGAGGACTCACTCTCAACGTGCGGCGCCACTGGCTGTGCCGATGGATTGTTGCTCGACCTTTTGCAGGCCTCGTCGGCATCGTCGTCGACAACATCGTCGACCAGCGCCTCATCGGCGTCCTCGGCCACAGCCGGTTCAGTCGGTTCAGTCGGCTCGAGTATCGGTGCTTCTGCAAGGGCTGGGTCCGCATGTGCATCCTCATCAACCACATCTGCAGGTCTCGGCCCGTCCGCACCGTCGTGAGAGGCGAGTCCGTTCACTGGAGGACCGGCACTCTGGCCCGATGCACTTTCGATCGATACGTCTTCAATCGCTTCCGGGGCCGCTGCAGCCTCGCCTACGATGCCTTCCTCCATAATCGATGGCTGAGTGGCGTCCAGAACGATTTGCTGCTCTGCAGGCTCCTGTGGGTCTGTCATCGATTCGATGCCGGAGCCAATAAACGACCCGATCTTTGCATGGCTTGCCGGTATTGAACCGGTGACCAAGATAGAAGCCGATGACGGCGGACTGCCTCCGAAAATGCGGTGCTCGGCTGCGACGGCGGTGATAGGCTGGACCTGTGATGTTTGGCGAGTCGCTGGTTCGGCCTTGGGTGTGTGCTCGAGGCTATAGCTTCGGTCGGCATTGAAGACTAGGCGCTCGGGTGTCGTCACCATATGGATGCTGTCTTGCATAGAGGGAGAGCATTGTTGCTGCTGTTGCTGCTGTTTCTGAGGAGGGGGAGAGTCTTCGATCAGGTTGGGCGGGGTTCGGTAGACAAGCTTCGTGCCCTTGTCATTGTCAAACTCGACATAAAAGATCCCGATGATGTGGGGGAATCCGGGCATGGCTAAGGGGGGGGTACCGTCTGGACTGAAGATGAAGGACAGCGAGAGCCAGGGGTGGAGGAGCTCTGTCGCTCGGGTGGGTGCTGGGTCGGTTGCGTCGGGATGTGATGGATGATGGATGATGGGCGAACGCGGGCCTGGCGGTTTGGTTTTGGCCAGCGCCCCTGTGATCTGTCGATGCGGGCCATCGATGTCACTGTCGATGTGGCTGACATGCTCCAGCCCTCAACAAACACTGGCCGCCGCCACGGCTTTCCGAGTCCCCACTGAGACTGATACGAGAACTGTGCTGATGCAACTGTTGAATGCTCAAAGACGCTGGCATTCACACAGCCCCGCCCACCAGCCATCAAAGGCCCAAGCGCACGCCCATCTGCCGAACACGCTGGCTTGTTGAATCGGTCATGACGGACATTCATCGGCATGTTCCCCTCCTTTCCATCCCGCTTGGTTCCCCCCGAGTGTCCGCACATTCGCCCACGGTGGATATGTTCTCCCGTCCCGATCAGATGGTGTTGAGGACCTCTCGGTATTCCTCCAGTTTGGCGCTGTACGCATCGTTCAGCTTCTTCTTCATTTCTGCGGGCTCCAGTCCCGAGAGCTCCGTCTAGGAAAGCAAAGAACAGGATCGTCAGCCCACGGTTCAATCAGCGATTGCCTCCACACTCCCCTCGTGGTCCCGAGTGGAGTAGTGTTTCAGCGCAAAGCAGAATACCTCGTTGTACTGGTAGAGTCGCCTGATGACTTGCTTGCGGTAGCTGGCTTTGTCGCTGGGTGCGAGGCTTTTCAAGAGACCGAGCTCGAGCAGTCGCTCGGCTTGCATCTGATGGATACCGCAAGTACGAGTTCAAGGATTAGTCCGTGGCAGGAAACAGTGCAAGGCGTTGCTCCACCAAACGCCGTCGCCCGCTCTGTCGAGTGCGGTCTTGAGGGAACAAGCACATCTCATCGACCGTCTCGTCCGACTGCTGTCTGGCGCAATTCAAGTGGCGAGGGCTTCAAGCCGGGCCGCACATACCCGTCCAATCTTGTGTGGCTTCCCAAACTCTGCAATATCATGGAGCGTCATCGGGAACTTGACACCGGCAAAGGCGTTCTTGGCCATCAGGTACCGCAGATCACATCGATCCCGCAGGGTTGCGAAGCCGTCGTTCTCGTCTTCGACTGGATTGAGGCAGCGTCGTCAGCCACCCCTCCTACCAAGTCTCCATACGGATCACATGCTGATGTGCCTTGCATCCAAGAGTGGTCACACTCACCAACAATATCTGCGATATCTGCATCGCTCTGCCAAAGCGAAAACAGTGTCGTATAGAGCATCTCTGCAGGCCGGCAAGTCAGATAACGGTGTTGTCGATTGATGCGTTAGAGTGCTTCCATCGGGTCTTGCACTCGATTGCCTCTGATGCCGACAGCAGAGGGTGCTACATCCGACAGCAGAGGGCACTATATCCGACAGCAAAGATTTCAAGCTCAAGATACTTACTGCCGTGGCCGTTTTCCTGGTACGGCGGCAGAATCAAAAATTGACTGGACAAGCAAAAGATGCAGACCACATCAGTCACAGAGAAGATGCTAAGCTGCAGTACAAGTGATCAAGCATCGCACCGATCGGATCGGCTTACCTGATCCGGATTCTGGTTCTTGCAGCAGTGTTCGGGCTCTCGCCTCTGCTCTCGCTCTCTCTGTCGATTGCGCACCTCTCAAAGTACACAAAGCTGCGGTAGACATTGGGCCGGTGATCAGTCGACAGACACACGATGTTTGGTGTGTCTCGCGGCGCAACGGCTGCGTGCATACCGATAGCAGGTCGTGTATCCGACAATGTTGTAGAAGAGCCTGCCTCCCTCGTTGACCTTTTCGAACCTGGAAAATTGATCGGCATCGGTCAGCGATCAGCTCAACGCGGTTTACCACCCCGAAGCACCATGCATATCGCAATATTCGGGCTGCATGGCTGTGGCAGCTCCCGCAGCGGACGAGATTGGTGCCACCAAAGCCGCCGGAACTCACAGAAGATAAATATCCCAGCGCTTGTCGTCCTCCTGGATGTACGAAGCAGCCTCGATATAGAACAGCAGGAAGAACTGTAGTCGACGGTGGTACTCCTTGAACCTGGGTGTATCAAAGGTGCACTGTGCCAGCGAGTGAGGTGCGAATCGGGCCAAGTTAGTCGACCGGTACCATCGCAACAAGATCTGCTACAGAGCTCGATGTCCCTCTGACAGGACCCACTGCCCACGAGTCCGATTGAGAATCACACGATCCTTACATGGTAGATCTCGTAGACAGCGTCGTCCTTCTCGTACTCGAAGATCTTGGTCCCCATCGGTCGGAAGGTCTTGGCATCTTCCTCGACTCTCTTTCGAAAGTAGCTCATATCGTTGGTCCACAGCTGTCCCGACGAGGACTCTGCGCAAAGGCGGTTGGCCGAGTCGGGAGATCGATTTGGCGAATGAGCACGGGCGATCGATCGAGAGAAATAACGACATGTTCAGGAACGAGCTTGAGCAACGGCGACAGCGACTGCGACTGCGAGCGCCAGGCTGGACGCGGCGTATTCGGGACGGCCACTTACGAGGCCACTTTTCCAACAGCGGCGGCAGCAGTTCCTGTGCCTTGCATAGCGATCCGGCGATCTCGAGTGTGATTTTATCCTCGTAGCTCACGTTGAAGTAGGGATACAGCGAGCCAGATGTAAAGTAGAGCTGCAGAGCGAGGCAAGGGAGATGTGAATCCTATCCTGCAACAGCGACAGCAACACCGCCAGTGGAACTGCCGGCGCTGCAGAACCGCCCATCCGAGGATCGGATCGGCTGCAGACCCACCTCGATCGATAGCCCCTTGTATCCGAATATGAGCTCCTCTTGCCCAAAGAAGGGATAGGTGTACTTTGGCGAAAACGTGATGGACTCGTCGATCGTCCCGGAGACAATGTCGTCGGGCATGACCAGGGCGAAGCTGACGGCTTCGTTGGATGAGCAGGTCCATCCCTGCAGAGGGTTGCTGCGCGAGGGATCGATAAAGTCTGGGCCAGGATCGTCAACGTCAGCCGATCGTCGAGCCCAGAAGGTGCTGAGGACAGATCAAGCGGATCCAGCTCTTTGCGAACCGACACCAGGCCGTCTGCATCAAGACACATGCGTGCCGGTCTTACCGTCCATGGCGTCGTCTGTCTCGGCGACCCGGAGTGCGATCGGCTTGATGAGAGGCAATGGGGTTGAGTTCTGGTCTAGTTGGCAGCCGATCTGTGGCCGTGGCTGGCTCGGCAAACGTGACTTTCTGGCCAGCACCGCAATTATCGTCGCAAATCACCACCGCACATCGTCATCGTAGCGGCAGCCCGCTGGGAACCGGCATTCGATACAGACGCTGCTGCCGATCGACAGTGCTGCTTGCTGCGATAGAGACACATCCGGGCCGATGCGATCTCGGCTCCTCCCGCAGGGCTAACCGGCATGACGGACAGCACCGGCCTGTGCTGGTCGCTGCGTGACCTCCTCGCAGCTTGCTTCCCGCTCTCCGTCATGTGCAAACTCCGGGGCTGCAAAAGGGCCTTTGGGCGAGGGGGACCAGCCTGCTGCTCTTGCCTCTGCTCTCTGCCTGCATCCCGGCCACCCCCGTCGGCTCCCTCGGCGGCTGTGGTCCTCGCCTGCCCAATATGTTCGACGTTACCACCGCCATGAATCTCAACCTCTGGGAGAACTTTATCGAGAGCATCGCACAGGTGCTTTCGCGGGCTCTCACGGACGAGGAGACAGGTATGTCGTCGTTGCCGCTACTCGAAGCCTGAAGCTCGAAGCCTGAAGCTCGGACGCCGCCCTAGCGTTGCCGACCAACCCCTCGTCCTGTTTCTCGATCCATCCATCCAGAACGCTTCTTGGCCAGCTTCAAGTCGCTCCAAGCCCGTTTGCGGGAACTCAGCAGGTTTGGGCCGGCACCTCACTAGTCCTCCATCACTCACCACCCAGCATCCATCATTCGCCATCCAACATCCTCGCTGCATTGTGCGCCTTGATCCGCTCGGCTGCGAGTAACCGTCCTGTGCTCGCTGTCCCTCCAGCGAGAACCTCAAGCGCCTCAAGGCCCAACCAGGCCGCGGACAAGCCTTCTGCAAGCATCAGGGAACATGCGACCAGAATGTGACCAGAGGCCTGATCCGGGCCTTCGTGGTCGTCTATCTGGTCAAGTACAGTCTGGGTCTGTTTCCGGCGCTCCTGACGGGCCGGGTTTTCAAAAAGTATGGCCGCCGCCTCTGGCAATGATCATTCCTGTCCTGCTGCATTGACTGCTGGCCTGCTGCATTGACTGCCGGCCTCCCGTCGCTGGCGGCGATTCGCTCTCCATGAGCACGATCGCACATGCCTCCTGCCTCTTTCGTGCCAATGATCCCACTGCCACCACTTGCCCATGACTACTACCTCATGGCGCACGACTGACGTTTGCTGCTTCACGACCGGGGCCCTGGCCATGCCCCAGACCCTCGACTCTGCTCAAGATCGGAGGCAAGGACACCCTCAGCTTCGCCGCCTTCGTCTCCATGTACATCTCATCCTACAAGGGCTTGCTATGTCTGATGCGACGGGTGCGCAAGCGATCCGACCCTGCCAACTCATTCGTCGCAGGCACCTTCGCCGGCCTCTCGCTGCTGCTGGACTCGAATCGTTCTCGCCGCCTGATGATCTCGCTCTATCTGTCGACGCGCACGCTGCATTTCGTTTGCCGCTGGATATGGATCCGTCACTTCCACAAAAACTTTGTCGAAAGGTATCTGGAGCCCGAGGAGAGCGAGACCCTGGACACGGCGCGCATTCCCGAGCCTCCCACCGGCCAGTCGGTAGTGTGGACGACGCCGGACGAGGGCACCGCCAGCGAACGTAACAGCGCTGTCAGCATGCCCGACAGCGATGCTATGAGCCCTGGCACTCGCAACCTCTCGCAACTGCACAACGGCATCATGGACTCGGATGGCAATCTCCTCGAAGAAGTTCCCAAGCGTGTTCTCAATGGACGCTTCAGAATGTTCCTGAAGCAGTCGGCGGCCACGATCGTTATGGCTCTTTCGAGCAGCCAGGCAAGTGCCCAGCAATCCATGTTGCTGCATCTGTTGCGCCCTGCATTCTCAGCAGTGCTGCCCTGCTAGCGTGTGGCTCTATCTTCATGCTCGACGACTCGGCATCGGCCCTGACTCGGCATCGGCCCTGACTCGCGTTCCAATCCAGATTCTCTATGCCTTTGTGTGTGAACCCGATAGTCTTGCGGTATGTCGACCATGTCTCTGCGATGTCCGTGGCATCAGTGACTCCTGGGCGCTGTGCCGGAGAGCTGTCCGCCCATCCAGGCTCATCTTGCTGCTCCTCTTCCCACGCCACTTGCTCTGAAATTGCAGCGATCCTACTTGTCGTTCCTTCTGGTCCACGGCGGCATTCGCAGCCTCCAGCCCACGAAGGCTCGTCAGTACTTGGAAGCCTTTGGAGCCGTCATCTCCTCTGGCCAGATTGTCGACACCACAAAATTCCTCTCTGCGCCCGAGAACTCTCTGCTCCTCACGCGCAAGGAGTGCGAGCTCATCATTCCCGAGGGTGTCCCGACCGATCCGCTTGTCGAGTTCATTCCGCACATCATGCAACTGCCGCACGAGTACATCATGTGTGGACTGCAGCACCCAACGACGCTCAAGTGCAGCCTGAATGCCGTCCAAGCCTTCCACAACGAGTGGTGGCGAGCCATGAGCCTCTACACACCTCTGAATGCGGTACGAAGCCAGTGGGCTCTTTCCAGGGCGATTTGTTTGGCTCGGGATTTGTTGCGTGCGGGATGTAGACTGCAAATCGGTTTCGTGCAGCCACACACTTACAGACCCGTATTTGTCTTGAGTAGATCATGGTTGTCATCTTCCGCGGAAGCGCCCTCTTCAAGGATCCGTTGCAGACGCTCAGCCGGTTGGCTGTATCGATCCTCCGGTCATCGCTGTTCCTTACTTGCTATGTGACAACAGCATGGACACTGCCGTGCTACCTTCGCCGATTCTCCGGAACCGACCGCCAGTGGCACTACTACATCAATGGGATCTTGGCCGGCATGATGGTCCTGATCGAAGTCCCTGGTCGCCGCCTGGAACTAGCGCTGTACTGCATGCCCCGTGCTCTCGAGAGCTTCTGGAACTGCGGTGTCAAGTGGAAGTGGTGGAAGAATATTCCGTAAGTATCAAGCGGAAGGTTTCCGATCGCAGGCCGAGGACGAGGCCGATGGGCTGGCTTGCTCAAAGCTCCTTGATGTTGACTGAGAACCGGCACAACCCCGTCGCTGGCCGCCCGTGGCATCGCAGCGGCGGCGAGGCCATCTACTTTTGCTTTGCCACAGGCGTCTTGATGACTTTCTACCAGAACGATCCCGCCATCATCCACGACGGCTACCGCAAGGTCATGGTTCGCTTCCTCGGCATCAACTGAGAGGACAACCCACGATATGCGAAGCTGTCCAGTCGCCAGAATGGGATGACAAACATAGACCGGCTGTTGTAGGAGCGTGTCGCCCGGTGCTACCTCGGCTATATTCATGCCACATGGCTCGAGCGCCGTGAAGGTGCTGATACAGTCAATCCAGAAAGAAACAGGACAGCCACTTTCTGGCAATCGGCGACTCAAGTCTGCTAAACTTCCATAGGCCCCGGTGAGCAAGCCATGCGATTGTTTCCAGTTCTAGTCTTGAATACACTCGGCCGATCTCCTGTGTCGATGTGGGAGTGTGTGGTGCATTCACTTGATGTGTGAGTGTGGTGGATGCATTCGGTTCTCTGGACAGTTCCATGGTGTATCGATATCAAGATACTCGACTTTCTCGAGTCGCTTGGCTTTCCGGCGCTGTGAGCATACCTGGGATGGATCCACTTGGTCGCCGTGGCTGGGTGGTGTCTTTCGCTTGCAGGGAGCCATCCGAGCGAGAAAGCGTCCTTGATTCAGATCCAGGATTCCACCACTGAACGGTCATGGCCAGTGTGCGATGTTTTGAGGCAACAGCATATTTGTTCAACGACCAAAACCTGTTTTTATTGGATTGGCTGATAAACATACATCACAGCCTGCGCGACTCCGAGGGGCGGATGAAAGCAGATGCACCCAGCCGGCCATCGCTGCCACCCACAGCCACATCAGTCGTTCCATTCCAATACTTCGAGGCTGCTATCGGCGGCCGTGGTCGCGCTCTCGATCTCGGCCATAGTCCCGCGAGCGAGCCGGGCTACCTCGTCGCCAGTATGAGTCTCTGGAATCTGAGGGGCTTCGAGAGTATCTGCGTCGAGGGGACCTTGATCGAGACCGATGGCTTCTGGATCGGGGGGACCGAGAGCGAGGGCGTTCGCTTCGCCGAGGCGATCGCGGAGGACTGCGGGATCTGCGGCCTGACGGTGATCGGGTGGATCTATGTCCAGGCCGCTCTGACTCACGGACCGGTGACCGCGAAGACGAGCGACCCCGGCGCTCTGGCCGATGAGTTTGCGGAGAGTCGCCTGGAGGCTCAACCAGTGATCTCGATCCAGACGGAGCCGCCTGGATATCCGGTAATGAGGGACGGGAAGCGGACGAGATCGAGGGGTGCGAACCGTCGGCCGGGCCGTGCGCAGAGTGGTGTCGGTCGCCCCTGTCCTGATTCTTCTTGTCCTTCTTTTCTTTCTTGTCTTTCTTTTCTTTCTTGTCTTTCTTGGCCTTCTTGGCCTTCTTTGACTTCTTGGCCTCGGCCAGGAGATAGTCGCGCATAGGATCCTCCAGATCGATACCGTCAGCATCTGAGTCGCTGCTGGATTCTGAGCACCAAGTTCAGTTTCAGGACCGCGAACTTCAAGATCGGCCGTGGGTGTGATGGCAAGCTCGTTGCACTTTAGGAGGCCGAGGCCATGCTATTCGACACTCACCCTCGTCTGTCCGCTTCGGGCGGAGATGCGGCGGCAGGATCTGGAGCTTGCGCTCGCGCTCCAGCTCGGCAATCTCGTCGGGGTCGTCGTCCTCCTTGCGCTTGGGGCCGCGGTATTTCGCAACGTGATCGACACGGATAGTTCGGCCGCCGAGCTGCGAAGGACGGAAACGTTTGTCAGAATGTAAATCCTGTCGGTCAGAAGGCGGACAATGCAATGCTTCGCACACGGGCGGTGGCGAGGAAGGCGATGGACAAGCCGACGCCCGATATCCTACCTGGATGCCATTCAGGTTATCGACGGCCAGAATGGTGCTCCGCTGATCTTCGTATGCCACGAACGCAAAGCCCTTGCTCTTGCCCGTGTCCTTGTCCCGAACCAGGTTCATGTCGACGATTTCGCCGTATCTGCTCGATTCGGTCGCCGGAGAGAGGGCCCGTCAGCTTTGGCTCGATGAATGAGTTGCCGATCGGGCTGGACTTGGACGGCAGCGATGCGAAGGCCTGGACTACTTTTGCCATGTACGCGAGCAGCATTTGGTTCTTGCAATCGACATACTCACTGGGACATGAACTGGATAATGTCGCCTTCGGTAAATGTATACGGCATCCCGCCGACATAGGTCCATGCCGAGTCCTGTGCAATCCGATTGCGCGAGAGCCGGGAAGGCGATCGACGAGGAGTCGTTTGGATGAGCATCAGCCACATTGGCGGCACCTGGTGATACCCCATCGAGGCAGTGTGAAGCGAGATCGGCTGTGTGCACACAACGCACCGAATATTCGGCATGCCAGGACGCCCTGTCGTTGATTTGAAGTCCAAGTTCTGCCGAGTTGATCTTGGCGATGGCTTTGATGTTGCTGAAGAGGCAAGACCAGGGTCGGGATGGGGTCAGTCTCGCCAGTCGCTGGCCGCGACATGCACCGAGCACGCCGGCATCGAGGAAGCTCGATCTGCCCGCTTACTTCATTTCGGTCGGCCGGGAAAGCTGGATGCGCTGTGTCAGGCAGGTGTGGGCGCTTGGATGTGTCTGCGACAGCAAGCTGACGCAGCCAGAGCCAGAATCAGAGCCAGAATCAGAGCCAGAATCAGAGCCAGAGCCAGATCAGCCATACAGCCAGTGCGTGGCTGGCCGCGCTGTCCACGTGTCACACGTGCACCGCAAGCCACACCCGTTTTTTTCTCGTCCCGCCATAAAGCGCCCGCTGGCCGTCCATTCTCCTTTGCTCCTTCCCACATTTCCCAGTGTTCCTTTGAGGTTCAGGAATAACGCTCTAGCCATGTCTCCCGCCGTCGCTGTAAGTAGTGGCCCTGCAGCCGCATGCTGTTGACGTCCCGAGCTGCTCCATGCATCCTCCTTTTGTCGAAAGGCTGTTCCTCCTGGCCGTGCGGATCATGTGGCAGTCTTGAACCAACGCACGATCCGCACGACCAGGCCTCGCTCGTTGCTCTTCCCGACCTCTTGGAATAGATAGCGCTCTCTCTCTCCCTGTGCTGCTCTGCTCTGCTCTGGTCAGGTCAGGTCAGGCCACCACCGCTCGATCGGCTGGCGCACGAGGGGGCCACGAGGCTATGCTATCATGGATGCGTGGCACTTTCCCCGCACCCACAACAGAGGCGTGAACGATGGACCTGCGAGGAGCGAACCCTGGCTGTTTCAGCTGCCGAGTAGCCCGGATCGGTCTTTTGTCCCCAAAAGCACGAGTCCCTAGGTTTGCTCATTGCTCCAACGGCTAATTTCGACCTCCCCCGCCTGTGTGCCGGCCCTGCAACAACCCCCACCTCGTCCTCATAAGCGCAAGGACACCAAGGCCAAGAAGGCCGCCCCCGTCAAGTTCACCATTGACTGCTCCGGCCCCGTCAACGATGGTATCTTCGATGCCGCCGCTTTCGTAAGTATCTCTGGCCCAGCGGCCGTCTGGGAGTGTGCTTGTCGGTATCTGCAGGCAGCTCACGGCCAGACACAGGGCAGGGCAGGGGAACGACGTCGTTGACACTCTGGCCGCTTCGGTTTCACAGGAGAAGTTCCTCCACGACCGCATCAAGGTCGCTGGCCGCACCAACAACCTCGGCGACGCTGTCACCATTGCTCGTGCCACCGGCTCCATCACCGTCACCGTCAGCGCCAACACCCAGTTTGCCAAGCGCTACCTCAAGTACCTCACCAAGAAGTACCTGAAGAAGAACCAGCTCCGTGACTGGCTCCGTGTCATTGCCACCAGCAAGGGTGCCTACGAGCTCCGCTACTTCAACGTCGCTGCCGGCGATGACGAGGAGGAGGAGGAGGCTGATGCCTAAGCGTTTTGTCTCTCATCCTGACCTGAATAAAGCGCTCGCTAAATGAAACGGGATGTCCAACAGAGCCCTGCACGGAATGTGCTGTGTGATCGAGCTTTGCCCAGGTGTGAGTGTGTGGGATGGGTCGGGAAGCAATCGTCAACATCCAAACAGGCGACTTGCCTGCTCATCCGGCCATATCTGCATCAGCAGTGATGAACTGGTGCAAAGCAGACGCCGTGCGCTTGCTTTGGTTGTGTGGCCAAACTCCATGAGAGCGACCGCGCAGGCCCTGGTGCTCTCCCCTGTTGGTGATCTGGCGCCATCTCGGCAGTTCTCTGGCCTCGACCGATCTCCTGTCGCCGATCCCTCTGTCCACACCCATCGCATCCTCCCCCTCATCACCTCCTCAGCGCCTGGGATGTCGCAGCACGACTCGGATGCTCCCAGCATCGGACCCATCTTTGGCTCGCCCTCGGCCAGACGCAAAACTCCTCCGCAGATCGTCTTTGTCGTCAATGTCCGGCCCATGATCACCCAGATCCGCGAGCGCCTTTCGGTGGCCGGGATGAGCGATGACGCTGCACCCGAATCGACCCGTCTCGCAGCTCTCATTGACGAATGCATTCAAGAAACCAAGCTGGCCGTCCTCCGGGTGCTCCTCTACTTTTATCTTCACGTCGACAGCCGATTCGTTTGGAGATATCCTTTTTTTGATTGCAATGCCCCTGCTGCGGGCCTTTCCTCGCCTGCGACGGGACTCATCCCCCATCTCAGCTCGATGCGCTGTCTCTCACTCGTGCAAAGAGACGACATTATCGTCGTATGTGCTGTCTCGGCGAATCGCTGGCGGGGAGGTGATCGGCCCAGTCACCAGCAGGCTCGGCCGGACGGTAGATCCATGCCATTCTCGTATTGTCCTTGACTGCGATGTTTACCTTCCAGCTCTTCGACATTGATGCCATTTCGCTCATCAGTCAGACAGGCCCCACCCGCCAGGAGCTCGACTTTAGCCAGAGTGCCCTCGCCGGATTCTCGTCCGTCCTTGCCGACGAGCTCCTGGACAAAATCACCAAGACCCTCGACTCGGCCTCGCGGCCCAGCTCAGCTCCATTCAAGGTTCCTCTGACAGGGCCATCAAGACCGCCTCCGACCCAGCTCAGATCCATCGGTATTCTGCTGCAGAAGGTCCTCGCCGACTTTCGGTGGACCTGGGCGTCATCCCATCGCTCGCTGCTCTTCTCGCCCAACAAGATCCACAGCGACATGCGGCGATCAGAGCGGCACATCCCCGTCAAGATCCGAAACTTTGTGTTCTTGCTCTCTCCGCTGCCGCACTCGCCAATGGATCTCTCTGAGTTTGTGCTTGGACCAAACCACGAGCATACCGGGCTGCTCAATCTGTCCAGTCTGATGATCGAGACCACCCTGGACGAGCTGGTGGAGCAGTCCCAGGAAACCATCCTCCGATTCACCGAGAAGTACTTGGAGAACCGCATTGCCCTGTCCTGGATCGACTGTGCCCCGCGGGTGGTCTCGGAGGTAAGCAAGCTCATGCCCATGCCCGGCAGTGTGTGATGACATAGTTCTTGGGATGCGAAGTTTTGCAAGACTGGAAGCTTGGCGTGGCGTCGTAATTGAGAGGCCGGTGCCGCATCTTGGACCAACTTGGTCTGTCCCGAGCTGACGCCTTCCCTCTGCTGTCACAGTATACCGAGTACATCTTGGCATCGCTCTCCTCGACCATGCGTTTCTTTGGCGGGTCAGTCATCGGCTGGGAGACAGTCCTCGACCCCTGCCGAACTGCACCCTTTGGCACCGTCTTCAGCCAGTATCGACCCAAGCTCGTGGACGGATCCGCATGCGTCAAAGTCAAACGAGCCAAGCCCAAGGAATCGCTCTGGCTGCGCTGGTCTAACTTTTCCTCTGCCGATTTCCGTTTCCACGTTGGACACGGGCTCTTGATGAACGGTAGGGGAGGCTGCCTTGCAGTTCGTCAAGAAGTCTGTGAGGTTCTCGGTGTATTGGCACTTATATATCCTGCCATGTCTCTCCGTATTGCACGATATTGCAGACAAATGCACGACCCCCAGTACTTACGCGGCGACGCTATTTATGTCCGACAGAGTCGAACGAGCCAGTCTGCAAAATCTCGTTGCACGATCTCTCCAGGTGGGACCTCGCCCAGAATCGCGCAGCCAATCGAGATCAGCATCCAAAACTCATGGACTAACCGGCGAGATGGTTTCTCGCTTTCGCAGGAGCCGCACTGGCCTGGAGGAGCAAAAGTCGCTCTTTTCAATGGCAGTGCACAGCAGCAGCCCCGAATGCTTCCAGCTGCGGATTCTGCAGCGCATTTCGTTGCCCGACTGGCCAGTGAACCACAGTCTCTTTCAGAATGAGGTCCTTGTCGGGTATCCGCCGGCAGGGAACTCGGCCGAGCACTCGGAGTCCAAGAGCAGCGTGAGGCACTACTTTCAAGCCCTCGGCAGGATGATATCAGAGCGATCTGCTCTTGTGGTGTCGCTTCCTCCTCTCTCAGCGCTAGCAGTCTCGAGCTCGCCCGACCGTCGCCAAGGCATCGAGCACACGGACTCGGCGCACCACTACGCCTTGGTGTTCCCCTCGTCCGCCGGCTCGGTCTTTGTGATGAGCTTTTTGGACTCGTTCTCGCATATCATTGCCCAGGGCCACGTCGAGAGACTACTTGCCGGACCTGCGGGTGATGCCCCGCAGCGCTCAAATCTCCTCAGCCAGCTCGGCCTGTGGTATGAGCAACCGACCATCAGGACAAGCGGTCGTGCACGCACTTCTGGATTCGATGCCCTGGCTCTGTTTTGCCAGCGGTTCATTGAGAACCACGACAGCTTGGAAGGCTCATCGTGGGAGCGCGAGATCAACGATATGACGCTGGGTGTCTGGCAGGGACACCAGGCACATTTACTCGAGACCATCACCGAGTGAGTCGCACTCTACTTGCCAGAGTCCGAGTCGATGGCGATGGCGATGGCGATGGCGATGGCGATGGCGATGGCGATGGCGATGGCGATGGCGATGGCGATGGCGATGGGAGAGTGGTGCTAACTTTCTGTATACTCGCTCTTTGCATCAACTGTGGATTGCGCTCGGCGCTTGTGTCCTGATCGTAGACAAGCATCCGTGCCCGCTCGACCGCTGACTGATGCCGCCCTGGAAGTTGCATCGTCCACTGCGGAGGCTCCGGCATCCAGGTCGATCGAATCGCTGTGGTTTGAGCTTAACGAGGCCATGCTCGACTTTGTATATCACAAGGTATGTGACCGTTGTGGTGGTAGTGTATGATGACAATACTGACATCCCCCGCAACCTGTGATGCTGCACCATGTTTCGCTGCGGATGGCGTGTCGCGGTGTGTTTTGTCGATCGTAATCTCGCCGACTGAAGATGTTGCGCTCATTTCCGATTCCAAACTCGGCTTTGACCCCAGTCCGATTTGACTCGGTTCGTGTTTGGACCATTGGAGGCGTTCCTTTCAGAACTCAAACACGCAGAGTCGGAAGAGGAGGTATGTGGTATGGCTTTCGTGTTGATGCAACACTGCAACACAGAAAACAAGCTCTGGCTCGGCTGCTCTTGCTGGTGATATCTGGCAACCCATCGCCCTTGTGGACACCGTTGTTACTGAGTCTCTGGGCACGGCAGCATAAACAGTACTTTGATCCTGCATTAGCCACAGCTGCAACATCTGTTGCACGTCGCTGAATAGTATCTGATCCGCCGTTCGCAGACGCATCGATACTTGGCCAAGATCATGAGCAGCACACTTATGTCATCGCCCCAGATCGATCAAAAGTTCAGAGTGCTCGCTGCCAACGTGTTGTCGGCGGAGAATGCACCACAGTCGTCTGAAGCCGATAGCCAGGATACATCCGATGTCGCAACGGTATCGCCTCTGCAGCAATGGCAATTCAACGACGGGTCAGACAGCGAAAGAAAAGCACACTTGAGTGCCGTGACCTCGCTCCGCACGCAGCTGGAGCAAGGAGAGCGAGCACCAAGGGCATCTGCGGATGTTTTGCAGCGGGCCATCAAGTCGCGAATGTACGTAAACATGCACTCATCAATCGGCATGTGTACCACCACCGTCGTCGAGTTATGGCTATATCTAGTACTGGTTATCATTTTGGGATGGGCGTATCCAGTTTTGTTGTGTGCGAGTCCCAGGACGTGAAGCGACCATACTGGCGACTAGTGCTAACTCTCTCGAGGTTCGCGGTCATGTTCCCGTCGGTTGATTCCAGATACCAAGTATACCTGATTCTACTGATGGAGTGCCTGATTCGCCAACAGAGCTCGACTCCTTTCGATGCCTCCATCGCAGCCCTCCTCTCCGAGCCGCCAAAGCCCAAGAAGAAGAAGAAGAACAAGGGCTCGAAGCACGGCACAGGTTCCGGCGCTCTAGATATCCAGCCTTCTTCAGAAGCGCTCAGGCTCTTGCTTGTGACCCAGTGGATGAACAGCCTGAATATCTTGCTCTGTGCCACCGGCGAAAGTTCCGAAATGGATGTGTTTACCCGGCTGATGTACCGGCGGTACTATGGGGTGCTTCCCACATACATCCTGGCCATCCTGGAGATATCGGGTCACGACCATTTGATCCGCGACGGCGCCATGGACGAAGACTTTGACTTTGGTAGCCTCGACTCTGCCGTTACAGTCGGCAGCAGCAGCAGCAGCAGCCCCACAGGAGCAAGTCCCACAGGCTCTCAAGGATCGGTATCGGATCGCTCCCTTTCGCAGCTGGCAAAGCGCAAGCGAGGCGAGTCTCCTGCACTCGCCGCCGATGCGTCCGCAGCCTCGGTATTTGCGCCGGGTCCGACCGTGGCTGTAATTCAACTGCAGCCCGGCCAACGACGACCAGCGCCCATTCGGCGTTGCGCCGATATCCGTCGGAGAACAAGCGGACTGTTTGTTGGTGCTCGGTCGGCCGACTCAAGCGATAGCCTCGCCTCGGACGACCTGGGCGCACCGGCGCCTCGACCGGAGAGCGATAAGATCAAGAAGTTCTTGAGCGGCTCGACTGAAGCAGCAGTGCGGCTCGCGGCCAGTGACCATCTAGCTCGAGGTAAGAAGGATGTGAGTCGCCGCAGCCGCAGCCGCAGCCGCTGTGCAAGAGCAATGAGCCTGTCGCTTGGCCGACTCTGACCGACCTGTTACTTGCACGCTTCAAGTCCTTGCTGAAGAGAAAGCCATATCGAAGCAGTCGATGACTAAACCCACCACCTTGCCGCAATTCCGGGCTCTGAAAATGGTTAGTTGGTGCTTGCTGGGCAGCAGCAGCGGTGTGGTGTGTGGGAACTGCCTCGCTAACCCGTCGCGTCCCGCCCTCGATCACACAGGTCGTTGCAAAATCCAAGCAGCCCAAAGACCCCAAGCACACCCTTGGTCCCTCAACGACTCCTCAGTATGCTCGGTCTTCGTCGGCCAATGCTGCGTCGGTCCCCAGAATGCCGAGTGCTCTGCGCGCCTCGCGATCGGCATCTCCAGCTGTGCCTGTTATGACCGCCTTACGCAGATTGCCGCGGCCAGAGATCGGCCGTCCTGCCCCCTCTGCCGCAGTTGTCTCGCCGCCTCGCTCGGCGAATGCAAGGCGGCCGATCTTCATACCGCAGACCCCCGAGAAGCGCAGGACATCGTGACGACCGCAATACAGAGAGACAGCCGGCGGGACGATGATGCCCCTGATTTGACAGCCCCGCCACTTGGAAAGGAAGGCCGTCTGCTGCGCACCGGACCTGGCTTCTCGGCGAGAGCGTTTGTGGCTGTCGCGGCTCTCGCCGAGAGAGGGCGTGCCGTTGCGCCATTCCCGAAACGCAGTTTGTCTTGGGGACCTCCCAGGTCGCAGAAAAAAAAGGCCGCCCAGCCCCATCGTCCCCTCTGGCCATCCAGCATTCCGGCCGTCTGCCGACCCCGTCGCCGAACCTGCAGCACATCCGCCCGGCCATCGACTGCCCGCAACCACCCAGCGACGCTCGGCCAGTGCCTGTCGCTTCGTGCCTCTCCATCAGCTGCTTCGACTCCGATCCAAGGCCGGGCTGCCAACGAGCCGCTGCTCCCAGCCCCGTTTCGTTCCGACAAGCGCACTCGTTATCCTCGTCGCTTCGTATAGACCACTGTCTCTCAATATCAACATGGCTTCCGACAGAGGTATATATTGCCCTTGCCGAGCTGGCGCAGCACTCAGCTTCGGTGCTCCAAGAAGCTAACGCCCCTTCCGTTGATTCAGTGATTCAAATCTCGATCGACTGCGATCAAGTCAGCGATGGCCCCCAGGAGCTGAACCTCCATGTCGCTGCGGTGTTCATCATCATGGGCGTCTCGTTTCTGGGCACCATTATTCCTATCTTTGGCCAGCGATTTTCATTCCTCCGGGTTGGTACACTTGTCCGGCGCTCAGCAGCCAGGCTCGGCTTGCGTCGTCTGTCGACCGGCTCTCTCGCTCGGCAGAGCCCGTGTGGCCTGCGGATGTGTCATTCGGCAACCGACGAGCAGCGTCCGGTTTTCGTGACGGCAAGGCGGTCCACTAACCATCCATACGTTTCTCCACTCGCAGTCCGAGTCGCTTCTCTTCCAGTGCATCAAGCTCTTTGGCTCTGGAGTCATCTTGGCAACGGCCTTTGTCCATATGATTGCCCCCGCCGTTCAAACTCTGACCAACCCATGCCTGCCAGATATCTTTGCGAACGTCTATCCGTCTTTTGCGGGAGCCTTTGCCCTCCTGGGTCTGCTCTCGACACACTTTCTGCAGTTCATGTCGGCTCGAGAAATGCACAAGCGCCTTCCCAAGAGCGGCAGGTCGTTCGGACACAATCACCACGACCATCACGACCATCACGATCACCACGACCATCACGATCATCACGACCACCACGACCATCACGACCATCACAGCCACCGCAATAATGCCACTCGCCAATGCGAGCCACACAGCGATCTTACCAGCAGCGCCGCAAACACAGTCCCGGTGGCCGTCCAGATCGACGCCCCCGTCTTGGCCGAGTACGGATCCGAGCCGGACCTGCAGGACGGCCACCCGGCAGCCCTCGAGGGCTCGCGCGACCAATTGACGATTCAGAACTGCGAGGCTCATATGGAGGACGAGCACATCCACGGACTGATGCTGATGAAGGAGAAGCGCATCGCAACCTACATTCTGGAAATGGGCGTGGCCTCCCACTCGATCATCATCGGTACGCATTTGCTCCGCACATCAAGCAGTGCCGGCGCCTGGCTGAAGTGGAGCATGCCGCTCCGACAGCCGTGATTTACTGATCCTTTTACGCTCTGCAGGTGTCGCTATCGGTGTCTCTCGTGGCACCGAGTTTCGCTCGCTCTTGACTGCGCTGACCTTCCATCAGTTCTTCGAGGGAATGGCGCTGTCCACTGTGGTGATCGATTCCAAGTTCAAGGGCCGCCTCCAGACCTACCTGTTGGTTGGCTTCTGTAAGTGCACAGTCATCGATAGGGGCTCTCGTCTTTCGACTGTCGGTGGCTTCCTTGGGCAGCTTCAGGTGGCATGACACTCTTGCACTAACACATCTGTGGTTCTGCTGTATCCGCAGATGCCCTGACAACGCCGTTGGGTGCTGCTATCGGCATCGGCATCAGTGCATATTTCAACGGCAATGGCGTTGGTTTCTTGATTGCAACAGGCGTCCTCGATGCGATTTCCGGTGGAATTTTGATCTACGACGCCCTCGTCAACATCGTCGCCATCCATTTTTCCTCGGAGCAGTTCCGGGGATCCAAAACTGGCCACCAGTTCATCCAGGTCCTTTGCCTGTGGCTGGGCGCTGCCCTGATGAGCTTGATCGGGCTGTGGGCCTGAGTAGGCTCGGGCTGCCGCTGTCTCGGGCTCTTCACCCCCACCTTCAAATACTGTTCTTAACTTGGAGGCTTCGATTGGCCTTTTGCAAGAAACTGCCCCTGGTGGAGCTTCATACTCTCTCCGCTCACGCCTGCTGTCGATCCGCCAAGTATCCTCACATGACAACAGGGCCTTGCTCGCTGCCTCTAAACCAAGCAGGGCTCCCACGCATCCATCTATCCAGTCAGTCTATCTAGAATGAAAGCTAGCATTGAATCCATGCTCGGGAACGCTGTATGGCTCCTGAATACACACTCTCACATAGACCTTGAACAAACCACACCAGACAGACCACCCAGCACTTGTGACGATTGGTTGCTTTCATTGTCTGGATTCGGAACACACGCAGGATAGAGTACAACGGAGGAGGAAGAGGAGAAATAGCTATGGTCGTGCCCTGGGCCCATCGGGTTGCCCAGCTGTTTCTACAACTCGACAACGAGACAGCGTCCACTGCGAGTCGCAAAGATCACCAAGCCGAGCGACGACGCAGACGAGACACGGAACTCGCTTGGAACCCAAAACAGCGGCTTATCGTCGCGGATGTACCAGCCCAGCTTGTCCACAAGGCACTTGGGCAGCAGCGGCGCCTCGTACTCCACAAATGCCCTCTCGGCTTGGCTCTTGATCGATCCCAGAATCGGCAGCGACAGCAGCCGACTCATCCAGGGGGACCCGGCCGCGGGCTTCTTCGGAGCCAGGGCCTCAGCCACATCCCAGTACTTGGTTACGGCATCGTAGTCGCGCGACCGGAGATACTGACCCGACTTTGAAAAGGCCAGCGCCGCAATCGGTCGTCCGTGTCCCTCCAGCGTGGCGACGCACTGGCCCGTTTTGAGCGACCAAAGCTTGATGGTCTTGTCTCGGGAGCCCGTGGCAATGAGCTGGGCGTCGGGCGCGAACGCCATTGCCGACACAAAGCTCTTGTGGCTGCTGTCGGTATCCTCGGCGTCGACCTGCATGCTCCAGAGCTTGGCCTTGGAGTCCCACGAGCCCGAGAGCAACAGCGACCCGTCCTGGGAGTACGCCAGGCACTTGACAGGGCTGCCGTGTCCAGTCAGAGTGTGCGAGTACTCATAACTGCCCGCGGACCACATGTGAATCGACCCGTCTTCGCAGCCGATCGCCAGCCGTGCAGCGTCAGACGAGAAGGTGGCGTAGGTTCCTCCGCCGGCATGGCCCTCGAGAACCTTGACGCATTCTCCGGTCTCCACAGACCAAACTCGGGCAACAGGGTCCATCGACCCAACAGAGGCAATGTGCTTCCCATCGGGCGACACATCGACTGAGATCACAGTCTCGGTCTGGCTCTTGATGACGCGGATGCATTCGCCGGTCTCCGCAGACCAGAGTCGGATGGTGCTATCCCATGAGCCAGACACAACCGTTGTCCCGTCGGCAGCAATCACGAGCGACGAAACCATGCTTTCGTGGCCGGTGAGTGTCCGAATGCATTCGTAGGTGCTTGCAGACCAGACCTTGATGGTGCCGTCCTTGGATCCACTGACAAGCAGATCCTTCTTCTCGCTGAGGGCGAGCGACCTCACCGGCCCGGTGTGGCCTGCCAGAGATCGGATAGCCTTCCCCGTTCGAACCGACCAGATCATGATCGTCATGTCCTCGGCGCACGAATAAAGCGTCTCAGTGTCTGAGGAAAACGCGACGCAGTAGATAAAGCCCGAGTGGCCCTCCAGAGTCTTGACGCACTCGCCGGTCTCGGTGAGCCAGAGCCGGATGCTCAAGTCCCACGAGGCAGTGGCGATGAGCCGATTGTCAGTCGATATGGCGACTCCATAGATCTGACGGGTGTGGCCTTCAAATGTCGTCAGTAGCGAGCCCCACGATCGGTCCGCACCCAGAAGAACCCTTGGTCTTCGCTCGGGTTGATAGTAGGTTTGGTAGATCGGCGACAAAGTCGGGCTGAACGACAAGGCGCTGTAGTAGATCTGCAGCGGGTTCTTGGTGATGGGGATGCGGAATCGCTCCACCAGACGCTTGGCGTCCTGGAGCAACTCCGTTTCTACCACAGGCTTCTCGGTGAGAGAGTTCAGATAGTCGAGCACGAGGGCAATGTTGCGGGAGATATCGGGGTATCTGCCGAGGAGGATCATTGCCTCGAGCCAATGCAGCAAGTGTCTGTTGCAGAACGCCTTGAAGCTCTGGCCTGGATCGCGGCGTGGCGAGCCTGCCAGGTGCAAGCCCCAGAAGCGGACAGCATACGAGAGATGTGCCGACATTTTGGTGGCAGAGTACCGGCCGAAGGTGATGAGGGGATCTTCGAGCTCAAAGAGATTCTCCTTGAGCTCTAACGACAGAATGTCGACACTTCGATTGAACAGCATGTGCTCGAAGGACTGGGTGTCGATATAGAAGCGCGGATCGAGGCATCGCTCTCTGGAGGTCAGATAGTCCTTCAGGCTCTTGTGGAGGACCGTGATGAGTCCGCTCTCGATGTTCAGGACCGGTCGGAGGCGCAGGATGGTGCTTGCAATGCTTGACTCTGGTACTCCAATCAAACTCGAGAGCGCAGCCTGGCTCAGTGGCTCGCGCAGCGCCAGAATCGTGCCCATGACGAGCTGGAAATGCTCGACCGTGCCCAAGCCGGCGCCTTCGAAGGCCGTGCGCATGATACGGTCGTACATTTCGTCTCTGCCGGGTGCCAGGAGGTCGACCATACCCTCGAGCTCTTCGAGCGTATGCGGCTGTCTGAGCGAAAGCTCTTCGCAGGCGATTCGCGAGTAGACGAATACACCCTCTGATCGCTCGACCAGCTTGGCCGTGCAGCGCTGCAGCTCAGAGACGCTGACTTCCGACAGCTCTGATTCGAAGACCGGGCTGAGCGTGGGGATGCGCCTGAGCCGATCCTGCACAAACAATTCAATGTCGTCGATATTGCGCGAGTCTGTCGGCTTGAGTACGCCCGAGTCAAGGCTGTGCAGGGTTTCCCAGATGTCGGCTTCGGGCCGGGCGGTAGTGAATATCTTGATGCTCGGAGGCAGTTGGGCACAGTCGGTCTTGAGGACGCTGAGCAATCCCTCACGGTCGGCGTCGCCTTGGCGCCCGCACTCGTCAAGGGCGTCGATGACCAGCAGGATGGTGGTGTTTTGCCACGTCAGCTTCTTGAGGCCGTCCACAATGAGAGTACGGAATGCGTTCGCCGGCTGCTCAAGCAAGCTGTGCTGTCCGAGTTCTATACCGGCTTTATCTGTCTGGTAGCAGGCTTCGATGTGCTCGCGGAACTCGGGGAACTTTCCGGACAGGTCGTAAGCGATGGTTGAGACGAGCCTCGAGGCGTTGTTCTTGCTCTGGTCGTTGTGTCGGCAAAAGAAGATCGAGCCCAAGACGCAGTTCTGGGGCAGCTCCTGGCTGGCGAGCCATGCAATCATGGATTTGCCGACACCCGCACCGCCGTTGAGCCATAGCACCCGGGTCGAGTCTTGATCCGTCTCCTTCAGCCAGTTGTGGATGTGGTCTCGGGCCCAGAGGCGCGTGCCCGAGACGTATTCTCGCTGGTAGGAAGCCATGTCGGCGCTAAAGTCGACAGGCTGCAGCCACGACTGAATCGCGTCGGCTACAGTATACGGCGGAGGCGGGTCTGCGTCATCATCGCTACCTTCGTCCTCGTCGGCGGTGCCATGCTGAATCTCGGTGACCAGGGCCTCGATCTTCTCGTTCCAGTCAGTCGATCCAGGCACGATGCTCGAAAAGTCTACGTAGATTTTGCCAGCGGTGATGGCAAAGGCTTGGCCACGAGGCTGGTCCTGCTTGCCCAGCAGACGGACAGGGACGAGATGCTTTCGCAGATCCTGTGCATAGTTGAGCTCGATTTTGCAGTTTGCGGATGCCTACAGTGATGTTTTGCACGACCGTGAGTGGACATGCCAAACCTCGGCCACAGGCGACGCTGTCTCAAGAGCCTACGTTTGCCACTCGGACCTACGACAGAATCACAGATCCCATTTGACACCTACCTGGTACTTGAGAGTGAGCACTGGCACAACAACCCTGCTGTTGAGGATGGCATTGGCCATCTTTTCGTAGATATCGCCCGACATCTGATCCAGATCCATCCAGACTTTGATGCCGCGGCTCATCAGGCCAAGGAAGATTTGACGAACAACCTCCTGCGAGTCCCACCTGGGAAGAAGCGCGGCGAGGCCAAGCACAAGCAGGGAGCACAGGCCGGCGTCAATACTCGTGCGGATACACCGACCAGCAGATAGGGAGGCGGGTTGGATGGTGGGCGGATACTGGAAGCACGCGGGACAGACAGAAGCAATACCCACTGGTAGGAGAGCATGACGTCAAAGCTCTCGTCCGGCTTGAACTTCGCAGAGGCCTTAGAGGCTGTCCGCCCGAGCGCCGGCGAGAGCACGGCTGATTTGATGGACGGGCCTTCAGGCACAGACCCAAGCACGGGGACGGGAGCGGCTTCAGAGGCTTTGGGAGGCGAGGGCTTCGAGGCGAGCTGGACGAGTGCTTTTTTGCCCCTTGTATTGGCTTCAGCCATGAGCTCTTGGAATGCCACATCGCTGGCCAAGATAACTAGGCCGATATCGGGCTCGTCGTATTTTGCAACGATACGCTCGGGGTTGGGCACATCCAGATGCTCGGATATCTGGCGGAAAGGGGAGAGTTGGAGGGAGGGGAGGGTGAGTTGGGGGGGGGAGCTCAGTGGCCAGATATCACTTTCGGCGGCAAGGCCATGGAGCGAATGGAAGTAGCACCATTGTGCAGCCGATAGGACATTGTTCTCCTTCCGCCCTCCCTGCTGGTCGGTGTCTCGGCCCAGGTTCGCCCCAGGTTCGCCCCAGGCAAGACAGCCTCTTCGAGTCGAAGGCCTTACCTGCTGCTTGAGACTGGTCAGAGGGTGCTCGAAGTCAATGTCGAAGATGTACTTGAGCCCCTCGTATTCGGCGATAACAGGCCGCCTGGATACGCTCGGGGCAGCCATGGCGGGTCGAGGGGTGCAGCGGCGGGCAGATGGACAGGGGGATGAACCGACGGGGTCGATGGATGGACGCAGCGCAAAAGACCCCGAAGCAGCTCCACGCGGCGCGGTTTTTGGGCACCAAGTGACGTGGCTTGCCTCCCACGGGATTGCCCATGGATTGCCCATGGATTGCTCATGGATTGCTGTGTATCGCCGGTGCTCATTCACCCACCCACCCACAGTGATGCCGACGGGGGACATGGAACGGGATGCGGAGTGAGAGGCCCGTCAAGGTGACCTGGCTTCAGAGGCCTGCCGCCTACTTCCATATGCTCCAGTGAGCAGGCCATGGGATTGTTTCCCGTCCTGGTTGGCAATCTCTCGGTGTAGTGCATACACTCCACTCTCTGGACAGTCCCATACTAACTCGATATCAAGATGCTCGACCTTCTCGAGTCGCTTGGCTTCCCGACAATGTGAGCACACCTGGGATGTGTTGAACTCGTTCACCGAGCACACATGGATCTTGGAGACGGATCGGTCTGGTGGGCGTCTCTTGTGGTGGGTGAACTGCTCGAAATACTTGGCAAACCTGAGCCTCCTGGGACTGGATGCATATCCCTTCCCCTGTTTCCACGAGGCATTCCCAAAGGCAGCCACCACTTCGGTCTCCTTGGACATACTTGCTTGGCCATGAATGCGATGAGTGGAAGTGTATTCAGGTTCCAGATAAAAACACTGTCCTGGTTAAAAACGGGAGTGTCCCATTTCGTTTTGGAAACGCTGTATGCGGGCCGAACTCAGTCCTGCTTGGTGAGGTCGATGCGGCTGCCATCGAGATCGTCATGTTCGACGTATTCGTGCTTGGCCAGGATGCGGATGAGCTCCTTCAGGTTCATCCACCAGGCAACCTTGCCCCGGCGGGCTTTGAGGTCAGTCTCGGCCAACAGCTCCTCGACCGGGGTGAAGACAACATCGGCGCCGCGGACACCGATCACACAGGCATCTGCACCATCGGGACAGTAGGTCGCAGGGAAAGCTGCAAGCGGGCTGCTGCGTGACGAGCTCTCCTGGTCTCGGGAGCGGCCGTGCGCGGCTCGCTTCTGGATCCAGTCGATACAATCGACAGCCAGGCGGGTGGCGCGGATGCGATCCAGGGGCGAGGGCACGTTGCCCTGCTGCAGATGGCCGAGGATGGCCGTCCTCGAGTCGAAGAGGCCGCGACCCTCGGCGCGCAGGATGTTGGAGACCACCTCGGTCGTGTACGTCTCTGCGGAGGCTTCTTCAGCGCGCAGGATGAGACGACCCTCGGCGCGCTTGTGCTTCTTGGTGCGCTTCTCGACAGTGTAGCGGTTGGTGAGATGATGCACATCGTGCTGGAGCATGTCGAGCGAGATGCCCTCCTCGGGAATGTACACATTTGTCGCGCCCGCAACGAGGCCGCCCATAACAGCAAGGTATCTGCCCAGGGAAGGCGCACCGACGATGGCAACCCATAGTCAGTACGACTGGAAACACTATCTTGCATCGATGGGGGGATGTATGCCCTGAAGTCATCCTGGGCATACATCTCCCACGATGCAATGCAGATCAATGCAGGCGCCTCTGATGCTGAACTCTCGTCTGGATTGCCATCAACAAGCCTTACCCGCAGTTGCCTCCCTGGACTTCAACCAAGAAGACTCTTCCCTTGTTGGCGTTGGCGCTAAGCTTGAGACGATCACACGAATCGACGATGGCATTCAGCGCCGTGTCAGAGCCCACGGAGTAGTCCGTGCCTGGAACGTTGTTGCTCACAGTTGCAGGAAGATGGACCATCGGAATGCAGAAGGCCGGGTAGTTCTTTCGCGAAATGGCCATGGTCAGAATCGAGGTGTACGCCTCGAAGCCACCGACAATCAGAAGGGCATCGATGCTGTGCTTCTGCAGGTGGTATGCAATCAAGCCAAGATCGACAAACTTGTCGCCCACAACATGGAGCTTGGGTCCGTCGGTCGGGGGCTGAGGATGCGCGCGGCTTGTGCCGAGCTCCGAGCCGCCGCGAACTTGCCAGCCGTGAAGATCACGGTATTCCAAGGGCACGATGTCGTCGCGGATCAGACCGGCAAATCCGTTGCGGATACCGATGCAACTGTGGCCGCGATTCAGACACAGACGGGCAGCGATGCGGGTGGCGGCGTTCATGCCACCGGCCGGGGCACCGACATGCATGATTCCAATGCGAAGGCGCTGGTGAAGGGGTCAAAGTTCAGTATTGGGGATTCGGGAGTCAGGACCCAGCATTGCGGATACAGCTAGTACTGCTGCTCCGGCCCTGGCCCTGGCTCGACGAGGCAACAAAGCAGCAGTCCGCGCTAGATATCTACCTCGCCCTCGGGAAGGAGGTTGGCGCCAGGCTCGAGCGCATGGACGGTGCTTTCGACATAGGCGTTATAGGCAGCATTGAAGTCGGGGTCGCGCAGGTCCATGGCCTTCTTGAAGTCCTTGCTCGCAATGGCATCGGCGACTGATTTGGTCTGGAGCACAGCCGCAAGGTGGTCAGAGGCAGTCGCGATATGTTTATTCGAATCCGCATCAAAGAGCCCGCGCGAGGTGCTGCGGGCATGGCGTGCGTTTAGGCTTACCAGCTTGACCGCCTCCAAGAGAGGGCCCGCTGTGATCTTGTTCTGGTTCATGCCGATCATGGGAGAGGGAGTCTCGGGGGTGGAGCGCAGCACTGCATTGACAGCCTCGACACCTTGCACCGTGGCCTGGTTATGGGGTTGAACGGCGCCAGCGCGGCGATGATGTTAGGAACCTTTGACAAAGCCGGCAAGCGCACAAGTCGTTGTCGAAATCAAGCAGCATTCCATACCAGGAATCGATCGTAGGCACAGGGGGTTCCGCCTCTCTGCACATGGCCAAGGGTAGTGATGCGGCTGTCGAGAGAAAGACCCTTCTCGAGGGCGGTCTTGACGTCCTCGGGACGGATGGGTGCCAGATTGTTGTCGATGGCGCCCTCGCAGACGATGATGATGGTCTTTCTGTTGCCCATAGCGCGTTGCTGATGGAGATTGAGTTGGGTTAAGTGCCAAAGGTCGAGAGAGACATTCCAAGACGCTCCAACGATAACGACCTACCTTGCCGATGTAGTCGCAGAGCTCCGTCTGCCAGTCACTACCATACTTGGCCGAGTTGAGCGGGGGAGGGCGCTCCGGAAGGAAGACCCAGTCGGCTCCAACCTGCAAGCCAAAGAGACGCAAATGCTCGTCAGCACTTTATCACACTGGCTGATGCTGTCGGGCTTGGATCTCGCAGTCAGAGAGGAGAGCTCGGCGAAGGCGCACGCTGAGGTATGGCAAGAAGACAGCATATTACTTACAGAGATGGCGGCCATCAGACCAAGCCTAGTATAGAAAGCACAGATTCAACGTAATCAGTATGTACTAATGTGCAGCCGGCCGAATGCAGGTCCCGCCTCGCCCCTCCGTCGGTACTGCAAAGCGATGGACCTTACCAGCCACAGTGACGGCCCATGACCTCGATAATGAAGGCTCGCTGATGCGACAGCGCCGTGGAAGTAAGCGAGTCCAGCGACTCGCAGATGCGATGCAGCGAGGTGACTGCGCCGATTGTGATATCTGCCAAGGCAAGGCGAGCGGCATTCAGAATGGTTGTGCTGAGATACCGGGAGCCAGCGCAGCTTTGCTATCATAGACAGGGCTGCGTACCGGTGGAGGACATGTCATTGTCGATGCTGCCCACGAGACCGACGATTGTGAGGTTTTCTCTCAGTCCGGCGCTTTCCTCGGTCGTAAGGCGGCCTGTCCATGGATACAAAGAGGTCATACTGTAAGCTTATTGTTCTTGAGCAGACCGGGAGTCAATCGCCTGGACAAACAGGTCGCTGCTGCCTCTCTGTCACCCGTGCCGACTTTTGTGTGCCCATCGTCAGATCGCATATCTCCACAAAATATGCGCAAGCACACACCTGTTTGAACAAGCTCGTCGATGAGCCCCTTCCATTCGCCTCGGAGCTTGTCTGCACCCGTCAAGGAGCCGTCGCCTCCGATGACAACAAGGGCATCGATGCCGTTCTTGACCAGGTTGAAGGCGGCCGTCAGACGACCAGCGCGCTCACGGAAGGCCATGCAGCGCGCTGTGCCAATTGAGGTTCCGCCCTGCCGAAAGAACGGGCCAAAGCCAAGGATCGTGAGTTCCAGCGGTGCGCAGGCTCAGACAGGAGGCGTGTGCTGTCGATAGCGCGCGGTCTGCGATAAGGCCACGAGGGCGCCAGCAATCCACTCACCACCGAGAGCATGCCCTGGACATCCTCCCAGCCAAGCTGCTTGATATATTCTCCGCCATCCACCAAGCCTGTCCGGCGAGAGACGAGTGAGCAAAAGGCGACTATAGCAAAGCTGGGTTTTGCAGGCAGGCGCTCGCACAGCGGCGACCCCCGGCTCACCTTGGTAGCCCTCGAAGATTGCAAAGGGTGTACAGCCCTTTTGCAGAGCCATGCGAGTGATGCTTCTGACAGCGGCATTCATGCCACTCGAGTCACCACCGCTGGTGAGAATGCCGATGTTCTTTTTGCGGCTCGAGGACGGTGTCTGGGGGAATCGCAGAGCGTTGCTCGGCAGTTTGACAGCCGGGGCGGCCACAGGAGCCACCACAGTCGAGAAGGCCGAGATGGTGTTGCTGAAGCAGATATAGTTCTGCAGGGGGTCATATGTGCGGAGAGAGACCTGGCGGGCCGCGGTGGTGACGGGCGAGGTGGATTTTTGCACGTTCAGATCGTAGGGATACTTGATCTTGTCAAAGATCTCGCGGAGACGCTGGAGAGGCGACAACGCACAGCATGCAGTATGCCGTGGGTTCGAGTTATTAGTGCTTGCGAATGCACAGTCCACCAAGCAGGCAAGCGACAGCATGGCGTCGAAAGAGACGCGAGCACCAGCGATGGAATATCCCGAGCGGGGTGTCTGGTTAGGCACCAGATTGACGGTGCCAGTCGAAAGACATACCTCGATATTGGCACCCGCAAAGCAGAGCCAACCACTCTCTTCAACGCTGTGCTCGATCGTGAGCTCTCTGAGCTTCATTTCGGTCTTCATTCGGAACTTTTCCTCATTAAGCGGGACCGACGGAGCCTCGACGATAATACGCAGCGTCACACCGTCGGTGCCGAGCTCCTGGCCGCGATCATTCGGGAAGAGATGCAGCCAGGTGGTTTTGGACGGCGACGGAGTGGTCAGGCCCGACGAAGAACTCTCCTCGGAGATGTACTTGAAGCCCAGGGAGATATAAAAGTTGATGACCTCTTTGTGGAGGGATGGCGACGGGGCCACCAGTGTCCAATGGGACAGGCCGGTGACGACTGGGGGGCTGTTGCGGCAGGTAATGGAAACGCTCATTGGGTCTGGCTGGCGACGACAGCGGGGATGCGATGGTGGACTGCGCGATGTGAGGAGAAGAGCAGACAGAGCGCAAGCCGGAGCACGCAGCGAGCTATGCCGGGGTTTTGCTTTTCGATACAACCCAGCAACAAGCCGGATCGAGATGCAATCGCGGCAGACAATGATAAGACGGGCAGGGCACAACCAGCGATAACAGCGCCGCGCGCGCTGATTGGCCCGAGGACAGCCTCCGCGGTCACAGCCGAGCCAGGGCAGCCCCGGCATTGTCTGGGTGATGCCCTGGGTGATGCCTGGGTGATGCCCTGGGTGATGTCTGGGTGATGCCCTGGGAGGCCCTCGTGCACAGCGACATTTGTCCGCGCGAGAGGAGGCAGAAGCATCCAAGTGGGCCTGCACGGTGTGGCTCCAGAAGCAGGAAGCAGCGGCTCGCTTCACATCCCAACCTTCGGCACACACGAAGTAAGCCATCGGGTGTCATTGATGGCGAAAGCACCGCAGCGGCCACAGCGAGATCGATATTGGAATTATGCTGCATGTTTAACTTTCACCGCAGAGCCACTGAAGAGGACGGTACTCCTGCATCGGAGCGGCGCAACTAGGCCTGGCCCTGCATACTTCGGCAGATCGTCAGCTCGCGCATCTGCTGGATGGCATACTGGATCTCCTGCTCCCATTCATCGACATTGGTGTCGTGGCTGTCGAGTTGGACGCTCTCGAGTTTGGTGCACACCGACTCGTTGAACCGCAGCTGGCTCTTGATCATGGCCTCGAGAGACGGATCCAGATACGGAATCCTCAGGTCAAGCAGCTTTGGGATATCTTCGATGAGCTGCTGGTTGATTTGCTCATATGCATCGCGCGCCTGTAATCCCTCCTCCTGGGCCTGAGATAAAGGCCACCTGGTCAGCACTCCCATCATGGGACTTTGAAATGCAGAGGAGCATGGCCAATACACGACCACTGGTGCATGGCCGCTGGTGCAGCAGTATATCTTGCGATCGAAGCGGACTGCATACCTTGGGCACACGCGTGGCATCGGCCGATGGATTCTCGACCATCTTTCGCACTTCGTGCGATACGCGATCATAATCGAGAAGCTTCTTCTGTCGACGCTTGATGGCATCGTTGTATTCTGGGAAGGTGCCGACAAGGCGCCCGATGGGATCGAGCACGGTTTTCCTATAAGCGGCATCCTGAATGTGCAGCATGACGAGTAAGTGAGATTGCGAAGCCAATCCATCAGCACAACGAGCAAGCGAGCGAGGCATCGCCATCCGCGGAACCCAAGTGGATCCGCCGCAATGCAAATGCAACTGGTTGGCCCGATGGAGAGCTTCAGCTTCGACATCGGGACTCACCAACTCGCTCCGGCTCTCCTCGTCGATCCTTCTCATGGCATCCTTGTATCGCAGGCATGCCGGCGCCAGAGGCGACGATTGATCCTGGAAGGTTTCGAGCGTCTCGGCGAGCCGCTGTTGCGCCAGGGTCATTGCTGCAGCGACAACCGTGTTCGTTAGCCTACAAGCTACCATGGCCACAGCCATGGGCAGGTGCATGGGGATCGGCAGTGGATACCTCGCACCGAATCCAGATAGCCTTTTGAGTCCTTGTGGAGCCGCTCGATCTTGGCTTCGAAGCTGCAGGTCATTTTGATGGACGGAGTGAGTATGGCGGCGACACCATTTCGACAGTGCCGCAAGGGATGATCCCGTCAGCATTCACCCAAGCTGCTCTATGCCAAGCCAGAGTCGTTCCGGGAGAGAGGCCGGTCCGCTATAACGTACTTTTTGAACCTCTTTTCTTCTTCCTCATAGTCCCTATCAACCTGCACAGCACATGGGCCAGCAATCGAAGCATCGTCGCCAATGGTTATCTCCACTGCCCAGACCGCATGGGCCCCTCTCGTTACTGCAACAAGTGCGCTTTCGAAGCCAAACTCAACCGACTGGCCCCTATGGCCAGACGACCAGACGACAGACGACAGACGGCCAGACGGCCAGCGCATCATACCGTCTTTTCGATTGCGCCAGCCGACTGCATGACGCTCGTGGCCGCTCGGTTGACGGCCTTCTTGAATCCTCTCCTGGCAATAACAGCCGAGGGCGAGCGTCAGGACAGAGTTTTGATGGCGCAGACAGCGCCAGTGTTGGAATGTGCTCTCGTTGACTGCTTGCATACCGTTGCACTGCCGTACTCACCAGCTCATCCTGAGGCGATCGAAGGCGCGGGTCTATCGGAGAGTTGATGGGAGATGAAGGCCGGTGGGTTTCAGGAGCGCCAGCCCGCCCATCTTTGTGGCTGCCGACCCGCCCGATCCGCTCCACAACAGGTTCGGAGTCAAAGCATGCCTGCAGCCAAGGAACCCTGGCCGTTCAGGAGTTCTGGTATTCGAGAGCCACCGTCGCCATTAGCGGCTCGTTGATAGATAGCCAGATCCAGAAGCCCACCCGCAAGGAGACCCGCTGCGACATTGCCAGTCGCCCCTCGCATTTATCCACGGCTTGATTTACTCTCGCCATTCTCGCACCCTGCTCGTGGGCAAGAAACTTCATCGCTTTGGCAGCTCTTTGATAGTAAGCTGTATTACAGCTTGCTGTAACGCAACAACAAGCAGGTATGCATTCGTGATATCCAGAGGCGGAGGGCGTGGCTTATTTTCTGTGTCGAGGAGTTGATTCGCAGATGTGTTAGAACCAGACGAGGGCTGCGGTGCAGAGTCGAACCGGCATCTTTTGCGGGTACCCTCCAGCGATCTGGCCATCTAACAGCAGGACTAACGTACCTGTACCACATGCGAGTGACTCGCTCTCTGCGCATCTTCTTTTGCAGCTGCAGGACGCCGTACAACAGGGCCTCGGCAGTGGGAGGGCATCCAGGAACGTAGATGTCAACGGGGACGATGCGGTCGCAGCCGCGAACAACCGAGTACGAGTAGTGATAGTAGCCACCGCCGTTGGCTGGGAAGTCCAAGGATGAAGGACAAACGATGGTAAGTGGCACGAGCCATGCAGAGCCAGCGGCAGAGCCCAGCCGGAAGAAAGCAATTCAATCGCCAAAGCAATCACCAAAGCAATCACCAAAGGTCGCAGGCCGGACTCAAGAAGAAAGCAGAAACCGCGTCCAAACAGCGACACTACGTACCGCAGCTTCCCATGGAGATGACCCATCGAGGCTCGGGCATCTGGTCATAAACCCTTCTCAAAGCCGGGGCCATCTTGTTGGTCAGGGTTCCAGCAACGATCATGACATCGGACTGACGGGGGGAAGCACGGAAAACGATACCCAGGCGATCCTGGTCATAGCGGGCAGCAGCCATGTGCATCATCTCGACGGCACAGCACGCTGCGGCGAAGGGTCGTATTGATCAGATCGAGAAGCACGAAAGATCGTCGTGTCGGCCGCCGAACGCCTCTTCGAGCAGCCAGGGAGTCCCCCCAATGTTTGCGGCATGAGGCTTACCGAGACCGAAGGTCATGGGCCAGATGGAGGAGGTTCGGGCCCAGTTGATGAGGCCGTCGAGCGTGGTCAAAACAACCTCTGTGGCGCACGCATAGTTAGCACTTGGATGCACCTGATTCACGCCATAGATGGAGAGCGAACCGAGCCCACGTCCGATTCAGAGCAAACGCCCGATTGACACCGGTGGCCCAGGGCCAAGCGTCGATGCATCTTTGGCAAAGACGGAAGGGGACATATCCACTCCTTGGGGTTCCAGTAAAGCCCGAACGCGACCAGGTCTTCTTGGCCTACGAGAATCGGCACTGGGCGGGGAACATACCAGCAGCATTGTTGGCGACCGTCGGGAGGTTGTAAGGGTTGACGGGCTGCAGGGGAGCAGTCTTGTGGTCAAAGGATGAAAGCTTGTTCTTGTCGTCCATGATCAGGCGGTGGATATGGCGCGCGGGCTGAACCATCAGGGCAGCCGAGGGGCGAGCTGAAGCGGCCACCGTGCGAGTCGGAGATTGTATGATTCACAATGTTTCGATAGCCCATCCAAACGTGGTCATCGTCCACGGGCGATTCGCCATTGAATCGAGCCATCGCGGTTATCGCCGTCGTCATCGTCGTTTATGGTCGTCGTTTATGGTCGTCGTCATTTCCATTGGCGCCACAGTCGTCCGCCAGGAGATCATGGATGCGAGTAATATCGATCCCGTTCGAGCGTCGCGATTTCAACCACCGCCGCCATTGAGACAGGGCCGGCCGATGGCATCCCATTTGCGATCGTTGGTGTTGGTGTTGATGTTGGTGTTGGTGTGCGGTCGATGGATCGAGCAATTGCCCGTAGTATCGTTTGCCAGAACGTTGATTTGACGTTAGTGTCTGCCGAGATCTGCCAAGGCTCTGAATATGCATTCGCCTGCCCGCGTGTCCGGATCGCAGAGGATATTCGTGCTGTCTGGACGGCTGCCAGTGGAGGGGCTCTGATTCCCCTTCTTATCTTGTCGACAGAACACCCATGATATCGAGCGAATCCCGGTGGCCTGCAGACAGCCGCCTCGCCTTCTCGCACGGGCGACGGCTCCGTCGAGCTTCGCTCCATCGCGCCGGCATACGTACCCATCAGGCCGCTCATGGTGACGGAGTAGCGAGCAAGGCTGGCCATTATTGCGGGCGAGCAGGACACGATTTCCACAGAGGAGGGCGCTCGCTGGATGCCGGCGCCTCTGGTTTTGGGCCACGCCCGAAAAGTTTGCGCGGAGCAGGCCGGCCGCAATGAAATTCATATGCGCGAATGAAATCTATTTCGCTGCGACGCGCACACACACACGCTCATGGCTTGGTTGCCGCCATGGACAGACAGCCCGGGCAGTTGTGCAGGACGTCATGGACAAAGCTGTCGCACTCGTTGCAGAAGCGCTTCCGGCACTTTGGACATTCGTTGCGACCACTGTGCTCGCTCGCGGTCAGAGCCGGGATAGCAGCCGGCCCGCCGGAAGGCGCATTGGGTGTCCGCGAGCGCAGAGCGGGCGGGCGGGCTGGAAACGGAATCTGGCAGGCAAAACACTGGTTGCTGGCCGGCAGCTGGTCCGACGGGTCGATCCTGGAAGCGACACAGGTTCGGGGCCAGCAGGGTGAGAAAGGGGGCGGCGCTTGATCTAGCGCAGTTGAGCACAGTCAAGCCCAGAATCGAACGGCTCCGACACGGCCTCTACCAAGCCAGTTGCAGGCAGGCGCCAGTGCAGGGATGCATCACGCATGTGCAGGCACTCACTTGGACCACGGCAGATCGATAAAGTTGTCGACTGGGAAGAGGTGATGATATGAACGCGCAAGCAGAGGGCTGGACACCAGTGTCAGCTTGCAGACAGGGCACCCGATCGGCAGTTCACAAATCATGCTCTTGCATCGGGGACACAGGTATCCGTGGCTGATGATTCGTTGATGGCTGTGGTCGGTGATCGGTGGAGAGCGAGTGAGTCGTGGCCGCGACAACAGATTCTGGAGCGATTGCCTCGATATCTTTTCTTGCCGAAAGCTGATCCTGGTCGTCTCGTCCCATCCCACGAGCCCTCGGTCCAGGACCGTTTTCAGCGTCCACAGGACATTTCACGCGGATGGACACCGTTTGGACTTACCACGAACAGAAACTGCCAACCTTGAGATCCGTGCTCATCGGAAATCCCATTTGAATCAGATCCGACGAGTCGGCGTTGTCGGCGATGGGCGGAGGAGGCAGACTCTCGAACAGCAGGTCCTTGAAGTGGCTATCGCTCATGGCAACGCCATATGTTCCTCTGGTGTCCTTGGACAGCTTGCGACAGACATCCACCTCGGCTGCTAGCCCCACTACCGAGACACGGATACAGTTGCTCTTGAGTGACGACAGGGTATCAAAGATGTTTCCGGGGTCGCACGTTGTCAGGCTTCCGAAAATAACCAGGGCCTCTCGGGTTCCATGCGAGGGCACATTTCTGTCTCGGTAATCGAGGCATGAAAACGATGTTCACATCAGAAGACCACCTGCTTGTATCAAGGAGCGCATCTCCAGTCGTCGAAGAGCGTATCTCCAGTCGTCAAGGACTTGATGCTCAGCGCGGATCTGCGATCAGCACAGCTCACCTCAGAGACTCGCGCGCCAGCTCGAGGGCGTTTTGGAGAGACGGCTCTCCACGCAGTTCTCGGTTCTCCTTCTTTCGCAGGGCATCGAGATGGTGCTTTGGGTTTCCTGGAGTCGCAGCGCCGATTGGGTGTCAGCCAGCACTATCCCGACTCATCGACCCTGCGATCTGCTGTCCGGTCGTAAAAGGCACTGTCTGTAGAGGCTCTGTCGAGCGCTAAGAGCACCGATACAGCGCTGCTCCGCCGTTGCAGCTTACCTTCGAGTTCCGTGAGCTTCTCTGCAACACCATCCCTCGTTACGATAATGCCCATCAGACTGAGCGGATTCTGGTCGAAATATTCCAGAATGAACTGCGACACATGCGTCCAGGCGCACTCCCACCGCGTGGGATGCAGATCGGTCTCGCTCATCGACTTGCTCATGTCCAGCACCAGGTACATGTTGCGGATGATGCCGCGCTGGACGGTGGATGTGTCCCTCTGGCGCCTTGTGGGTGAACCGAGAACAGAAATGGATCAGCCAGGGCACCTTCCCGATTCGTTCGACAAGAAGATCAAAAGCGCAGGTTTGCAATAGATCGCTCGTCCGCCCATTCGCCGCCATTACTTTCTCCGCTTGGCTTGCTGTACGTTGGCGAGGGCGCTCAGAAGCGATCCGCTTTCGTCCTCCTTCAGCACATCCCAGCTGCGCTTGTATGCCTCTTGCCAGGCATATCCGCTGCCGTCGGCCGCCTTGAGACTTGCGCCGTTGTCGTCCTCGTCCATGATGTTGATGTAGTCATCGTCGGCAGCCTTGCCGTCCTTGGCGCTGGGCTGCTTGAGCGTCGCCATGATCGCGGCTGGATCGAGGCAAGAGCGCCCTGGCGATCGGCGAGACCTGGCCTGCCTTTGAACTCGGTGTCACGTGGACGCAGTCCTCGGTCGTGGGAACTGATCCGCCTGGGCTGGTGGAAGAAGGACCATCCAGAACATGTGTGCGCCGACAGCGGGCTCCGAGCCTGCGATGGTGCATGTGGCGAAGCAGCAGAGGGGTTTGCCGCGCCAATCATGCGCCGGTCGGTCCCGAGAAGCCAGGGCCACCCGTCCCTGAACGCTCTTGGTCGGCAGGCACCACACAACCGACTCTGCAACATCATCCCCATTGCGAGCACACAGTCCACCAGGCCACCAACGCGTAGAAAATGGCCGAAGCAGCGGAAGCCGGCCACGCAAAGGAGTCGCTGATAGACGACCACGTTTACGACATTGCGATTCTGCGTCCCAAGGACCAGTGCACGCGCGAGATCGACCCGCAGGCTCTGAGTCTCCAGTAAGTCGTACCCGTGCATCACGCATACTCGTCGACGGCCGCGGCCCACAAGCGCTCGTATCAAAGGCATATGCCACCTGATATCCGAAATGGAACTAACTGTGCGGTCACCACTCCCCAGTCACTCCTTTGGCTTCGAGTCCCATAAACGATACAACGTCCACTATGTCACCGACTCGACAGTCGTGGCAGCGTCCGGGAACCTGCTGCTGTTTTTGAACATCAAGACGGGCGAGCACAAATATTATCTTGGACTGCGCGACGGCTCAATTGGGGCGATAACGGTAGGCTGTGCCTGATCGCCGGTGCTGACAGTCGCGTCCTTTGCCTCGGGGAGCTGAAGCTGACTGAGTTTGTTTGCGAGAAACAGGTGCATCCGTCAAAGAAGTACATTGCCATCGGCGAAATACACAACCCAAACCCGTACATCTTCATCCTCGAGTATCCATCCCTGGACTTGGTTCGGATCTTGCGCGAAGGATCCGAGCGCGGGTTTTCAGACCTATGCTTCAACGCCAGCGGAGACAAGCTCGCGAGCGTCGGATGCTATCCGGACTATATGCTCACCATATGGAACTGGGATAAGGAAAAAATCATTTTGAGAAGCAAGGCATTCTCGCAGGTCAGCATATGCCATCCGTGAGCGCGTGATGTTAGATGCGTGGCAGCGTCCCCATTGGCCCGTACGATAAGCACCAGCGCAAACAGCAGCGTGTTCTCATGCGCATATCGGCCCCATCGGTTCGTTGCAGGAAGTCTTCCGGGTTTCGTTTGCCGGCGACGACGGAAATCTCGTCACAGCCGGAATGGGCCACATCAAGTTCTGGAGAATGTCCTCGACCTTCACTGGTCTTAAGCTCCAGGGCTATATCGGCAAGTTTGGCGCCACCGAGCTGTCCGACATCGCTGCGTTTGTTCAGCTCCCCGACGGCAAGGTGCTGTCGAGCACCGAGACCGGCAATCTCTTGCTCTGGGATGGCGGCATGATCAAGTGCGAGTTGGCACGACAAGAGTCACCCTGCCACCACGGCCGCGTCGAGGTGGTCTTGTTGCAGGATGGCGAGGTCATCACTGCTGGCGAGGACGGATACATTCGCGTCTGGGATTTCGAGACCATCGACACCGCCGATGTGACGTCGCCCCCGGCAGCAAGTACCCAGGCACCCAAAGTCGAGGGCGATGAAGACGGAGAGAAGCCTCCGAATGCTCCGGCACCGACTGTAACTTCATCTGCATCACAGCCCCGCATCTTTTACATGGAGCCCGTAGATGAGATCCACGTTGGAAAGGATGTCAAGGTATACCCGTGCCCTTATGCCCTTGTGCCCTTGATGTGCACGAGGTGCCGTCGCAACTCGACACGCGACTCTAATACCTGCGGCTTCACAGATCAAATCGATGGTCCAGTCCCCATCCAACGCCGGAGAATACCTCGTCCAAGACCAGTCGGGCAATTTGTTTCGGGTTGATGTGCGAAAGCACGGGATTGACAAAGTCACGTCGTTTCATTCCGGTCCGGTGAACGGAGTCGAAATGAGCCCGACTTCTCGTGCAATGGTCAGCCTCGGAGCTGATGGAACCCTGCGCCTCCACGACTATATCAAGAAGAGTGCCGTGACCAAGAACACCTACCCGGTTGGCGGTACCTTTTTGACATATTTCCCACTGGTGAGCACCTGGCCGCTAATGCAGCACAGCGGAATGGTGTTGGTGGCTGTGGATTGAGAGCTCAAGCCTGACCCTGCTCCTGTGTCTAGGCGCTGGATGGGGCGGGCTGCACGTTTGCGGCTGGGTTCGAGGACGGTGTCCTTCGGATTCTCTCGCATACGCCCGTGGACGAAGAAACCACCGTCGGTGACTTTGATCTCGAGTTTGTGTTCAAGCCCCACACGGCGGCAATCATATGCGTGGCCATCTCACCCGACGGCAGCTACATGGCCACGTCATCCAAAGACAAGACTATTTTCTTCTTCAAGATCGACTTGCCCAGCGACGAAGTCGACGACTACAATGCTCGCGAGCGCGACGAGATTGTAATCTTTTCTCGCAACCGGGTGCGGATCAACCCAATCGGCTTCATTGAAACCGACTCGGTGGTTACGCACATGTCGTTTTCTCCAGACAACCACCAGAACATCCAAGCCATCGAGCCGTTCAACGTCTCCGAGAGCGACGAGGATGATGAATACGAGAGCAATGAGTCCATCTCCAATTCCATCCGAGGAAGGCTGCTACTGGTTGTTAAAGAGAGTGGCGAGTTGATTTCCTATGAAGTCCCGCCCCCGAACTCAGTCGATTCGAGTCTGACTTACTTGATTCCAGCCCAACTCGTGCGTGCGAAAAGCTGGATGCTTGATGTCCCGGCCCCAAAGATCAAGCCCAGTGACGAAAAGGGGAAGGAGGGCGAAAAGCAGCAAGGAAAGGAAGGCGCAGAGGGAGCTCCGGCTCCAGCAGCTGGTGATCAAGCAAGTGTCGGCCAAGACGCCCCCAACAACCCAGACGGCGCCGCAAAGCCCGAGGACAAGTCGGTCGAGAACGCCGAGGGTGCCGATGGCCAAGAAGCATCCGAAGGCGGCGACACTGACAAAGGCCGAGTCCTCTCTGCCATTCGCAAGGCCCGAGGACTCGTGATCCGCAACGACTCGCCCATCACAGCGGTGCTGTATCTCGAAGGCGGGTATTTCCTCGCCGCCGTGATCAACAAAGACGGCGAGACCGAGGTGCGGGCCCTCAAGTTCGAGGAGCCTGACAAAAGCCGGTAAGAAAATGGAGGAAGTCCACCGACACCCGATATGACAGTACCACAAACACACTTGGTCTTGGTGACATTTGGTGCCCTTGCGGACAAGCAGTACAAGTCTGCCACCCGCTTCGACAACCGAATCAACGGAATTACCGCCATTGACAATGGTGTGGACGTGACTCGGCAGCGAGACACATACGCCGGACTGACAGACTTCTCCACTGCGACGGTGGTTTGTAGGCTCTTGATGATCTACAAATGCAAGATTGTCTTCATGCGGCTGAGCGCATCGAGAAAATACCTCCTGCTCGGTGCTGAAGATGGAATGACTGCCATCCGCAAGTTCTCCATCAAAGACGTCACCCTGCATAAATGGATAGCGGGCCACGAGACCTACGAGCACTACTCGGACGAGTACGCCATCTACCTCGAATCCGATGAAGGCCAGCTCGAAAACTTTCCCGGACAGGCCTGGATCGGACATGCCCACGACTGCGACCGCGGCAAGATCGCCTCGATTTCGTTGAGCTTTGACGATTCGTTCATGTGTAGCAGCGGGCATGACGGTGGCTTGCTCGTGTGGAACATTGCGATGGAGATCAACCACCAGCCGCCAGGTAGGACGAGCGGAGGCTCCGAGGGGCACGGCAACTCAAATCTGTTTAGACTGGCCGGTCGCTGTATAGCCCACTCAGCTCTCTACCAATGATGCACGCATCTCCGAGACACCTGATTCGCTACATTCCAGATGCCGACGCACGACTGACTGGCATGCCGGGTGTCTTACTGGAGTAGAGATTCCTCAGAATCTGCTTGAAAAAGAAGATATGGAGCCAGTAGCGGACATCACCGACATTCACAAGTACAGCATCCAAGAAGCAAAGATCAAATCCGAGCACGATCGTGAGCGAGAGGAGGCCGAGATCAAGAAGCAGGTCTGTGCTGAGCGCAGTATTGCTCGTCGATGCCCAGCCGACGAGCGAGAATGGTGTGGCGCCGAACATACATGAGTGGCTGATGGCCTTCGATGCTCCGTGCAGATTACCCGTAACTTGATCCATGAACTGCGACTGGAGTTTCTGCGGCTGCTCGCCGAGAACGACAAATCGCCCAGCAAAATACCCCACGATCATATCATAGTCGATCCCAATCTGAGGACCGCAATCGGTACGTGCCTTGACGTATTTGTACTGTCGGAGTGCGATTCCGAGGACTGCCATCCTCGCTCACGACCGATATTCGCTCTACGAACGAACAGAGAAGCGAACCGAGGAGAGAATCGAGATGTGTAAGAAGGAGCTTGCGTGGACCTCTGAGCGAGAGCAAATCCGGCTGGACAAGCTGAAGAAAAAGTTCCTTGACGATCTCCAAACCGAGAGGATCGTCATCAAGGCTTTCAAGGTGCGCAGGGTCAGCGATACTGTCACGGAGTTCACTTCCGCGGTCGTCGCCCCGGCTCAAGACTAACATGAACCACATGTCTCCGCCCAGCTCAACACGTCTGTGTCAACATTTAGAACCAACAGGGCTGATAATCTGATGGATCTGAAGCTGGACACAGCCACAAACAACGAAAAGCTTGGAGGTGTCCAAAGCACGACAGCACAGGTTTGTTTGTTAGACCTTACCATTTCTCTCGGGGGAGGTGTGTGCTTGGAGCGCATCGGGGGGGGGCTTGTATGTCTGCATCTTGCTTGTTGAAGCACGGCATTGTCCCACGCTGCCGAGCGACGGTGAAGCAGAGGACTGAGTTGAGCGACAAAGACGCATACACTCATTGCCCAGATGCTGATTCGATCGCGTCCATGGGTGATTGTATTTGTCCTATGGCTTACAGACTAAGGCATCGACCCAAGCCCAAGACAAAGGAAATGTTGTCCAAGGAGAGAAGAAGGGTGCCACAAAGAGCCAACGTGGACCAAAGGTGGGTCGGATCACTGGGATTTTCCAGGCTGGTTATGTCGGTACGATACACTCTCGGGTTGTCATCGGCCACCTGACTCGCTGTGGTCACAGGATATGGACTCCAAGAGCAAGCTGGAGGCTCGGAAACAACTTCGTGCACAACGCCTGGAGCTTTGGAAGGAGTTGATGGAGTCCAAGCCTGACGACAAATACGAAGATCCACGCGATGTCGCAGCCATCCGGTATGCAGAAACACACATGGGCGACTACAAGCTCAAGACGGGCGAAAAGTACATTGTGCCCGAAAGCGAGCGAGTTGATGCAGACAAGAAGAAGCGACAGGCATTGCTGTTGAGACAGAGCATCTATTCGCTGAAAGAGGTATCCAAACAGCAATCTTGCGAGCTGAACGAGACCAAGGGATCGTCGTGCATGGCTACTGGCGCTTGTCCGGCGCTAGGTGGACACTGTTCGCGTGCGTAGTGATGCGACTAACCCAGTCTCTTGACGGCGAATCTCATTATTTCACGACTCTCTATACCACAACAAGCAATTCAACAAACATGTGCTGAGACTACGGGACAGGAAAAGCCATCTCGTAAAGCTCTTCAACCGATACAACAGCTCAATCACGCAAATTAACGGAGAGCTGCGTAACCTCGGAGAAACCCCGAACGACAAGTTGTGGACCCCGAATATGGAGGTATGGTCACCCAACATGAGGCCGTGGGCACATGTAGAGTCAATAGCATACAAAGGGCGTTGCGATCGTTGTTACACGCCTCGCTACAGGGGCTGCACGATCGCTCAAGCTGCCCTCTTGAAGCACGATCGGATCTGACAGCCCCGGCTTCTAATCCTCAGTCATCGGCATATCCCGAGAATCGCTACACCGTTACCTCCGAGGACATTGTCCAGTTCGAGCAGGATGAGCAAGAGGCAGCCAAGCGAAAGGCTGGCGAGTCCAAAGGTGGCGGTGAAGAGAACATCTTCGGAACTGGCACTGCCGCACCGGCCAAAGATCCCACGCCGGTTCCCCCTGCCACGGACCCACCCACGACCTCGCAGTCAAGTCGTCCAACGAGCTCCAGTCGCTCTCAGCAGCGATCTGCAGAATCGCAGAACACGTCCGGCCTCAAAACCTCGCGCCCCAATACTGCCGGAAGTCAGAAAACCACAAGCAGTGGCCGATCTGGCAGCGCCAAGAGCAATGCGGGCCGGTCCAACTTGGAGATCCTGCAGCGAGACGTCCGACGAAGGATCCTAAAGTATAAGAAAGAGCGAATCAAGAAGGTACGCCAGATCGATTGGCTGGACTGCAGTGCTATGCATAGCCACCCTCTGGTCCGGTCTGGCGGGTTGAACACTCCTGCTCCTGCAAGGATGGTATTGATAGCGTGTGTCTTGTCGGTACTGATCTGGGCGTGCGTAATTAGGCAATGGAGTTGTACATCAAAGAATTCGACCTGACAGTGGATGCTCTCGCCAAAGAGCGCATCATCCTGGAAGGAGGTAAGACTGTTCCCCCGAAACCGTCCGGAGTGGCTCGCTGCCGCGAGTGACACTGTGCACTGACCGATCGCTGTCTCTCTGAATAGATGTCAAATCGGCCGATATTCGGCTTTTGCTGCTGTACAAGGAGTGGGCGCTGCTGAAGGAATTCGAGAAGCATGACAATTTTCTGGCGGACAAGCGGGCCACCAAGCGACTGGAGAAGGGTGAGATTGATAGCAAGGTAGGGCGGCAAAGTCATCACCCCGTACAATTGGCGGCCAATGCATCGTAAAAGGCAATATGCTCACGAGGTGATTCGCCCCGCTGCCAAACCCAAATAGATCAGCGAGTGCCAAGAAAAACTGAACAGCAAGAAGACCGAAATCGAGCAAGCCATCAAGCGGGAGAAGGAGATCCATGAAGAGTTTGTCAAGCTGATTGGTGAGAACAACAAGCACGAGGAATTTCTCACCAAAATCTTCAAGAAGAAAATCAAACGATCCAAGGCAAGTAAAAAGATGGAGCCTGCGGTGTGCTGCCAACCGCTTTGCCACGCCATGAGTGCTGAACGCGGATCCTGTCAATCCAGAAAAAGATCAAGACCGACGGCGAAGACGGCGAAAACAACGAGGAGAATGAAAGCGAGGAGGACGAGGAGGATGACGACGACATGGACTCGTATGACAGTGCCGACGACGACAGCGACAGCGAGGGCGAGGGTGCAGAGGAATGTCCGCCTGACTATGATCAGGGCCATTTCAACAAGATCCTGACGCTGCGCGAGCGGCGCCTCGACCAAGAAGATGCCCTAGCTGAGATACAGAAGGCAATTGAGGTAAGGCAGCAGGCAGTGGCAACAGCAAACGACAGCAGGCAGCAGTAAGCGACAGCAGCCAGCAGCGACAGCTTCCGCCGGTTCTTCTAGTTCTTCTGGCTTCTTTGATCCATGTGGTGATTTCCAAGGCACATGGCCGCACGATTGGGCCACAGACACTTGTCATGAGTGCGCTGTTCTGACAACACAACGCGACGGATCGTAGGCAATCAAAAAAGAGAACGACTCGCTGCTGAAGAAAGAAAAGACCATCGATGCCGCACTCAAGAGCACCGAGAACGAGATCCAGGAGTTTCAGACACAGAAACAGCAGAAACTCAACGAACTTGATGTCGTGGTATGTCCAATCAGTCGGGCTGAACACAGGTTGGCCCGTCGAACCTGAAACACCCCCACACTCCATACTCCAGTGCTAGTGCTAGTGCTAGTGCTAGTGCTAGTGCTAGTGCTAGTGCTAGTGCTAGTGCAGCGATGTGGTCGGTGTCGTGCTGGTCCGGCCGCCTCACTCTTCTCTCCACAAATGCACCCGCAGATACCGCTGCGACTGCATCAGATCCAGATGCTGGAACAGAACGCCATTCCCACCGATTTCTCGCCGGCCTTGGTGTTTCTGGGAGAGGGGCTGGTCAAACTCAAGAATCGCATTCGCGAGCTGCAACAGGTACGGGCGAGCACTGCCGAAAACATCCCACCAGCCGAGTACAGAGTACCGAGTTGCTCAGGATGGAGCCCGCAGTTTTGAGCACAGCTAGGCGCTGCCTTCGTGAAAGTGACACGTTTTCGGACAATCCAGGAAAAGAATGACATCAAGAAGAGCCACAAAGAGCTCAAGAAGATGCACGTCAGTCTCCACAAGAGCCGAAAGGAGAAGCTGTTCAAGGTGAGTCGGTCGATTGGTTCGTTGGCTGTGTTCGACTGGAGGGGTTGCAAACGCTTAGGCGGCACGGCGACGGACACTGATAGCGAATGCGCCCATCCTTCGTGTATGCAGCTGCAAGAGCTCGAGGCCCGAGCACATGATGTGCAGATGCTCAAGTTTGGACAGACGATCGATCTCGAGAAGCTTGAGCGAATGGGTGTGAATCGCAGCGCAGACGAACTCCGGGAAAAGCTGCAGAAGGAGGACAACATACGCTCCAAGGAGCTTGGCGACTGGGATGTATGTTTTGCTCGATGCTGGGGGGGGGGCGGGATCGCGGACGATGGACACATGATGGCTCTCATCGGGGGCCAGTACTTTGGCTGCTCCAGAACCGCGAGGACGCTTGGAGATATACACTCACTTCTTTGTCAATTAGCTCCGGATCGGTCACCTGAAGGAGACACTTACCGATGTGACCAAGGATAACACCACACGGCTGGAGCATCTGGTCGGACTCTCCGAGTCCCGGCAGCAGCTCGAAGATGCGCTCAACACCAGCCAGTCGTCCGTGGTATGTGTCGATCGTATGGCTGCAGCGCCTGAGGCGATTCGTCCATCTGCTAACCCGCAGGCTTGGCTCCACCACCAGACGGCCGAGTACTCTGGGCCCCTCCAGAAGGATGTCATCGAGCGACGCAAGCTGATCAAGTTGGTGCAGGCGCAGGAGCAGGAGATTGGGCGCTTGAAGCAGGAGATCGAGGTGCTGATCCGCAAGCCGCTGAGGCAATTGCCGCCTGTGCGCTATCCCGTCGAGCAGCACGGTGCCGCCCAAGACGAGTAGCGGGATGGGCTGGGAAGGGCAGGCGCTCCGGCCATGTTGCCTTGGTCTTCTGGGATGTGGGCCTCTGTGTGCCAATGGCTTGAATGACTGAGGGTGTTTGCAGATGGGCATAGATTCGGGCTGGGCAAACGAACACTGTTCATGAAGCACAACACATTTCATCGACTCGCATCGCGAGCGCCACAGAGCATCAGCCCCCATCAGGGGTTCTCGCCGTGCCAATATGCAATCTCGCTGCGTCCCGCTGCTTTCTGCCATGCACTTCCTCCCAGTGCCCGTCTGCTGCTCTGTTTCGCAGAAGCAAACCTCGCTGGTGGGAAAGCAACCTGTGGCTGAGCACGTTCCACCCGCTATTGGCTGCGGCAGCTCCCCCTCGCAATTCAAAAGCCGCCGCCATTTGTCGCCAGCGCGACCCTATCAGCCCCCCCCCCGCAACCCAGTCGATCCGTGCACACCCGCACGTCCAGCAGCACGACGACGACAACTCCAGCCTCGACCAGCCATTGGACCCGGCAACTCTGACCTCCGCTGCCTCCCAGCCCAGGTAGGTCATTCTCGAACGAAGCTTCTGCCCAGCGTGCGTCGCCTGCAGTCGCTGTTTGGCCTCGACGCTGGCGACCCTGGGCACCGCTGAATGGCCAAGCAGCAAGGCCAGGATGGGGGAATTCCAGGGTGCCATTCGGCCTGATGCGGCTCGGAGGATATATTGACGCCCGGTGGATGTCGATTGCGAGCTCCGGGCTAACAACGGCGGGTTCCCTCCTCCGGCCATCATCCAGCACACATCCCAAGCCCCAACCCCGAGCATGAGCTCGCTCTCCTCACCCCGGATGGATGACGGCCTGCCGCCTCTCCCGCCAGATACCCTATCTCAGATGCAGGTTGGCCGCCCCGGCTCCGGCAATCGCAAGCTACGCTACAAGCTGCTCGATCCTTCCGCATGCTATATCAAGCTGCTTCCGGAGGAGCTTCTGATCGTAGTCTTTGCCCTCCTCGGACCCGAGTCGCTGGTATGGATTCTTGGATACTTGGCAACGGACTCTCGATGGCTCTTGTTGGGGCAGTGCGCCCTGTCGGTCTCCTCCGCCTTCCTGCAGGCGGCACCCACTTGCTGGGGGGGGGGAGGGTTAATGGTTGGCTGGCTCGCTGGCAGGATGGCTTGGTGTGGATTGCTTTCGCTGACGGACGGATCGGCTCCATCCAATCCCGCGGTCGGCTGGTCGGATTGGCAACCAACCACCCAGCCCATCCTCGAACGGGTCTGCAAGCTGTGGTATCATGTTCTCAAGGACGACAGTCTGTGGCGCTCAGCGCTGCGGGTATACTTTGGATCCCTGCCATTGAGGTTTGTTTGGTCCACGCAAGCTTGCTCAGTCCGAGCATATGCGTATGCGTATGCGTATGCGTACTGCGAGCATGCGGCTCATGGATGGAGGGGGGGGTCAACCCGCCAGCTCCGTCGAGTCTCGCCACCGTTCGAGACTGTGAGGCTGCGCTGTGGGCACCCATGTAATCATGCACGTTTACGCCCACCAGACGACTGACCACCGAAAGCTGGAAGAAGGAGCTGATCCAGCGGCTATCTCTGATCCGGTTAGTGACCCACAATGACCCTGTCTTGCGGAACTGGAGCGACTTGATTTCTAGCATCGGAGAACTGACGGCTTAGTGCCCATCTACCACACGCCCCATCTACCACACGCCACCATCTACCACACACCCCCATCTACCACACGCCCCCATCCGGTCGCCGTGCTTCTTATATTTCCCGACGAACGACGACTCCGGCATCGCGCAATCGTCGACGATATACCCAGTCTATGGAAGCGCGGTAAGGTCGGCGCCAATTTCTTTGGCGAGATCGGAACGATCGACTCGGCCTATATGGACTCGACATACTCCAAGATCATCATCGGCTCGGCAGCAACCGGAATGGCATCGATTTTCGATCCAGTCACGGGCCAGATGGAGAAAGACATGATCAAAATCAACCCGGCTGACTTTTTCACCCCGATCGGCGCCATGCACATCCAGAGGTGAGAAGATGCAGCCGCCTGATTTTAGCCCCGGACGAGTACATGCAGTGAAGCGGCGTGTGCGTGCGCATGTGAGGGGGAAGCAAGTAACGTGGTTTTGAAGGCAATGTCCAACTCGTCGGATTTGGAATGTGCATCCGAATTCCGACCAGCTGTGGTTCGATGTCTGCGACTCGATGCGCGCGATCGCGGCCGCCTAATGACTGTGTTGCTTGGTGGCTTTTCCAGGAAGCGCATCGTGTTCGGTACAGAAAGAGGCCGAATCGCTGTCAAAAGCCATCTCAGCGATCGAGGCGGGGCCGTATCAGACTGGTTCCGTGGCGTGCACAACGGCGCGGTGACCTTTGTTCGCTGCTTGGCCGGTTCGGACGATGCCGTGGTCAGCGCCGGGGCCGACCAGACCGTGAAGCTGTGGAGCATCCGCCAGCGCCGCTGCATTCGGACACTTTTGGGTAAGAAATCCGTTTGTGCAGCAGCGCCAGCTACTCGTGCGGGGATCACCATGGATTGGGCAGGCCAGCGGACTATCCGTAAACCTACACTTGATCTTGCACCGCGATTGTCGACAATTGTCGTTGACTGAAACGCCCCGCCCGCTGTCTGTCTGTCTCTCTGTCTGTCTGTATCTACGTCGGTCACGTACATCAGCGGCCGAACCCATCGTTTCGGTCGAGTTTGACGACAACCTGCACATCCTGGTCGGGACTCAGCACGGCAAGCTCCACGTCTGGGATATCGACGCCGACGCCATAGTCAAGACCGAGTCAGGTCCGCACATCCCGCCAAGTCGCACGTTCGACCTGCTGCAGCTCGGAACCATCGGCCCCACGCGAGATGTCCCGGTCGAGAGGATTCTGTACGATCCGACTCTGCCGATTGCAATCGTGTTCACCAACCAGCGCGGCCCCGAGAGCATCTACGCCATCAACATTCAAACGGGGGAGCGCCGGTTCACCTTCAGCACCGAATCGTCCGAATATGGGCTCACGACCGCCGTCGCCTGGGACCGCCAGAGCTGTCGGCGTGCCGACAACCAGAAGGAAACCTCGCTCCTCGTCGTCGGGGATGAGAACGGGTGGGTGCGCATGTGGGAGCTGCCCGACCCCTCTGCCGAAGACAGTCCAGGGGTCCTCCAGCCCATTCGGTCCAAGTGGTGCTACCGCAAACCGGTTGTCCAGGTGTATCTGGACAACCTGAAGCTCGTCGTGGCCTCGGCCGAAGGCAGCATCGAAATCATGGACGCGGTCTCCTGGAGCAGCATCCAGATGCTCAACTTCCGGCCGCGGCCCAGTCGCCGCTTTGCGACCGACAGCATCAGCCGACTGTGGGTCACGTCGTCGCGCCTGGTCTTTGCCCGCAGCGGACAGGTCCGGGTATTTAACGTCGATCCGGCTGCAATTGCCGCGGCTAAGGGCAAGCAAAAATCCCGGACAAAGCAGCTGCCGATCACGGACGGGAGTGTCTCCAAGAAGAGCCTCCAGCGCGGTGGCCGCAGCGTGACACACTCCGAGATCCGCGATGAGATCGAAGAGGCCCACATCGAGCGCGAGCACCAGCGACGAGCTGTCGACCAGCGCCTCCGGATGGAGCAGCGCTTCAACGGCACGCTTGCCCAGGGAACCGATCTGACAGAAGATGAGCTGCTGCGCCTCACCTTGTTGATGTCCATGGACGAGCGACAGACGCACGAGCACCACGATGGCGATCTCACGTCGGCCCTGGAGATGTCGCTCGCCGAGTACCAGGGTCTGCGGGAGCAAGAATCGAGCTCGATGGACGGCTCGCAGCCCCTCCAGTCTCCTCGACTATCGCCTCTGCACATCCCAGAGGGTCTCGATCTGGGGCAGCCTGTGATCTCGGACAGTGCATCAAGTAGTTCGTCGCAGCGCGGCCCAAGTAGCAGCCGACGCCGGCACCGCGACAGCTTTGACGACGATGACGACGACGACGACGACGATGAATATGAGAACCACGGCCGGGGCATAAACGTCTCACGACAGGAGCGACTCGAGTACAGCCCACGAACAGACTCGTATGACTACCGGTACTGGGACAACCAGCACATTGACGATGGCCTCGAGAACCGCGGTCGCACCACAATACGCATGTCGGGTGCACGCAGCAGCAGCAGCAAGGGAGGCAGCAGCGCGGCCAGCTCGAGTCCTCGTCTGGAACCTCCTGCAGGCAGCGCCGCTGCCGATTGGTTCCGACTGAGCCCCAACCTGGTTCCGAGCTCGCCACGATCCGCGTCGCACATCCAGGTGGTCTCGCCAAGACAGCAGCAGCAGCAGACCGAGGACGAGGAGCTGCGGTACGTGCTGGAGCTCAGCATGCGAGAGTACTAGCGGAATATGGCCGAAGGCTCTACGCTCCCGTTGATGTCCCGATCGTCACTATGACCAAACCAAATGCCGGCCAGCAATCGCACGTGCGATGACTGATCATGTCGAGCCGAGTCTTGCTGAAAGAAGCCCCGAACACCGTAATAGAAGCAATCCAAAGTGTCACTTGTCAATGAGAGAAAGGGAGGGAGAGGGAGCAGGAACGATGGTGGTAACGAAGTGACGAAAGGGCAGATGGGCGCCAGTTGGTGGCTGTTGGCTTTGGCCTCGAAGCGGGCACACCGAGAGCCCGTGTGTTCTGGATGCAAGTGTCTGTATTGGACTATGTACAATCAGCCAAGCAGAAGATGCGCACAATGGACCTTACAGTGTCCATGGAGAGGGGGTGTGGGAAGAGGGTTCATGAGGAGAATGCCAAACACAACAGCGCGAAAGCAGATTTGGTCGATAGCAAAGCCAGACAGCGAAGCCAGACAACGAAGCCAGATATTCGCTGACAACAGCAACAGCAACGGCAACAGCAACGGCAACATTGGCAGCGAGAGATCGATAAAGCTGCTCCCTTCTGTGCAGTAGCTGTTGGCTCGCACTGAGCCCGCCGTGTTGCTACAAGACATCACGCCGACGCTGGCTGAGTCCGACGATTGATTCGCTGGTGTCGATTACGAATGCAGGTACGGAGCATCATAATATCAGCGCGTGTCCTTGCCGATCATAGAATGGGTTCGATAATTATCCAGTGTCTGGGCGCTGAGCCCCAGAGGCGACAGGAATTCGATTGCCCGGCGAGATTCTTTGGGAGGTTCCATGAGGCCGCGCGTTTGCAGACTCGAATGCGACTTGCCGCACCCAAACGGATGCGATGCAGATCGAGGGGCCGGGTTGTAAGACAAAGTGGTATGCCAAGTGGTGTGCCAAGTGGTTTGCCAAGTGATGTGCCTTGTGGAGTGTCAAGCGATGCCAAAGGCTTATCAAAACATCGACGATGAGGAGTGAGCGACGAGGATGCCTGTCGCTATCACGAGCTCGGCGATATGGTAGATCGAGGACGTCAGCTCGAACTGGCCCGAGCACCGGTCAAAGGTCGCCAAGGGCTGGTTGCCACACGACGCAGAGTACAGTCTGCAGATGGCCCGGCTGCGAAGAGACTCGGTTCGCTTCCAGATATACTCGTCGTGGCCGGGGGCGACAAAGGAGAATGTGCTTGCGAACGAACTCTTTTTGATGACTCGGACGGTCTCCTTGGTGGACGGATCGATGAGGAAGCCGCCGCTGTGGGAAAGTGTTGCGAGAGAGGAGAGAAAGGAGAGAGAGATTGAGTTCCAAATGTGCAGGGAAAGGGGCGTCAGCACAGGAAGATGCGGCGGCGATTGCGGGACAGACCTTTTGCCGAACGGCTGAGGGTCATTTTGGCCGGGGTGATACTCTTTGAATAGCACGGCGCCCTTTGGACTCGAGCGACGGAGGCGATATGTGATAGGCTTGGCCTGGAAGGTATCAAGCGGCGAGTGGGTAAGCAGGCGAGCGAATGCCACGGGCAATGGTCCATGGGCAATGTGGAAGGTGAGGCACACAAGCCATGGAGTCAAAGTGCGAGACATGATCAGCTGCAGCAAGACACAACATGAACGCCACATTCCCCGGACAGACATACCGGCGGATACAGCGACATGCTGTACAGTGTGTCGATGCCGTTCTCGCCGTATACGAGATGATGGCCCACAGACTCGGTTTGAACAGTCAGGACGACGGTGGCAACCAGCCCCTCCTCTTCGGAGGAGTTGGATGTGTTTGAGACAAGGGTCTGCCGCCGGTCATCGCCGGCCACCTGCTCCTCCTCGTCGTTGGGACTCAGGAAGGCGGTCTTTGGAGGGGTCAGCAGCACGGAGCATGGGCTGTGGGTGCCGGTCGAGGACGATGAGAACGGAGACGAGGAGCGGGACCGGATGGGGCCACGGTGATGGTCGTGGTGGTGGTGGTGGTGGTGGCTCTGGGGCGGCGAGAGGGTCGATGGACGCAGGTCAAAGTGGACGACTCGGGCGGCGGACATGGTCGGGGCGGGGTTGGCAGGGGCTGCGGTGGCAGATGGGCGAACAAAGACAGGGGAGATTAACACAACGCTGGCGCCGCTATCCATGGCAGTGTCGCTATCCATGGCAATGCCGATGTTGATGTTGATGTTGATGTTGATGTTGATGGAGATGGAGATGGAGATGGAGATGGCGATGGAGACGGCGATGCCGATGCCGATGTCGACGGCGTGCGGCAGCGCCCACAGCGGACACGACGGAAGAAACGGCTGCTTGACCACACGACGACGCACCGGCGATTTGCAATTCGTGGGTGGCGATACAGGACGATACGATACGGCGCAATGCGATGCGATACGACGCAATGCGATGCGATGCGATGCAATGCAGACGGAGAAACCAAGCGCGGGCGGCTTGCGGGATGTGGGCCGCTGCCTCTGGGGGGGGGGTTTATCTGGCGATCGTCCGGCACGGCGCACCAGGACCGAGGCGTCGAACCGAAGCCGGCAGCGCGAGCGATATATCGCGCTTATGGGGACAAGGAGGTGCAACTGAGCGCGATTGGTGCTTGCTCGCTGCTGGGCACGTCCTTTGTTCAAGGCGCCGCCAAGGGCATGCTGCCGAGAGGCCCACGACCAAGTGGCTCCCTGCACGCGACCGCAGCCGCAAAACAAACCTGCACCAACGGGACGACAGGAACGGATATGCGAATCGATAGGAATGCATGCGAGTCGATAGGAATGCATGCGAATGCATACGAGTCGACGCCGCTCGACAGCCGAATCAATGCGAATCAACACCAGTCAATGTGGCCGATAGTCCGGCTGCTGGCGGCCCTTGTCTGCCCACATGCGGCCATTTGTTTCTTCCTTCGACGATCTCGCAGGACAATCCGCGCACAACTCAACCCCACCCACCGGGGCGGTGCTTGCGACCGGCCCAGCGTGTCGGTGTGCGCACAGCCGGCCTTGGTCTGCCGGCTCGCAGGAATGTGGCCATGCCGATTGCTGGCAGGAGGGGGTGGGTGCTTCTCCTTTCGGCTATCCCAGTCCCCGCCGATCTTCAAATCCCGTTTCGTCTTGGGAGGAAGGGCGGGTTGTGCTCGATTCCGCCTGCCTTGCCTGCCTGCTTGGCTGCTTGGCTGCCGATGGGGCGAGTTCCTCCGATTCAGCCGCGGCGTCCGTCCCGCTTTGGATCTCCCCGCGCGATCGCATTATCGCCGTTGGTCAGCCGTTGGTCAGGAGCCAGTCCCACTGCCCGCGATTTTCAGCGGCCGCCGATGGCACAGTATCCGACCGCAAAAAGGTTGGCGGGCGGCGCCGGCAATGCGTCGCATGGATCCGTCTGCGGGAGGTCACCAGGCCGCATGGGGGGGGGAAGAGGCATGTCCGCTCGGCAGCATTTGCCCGGTCGGCAATGAGCACGACCGAGATCATCTCCATGGCAAGGGGGAAAGAGTTTCGGGTAGTATGGAGGCCCACCACCATACATCCGGCGCTTGAAACCGACGCTGCCATTACCAGTCCGTTCGGCAATCGATCCAACCGGTTCGGGACCACGCTTGACGGCTCGACTCGGTGCTTCTCCTGCACTTGTCGCAGACAAAGGTGACGGAGATAAGGCTGAGATGGTTAGGTTGTATGGACGAGGGGGGGGGCTATGGTACAAAGGGTTCAACGGGGAGCAGCCAAAGGAAGCCCCGACAAGGAACCAGCGGTGTCGGTCGGCCAGGCGACGCATGTTGGGTTGCAAGGGTATCCAGCGCTGATATCCAGCACCGGCTCGGGTTCGGGTTGCTCCGAGGCGGAATGCAGGCGGTGCATTGCAGCGAGCGTCGTCGCAGCCACCCCACGACCATCGTATGAAATCCTCGCTGGCAAAATGAGTCCAGCAAGTCCTCGTCTCCTTGGCAGATAAGCGTCACTCAAATACGTGCAATGTATTCTTGAAGGAGGCTGTAGCGAGGCGGGACGTGCATCCCGTTTGTTTCAGAGAGCACCAAGGGGAACGAGGAGGGGCATGGGTAGGAAAAACATGAGTTGGAGGAGCATGGACTGGAGGAGCGTGCGCTTTGCAGGCAGCAGCTACCGGCCAACCCGTAAAGAGGCTGCCGACAGACGAATCGACTTGAACATAATGCAGGAGATAGAGGCATGCGGAGAAGCACAAGCAAATAATCATAATAACCAAACGAGGGAGAATGCTGTTCTTGGCGAATACAGGCCCGCGACTAGTACGTCAGCACAATCGCCCGTTTGCTCGGAGCAGCGAGCTGGCTCTCAAGGGAAAAGCTGGAGCGGCGGATGACGCCGGCCGGCGTGGACGAGTCGCTGGGACTAGAGAGCGGCCGACACTCCCAATACTCTTCGTTCAGGATCTCGCGCGGCCGATCCTTGAGCGGATGGAAGTGGGCCACACAAACGGTTGAGCCGAACGACACCCTTGGCGACCAAGGGTCCTCTGGAAGCTGCTGTGGGGCTGGGTCTGGAGCCTCGTCGAGGTACTCGGATGGGTCGATCAGTGTAAAATCGTGGTCGATGGGCATGGATGCGGGCGAACCCGACAGAAGCGTCCCCCAAGGAGTGGAGAGGACCGGACGGGAGGTTGAGCGCGGGACAGTTTTGAGACAGGACCGGAGCGGACGCAATGGCTCCGTTGACGGCGACCCGAAGGACGGCAACGGCGACACGGATCGCTCTCGCCCGGGCGACGGCGGCGACAGCGATGACGGTGGCTGGGGCCGGTGGTTCTCAGCCAAAGAATTGCAATGTAGGCTGCTGGGTAGTGTTGCAGCATCTGAAAAGTCGTGTGCTTCCGGCGCCAGCGACGGCGAGACGAGGTTGTGAGGAGGAGCCGAGAGGGGAACGAAAGGTGCGGTGACGGCCAAGGGCGGCAGTGAGGGTGTGGAAGAAAGACTTGACATTGGATACGGGAAGGCGCAAGCAGGAGTCGGCGACGGGGAGGTAGGGCTCGGTAACAGACAGCCGGCCGGACGGTGCGAGGGATCTGTGATATCAAAAGGATGCGACGAAGCGACGGTATCGCAACGGCGCTGCGGCGGTATCATCTGGGCTGCCGAGGAGGGCTGTGGCGAGACGAAGAAAAAGTCGTGGTCCGGACCGGCGCTGGCTTCGAAATGGTGTCTGGCATCGTGTTCGATATCCTGCTCGGCATCCAGCTCGGCATCCTGCTCGGCATCCGGCTCGATGTCCAGTTCGATGTCCAGTTCGATGTCCTGTTCGATGTCCTGTTCGAGGGTGTGCTGGACACAATGGTGTCCTACGCTTGCTCCAAAGGCAGCTCCAGCCTTTGGCTCGCCCTCATGCTCGGTATTCGGGACACTGCTTGCTCCAGCATTGGCTTCAACACTCGACGATGCGGCTGGCGACAGCTTCGGGATGCCCCACGGCGAGGGCGGCGGGTGCATTGGATGTCCTTGATGGTGGACCGAGCAGGTTGGAGACGGCCCGTGGCGACAACGGGCGCTTTGGAACTTTGGCATGGTCGACGAGGAGGCAGGCAGGGGCGGGCGTTGGGCCAGGAAGGTGCAGAGAGGCGTGAGACGCTGGCGCAGACGATGCAGAGTAATGCTAAAGACGGCAAACATGGCCGCGGGCGGAAGAGCAGATGGGGAGAGGGAAGAGCGTTGTGGGCTTGTGGATCGGCACGGGCGAATCCCGCAGAAGACGCTGGAATCCCACCGAAGCCCGGACGGGAAAGTTCACCCGGGCAGAAGCGACGGCGATGGGTCCTCGGGGAGAGTGCGATGCCGAAACGGCGGACGCAGGTCACAGCAAATGCAGCGACGGCCGATGGACGGCCGATGGACAGCTGATGAAGCAAACGGCGAAATGGATGGTGAAGCAAACGAAGCGGATGGTGAAACGGATGATGAAACGGATGAGAATCGGCGATGGATCGACAAAGAATCGACCAGAGGGGATTGAAAATGGCCAATGAGATGCAGGCGCAGTAACTGTTTCTGGCGAGTCCATCCACCAAGGCGGCCAGCCAGCGACCGCTCCCGAATGCGTGGTAATGCATGAGTGTATCGCAGTGGCATCGTATCGCAATAGTGTCATTTCGCAGTGGTATCGGCTGGGCCATCAAGACGCAAACCATCGCATTCGACCGACGCCGTATCGCTCGCTGAGACCGTTGGCACTGTTGTTTGCTGGTGGGCTGCAATCCGTGGCTGAGCTGTGTGCCGAACAAGTCACGTGCTGAGTAACGTGTGCTCACCGCGTCCTGGGCCTGGGTGAATGCGATGTCCCTTGCATCGCCTGCATCGCCTGCATTTGCCTGCATTTGCCGGCATTTGCCGGCATTTGCCTGTATCGTTGCCGTCACTGGCCGTCGTGGTGTCCGCAGAGATGGTTTGAAAGAGACAGCTATATTCGCATCGCGCCATTGTCCTCGCCGCGCTCATCACGGTCCACGCACCAGGAGGGCGACGGGGGCAAAACATGTACATGGGACATGGGACATCCGCGATTGCATCCGTTCGTCGCTCGGCATTCACGCGGTGTTGTCCGTCGCTCCACACGTCGACGCCACAGTCTCACTGCCTTCCGTATGCATCGTGGAGGATTCAGTTTCGTGCGCTTCTTCGGTTTGGGGCCTGTCTGAGAGCGTCCGGCTGGACTCGGTCTCTGTCTCGTCAGCCGCGGCCGACGATGGCGCCTTTGGTGGCCGCCCCAACCGGACCGGCAGCTTGATCTGGAGCGCCTTCTTGGTGCTCGAGCCATCTTTGCCAACAGTGAGCGTGATGATCGGCCGCCTAGCGCTCTTGGTCTTTGGCGTGATCGGCATCGGTGGCTTCTCAGCCCCTGCGGATTCACCGTCGCCGGACGCAGGATCCAGTGACGCACTTGCAGAGCCGGTAGCCGCAGCGGCACCGTCCAGTGTCATGGCAACAGGCTGATCTATCGTTGTCCCTGCTGCTGCTGCTGCTGCCGCCGCCGCCGCCGCTGCTGCTGCCGCTGCTAGCTCGGCTTTGGATTTGCGACCGCGCTTCTTCTCGGGCTTCTTGATCGGCTGTGTTGCTGACTTGGCGGCATCGGGTTGGGCACTATCCGGAAGCTTGGTGCCACTGTCCAAGGATACTGTCTCCTCGGCCGCTTGCGCGATCGCATTCGCGCTTGCGTCTGCACGTACCGTCGAGTCCCTGCCACCGGCTGACCTGGGCTCGCTCTGCGATTCCATGCGCTGGGGACGTCCATGCCCGGCCAGCAGACACGGCGTGCAGTACCACTTGCCCTCGGGAACGGCTGAAAGGCCAACGCAAAACAGATGGAACCACTCGATGGGGCACTGGAGGTCGCACGCAAGTGGGAACGAGCAGCTCAGTTAGCAGCGAGGCATCGCCAATACGCAGAGCCTCTAGGTATCGTCGAGACACAAACCCCCGGGGCATCGCCGACACACGAGCTCCAGAGACAAGCCAAACTGCCACTTACATCCGGATTGTCACATCCGACCATATCGCCATAAGACTGGCCACGGCAGAGACAGTACGGCGCTTCGTCTTCTTGGATTTCATCGAAATGGTCGCCGGGTTGCGTTCTGAAACAAAGCCGAGGCGGCGACATTTCAGCGTCAGACGCAGAGAGTCGAGGGGAGACAATGGTCATGGGCGAGACACAGTGGAATCGCAGGAGGCCGTGGTGCATGTTCCGCCAGCCCTTGGACCGCTACATACGTTTTTCGGGGCGACAGAGTCTGTCGCAGGTGCTTGGGCAGGCCATCACCAGGGCTGTGAGACTTGCGAGAGCCAGAGTGAGAAGCAGAGTGCTTGCGTGGTGGCGTTAGCGAGTAAAGTTCGCCGTCGTCGTGGGTATGCTTGCGCTTCAACGGGGTTGTTCCTGTCGGCACGTCTGGTTCAGGGCCGAAGGTAGAGGCAGGCCACATTGTGGCATTTTTGCGAATCAACATGATGGCATACGCATTCGCACTGCCGGCGCAACGAAAATGTCACCGCCAAGGCCGCGAACGGCGCAAGTCATGGGCGACGACTCCAGGGCGAGCAAAAGCGCCAGAAGCGAGGCAGGGAAGGGGAGCAGAGAGCGGAGAGAAGAGAGCAGACCAAGCCACATGTCGAGCGAATGACGCCAGCGAGACTATGAATGGCTTTTTATCGTTGACGAGGGGAGTGGCGCCGCAATGAAAGCACAACATAAACAACATACCCATCCGCTTCTTGAACGGCGTCAGCGACCCGAGGTCGCCCCAGGACCCGCCATCGGCTTCGCCCGACTTTGTCATTGCAACCATGTACTGGCACGCCGCCTCGACTTGGAGAGTCTGCTTGTTGACCTGAGGACGCAAAGCCAAAGATTTGCGGGCAGAGGGGGCGGATCAGCACGGCAAGACTCGCCGAGCTGGTCTGTTGACCAACGGATTCACCAGCACATCCACCAACAGACGGCCGATACCAACCAGGTCCAGCAGCTTCTGGCAGAGATCGATTTTCTCGGACGAGATGCGCTTGGCTTCCTCAAACTTTCTCAGATAATCCGACTCGATCGAGTCCAGGAGCTCCCTTTGCAGAGGCGACTTGTCGTCCGGGGCATCCGGGAACTCGACTTCGTACTGCAGCGTCGAGAGATACTGGTCCTTGAGTTTGCCCAGACGAGACTTGCATTTGGTATAGGACCGATTGAGGGTGGATATGGACGAGAACTGGTGCGTGACATCGGTCGAGAGGGGGCTCAGCGCTGGTGGGTTGGGGGGCGGACGGGCACGGAAAGGAGCGAGGGTGAGCAGACCGGTTTGTGCAGTGTCTTATCCACGACGGAGAAGGGGATGTAAGGGAAGGATGAAGCCGCTATACATTTACAGTGGATTTGAGGGCTGTCTCTGGGCGGTGGCTCTTTGCGTCGTCAGCCACTGCATCACGTATAGGATGCCCCATCCATGCACGGTCCGTGCCCGAGCAGCGCTCCAGCGGGCTGCATGAACCAGGCGGTGGAGATTATGCGACGGTGGGTGAAGTTCGAGAGAGTATATGGGCCTACACTCGATAAAATCGTCGAAAAACAGGTCCGGCGAGCTCGAGTCGAACGTGTCAAAGAGGAGCGACATCCAGAGGGTCGGAAGCAGGAGGTTGGGTCGACGGCGGGACGAATGAGAGGCTGCGAATGTGGCGAATGTGACGAACGAGGTGAGAAGAGAATTTGTGACGGACGGGTGGATATAGATTGGATGCCGAAAGCGCCGGCTGTGGCCCGACATTGCGTCCTCTTTATCCCTCATTCATTCGCGGTGCAGTGCCGATGGCAAATGGCAAATGGCAAATGGAGACCGAGCCACCTAGTTCTCAGGCAACTGGGTGGCAGACACGAATGACATTACAGCGACGCAGGTCTGTGTGGCTGAAGAACGCCATCAAACGCCATGCATGCACACCTACTGCACGCCCGTTGGTGGGGAGAATGGTCCGGGAGCAGGGCACTAAGGAGGGGGTGTCGTGGCGATGCTGGGTGGGCGTTGGCGGATGCCAGGGGGGAGATATCCGCAGACGCAGCGATGAAGAGAGGGAGCGGTAGAGGCCAATATGGCAACAGGAGAGGAATATGGAGATGGCCGGGTCGACAGCACGGGCGGCGGGATGCAGCAGGATGCGGCGGCGGACGGAGGCGATCAGCGAGATGGAGGGAAGACGATGGGCCAGACAGGAGGGCGGGCTGGCCGGGAAGAAAAGCTGCGAATTCAAACTCAGCCGCTGGTTCGAATGGCAGCGAGAGCGAGAGTGGGCGAGAGTGGGCGAGAGTGGGCGAGAGAGATCATGCAGGATCATGCGCGGTCACGGGAGATGATCACACCCAGCGAGACGAAAGCACCGACATCCACAGCTATCATCCACCGCCACCAACGTACATCATCACATCCACAGCCACCATCAACGTACATCATCGGCATCAACGCACATCATCACATCCGCATCTGCATCTGCATCCGCAGGGATAGGATCGACCCCCCCCCACCAACACTGTCCCAATCGCAGCCCGCTCAGCCCCGCCCGGCCTGCTCCCGCCCTCGGTCGCCGCCGCAATTGCCCCCAGGGACCATCCAGGGCCCAGGGAACATCTGCCCGTCGTCGGCGCTCCTCTGCCCTTCCTTTCCTCCCCGCTTTCCACTCACCAAGATCCCTTAGGCACCCTCGGCTTGCCCGTCGCTCGTTCCCACAGTCCGTCCCCCATTCCTGTGCACCCCCAGCAGCAGCCATGAAGATTGCGCTCGTCTCCCTGCTCGTGGGCATCTCGCTCCTGGCCGTCCCGGCCCTGGCAAACAGCCCTTCGCCTCGTCCTCGCGACTACACCACCACTCCCATCCAGACGACTTCGTCGCCCAGCAAGGTACTTTCGCCACTTGCATTCGCCTGTACTCGCCTGCACTGCTCATCGCACCCTCGGGCTCACTCTGCTATGATTCCGCCACACGGCGACCAGCCCTCAGTCGCCCCAAAGATCGCCCACAGCCGCTCGTTCATGACCGCCACGCCAACATCCGCAACACCCGGCGGCCATCCCGTCCCGCATCCATCGTCTCCGCGGTATTCCACCACAGCAACCAAGACGCGTATCTACCCGACCCCAGAGCCAAAGGACCTATAATTGAGGAGACGAGCAGCCCATCCACCCACTTTATGCTCAGCATTGTTGTTGTAGGTGCGCTGTTGCGTCTGGAAGCGTGACAGTCTGAGAAAGTCGAATGACGTGCTCGGGATCCAGCAGAGCCCGTCGGCTGCGCTTGGCGAAAGAGGTTTTCTCTGACATCCGTCTCTCGGAGACAGTCAATGTCTTGGCACAATATAGAATAATCGCTGGCCCCATCGACCGAGAATGGACGCGCATGGACAGAGCGAGGAAGGGACAGAGGAAGGTACACTTGACGTGTAATGCCAGCTATATTGATAGATTGGTAGATGTGAGAGAGAGGAAGGGGGGAGGCGTTGCGAGCTTCGTCAAAGGAGGAGAGAGTGTCGGCCGGCCGGAGTCGCTCACCGCTCGCAGCCAGCGCGGTTGTCTCTCCGTCCAGATCCGAAGCCTGAAGCTGAACCGGAACATGACAAAAAAGATGGTGGAATGGGCGGCTGGGGCTCTGGTTGCGGCCCCTCTATTTGAAAAAGCTCCATTTGCCCTTCTTCTTCTCTGGCTCGGCCGACTGCTCCGACGAGTCCTCAGCCTCGCTAGACTCCTTGGCATCGGGTTCAGCCGCGGCGCCGGTGCTCGGGGTGCCAAAGGCATCCTCGATGGCCTTCTTCTGTGCCGGTGTGAGGTGCTTGGGGATCGTGATCTTGAAGGTCACCCACTGGTCACCCTTGTCGGAGGAGCGGCGGCTTTGCACACGGGCAACGCCCCGCTTTCGCAGCACCTTGCGTTCGTCGGGCTGGGTGCCGGCCGGGATCGTGAGATCGACGTCGCCATCGACCGTGGGAATGCGCACAGTCCCGCCCAACAGGGCTACCGACAACGGAATATCCACGTTGATGAGCACATCGGCACCGTCCCGCCGGAACTGGGGATGGGGTCCGACCTAGATGGTGTGCGATGGAAGCAGGCGAGTGCATCATCAGCATGTCGTCGATGGTGAGATGCGAGGGCTCACGTCAGTCGTATGCTGAGCGCAGCCAAACAGGATCTAGCATGGATCAAGGCCGTGGATAGAAGGACATCCATGCTATGAGCACTGCTCATGCAGTCCGCACCTCCTTCCAGAGACAGCGACACCGCCAACCAGTCCGCCCCACCGTCGCCGCTCTCAGTCAGAGCTTGCTTTGCGCGACGATATCCATACCGTGATTTGCAGGTGGATGTCTCCAGCAGGGCCATCGCCCTCCATGGGCACGTCGCCCTGTCCAGCCAGTCGGATCCGCATGCCGTCCTCGACTCCGGCAGGAATGTTGACGTTCAGTGTCTGGGTCTCGGTCACACGCCCGGAGCCGCCGCAGGGAGAGCACTGGGCGCTCTTGGGCACAAACTTGCCGCTTCCGCCGCAGTTGTCGCAGGTGGTGGCCATGTGGAATCCGCCTCGAATAAAGACACGCTGAGGCAGATGGAAGGCATGTGGCAGCATCGGCAACGGCCATGGTACGTTGAGCCAGAATCCAGTAGATCGAGTCAGCATACGACCACTCCGCCAGGATAGTACGGCAAGATGTCACCTTGTGGGAACGACACAGACGCCCCCGATGACACAATCGAGCAATTCAGCCAAACTTACCCGACCCGATCCGCCGCAGACAGTGCATGTCTTTGCACTCTCGCCCTTCTTCAGACCGCTGCCCGAGCAGGTGCCGCACTTGCGGAGTGCCCGAAAGGTGATGGGCTTTTGGACGCCGTGGGCCGCCTCCATGAACGTGATCCGGGTTGCAAGCACCGTATCCTGCGCGACCGACTCGAATCCAGAACGGGCGCCGTTCATGCCCCCAAAGTTGCGGAAGAGCTGCTCGAATACGTCGGCGTGTCCGCCGGGGAAGCCGCCCTGGAATCCCTCGAAGCCTCCGGCACCGGCTCCCGGATATCCTCCGTCTATGGTGCCGCGAAAGTGTCGGCAAGACCAGTCGATCGAGTTGGTCAGCATCGATTCCGTGAGGGATATGACGTCCAGAGGACGGCACGATCGCAACAGACACAGAGGGACTGCAAGGTGCAGATGCCATGATCCGCCGTGAAGATACCATGATCCACCGTGAAGATGCCGGCCGTGCTGATGTCAAAGTCTTACCAAAGCCGCTTGGACCAAACTGATCGTACTGAGCCCGCTTTTTCTCGTCTGAGAGGATCTGGAGGTGCACACGCAGTCAGAGAGCCATTCCGGCTCCTCATTCCCTCCGCAGGCAACTCCCGCAGGCTCGGAGCACCACTTTGTCCCGGCCACCATCTGCCGCCCTCGGGCAGCCCGCATCCGTGCCACCAAGATATGCCCTGTGCCGACAGGAAATGCCGACGGTGCCCTCGATCGTCACCTCGTAGGCCTCTTGGATCTCCATGAACTTTTCCTTGGCGTCGGATTCCTTGTTGGTGTCAGGATGGTACTTTTTGGCCAGCTGATAATACGCCTTTTTGATATCGCTGGCCGAGGCCGTCTTGGATGTTCCCAGGATCTCATAAGCGTCTCGTTTCAAGGAAAGGTTCGAGGCTGGGTCAGGTGGAGTGGGGAGAAGTGCGGGAACGAGGGAGGGTCAGAGCCGTCGGCAACGTCGAGCTGGATCGCGGGTATGCATCAGAGTAGATGGACGTGTGACTTACATGTGCTTCCAAAGCTCCGAGTGGCTGTGGGTTGTGAATCGCGGGGATCGCAAGCCAGCAAATGCAGCATTGAGGGGAAGGGCGAGGTCAAGGGCGGTCGGGACAATGGTCAGCTCGGTTCAGGGTGCGGACTGTCGCTATCGATGCGTGCTTGAATCACGGCGATGTGCCTACAGTGTCATTGGATCTGGCGCCAAGTGCATGGCAAGTTTGACAGCATGGCCAGCCCGGATGGCATGGTGGGCCGAGGCAGATGGTCTGCGTCGGGATATCGGCGATGCCAGTGACTCAAGACGTACCTCTTGGAGCAGGACATGGCCGGAGGCTCGGCGAATGCCAGGGGCGAGCCGACCGTGCAATTGGCTGGGAGATGCAGCGACGGACCGAGAACAGCATCATGGTGCTTGTGGGAAGAGCCGCAGAGTTGGGTGCGGGTGTGTCGGAAAAGTCGGATGAGAGGGACACTCTTCAGGATCGGGATGCTGAGAGATCGGCAACAGAGACAGCCTCGGTTAGCGGTGATGGCTTGCTGGCTTGCCCACGCAATCCCGGTACGCACATGTGCACTCTGTCGGGACGCTCTCGGCGATCGGAGGCGAGATGTCGCATTCGCAGAGGCGGGAGGGGAGGGCCATCGACAGGCTCGTGGCCGATGTTCCGGCATCCGCATGTGCAGCGACCCACCGCTTGTCTCAGCTGACTCGCTCGTCTGTGGATCGTCGCTGTCGTTGTCGCTGTCGTTGTCGCTGTCGTCGTCGATGGCGATGGCAGCGGCAGTGGCGATCGTGCCTTGCGGGATGCAGGTCGAACTTGCGTCGTCAGAAGCCGCGGATGGGTTGCTGGCTGGCCGGGCACCCAACGGAAACCACCAGAAAAAAACGGTCGCAGTCGCAATCACTCCACATTCGATCCGGGTGCGACTGCTGCGCACGGGTGCTGCGGACGGATCGGGCCGGATCGAGCCGGATCGAGTTGTCGCGGCAGCCAGCCAAACCGTGGTCGGATGCGTTTGGCATGCCCCGATCTGCTCTGCCATGATCCGACAACGACCTGCATGGATCGCACGGCACCGGCCATGGCGGACGCTCGACACGGCCCCTCGACCGTCCCCGGCGAGGCGGGGCATGCATACGGTGGCCCTGGGTATGTCCGGCGGCGTCGACTCGAGTGTGTCAGCGTATCTGCTGCAGCAGCAGGTAAGGCTCCATGTCGGCCTCGACCTGGCCAGAGACATAACCAATGGATCACTGGCAGCCCGGCCAACCGCCGAGAGGCAAGCACTCACGCTGCTCGTCGCCGATTCCACCAGGGCTACAGAGTCCACGGGTATTATATGCGGAACTGGGACGAGCGAGAAGAAACCGGCCACTGTCCGTCGAGTCAAGACTGGGAAGACGTCCAGACTGTCTGCGATCGCCTCGGCATCGAATGCACCAGAGTACGATGCCATGCTGGAGCCAGCCATGCACCACCAGGATATTAAGAAGAGGCCATCACCGAGCATCGGTCCAACTATTAACGACTTGCCCATCCGTGCCAGGTCGATTTCACCAAGGAATACTGGAACTCGGTCTTCACGCCCTTTCTCGATCAGCTCGCCGTCGGCAACACACCCAACCCGGACATTCTCTGCAACGAGAAGATCAAATTTGGGTCGTTTTTCGACCGCTACCTGCTGTCGTGCCAAGGCCAGCACAAAATTGCTGCTGACTATGTAGCCACAGGTGGGCAGTCGAGGCTGGAGGACTTGGGATGGCAGCTATGGCGGTGACATATCTTGGGGGCGACGCATCTCAACCCAGTACAGCGTTGGATGGACTGCATTCCTTACCGGGCACCCTTTGACATCCTGCTCAGGACACTATGCCCAGATGCGTCACGATCCCGATGGGTCGTCGCATCTGATTCGAGGTGAGCCGACCGCAATTGACGAGATCGATCATGATGATGCTGCCGGGTGTATCCCGGCCACAGGATCCATCCGAATGCAACCCAACCCACTGCAGACAGTCTATTCATATGAGCCAACTGCTCGGGCTATCGGCAATGATGTCAGTCGACCTGCCGCTGCCACATGATACTAACTGCAGCGGCATCCAAACACTTGCACTCATCACATGGATACCACCAGCCGCCGACCGAAACAAGGATCAAACGTATTTCCTATCGACAGTCTCGATCGCTCGGCTCAAGCGCACGCTCTTCCCGATCGGCCATTTGCTCAAGAGCGATGTCAAGAAGCTGGCTGCAGACCTTGGCCTCCCCGTCGCGCAAAAGAAGGAGAGCATGGGCATCTGTTTCATCGGAAAGCGCAAGTTCTTTGACTTTGTTGGTATGCTGGGCACCGGCTGGCACCGGCTGGTACCGCCGAGACGGGTGGAGAGACACTGCCCTGGCTCACATGGCTGCAGAGAGAATGACATCTACCTGCTTGGCTGAGGCGATGCTGGATGCACGAACGATCGCGTGGATCGATTTTGAGCCGGCTCTCCAACAGAGTGTCGCTGACGCAGCTCCCCCGGGCTTGTTTCGTTATCGTCCGCGACTGTACCTCAACCAGAGGAGTACATCGAGCAAACTCCGGGCGAGTTTGTCTCTGTCGATGGAGAGGTGCTCGGTAATGACTGGTCCAGGCAATTGCACACATTTGCTGCTGCCTCGCCGCCTGTTCGTCTGCGCCCGACTGCATTGCGACGCAGAGCCAATCGCCTGCGCCACTCGGAATGAGCATGACCCACTTACTGCCCTTCGTATTTCACATATCGCTCGTGTCTCGGACAGGCACCCATCCTGGACTCTCATCACACACGATCGGACAGCGAGCGTCGCTGCCTTCGGCCACTGGCACCAAGTTTTACGTCGCCGGCAAGAATTTTGCCAAGAATCAGCTCATCGTAGCGTCGAGCGTGTGAGTCCCCGTGCTCGGGTATTGGTCGCCACGACTGCGGTGACGGCTGCGGTGACAGCGTGCGCCATCCAATGTTGCTGAGCACCCCATCTCATCCAGCCATTCTCCTTGGAACTTTGCTGCAGATCACATCCAGCCATGCTCAGGGACATTGTCAAGATCCGCACCAGCGATTTCACATGGATCCAGGGGCAGCCACCGCCGCCTGGACCCGAGTCAGGTATGGGAGGTCTTGAAGCCAGCGCACCCTCATAGAGTGCACACTAAGTGGACACTAGATGCACACCATCGATCAGCGGGCTCTCATCCTTGACTGGCCTCGCCCGGACATTGCTAACCCACCATCCCGCCGCATATTCTCCAGATGGTATCAAGACCATGGCCAAATATCGATATCGGTCCGATCCCGTGGCTTGCACCCTGAGCCTGGACGGAGGCCATGTCGTGTTCAAGTTTGATTTCCCACAGGTCGGGCTGGCGGCTGGACAGCATGTCGCCGTTTACGACTCGGAAGGCGAGGAGTGTCTTGGTGGCGGCAGCATCACCGAGACTGGCCCGTGGCTGTACTCGAGGGAGCTGTGAAATGCAGCTCCCTCAAGATGATTCAACCTTCTGTCTTGATGGGCAAAGAGACTGGCGATGGGCGTATCGCAGCCTCGAAGGAGAGCGATATGAGAGTCGAGGGCGATGCAGACTCCTGCTTCGCATGACAGCACACCATCGTTCACCACCTTCCAGGATTGAGCGCAATCTTTGCTCTTCACGTTCCTCCTCTCCTCCTCTCCTCCTCTCGCAGCCCCCATGTAAACCGGCACAGATTCCCTATAATAGCACCAAGATCGGCAATACTCTCGCGAATTGGGCTGCACGGCTCGTCGGTCAGCGACCTTGCTTCACCCATGATACGCCTGCACATGTGCCAGAGGTGTGCTGCAGTCAAAGTATTCAATTAGTTGGGTTCAGTTGTCCTCCGTTTCCGGCGTCTCCTTTGATATCTCTCCGCAACTTCACCTCTCCTGTTTGCCCTTCTGATAGGCCTCCCGCTCTGTCTGGTCAAGTGCCATTACCACTCCATGAAATGAAATGAAATAAAATAAAAACCAAATGAGGAAGAATAAATAGTGTGATAGAATCATGGTCATGAACAGCCGAGGTGGAAGCTCGAAACAGAATTAAACTGCTCTGGCAAGAAGTCATAAATGCGAGCAGACTATACTGGTGGGCGAGAAACACCAGCCAGGCTAAGGCGGCGTCTTTGTCATCGAATATGTACACAAGTATGGGTCGAGGGAAGCTCTCAAGACCAAGGACCGTGCCAAGGGCAGGTTGAATACAAAAGACATGTACAGTCAAAATAGAGCAGGAACAGCAGGGAGAAAGGGAGAAAGAAGAAACAAATGAAAGCCAAAGGGGGCAACTCGATCAGAAATCAGCCAAGAATTGAGCGGGGAGGGGAGAAGGGTGTGATCTCGGCTGTTGACTCACACAGCTTTGCGGGGCAGTGGTCTTGTTGTTGCTCGTTGCTCGTTGCTCGTTGCTCGTTGCTCGTTGCTCGTTGCTCGTTGCTCGTTGCTCGTTGCTCGTTGCTCGTTGCTCGTTGCTCGTTGCTCGTTGCTCGTTGCTCGTTGCTCGTTGCTCGTTGCTCGTTGCTCGTTGCTCGTTGCTCCTCATTGGAGCAATTGATTGTCCCAGAGCTACTGCGGATGCGGCTCGCTAGTGGTGGAAGGCGAGGCTGCCCTCCATGTGAGACATCTCGGCGTCCATCGACATTGAAAAGCCAGAGTGGTCCGGCAAAGTCGTGGCGGCCATCGCATCGTTGCCGCCTCCAGCATATGCAGTTGCAGCGAGCCCAGCCGAAGCGGATTTGATGCCTGCGGCCCGCGGCATAGGTTGGTTTGATGCGACCGAGCCTCCGCCGCCGAAATCGAGCTGCATAGTCGCAAACGGATGCGACTGCGGAGACATTGCCGCGGGCGATGGGGAGCGACCCAGCGACAGTTGTTTCTTTTGCTTGAACATGGGCAGCGTCCCCGACTGCACCTCGGCGTCGCCGTGGCCAAATTGCGAATGCGGCTGTGGCTGCATGGCCGGTGCATTCGAGGCCGAGAGGGCAGATGTCGACGTCGACGACGACGATGACGACGAGGCTGACGCCGATGCTGATGCCGATGCCAACGTTGGCGTCTGGGTCGAGAGGGCCGTTGGGGTGGGCGAAGGCGTTGGCGGATGGGCATACGAATGGGGATGGAGGGGATACGGGTGCTGCGTGTGAACATGGCGATGGTAGTGGTAAGAGTGGCGGGGAGCCGCATGCCCGGCGACATATGGATACGGCTGAGGGCCTGGGCGATAGCTCGGGTGCTGTGGAGGCGGCACCGCAAACGAGTACGGGTTGCCGAACCGTGAGAGCGGGTCGCCTCGGTTCTTGTCGCCGGTTACGGCACGATTCGATCCGGCCTGAGGCCCCGAAGACGGCTGGGACCCAAAGCCCTGGAAGTCGGGCTGGCCCGGCATGCAGGCCAGAGTGTCTGCGTCCGAGGCACCCTCGTTCTTGATGTCGGAGAGCGACTTGGAATCCTTGAGGGCACCGGCAATGCCGACCACCGAGTCTGGAGCACCTGCAGCTGCCTCCAGACGGCCCTCGAGGGTCTCTACTTCTGCGGCCTCCATGTTCTCGGCCAGCAACGGTGTAAAGAAGCACAGGGACCCGGTAGGATTGGGCGGCTGCGATGGATTGGACACTGACGGCCCGCTCGGCGTGGTGGCTGTGTCGAGCATGTAGATCGATCCCGGCGATCGTGGTGGAAGTGGATACGGGTGCGAGTACGGATGCGGAGCCCCTGGCAAAGACATCCGTTCTGGCTCAGTGACGGGGCGCTTGGGCTGACGAGCAGGGGCCGAGTTTGGGAGGATTCCATCGATCCGAGGAGCAGGATCGGTGGAGTACCACCCCATGGGCGCCGGCGGAGACGAGGAGATCATGGCCAAGTCGAAGGGCTCGTGCGGGTGATGCAGGTGAGCGGGATGAGGTGCGGGATAGAGAACCGAATCCATGGCCGGGTGGCCTGGGAGTGCGCCGCCGATGTGCGGGGCTGCGATCAGGTTGGCGGGCGGCAGGTTCGGAAACGAATCCAGCGACTCCATTTCGCCATGGTGCGAGTACGGTGCTCCTGGAGGGACCTGAGAATACGGCATCTTGGGGATGGCCATGGGCGGACAGGCGGGTGTGGACGATATGAGCACCGATGCTCGCTTGGGAGACTCTCCGTCGAGAGGAGTCAGGCGCCAGTGGTAAACTGGGCCCTCATACCATTGCAGATGGGGGCCCAGCGACGGCTGCAGGACATAGCCCTTGGAATGGAACATTTCCAAGAGTGCGACGCACCGCTCGATATCTGAGGCGTTGATGGGTTGGTCGATCTGGTCCGATTCGGAGCACCCGTAGCTCCAGCTCCAGCTCGGGCCGGCATCCTCCTTCATGGGCTGATAGATAAACTGCCCAGCGCCAGGACCAAGACCGACACCGCCCGGCATCTGGACATCGGCCTCCATGTCGTGAAAGCGGCGCTCGGCAGCGACCGCAACCTCGGACTCGGGAGGCAGGATCGACGTTGCAACAGCAGCGGCGGCCTGCGAGCGGGCAAGGGCCCTGTCGAGCGGGCTCTGGATGTCGTCGTCGTCGTCGTCGTTGTCTCGGTCTGGATCGTTGCCGTCTCCATCGTCATCACGCTCGCCCGCCAGAGGGAGGACTTTGTCGATGATAATGGGATCGTTCGAGCTGGCGGAGGCTAGCACATCGTCAGGAGCATCGTTGATGGCGGAGCCGGTTACCTCGCCGCTGGCCAGCAGCTCTTGCCAGACAGAGTTGATGACGGTGCTGGTGACGGCCTCATGGTCGTTGTTGACGCTGGCCAGGACAGCCTCCCAGAGACGGCGAATATCATGGCGGTTCTTGGCGACTCGCTTGAGAGAACGACACAGCCGCTCGCGGCAAGGTTGATCGGGGAACCCCTCGAGTTGCTGGATGGCGGCAATGGCGGAGGGCAGTAGCCGGACCAGAGCGAGTTTGAGGCAGGATGAGGGTCATTGGGAGGACGGCGCGATGGATGGATGAAAGTGTGGATGGGTGAATAAATGAATGGGTTGGAGAGAACGGGAAGGGCAGCAACGGGGCCCACCTTCAGGACAACGGCACAGTCCAGGAATCGGTAGACCTGGGCACGCGATATGCTCCAGACGTCCTTGAAGTATGTCTCCAGGCTGGAGGCCTTCTTCTTGTAGATCTTTTGGTGGACGATTGCGTGCACGGCCATGACGGTGCGACGGAATCGCTTCATGCGGCGTTTTGCATCGTCGCGGGTGACATGGTGCAGGACCTTGAGATCGATCCGTTGCTCTTCCTTTTCGAGCGGGTCCATGAGCAGAGGCGTCTTTGCTGCCAAAGGCGAGACGGATACGGGAGTCGCATGGGGCAGATACAGAGGAATGAGCAAAGCGGAGCGGTTAGACTGGAGAAAATGGCGGCAGATCCCGCGCCCATCGCAGCGACCGGATCGAGGACGGCATATGGAATGTACACGGCGTGACGATCCAGCATAGCGCGGTGATCAAGCACGGCAGAAGGATCAAGCATCGCAGAATGATCAAGCACGAGGCGAGAAAGGGCAGCGAGCCGATCGGGGATCGTGTGCCATCCGTCCCGCGATCCAAGTGAAGCCCCATCACCGCCAGGACGACCAGCATCGACGGCTGAATAGAGAGGGGAAGCAAGGGACGAAATGGCAAAAGACATCCAAGAAGTCCAAGGCCCCACGGCATCGGTGCTTGCGATCATCGCGACAGAAGCAACCCGATCGCCGAAATCGCATCCCCGGCTGCTTGCCGAAGCCTTCACAATGGGAAATCGCGCGTGTCCGGTCTGGGAGCAGGGATTGTCCAGGGTGGGAGAAACGGTGGCCAGGATACTTACTATCCGGGAGAGGCAAGGTGCTTTTGGTGATTCAGTGATGGGCGACGACGGCAAGTCAGAGGCAGCGAAGCAAAAGTCCCCCTTTGAGATGATGGGTGTGGGTGTGAGTGCGGCAGTTGCTGTATGCTACTGGGCAGCCGGAGGCGACTTTCGGAGGAGAGAAGCGACAGCGAGCAAGCAGCGAGCAAGATGCGAGCAGCGATCCAGAGGCCCGGGCTTTAACGGGAGACAGTCCGAGCCAGGGCAGATCGGCAGCAGCCAAAGCCAGGCGAGGGGACGAGGAGAAGCGAAGGCGGGGGAAGGGGGGTCAGGGTCGGCAGGTGTTGGAGGTGCCAGCAAACAGCAACAGCGGCGAGAGGAGACCGATCGGCGGGTCGGGGGGGGGAAGCTGCAGTAGATGGAGAAGATGAGAAGCGAGGCGGGAAAGGGTTGAGAGAAGCGTGAGAAGGGTGTTTGATGGATGTGCGAAGACTAGTGAAGGGTAGGTGTGGGAAGCAAGTGAGGGACGGGTGTGGGAAGGAGGACCCAGACGCAGACAATGTACGAATACGGAGCGAGATATCCGAGTGGCAATGGATGATGCGGGGAAGATGGAGCAGGGATGAGAGGAATGGATAGCCCGGGACGGCAGCAGAGCGAATGATTGTGAGACGATGTGCCGACAGGATCGAGTATGAGAGTGGGAGATACCTGCGATGGAGCGAGTGAGACAGGCGGGCAAGTCCAAGACCAAACAACAGGCCGACAGGCAGAGGACGAGCGGATGGCACAAACGACGGAGCGCCGGCGGGGGACGGCCTGGATAAGAATGCATTGGCGACTCTCTGCATCGGCGACGTCCAAGAGCGGCCCTCGCCCCCCCCCGGCGACGATGGCCCGGCTGGCATCCGCCAAAAGGGCGGGCAAAAGCATCCTGCGGCCACGGATTGGCTCGAGCGACCACTCCGATCGGCAGCCGACCTTGCGAGGCGGGCTGCTGACCCCACAGGCAAGCGCCGGGGGGTGGCTCCGCAAGCAACAGCGTCGGCGGCATGGTGTACAAACTAAGCAGAGCGTCGACATGCGGTGCAGAGGAATAGCAACGCATTGGGGAGTGGTGCGGAGGGGGTAGCAATACAACGCAGGCGGGTCTCTGGGCTGCGAACAACCTGGGATGCATCGCAGTGGCATTGCAATGGCGAAGGTGGTGTCGGCCGTGTATGCGCACTCTGATTGCAGTGCATATGCGAATGCAGTGCCTATGCGAGGGGCGATATCGATCCCACAACACTCGGCGCCCACTCAACGCTCGCACCTCTGCCCTCGTGGCCAGCTTCTCCGGGGAAGGGAGGGCAGGTGTCGCCGAGGGTCCTCCGAAGGTCCATCGGAGGCCAATGCTCTTGCGGGCGGAACCAGACGGGGGTGGGCCAGCAGCGGCCAAGAGCACTTGCCTCCGACAGCAGACAACATCCGTCGGCTGCATGACAACGGCGTGCGGATCCTCTGCGATCCTCCGCTGTGTGCAAGACGCAAGGGCCGCAGGGAGGTGTGTCGTGGGCGGCGAGCTGCCTGGGACCAGGACGGCTGCACATCGCACGAACGACCGCTGATGATGCGGCATGATCATGGTGCATCCGCGTGATGAACATGGCGGTTGGGACGAGCCTGGATTTGCAGGACCGAGGGGACGGAAACTCCAGCCCCGGACATCGACAGCCGACATGCATCCCAGGAGACCCATGCGCCTTTCTCCAAGTCCCGGCAGTCCCTCTCCACCTGAGCGAGGCTGCCTTCTGAAGAAAAGCTCGGCACAGGTATTGCAAAGCAAATGATTGTATATTTACAGCCAAACAAGAGGAGACACAATCGACAGGCAGGATGGGCTCTGTGGAAACAGGGCGGGAGGCAAGAGCAAACGCAGGCACAAATGCAATGGCAAAGGGAAAGGAGCGAGAGCGACAGCGAAAAGGGCAGGTCCAGACGCAGATACAGACGTGGATGTTGGTGCGAACAACGGTCGGCTTGCAGGCCCGAGACACGGAGGGTGAATTATACCACCGCCAACCCAGGCTCTGTAGCGGCTGGCCTTCTCCCAGCGTCGACACAGCTAAAAGTTGGTCTTGGGAACGGAAACAAGGCGGTTGCCCTGGGCCACTGGCGCATACTCTTGGTTGGCGGGGCGACTGTTCTTGAGGCGGGTCTCACCCATCGTAAAGCCCTCATCTTCGGGCTCAGGCGCCTTGATGCCGATGAGACCGCCAGCAGCACGCGCCTGGGATCGAGAAAGCAAGAGCAAGAGATAGTGATGAATACGCGGCGACTTGTATTCGTCGTCGAGGGGCCAGGGCTCTCCTCTGCTCCATCTCCAGCCACTAAACTCCACATGTCCACCCCCGTCGGCACTCGCATGGGTGCGTCCGTTCCCACAGCAATGCCACCAGCATCGCACTCCTCGCAACACCATCAGGACGGGCAAGCTCACCGTGATCGAGGCAAAGTTCACGAAGCCCCGCTTCAGACCGGACCCAACCATGTGCATGTAGTTTTGCGGCTCGGCCGGCCTGGGCTCCTCGTGGTAGTGGCCGGCCTCCAGACAGTCGAGGTAGTCAAAGCCATTGGCGCAGGTGGCACTTATGCTGGATCCGGTGCTCTGGTTTGATAAAAGAGAGGAGCCGGAGGACTGCTTGCCAGTCGACTGAAGAAAGGGTGCGCGGGGCATGGCTGTGCGGTGGTGTGGTGTGGTGTGCTATTGCGACGGGATGAAGTGGAATGCGACGGGATGAAGTGGAATGCGATGGGATGAAGTGGAATGCGATGGAGTGGTGTAGGTTGTGGTTTGGCGTGGGAGGGAGCGGCCGGTTACGAGAATAGAGCCGATAAAAGAGTCGAGAGCAACCAATTAGCTACGATGTACGAGGACGAATAGAAGCAAGCTCGAGCAAGTCTCTCACGCACTGCTTTCCCGAAAGGCATGGTCGTATCGAACTCGACTCGGCCAGGAACCGCACGGGCAGCAACGCGAGCGTCGATGAGCGACAATGGTTGATGCAGCACGACCGGCACGGCGACTTGCGACCAACGAACCTGGGGAGTTGAGTCGTCAGAGAGCAGAAAGAAGCGGAGCTGCGATGCGCGAGAAACTCAGCGGCGGCTACCTGTGCCCGTCTTTTAGCGCTGAGAAAGTCTCGGCGTCGGGGAATAAAGGCTTGCGAGTTGGGGAGCGGGGATGTGACTGGCAGACGAGATTACGCCCTGGGGGTGTTTGCGAAATTGCTCGGGAATCAGGGCTGCTCATGTTCAACGGAGGCATGCAGTTTGTCCTCGTCCTCCGTGGATCCATCGCCCCCAATCACCTCTGATCGTCCCGGCCAGGGCTCAGCCTGCCTGACAAGTACCAATCTTGTTCCCGCTGCGTCCCCTTGACTCGCACCTATTCCGCCGTCAAAGCGATCGAGGCAGGCTCAAGCTCCGGACACACTCACTCGATGTGTCTGTGCGCTTGCACCCAGCGGGCGTGGTCTTGGTCTCTTTCTGGACAAAAAAAGGAGGCCCCGGCGAGGTGCGGGTTGGCTGTATTCGATGCATATCCGGTTCGAGAGAAAGGGGGCGGATGGCGGCTCGCTGTGTCGATCCGACAGTCAAAAAAATGGAGGGCCCATGTCTTGCTCCTCATCGCGTCTGGCTTCTCGTCATCTCCATCGGTCGCGAAGGTCGTCAGGGGCAGGGAGAGGCAGAGGCAGAGGGAGAAAGGAGGCCCAGCGCATCCAGTGCCACAGCTGCCCATGGGCTCGGATCGCTCCTGTAAGCTCCTGTATGCTCCTGTATGCTCCTCTCCCCGACTTGGCACGCCCCCTCCCCCACCACCATCATCATCGCCATCCGTTCTTGTCAACGTCGAGGATCCTGTCCGTTATTGACTTGAATCCCGTCGGATCGAGCGCCACCAACTGCCCGCAAATGTCGGCCATCTCCGCGACGTATCTGTCAACCTTGGTTTCATCGCGGGGCGGCCCGTTGGGTAGGTCCAGGGACGAGAGCAGCCGCACCAGATTGGTCCGCAGCGAGCTCAGGGCCACGGACTGCGACGTGAATGCTGCTGTTTGTGATTTCAGTGTCGACTCGAGCTGGAGAACTCGCTGCTGGAGCGACTTGAGCTCGTTCTCCTTCTTCTGGTTGTCCATCTGGTCAAAGCCAGAATCCAGAAGCGAGAGCAGCTCAGCATCTCGTCCCTGTGACGGACGCTGCGAGACGGAGCTTCCTCCCTTGGCAAGCTCTGACATTCACGAATGGAAAGGCAAAGTTAGTGACTGTCGAGAGCGGCTTGGCACATGAGGCCCACAACGCAAAGGCCTCGTAAATCCAGAGACGCCCAATAGAAACACAGCATAGTAGCACTGCGCCAAACAGGCGGGTGAGGAAGTCATGTGTCCATGACACCCAGCGTCACAAGTGGCCCTGCAACCGGACACGTACTTTGATTGTACTGAGAGATCGCCAGTCGGATCTCGCCGCAGATTTCGTCCGCTTTGGACTGGTAGTCAGCCGCCAGTTTGGCGAGGTATTCAAGCGGGGTGTCGGGCAGGGCCGGGGAACTGCTGCGGTTCGAGTTGGTGGTCAGGGACGAGCCCGGTGCGCGCCGTGGAACTGGGTCTCCGGTTTTCTGCAAGATGTGATGTGCAGATGGTTGCATGCATGAGTAACGCGTGCCTTGATGCAATGCAGCCGCGGGGCTCGATTGCCACAGGGCGGATTCTAGCCGTCGATGCGGGATGGAGACCGGTGCGGATGCGCAACAAGCGACCAAGCCGTGTCAAGCGTGCACTCACAATCGCAGGAAATTCGCGCTTGATTGACGGCGAGGTCACCATGGACGGGCCAGAGGGGTTGGGCTTGAGCTTCTTGCTCGGTGTGCCATCAGCACGATCGTCTTTTGGAGAATACGATCTTGACGCGACGTAGAGATCGCCTGGATTCGGCGGGCCATTCTTCTTGGGTGCGACAGGCGCGTCTCTGTGCTTTTCGCTTATCGGGAATGTTGGCTTGACGATACCGCTGCTGCTGCTGCTGTTGTTGTTGTTGCTGCTGCTGGGATTCCTGCTGCCTCCGTTGCCGCCATTTCCGTTTCCGTTGTTTCCGCTGTTTCCGTTGTTTCCATTGCTTCCGTTGACTCCGGCGCCGCCGCCGGTACCATTCGGAAGATTTGACGAGCCTGGCCTCATGGATTCACCAGGGACTGGACGCGGCTTTGCACCCGCATCTCCTGCAACAGATCGTTCGTCATTCGACTTTGGTGTTACAACAATGCCGCTTTCTTCCTCAACCTCGACATAGTCGCTGGTTGGTTTTGCCTTGGCATCGGCCGAGGCGGACGAGCCAGGCTGAACGGACTCGGTCTCGTCCTCATCTTCGTCGGACGAGAGTGCGATGCTCTGGGGCGGGCGCTTTCGCTTGATGGATGGCATGGGATTGGGTGGCGAGGTCGACCGCGACGACACCTTGCCTCGGTGGACCTCGCAGGCGAGCTTGAGCCTATTTTTGATGGCGATCTTGGGTGGCGCCGCATCGATGACACTGCGGTCGATCGCGCAGGTCGCGTGGAAATACCTGCCGTGGCAAAGCACAGCTTTGTCAATGAAAGCAAAAGGAGCGAGCTATTGCCGACGAACTGCGGCCCGAGGTGCGGTGGCGCTGAAGTAGCGAACTGTCCCGAACACAACAATTCCAACGGCTCAGACAAGAACCACGGTGGACTCACCTTGGACAATCTTGGTAGTTGCAGTGCAGTGTCAAGCCCACTTTCTTCCCGCAAATGTAGCATTCCTGCGGCAAAGGCACAGCAAAGGCACGGTATGGCATGGCATGGCATATATGCGATCAGAGTGGGTACCACACCAGTCGGTTCCGGACGTCAACACACTGTGAGTGAGGCAACGGAGGGATGCACCTTGCTGCAGACGCTTACCTTGGCATCCAGGGCTGACGTTGGTACCGATATGGGTCCAGAGTCCTCCTTGTAATCAATCTCTGGATTCCATATCGTGCAGATAACATGGATATATTCATTGGGGGTGGTGGTTTTGTAGAAGGCGCCTTCCTTGGATGAGCAGCATATCGCTTTCTGCAGGATAAACGGCACCGCCCGCCCGAGTCAGACCAGCTGCAGATGGACACGAAGCTTGTTTGTGGCCAGGACGGTTCTCTCATCAATACCGGATTTGAGCAACACACGCAAGCGCATACCGTTGACTCCACAGGGGTCTTGCTTTTGCATCTGCGAGGAGAGGTTGAAGGCCACGAGCACAAGTCAGCACACAATGCTCTGGGCCACAAAGTCCTTGCCAAGACGGCCCTCCTATCTATGCCTGGCTTATTCTGTAAGCAGTCGCACAGCCAATGTCATGCCTACCGTTGGCAGAACCAGTCGCCCGATGGAACCACTGAGATACCGTAGCATTCTGAAAATCGGTTGAGGCGGCGTTGGGGTTAGAGTTGCGCTGGCGAAACACATTCTCGGAGATTGGGTGAGTCAAGTTCACTATTGCCATCCGGGTTGCGCAACGATTTGAGCATGCGCTACTGACTCTGGTGAACTGGGATATCGCATCCTGGAGCGATTTGGTTGATTCATGGGAAGAATAGGATTGGCGTGCAGAGGGCCGTGGAAGATCGAGAGCGATAAACGGAATACTCGTTAAAACTCGAGATCGATAAAAGCGCACATGCACTGAGGGAGAGGTAAGGCCATGTTTCCAAACTTGGCCACACGCCCAGCACGACCAGTTCCATGATACTGGCTGCTAGTGGCATGACCAAGCGGCCAGTGCGATCCTGCAACACCATGATTCCGAGGCATAGAGAGAAGGCGGCGGTAGGCACAAGCTGAATGAATTTCCAACCTTCGCCGTCGCAGAGGACTATCAGGTTGGGCTTGCCGCTCTTGGGCTCCTGGCAGATACAACAGGGCTCCTCGTTTTCATCTTCGGAATCCTCGCTTTCCGAGTCTGATTCCTCCTGCATGGCGGCGGCAGCAACCGTGGGGGGACCGAAGTCCGCCCAATAGAGATCGGCAGGATCGTTAGCGACTAGCGAAGTTGTGAGACAATCTGGCTGCGCTGGATGCGGGGTCGATCGGCTGTCCAGAGAGGCTCTCAGCGACCATCTTGACAACGGGCATGCCGAGCCTGTTGCCGGCGAGCAGGGTGTGTGGGAACAAGAGAGACGGCTGGTTCCGGACAGAGAGTGGGAGACGGATACCTTCATGGTTTTCTGCGTTCGTGTGTTTCTCACCGAGGAGGAGCTTGCTCGTCGCGAACTACCCATGGCTCGCGGATGGAACTGCGGCCACGGTGAAAGACAGGACCCACAGTAAGCCGCGAGACGGGCCAACGAGAGATAATAACTTGTCAGATCTGGTGGCGACGACATAGCGAGGCATGCACGAACAATCGGGCTCGGACCGAGGCGGCGGCGGCGGGGAGTACCTGACCCTGGTTGGGGGAGACGGGGGCGCCGAGGACAGAATGATGTGGGTATTTGGTTCTGCTTGGGCCGCCGGAGACAAGATCGGGCCGGGAGCGGATTCGGGCGAGCGGACGGGGCACAGCAGGAGAGACGGGCCGGGCAGATGGCGGCACGCAGAGATGACGATGGCCGGCACGGGAGCAGCCGAGACGGAGCCTGGGTCGAGCGCGGCAGGACAGCAGACGGGAACAGGGAGGTCGGTGATGCTGGCAAAGGACGGCGGCGAGGGGCTTTTTATAGGCGGGACCCGGCGGGTCGAACCGGTCGCGCAGGCGGTTCGAGCGGGCGGCTCGATCCAGCAGCCGCTGCGCACGGTGTGTGTGTGGCGTCATGTGCCGGGCACGGCCGAAAAAAAGCAGAATCGGCTGTGGGGCAAGCGCGAGAGGATCGACCTGCGCTGAGAGCATCCAGCCTCGCTTGGCCGCCATCGGATCTCGCCACAGCTCCACCCCCCGGATCGACACCGCCTGACGCTCGCTGCAATGTATCTGCTCGGTGTGAATCTGCCCGACGAAAAGCACGTCTGGTTTGCCCTCACAAGGATCTACGGTATCGGCCAGGCCACCGGCCAGTCCATCTGCGACCGCCTGAGTATCCACAGCCAGTGCAAGCTGAAGGACCTGCCCGAGTCCAAGATCACGGAGCTCTCGCAGCTGCTCAACTCGATGAAGATCGAGGCCGAGTTGCGCAGGGATGTCCGGAACCGCATCACGCATCTCTCCCAGATCGAGTGCTATCGAGGACGCCGGCACAAGGCTTCGCTGCCCGTCCACGGCCAGCGCACCCGCACCAACGGCAAGACTGCCAAGCGGCTGAACGGCCGATGGCTCAAGGACCGTGCCTTCTCAACGTGGGTATCTCGACCGCGGCCCGACGTTAGCGTGGCGCACGGAATCGGCCTCCAGTGCAGCACGGGCGAAGCCGCTGCAGACGATCCTGTGTCGATATGCGATCCACCGTGTAGATCGTACACTCAACGCTTGGCGGTGCATGGGATGTGCTGCCAACTGCATCGGATGTGCTGCCGACTTCATCGTCTAACTCTGGTCCCCGTTTCCTGCCAGATCGTCTGCTGTCGCCGTCTCCAACATTCCGCCCACGAGCTTCAGCTTCAGCTTTCCCAAGCCCCCACTTGCCCCGGTACCGTCGATCTGGAGCACGGTCCGAAGGTTCATTCGATTCATTTGAAAGAGCGACTACCGCACCAGCCACCAATAAACGCATGTATTCTCCGACAAACTAGCCCCGGTACATCTGCTCGACGACAGAATCGAGGCACCATGGATCAGGCAAACGGGCACGACACAGTCCATCACCGACGGTCCCGGGATGCCATAAGGCGGCTGGAGCATCGAGTGCGTATTCAATGTGTATAGGGAGGGGCACTCGTCGCGGCATCCTGCTGTGGCATCGCCGCGCTTTGGATCAAATGACGAGGCCATCCCCGCACCAGCGGCTGAACCAGCGACTGCGGTCGTGGGAAAGGCTTCGAGCAATTCGGCTATCCCGGTCCTGCTCTAGAACTTGGGCCCACGCTTGCGACCCGTGTATTTGGAATCGTTGGCGACCTTCTTGCCGCGGATCCGGCCCAGCTCCTTCTTGCGCTGGATCCAGTTTTTGTCCTTGATATTGGCCTTTTTGCCCTTTCGGCGGTCATGCATTCTGCTCGGCCAGCGAGTTGCGATATGTTAGCGCCTGAAAACGAGGCTGTCTCTGCGACAAGTCGGTGCAACACCAACCTACCTCTTGCTTGTGTACAGAACATTGGCAGGATCCTCCTCTTCTGCAAGCCCCTCGGGCAGCTTGGGGGCGTTTGCAGGGTCGTTCTGGAAGCCAGCAAACAGACACAAAAAGTACTTTTTGGCCTTGGTACTGTTGGGGAAGTCGACAACAATGCCTCCCGTGAAGCCGGCCTTCATCGCCTGGGTGACGATCATCTCGACCTGGTCTGAGTTCTCGGGGTAGAACTGGAAGACGCACCGGGCACCGCGTGCCATGGCTGTGTACAGTGTCTGGAAAAACCGCAGCAGTCGCTTCTTGGGCACATGCGAGGACCGGTCGGCGTTACAGAGCCATTGGATCACCGAGATGCTGGAAAGCGTCGGCAACAGCGATAGGCGTCAGTTCCAACGACATGGGGGTGGGGGTCACGGAGATGTGCCCATGTTAGCAAAGCGGCGAAAAGAACACCAAGGTGCTATCCTGGCGTACCTGATGCATCCGTCGAAAGTGCCTGGACGGAAAAAGACACCCTGGCCAATGTCGCTCCAATAAAGGTCTCCTTCGGACTCGCGCTCTCGGGCGACACCTGGCAGCCAACACAGGACGGGTATTGGACATGGGTCAGCCACAGATGATGGAGAGGCGAAGGCCTGCTGTGATGCTGATCTTACCCAGCATGGCATCGCTGATATCCAGACCAACCCAGATGTGCCCGTCTTCCGACAGACAGTCGCCCGACAGGCCCGAGCCACATCCAATGTCGAGCAGGTATTTCGGGACGTCGTTCTCGAGGTTGAGCAGCTCCATGGCGCGGTACGTCAGCTCGGCCTGAATGGTCTGGATTCGGGTGCTGTCCGACAGCCGAGCGCAGGGTATTTCATCGGCATGGTTAGCTTTGGACGGACGGCATGATGTTGCCTTTGCTTGGGATAGATCGCCGGACCAATGCCGCTCGCAAGTTTGAGGTGGAGCCGTTCGACATAAATACAATCTGGGCGACGGAGGCACTCACTTGACAGTGTACTTCTTGGCTTCGTCGTCATTGTAGAACTGCAGATGGAGCCGGACATGTCAGAGCCGTATCATTGGCCGAGGGAGAGTGTTCTCGATGCAGGACGAATGCACAAGGATGCATCCAAAGCGACAGCGATATTTACGATCTCCGGAGGGGCGGTGTGCTCGGGTCGAGACATGATTGCAAGGCTTGTGCAGAGAGCGTGCGCAAGGGGCTTGTATGTGCCGGCGAATATGCACGGGCTGATGGCTGCCGGATGGATGGCGAGATCGTTGTCGCAGCTGGTTGTTTTGCGGGCGATCCGGCAGGAAGAAAAAAATGTGTGAACAATGAAGCACTGCCACAGCGACACACACCGGCTCGAGTGCGGCTGCAGCCAGCGACACCACCATCGCCACAGCCGGCCACACTCTGGCGTGGTCACGGGACGGCAGCGCCAGCCAATGGGACACGTCCCAATGCCTTGGTGCGAGGATCTGCCACAGCAAGGCTCGCCCGAGCATGCGCCTCGCATCAGCACCAGCAGCACCAGCAACAGCAACATCAGCACAGCCCGGCTGCGTGCATCGCTGTCGCCGCGGGTGGTCCATCTGGTTGCTGGATTTCCCAGAAGCCACAGTCGCAGCGGCCGCCGCTCGCCCGATGCCAGATCCAGGAGCAGCCAGGCGCCGGTCTTGTGGCCGCAAACACTTGCCCATGGCAGGACGAGCCGAAGTGAAGCCTTGGGTGGTGGGACACAGGCTCACACGGGTGCGTGGTGGCTCAAGTACAAAGCTCGTCCCTCGCCGTCCCGTCTCGCTCCCGGCCTCTCCTCGATCATCTCCACGATGGTGCTCAGGACGCTTGCGTGCTGCTTCGGGTCGCCCGATGCCCCTCCCAGCGACAGGGGCATCTCCGAGTCTGGCGCCTCGGGAGCCCCCTCCTCCGTGCAGCCCCAGTCTGCGCCAGCGATGACGACCTTTGACCCTTGGATGCATCCCGTTGAAGCCATCGTCAAGTTGGCGCAGAACGAGCCGGACGCCCTCGCCATCTTCACCCTCGAAAACGACGAGATCGAGCGCTACAGCTACCTCCAGCTCTGGGAGAAGGCTTACTCGATTGCCCAGGGGCTCAAGGCCCTTCCTGGCTGGAACGACGAGGGCCACGACATAATTGCCCTCTTCTGCGAGCCCGAGGCGCACTGGATGTTCTATTCGGTTGCCCTGTGGATCCTCGGCAAGTGAGTGGCCGCGGCAATCGCTCGCCTCATGCTGCTGCCATGCTGCTGCCATGCCGGAGAACACTCACCCTGGCCCACTCCGACTTGCTGCTCCAGGAAAGTCATCAACTTTGCCCTCAACTGGCCCTCGTCCGTCCGCAAGGCCCTCTGCGACAGGTTTGTTCCTTCACAGCATGGCTCGTCCGTTGGCAACTCAGCGATGTCCATGGCATGAGCAATGCCAGCGATACCAGCGATACCAGCGATACCAGCAACATCAGGGACGCCCACACATCTGACAACCCACACATCTGACAACCCACCCTCGACAGGCTCAAGATCCGATATGTGCTCTACCACCACACCAAGCCCGGACGAGTCGAAGGACTCGAGCCTGTCGATGCTGGCACCTTCCCTCTCCTGGACAGCGTCCCGGCTCCCTCGCTCGAAGCCTGCGAGCCCCTGAACGACTACGTCGCCTATCTCAGCACATCCGGCACAACTGGTCAGTATGCCCATGGTCTGCGCCATGGGATACACCAATATGGCTTCTTGGGTTCCAACACGAGTGTCTGCTGCCATAGGACCAGCATGTCGCTTTGGCGAGCTTTGACTGACCACCAGCCTCTCGCTTCACAGGAATCCCCAAGACGTGAGTTGTGTGGTCTCCTGTTGCTGCCACCAGCAGGCCTGCCCTAACACACATCCATTTTGCCCACTAGGTTCCAAGTCACCCATAGATTTGTCGAGTCGAGCCGCACCTCGGACAGATTCAAGTACGCCGGTATCGGTGTGTCCCAGGTGAATTCTTCGAGATCAACTCGCTTCGGAGCACGGAACGAGTGCATTGGCGACATGCGGAGTGCTTGCTATGACAGCCGGCGTTTCGGCAAGCCAGACCCACACTAGGAGGCATGGAGCATCTATCGGATGTGTTGCCGCAATCGCTCATCAGCCGACCGACCCTTTTGACGGCAGGCGCCCTCGTTCACCGCCTCCATGGGCTCAGTCATTGGCGTCCCCAACACCAAAGGCTCACTCTGGTTTCCCAAGCCGACCCCAAACCCTCAGGAAAAGGCGACCAGTGTCATCAGACTGTTGGATGAGGGCTTGAACATCATCAGCTCGGTGAGTGCATACGGTTGAACCTCGACATTTGTGGTCCAAGCGCACGGTAACTCACATGGCCGATTGCCTCGCAGACCCCATCCTTTATGAAGCTCGTCTTCAAGCTTGCTCTTTCAAATAAGAAAACTGTCACATGGGACAAAGTCACGCTTGTCGGTCTCGGCTCGGAGCTTGTGACCGTGCCGCTCGTCAACCAGGCCAAGACACTGTGTCCAAACGCCCTCATCCAATGCTTTTACGGATCGAGCGAGGTAACGACAGCGTCCTGCCTCCCCCCGGCAAGGTGCACATCTATTCCAGCAGCAGGAGCAAGCCGGCGGCTAACACTGTGCGACTCTCCCCTGCTCCTCAGACTGGCGTCCTCAGTGCCATGTCAGCCTGCATCATTCCTCCGTCCATGCCCTGCCCTGCCCAGCTTGTCTACAAGCAGCCAAAGCCTCATATCAGATGCCTCATCTTTGACGAGGAGGGCAACGTGGTCGACCAGAGCGTGTCCCAGAGCGGCATCTTGGTCATGGCTGTCGACAAGGATGACCCTGTCAAGAACCACCCCAACTTTACCACCGCCGATCCCAACGACAAGCTGGCTTCGTTCGGTTTCCTCGAGGACGGCTCTCCCCGTGTCTGCACCATGGACTGGGTTGAAATGAAGGGCGAGAGAGAGTTTACTATCGTCGGAAGGTGAGGTCGATGACTGGGTGCGGTGTCTCTCATTGATGGCGTGCATATCCGGCATCCTGAGGACACATCCCACTCCTGCATCTCGAGTACTCACGCCATCCATTCCCTCACTCCATACCATCGTTCCAGATTCGGCCAGAAGATCAAGGTCAACGGCGTCTATGTCGACCTCAACGCCCTCGAGGAGCTGGCCAACGAAAACATGGCTCGTGTCATCTCGGACTGCGCCTTCATCCAGACCTCCGAGAAGAAGATCGTGATGCTCTTTGTTCGCAGAAAGGGCTCTGACATCCATGCAAACCCAGCCGAGGTCCTCCAGATGGCCCAGGATCTGTTCGCCCTCAAGAACGTCTCCAAGGTGCCGATCCACAACTGCTTCGAGCTCGAGGCGTTCCCCTTCAACGACTCGGGCAAGCGTGACCTCAAGAAGCTCAAGCGCATCGCCGAAAACACGAACCAGTACAGCCTGGCTGCCTCTTTCCCAGCCCTTCATGCTGCAAACACGATGGCGTCTCGCGCGGCCCTCAAGATCTCGGCGCTCGGCAGCCAGATCCTCGACAACCCCGCCCTCGACGGCCGCAACTACTACATCGGCGGTGTCGGCTTTGATTCGCTGAGTGTCAGCCGTCTCGCCCTCGCCATCAAGGACGAACTCAATGTCGAGATCTCGCCGATGATCCTGCTGTCAAACGGAATGACGCCGCTTGATGTCGCCCAGCTGGTGGTCGATCTTCGAAACAATCGCCCTATGATCCCCGCGACGGGCGATCTGGCTGGCGAGGCCGCCAGGCTCGACGATGCGAGTGTGACGGCCCAAGGTCTCCCTCCGTTTGTCTATCCCAAGGACCCTCGCGGCATCGTCCTGACCGGCGCCACTGGCTTCCTCGGTGCCTTCCTGATCTTTGAGCTGGCCAACAAGTTCCCTCGGGCCAAGATCTACTGCCTCGTGCGAGCCCATAGCGAAGAATACGCATTGGATCGTATCTTTTCCAACGCCTCCAAGTTGGTGATAGCATCGAGAAAGGCTGGTGATCCGCGGTACGATGTGCGCAATCGATTCATCGGTCTGTGCGGTAACTTGTCGAAGGACAACTGGGGACTCTCGGACGAGCGATGGAAGGAGCTTTGCCGAGAAACCGACATGATTGTCCACAACGGCGCCGAGGTCCACTGGCTGTATGATTATGACAGACTCAAGGGGCCCAACGTCCTCGGCACGGCGACGGCCCTGAGACTGGCCACAACCCACCACCTGAAGCCGCTGCACTACATCTCGACCATCGGCACGATTCCAGCTTCCAAGAATACTAATGAGCCGCTTAAGGAGAAAATCAACTCGGCCTGGAACATCTCTGGCGGGTATGGCCAGACCAAGTGGGTCTCTGAGCAGCTGGTCAACAAGGCACGATCCAGGGGAGTGCCGGTGACGATCATTCGCCCAGCACTGATCGCCGGCGACAGCAAATACGGAGGTGAGTCGAGTGTGATATGATGTGATGCGATGTGATGGAGATGTCTCAATCGCTCCATGGACTGGCCATGAATCGATGGTCTCGATTGTCAAGTGCTACTCATCCACCAACTGACACCAACTGACACCAACTGACACCTTCACACCCTCCATCGCTCCAGTGTCCAACACGGACGACTACATCTGGCGATATGTCAAGGGATGCATCCAGCTCGGCATTGCTCCCTCGCACGCCACTCCCGTCACGATGACCATGGATCCCGTCGACCATGTCGCCAAGGTGGTCGCCGAGATTGCCGGCTCGGAGGAGTCCCTGTCCAAGTTTGTGTTCCACATCAGCGACTCGGAGCACAGGTGAGGAGTGTGTGATGTGCTGTGTTGTGGTGTGCGATATGGTGCGATATGGTGTGGATGGTGGATCCTGACTCACTCACTATCACTCATTCACTCACTCACTCACTCACTCACGTTCTCCGCGTAGTACCATCACCGAGACCAAGCTGTTCGAGATTGTCAATGCCCATGGCTGGCCCGTCTTGTTCGAGTCCCGCGAGCAATTCAGAACGCTGCTGACCGAGAACCCGACGGTTGAGGGCAACTCACTGTTCCCGCTCATGTACGTGATGATGGACATGTCTGTCCAGGTCGACAACGCCAACACCCGCTCGATCTACCCAGCACCCTGTCCCTCGACAACGTCGATCGTCAAAAAATGTCTCAACTACCTCTACATCGTGCGCTTCCTGTACGAGCCCAAGTATGCCTCGAGCGAGCTCAAGGACGAGGAGTATCCCGAAGTCAGCATCTTCACCCGCACCGGCCGCAACTGATTGCTCGACACGCTACCATAGTGCGTGCCTCTCCCTCGTTCCAATTGTTTCTTTCCTTTTCCTTCCGGCTCGCCCCTTTCTATTCCTTCCCTTTCCTTCGATGATAGAATCTTCTTTACTTCTCCAGCCACCAGCTCTTCTGTTTTGATGGCCTCCAAATCCCTCTATGTTGTCGCTATATGTCTGATCTTGCCAATTCAATTCGAGCGAATCTGTGTTCGACAGGGTTGCTGCCTTCCTCTTCCAGAAAATGTCTGTATTACCGTGTACCCATAACGAAATGGGATATCCTGCTTTGAGCCAGAGTTGTCCGTTCTTTCTAGGTCCTGAATACACCACGTCATGACCAAACAGCATGTCCAAAGAGGTGGAGAGACTCGAGATGGTCGAGTATCTTGATATCGAGAAACCACAGAGCTATCCGAAGGGTCGAATGCATGCACCACATTCGTGCTCACAGCATCATCAATATCAGTCGATCGTCGCTGCAAGAGATCGATCAGATGTTCGATTGAGTGCGCTTGAGATGGGTCGCACTCCTTCATCAGTCATCCACTTCATTCTGCAGCAACAGTAGGCGGAGCAGAAGACGCAGACTTTCTACATAACAGATATATTGGGATCATCATAGAAGATTTGCTTTGTTACTCGTGGCACCCAATATCGATCGACACATTAGATTTGACAAAGTAGGAAGGAGCTTGGAGGTGGGGGGAAAGAGAGAACGGCCTTGGTTGCTTGAGGACGACGCAACATGACAAGACCGATGAGAATTGCTTTTTATGGGGCTTGATGGCAGCTGCGTGGAACAGGACATTCAGCCAAATTCATTTTAAGCCTTGGCGGCAGCCTTGGAAGCCTCGTCATCAGCCTTGGAGGTGTCCTTGACGGAGTTGACGGTGGCATAGGCAATGGGGAGAGAGCCAATGACGAGGACGACGGTGATGATAAGCTGGGTCCAGGCAGAGGCACCAACAACACCGCCAACGATCCAGGAAACGGCAGCACCGAGAGACTGGAGACCCTTGTAGAAACCACCGTAGCGGGACAGGGTGGCGTAGTCGTTGGTGAGGGCACCCATGATCCAGTAGGCATAGGACTGGAACATGGCGTCGAGGGCAGCCATCAGAATGTACATGATGGTGATGCCCCACATGGCGGGGTGGGTCTGGCCGGGGGTACCGAACAGATCAACACGGGTCTTGCCGAGGGGAGTGCCGGGAGCAACATCGTTGAAGGCGGTCTGCTGGTAGACGATGGCACCGATCCAGAGCGCAGCGTTGCCAATGAAGACGATAGCGAGGCCGACACGGGAGCGAGTGTGGCGAGACCACTTCTCGTTGTCAAGGAACTTGGAGATGACATAGGATCCAAGAGCCTGGAAAGCCCAGTAGAAGATGGCGTTGAACGAACCAGAGCGGACGTTGTAGAAGTGGCCGTTGATCATGCCATATTGGTAGGGATAAAAGTAGTTCGAGGCGATGAAACAGGGAGCCATGAGGAGCAGGCGCCAGTTGCCAAAGAGCTTGAGCACCTCGATGGCCTCGGCGAGAATGTTGCCCTGGGTGATGACCTCGACGGGGGTGCCATCAGCACGGACGACGGTCTTGGGGTCAGCAAGGAGGAGAGCGCAAGAGGCACCAAGGACGGTAATGCCAATGAAGGCGCCGAAAGTGCCGTTGGAGATGGCAACATCGGGGTTGTTGAAGTTGAGGATCAGACCGACAGTGTTGCCAAAGACGGAGCCAAGGTTGAAGATGATCCAGAAGACGGCAAAGTAGGTGGCCTTCTTCTCCTCAGTGGGGTAGGCCATGATGAGAGCACCCTGGGAAGACCACAGGAGACCAGCACCAACACCGAGAATGGCACCAGCAATGATGAAGAAAGCCTTGGCACCAGCGGGTCCAGCGGCACCACCAGAGACATCGTTGTTGAGGGAAGCACCAATGTAGAGAGAGTAGGTCAGGCCACCAACGAACATCTGGATGCGGGGACCGAGGATGTTGTTGATGGCACCACCAAAGAGACCAAAGAGGGCAAAGGTGGTGTAGAGGGCGGCGTTGGCGTTACTGCCAGTGGTGGGGTCAGTACCACCACCAGCACCGAGGGAGTTGACGGCATTGAACATGCCGGGGCAACCGAAGCAGATGAATCCAAGAAGGACGACTTGGGCGATGGGAGCCTTCGAGATGGCCATGGCGACTGATCAGGGAGGCGGAAGGGATGAGAGACGAGGAGGCGGGTTGGGTGGGAAGAGGTGTGGTTGGCGCTGATGTGGATGTTGGAACGGGTGCAGTCAAGCCCTATTTATATGCCGACCGGGCCCTGTCCGAGGTTGGCAGGATGCAAATGGCCAAACCAGAGATCGAGCAGCCGACATCAGCGGCAAGCATGTTGTGGGTGGGTCGCGGGCATGTGGCCGCTTCTGCGCTGCCAGGGGAGTGGACCATGGCGGACAGTTTGGAAGGTATCAAACAGCATAGGCGACATGGATATGTATGGCGGCAATGCTGCCGCGAGGCAGTCTTGCAAATGCAGACACGTTTGCAAGGGTGCTGGACCGTGGGAACGGGACAAAGGCAAGGGGGGGTGGGCGGGCTGGACGGGCTCGTGTGCCGGGCTGGAGGGGATCACCTGGCCTCGAAGCAGCGCCTGCGAGTCAGCCGGACAAGCCCAAGGCCACGGAGCATACAGCTCCAGGAATGCACCTCCAAGTGCACATGGATCCGCCGAGTATCGCGATCGGTCGCTGGCGTGACGAGCTGAGCCAAGCCACCAAGGGGCCACGCGGGCAGCGCAGCAAGCGCGCCCGCGGCACAGCCGGTCTGCTGAGGAGCACAGGCCGATGCAGGGGCGCAAGCATGCGGGAAGGTCGCTTTCCTGGTTGCTGGCCATCGCCCGGCCCATGTGTCCGGCTCCATGGGCGCTATACAAGGGGGTGGCGGATGGCCGTGCGAGCGCATGTGACCTTGAGCGCGTCTTGCCCGGCCAAATGAATTCCACAGGTCGGTCCCATTCCGTCCCGGCCGGTGGGCGCAGACCCGCCGGGGCTGGCAACAAGCGCCTCCGCCCGATTCCCACGACTGCCCGACCCACGTCTCGGCGAGGCGCTGCCGCCGGCTGACTGGGTGACCGGTGGCTTGAGTCTTGGCGTCTGCCAGGGAGGAGCTGGGACCGGGGGAGAAGCTGGGGCCGTGCCGGACAGCGTTCCCGCAGCCAGCCCGAAGCCAAGCACAGTGCCTGTCATGGGTCAAGCCCCCTTGTCAGCCCGGCTTGCCATTTCGTCCGTTTGGATCAGATGCAGTGGGCGACCGAACGTGCCTGGTTGTCGCAGTGGCGCCGGTGGAGGGGGACTTGGTTCGCGTGCTTCCCCAATACCTGACATTGACCTTGCCGCGGATGTGCGCTCGGCGGGGAACTCAGCTGCCCGGGGCCGCTGTCCGAGCCATGCGCAAAGTTGTTTCTCCAGCACCGCCCCCATCACCCCCATCACCCCCATCACCCCCAACGTGGCCTTCAGACGCCCAATAGCTTCCGTTGCGTGTCAAGCAGTGACGGAGTTACTGTCGTGGGATCATGGCTGCGATTCTCCATTTCACCGGTTTACCGTTGGCTCCGTTTGTCAGCGGCCGCCCCTCTGCCGACCCGACGAGAGTCTGTTGTCCCTCCCCCTGTTTCGGCCGGGACCATTTCTCATTTTTTTTTCGACGTGCGACCTCAGTCACCCAAGCAGAGCCAGGAGAGCAGCTCGCGCGCAGGAGATTGCTGCGCCACAACGAACAACTGGTCCCGGCCAGGCAGGTTGATACCCTGAGAAAGCTGCCGTCTGTTGGGCACGCAGGGGAGTTCCCACCGGCCACTTGCTCCTTGAGGAAAGCTAGAAATCGGTTCCGGGCGACGATCGAGGACCAATCTCATCCACCACCGACTCCATTGCGGCGGCTCCTGGTAGCTCGGGGAGTCTGGGATCAGCAAGTGAAACGTGTGCAAACACTGCCAGTCTCGTAGCTGGCAGTACCTTGGCCACCCCATCAAAACGATGGTTGCATTTGTCTTCCTGTCCAGATGCCACTTCCTTTCCAACTGTCTGGCCGACAATGTAGACTCTCCATCACCAAACCGCGTCTGTCCAAAACTGACCACCCAATCGCCGAGGCAGCGCTCAATCCTCGTTTGAAATGACAACGCATCCCCAACCTCTCGTCGTGTGAGCGGGATGATCTATTGGAACGTGCGTGCTGTAGAAGCGAAGAATCGATCCAGAGACAGAGTGGTCACACACATCAATGCCGATAGACGCTCAACCGTAACCCATCGGGCAACACTGCGTGTTTGATTGCCTGATGATCCAGAGAGCTGATCAAGGATGTAGAAAGGCGAATCAAACATCATATCGACGATCGTCTGGTGGACAGCTGTCGCCCCAGAGTCAGCTTGGCTCTCCAAACGCCAAAGCGATCGATTTTCTTGAGCTTCTCCGCAGCTTCACCATGGTTCTGGTCAGACGCCTTCTTGTACCAAAACACAGCTTGCTCGATCGATGGCTCCACCCCGGTCCCCTTCTCGTAGCACTCTGCAGTTTGATGTTGGGCACTTGCGGTGCCTTGTCCTGCCTCTTGCAGCGAGCATTCAAACAGCGACCGTTTGGCATTCTCGTCGCCGACGACTGCAGTAGACTCGAAGCATTCGATAGCTTGAGCAAGGTCAACATTGGTTCCCACTCCCTTTGTGAAATATTGTCATGACAGGGCGTCGACCAAAACATGAGCAGGTCGTCTGATGGCCTGCTTCGACAGCCGCTCCAGCCACTGGTGCACGGTTCATTCTATCGCAGAAGCTATATTGGTTCGCTTGCTCTGCGGCAAGCCGGCCATGGCGCAGGACCATCGTCGCATCTACTCGCACTTGCCCGAGCGCACTCACAACACAGCCGCCTTGGGGATCACCTCGATGTAGCTGCCCGAAAAGTCAAGCTTGCTCACAACCACGTCGATGTAGGAGCCTGGAGCGGCGTCGACCGGTACACCGAGGCGGGCTTCCTCACCGCCAAGGTCTGCCAAGAGCACGCGCGGCCGCTTTTGACCGCCGGAGGGAAGAACCAGGGCCTGGTAGACGGGTTCGAGGCCCGCGGCGGCAGGCAGGAGTGCTGATTCTTGAGGCCGCTCGTAGTGCCCAAGGCGGTCATGGAAGCTTGTCGGCGGAACATAGGGCATGGTCGCCGAGTTGACCGTGTCGCCTGGGGATCCACTGAGCCACAGCTTTTGTCGGCGTCGCATCCACTCCATCAGCCAGTACCGCTCGCTCTTGGAAGAGACGTAGTCGGTGCGCTTCTGGGCATGGTGCAGCCGGCCCAGCAGCTCGGTCATAGCCTCGACCGTGAAGGGATAGGGCAAAGTGCCGGTGGGATCGGCCACGGCGACGCCCGAGCCCACACTGGAGATGCCGGCGGGGCGGTCGCGCAGGAGCCAGGCCTTCATTTGCCAATGGGCAATCATGTCCTTGTAGCGACGCAGGGGTGACGTGACCTTGACGTAGCCGACAAAGCCATCCTTTTCATATCCGTTCAGGGCGCCGGGCCCAGGTATACCCATGGTAAAGTGCCCGAGAGGCTCCAGGCTCGCCTGGGCCGCCGGCATGAAGGCCAGCAGCTCGAAAAAGGTGATGAACGGAGCGATGCCGCTGCGGTCGCAAGTCTGGCTGCGAACACGGTCCAGCAGAGAAACCAAGACCGAGTCTGGCGGATACTGGTCGGCAGCCCGCCAGCCCTTACGGTCGCGCGCATCTTGGGCTTGAGCCAGCATCGACCGCTGGCCGCGATAGATCACGGGGATGTGTCGGTCGGCGCAGAACTTTGCAGCGATGCGGCCAGCAACGACCATGCTCTCGGAGACCATGACGTGGGCCGGCGAGATGTGCGCGGCCTTGTTGGCGTTGACCACAATCTCGGGCTGGACATCGGGCCAGAATGGCGTCGGTGAGTTCAACGGCGCCTTGGGCAGCGGATACTCCTCGACGCGCACCGAGATGTCGGGTTGATCGGCAGCCAGCTTGCCCATCTTGATGCGGTGCTTGAGATGCGCCCCCGCAAGCCGCTGGATGGCCTGCAGATCCTTGACGGCCTGGCTGTCAAAGCGGGGATCGCGCGGCAGATCCCTGCGCTTCAGGGCCAAGCGCGCCCATGGCGACAGCGTCGAGGGGTTGCGGTCGGTGGCATAGATCTGGTCCCAGTTGAGTACAGTGTCGACGTCATCGTAGTGGACAATCTTGGGGTTGCGAATGATGCTCGGCTGCACCTTGTAGTCGCGGATCTGGCCGTCCTCTCCGATGAGAGCACTAAAGGTCATGGCGCACTGTGACTTGCCGAGGTTGAAGCGCTCCTCGCTGAGGATATCGGGCATCATGGGGTAGTGGCGCTCAGGCAAGTAAACCGAGTTGGCGCGGAGCTGCGCAATCAGCGAGATTGGATGTGAGACCGGGATGTAGGCCGTTGGATCGGCAATGTGAACGTGCAGCCAGGTTCCCTGTGGAGTCTCCTCGACCGACATGCCGTCGTCCAGCTCGTGGGCAGTGGGATCATCAATCACGTAGACAGGAGTGCTGCCAAAGTCCCGGCGGAGGTGTGCGCACGGCTCGACATCAAAGAAGCGGTCGGTTTCATCGACCTTGGGGGAAACGGTGAGGTTTCGAATCGTGTTCAGGATGTGCTGCCGATCCGACGCCGGCTCGTTCTCGGACGGAGATTTGTCTGTCTTCTTGGCGAGCTGGCTGGCGCTGTCGGTGGGGACAATTTGCTTGCCGGCTGCATCAAACTCGACGTGGGGTTGAGTCAGCAAGAGATCGCCATATCGCTCGCCCTCCCGGGCAACATCATCGGCCCACGAGGCCAGGCCGTGTCCCTCCAAGGTCTCGACGACGCCTCGCTTGCCGCCGATGTAGATCCGAGTGTTTTCCCAGGGTGTCCAGACGCCGATTTCTTTGAGCAGCAAGATGGCGTCCTGCTTGTTACTGCGGTACCGATAGAGAGGCTGCAGCTCCTTGATGATGCCCGAGAGCACGATCGTCTCGTAGACGCTTGGCAAGTGCGCCGACAGCGAAATATACGTCTTGACAGCGTCAATGAAGACTTGGTCATCCGATGAGAAGGTCACCTTGGGAGGCGTCTCGGGTGGAGCGTTGCTGCCGCCGTCGCGGCTACGACTCCAGTCAATCAGAGTCCGGGCCTTTGCGATGAAGCTCTCAAAGGCACTGCCTTGGCGCTGGCTCGAGATTTGCTTTCGCAGCCAGTCAATCTTCTGGACCTCCTCGGGGTCGCGGACACGGAACTCGGGCGTGAGTCCAATCGCCCATGGATCGACAGGCGAGAACTGGACGCTGTTCTTGAGCAGATACAGAAAGGTGGCATACAGTTCGGCGCTGGTGGGGCTGGTGCCGTCCTCTCCGTTGTAGTAGATCCACTGTGCGGCCTCGACGAGGGTGATTGTGGTGCGCTTCTTGACGATGGCGCTGTAGAGTTGGTTCATCCTGTACGAACCGAGATGAAGAGTCGGAGGATCAGATGCAGTCACCTCCAGTCGCACAACGACGATCCAGCATGCACTGGAGATCATTCCATGTATCCCGCCTCCTACCTCTGGACCTTCGAGAACCGGTACGACTCGGCTGCTTCCTTGAATCTGTCGAGGTGCTGGACGGCGATGGGGGGCACACCTGTCAAGTCAAACAGATTGCCGCTCCGACTGAGGCTCGACTGGTATTGCGGAAGCACGCTCTCGCCCTTCTCAGTAGCCCTCTGAACGATCTTGGAGAATGCCCAGCCGGGGATGCGGAAGCTGATCTGGGCTTCGGAGTGACTGATCCAGTGAAAGTGTTCGACCACTGTCTGGTAGTCGTTCTCGCCAGAGCCACGGGCACCAGGCAGCTTCATGATGATGCCGAGGAAAGACTTGCCGCCCCTGTTGTTTCAGCGATGCATTAGGGCAGTTGGGTAAGCCATGCGATCGCCATGCGACAGCATCGATGGGCCAGGTGAAGAGCGATTTCTGGCATCAGTGCAGAGAACGTCGGCGAAAGCCGCACTACTGGATGGCGTTACCTTCGAACCTCCACAAGATCACCAATGTTGATGCCGGCCTCGAGAGAGTCCGTATCGACACCGTCTGAGTCGGCGCTCTGTCGAAGGCATCTGGGAGTGATGTGGAGAAGCCGCAACTGGCAGGGCTGGATTGACAAGCGAGGGGCTCGAAGCGACGATTCGGGTTTGGGCTGAGCCAGGGCAGGACGCACGGCCAGCGGGAGCGGGGTGGCAGCACAGCCGACATGGGCTCTGAGAGCCACGGGCCTCAGCAGACTCGATCGTTTGGGCACCAGCATGCTGGGGACGGTGAATGCGCTGCGATCTGCGACGGGATCTGGCGACAGAGCAGAGACAGGCCCGAGACGAGGCGTTTTCTTTTTGATGCAATGACTGCGCGCGCTGGCACAACACAGCGCGGGTCAAAGGGACAGGAAGCACATCAAAGTGCGTGGGATCAGCCAGCAACGGCCAGAGATATATATGTGGTGGCAGAGTCGCTGCGGGGATGTCGGCGACATATGGGTGGTCCAGATCAGCGACCACGGAGCCGTGTGGGTCGGTCATGATGGCTCGAATGGGTGGCGGTGGCGGTCGTCCGAGGGATGGTTGGGTTGGTTGAAAGCGCAACATCGTCCTTCTCGTCCTACTTGTCCTACTCATCTTCAGAATCGGAGGCATAGGCGCCGAGCAGGCTGATGCCGCTCGGAACAGCAGCCGGAGTAGTGCTGCTTGGGGTGGCCTTCTTTGCAGCGACATCCTGCGCGGCTCCTGGCGCTTTTCGCTTGAGCGATATCCCCAGATCAAGTCCTGCTGCCTTCTTGACGAACGGGGTCGGTTTTGAGCCGGAGCCAGAGCCGGAGCCAGAGCCGGAGCCAGAGCCGGAGCCAGAGCCAGAGCCAGAGTTGGCCTGTTGATGATTAGAGTCCAAGGGCGCGGCCAGCCCTCCATCATACAGCTCCGAGGCAGCTGCCTTCTTCTCCCTCAGGGCAGCATCGTCGTCCAGGATGCGCCGCACCATGTTGCCGTCGTTGCTCTGGAACAGCGAGCGGATCATGGCCTCTTCTTCAGGATCAAACTCATCGTCGTGATTGTCGTCCGCGCCGTTGACCAGCAGCCGGTCGAGCAGGTCGTCGGTGTCGATGCGCTCGTTCCGCGAGTTCCTCGTCCGGATCTCATCCAGGGCATCGAGGATCTCCATCTCTTTCTTGGAGGCAAGGGTGCGGTTCTCGAGGGCCTTCATGGGGTTGTTCTCCTCCTCCTGCTCGCGCTCGCGGTTGAGCTCCTCGTTGATGATTCTTTCCTCTCTCCAAGGCTCAAAGTTCCGCGCCGCACCGTGCTCGGCGAGGTAGTCTCCGTTCTTGGGGTCGGTCTTGAAGGTGATTTCGGCAGCACATTTTGGGCAGCGGATGTAGAAGCGAAAGATCTGTTGCCAGATTGTGGATTGAGAGTGTTTGAGGGAAGAAACGTGTGAGTTGATACTGTGAACCCAGGGGCAGCATCAAAGATCTAGATGCAAAGCGATGCCACAGACCAAAGCGACGGCATGGTCGATGGAGAATGCAATGCTGGAGCCAATGCAAGGCTGCCGAAGAGATCGCCAGTGGGAGACGAGCGGAGAGCACACCTGTATGCCAAGGTACGTCTCGCCCTCGACCTGCTCCTTGCGTGCATTGAACTTTTTGCCCTTGTAGACGTATTCGCCGCACGTCTCGCATCGCATCGAGAAGGGTGTCATGAGCCGGACTTTTTGCTGCACATCCTTGGGCATGCGCCGCCTGGGAATCTTGGCGGGATCAAAGTCGGGAGGGAAGTACTTGTTGAGGACTTTTCTTTCGGACATGGCGGGCTATGCGGCTGCAGTTGTGTGCGGTCGTGTGCGGTCGTGTGCGATCGTATGCGATGGTGTAGAGGATGGGGAGAGAGCAGATCGGCTGGGAACGACCTCGGCGATGTGTGGCGAGGCGATACCCGTCACGTGGATCTGGATCACGTGTGGCACATCGGAGTTGGTGCGGATTTCGCGGTCAGCTCGGCCGTGGCGATCAGAGACACCGCTCTGGTCATGAAGATCGCTCGGGCCATGGCTTCATACGGGCGTGCTGAGCCAGTGCCTCGGGAGAGTGCTCGACAAGTGGCATCCGTTATTTTGGCGGCTGCTCCAGGATCGAGGCGCATTCACTTGCCGTCCGCTCACCCCACCCGGACGGGCCGCATCGAGTCCAGCCGCCCAAACGCGCCGTCGAGGGCCTACACTTTATTCAGAAAAAAACGGGACAATATAGCCGTTTCCATGAACATGTAGTATGTGCTGTGCTTGCGTCAAGCAAAGCCACAAGAAATAAAACAGATCACTTTGGCAGCCTCCGAGTGAAGACCGCCGGTCGCTCTCCGATCTCCACAATCGACTTGCACACTGTGATCATGTTGCGCGCCGCATTGACGTCGCGATTCCACACTGTCCGGCAGCTGGGATTCTTGCAGCTCCTGACAAAGTGGGAATTCGCAACACTGGGCGCATCGAGTCCTTCCAACCGAACTGGCTCCAGGCACTTGGAGCACACCTGCGAGGTGTTGAACTCGTTCGTCGAGACTACCTTGACGCTTCCATGATGGTGATTGGGACGGCGTCGGTGGTGCTCGAATTGCTCAAAGTACCGAGCAAATCGCTGCCTCCGAGGGCTGGATGCATAGCCCTTGCCCTGCCGCCATGATGCATTGCCAAAGGCGATCACCACATCGGTCCGTATCGGGGCGTGCTTCAGGACGGCCTTGCACATCCTGTCGACGGCCACTTGGCGCCTCTTGTGGCCCGTGAAGCGATGGTGACGGGCCTTCTTGCCAAGGTGGAAGTCGAGCTGCACTCGCAGCTCCGGTCGCAGGACATGGGTGAGATGGACCTTGAAAGCCTCCGAGGACGACACCTTGGGTGAAGGAGTGGTCGACATCCAGGTCTCGATGCTGAGTCGATACTTCATGGTGTTGTGCCACTTGGTGTTGGACGTATGGCCACACATGTGCTGGTAGTGACCATTGGAGAATGAGACCACCTCGTCTTGGTGGCCCGGTGCTTGGATGACCGCCGTGAAGATGGAGCCGACTCCAGGATCGATGCCAATCCAAGTGGTGCCACCGGGGTCTGGGTCGCCGATGTGGGCCTGGATGCGTTGCTCGGCAGTCGGAGGAGGCTCGGAAGTCTCGGTGTGATCGGTTCGAGGCAGAAACTTGACGAGACCGATGGTGCATCCAATGCCATCGGTGCTGATCTCGTAGTTGAACAGCTTCTTGTTCACGTCCCGCTCTTGGAAGAGGGAACTACGCAGCTTGAAGCAACTGCGCCAGAGACGATCCTGGTTGTTGATGCCGTCCTCACCTTCATCCTTGAGCTTGTCCCTGGTGAGTCCAAGACGATGTTCGGTGTCAAGGAGTTGCCAGAGAGTGACCGTGTCAATCTTGACATACTTGGCCCTTGCAGTGCATAGAGGAACCATCGTGCACACAGCCGGAGGAGTGTCGACGGCGAGCTGCTTGAGTGCCCAGTTGATCCTGGCGGCCAGCTTGTTGATCTTGGACTTGGTGGTGCCGAGCTCAGACTTGGCCGTGGTGAACCTCTTGTCGTCGGAGGGAATGCCTTGGGTAGTGAGCTTGTCCAGCTTGGCCTGGCACTGCAGCTCGGTGACTCGGAGGGCGGGCATGTCACAGTCGATCCACTTGTGGACATTGTCGACCATCTTGTCTCGGGCGAGGATTCCCACATGGTGTGAGAGGCGATGGAGGGCCCGGAAGCGGTCCTGGTCGTTGCTGTACCGAAACTCGTCCAGGATGTGGCCAAAGTCGGGATAGAGGAACTCGAGATCGGCCTTGGGTGGAGTCTGCCCTGGTTTCTCGAAGAGCTCGAGACAGGCCTCGATGGCTTCGTGCTTATGCTTGTTGGCTGGGAAGACGGCAGCGCAGAAGCGGCGAAGGAGTCGCCAGTAGGCCAGGTTGAGGTGGGTGGTGCAGTTGGTGGCATAGGCATTGACAGCGAGAGTGAGAAGCTGACTGCGGGCACCATCAGGTAGACGAGGGGCCGGAGGCAGGTCTGCATGTCGAGTGGTCTGGTAGTCGCGAAAGGAAGCGACCAGATGCTCGTTGTATTTCTTGGTGTCCCTGGCCGTCGAGAGGGCACCGTCCTGGACGATCTTGAAGCATTGGCGGATGAATGCAGGGGTGGCCTTGGAGATGACGGGGACGGGAATATCCTGCTCGATGCACCGGAGGATATGTAGGTTGAGCAGCCTGGATGCCTCGAACTGGATCTGGGTCATGGCTGCGACGGTGGCCTGGATCTTGTCGCGGAGAGCGGGATTGAGACAACAGCCATCCATCGTCTGCTTGAAGCAGCTGAACTGAGGGGCGGATGACCTTCCATCCACGAGAGGGACGACAGAGCTCTTGAGGGGCCGGTATTTGGGACATTTGCTGGTGTTGCAACGTTCGTGATCGGTGCCATCGCACTGGCGACATCGCTTGCCGGTACTCGAGGAAGTAGATGGACCAGGCTCGGTGGGATCGACATCCATTGGATCTGCAGAAGCAGTGGTGGTGAGCAACGGAGCAACAGACGACCAAGTATGCGTGGGGTCAGAATACGAACCAGAGACAGGCTCCGACTGTGACTTGGCTTTCTTGGGCCTGGGTGGCCGAGGCTGGCCATCACCGGTACCCTTGCGCTTCGGAGGCATGGGGACAGAGGATGCTGGATGCCTGCCAGTGGTACTGGTCAGAACAGAGACTTTTTTTTATCGTACAATAGCGCGATGATCAGATCAAGGCGAGATGAGGGAAGAAAGCAGCAGGACGAAGGTGTGGCATTTATACCCGAGAGCAGGAACCCGTCTGTGCGGGCTGGTTGGGGAAGCGACCCTGTTCAAAAATCGCCGAGAGGTTGAAGCCAGGGATGTGAACGCGAAAATGGCGGCGTGATTGGAGGGACAACCCCAAATTGGAGGAACTCAACCCCAAATCGGTGGGGACTCAACCCCAAAGAAGTTCTCGATGGGATTGAAGTCGGGTGAAGCAGGTGGGGTGAAGATCACTGACCATCCTCGGCGATCGATGCAGTCCAGGACAGCCATTGTCTTGTGCATGCTGACATTGTCCATCACAATCACAGAGTCATCTGGGAAGGTCGCTCGCTCAAAGAACTCGACCATCGAGTGTGTCTTGAATGATGTGGGGATGTACATGCGATGCAGCACACCAGAGTGGTTGATGGCAAATGCAGCCGAGACAGACTTGTGTTTCATGTTGTGGTGCTGACGGAGTGGGACACCCTTCGGTGTATCCGTAAAGAGGGAAAATGGATCTCCTGATCCCCGTCTCATCGACAAAAACGAATCGCCGCGGGTCGATGGAGCGGACCTGGTCCCTGAACTGTGCCACTCGCTCATCCAGTCGCTTGGACTTGTAGAGGTGTGTTGCCCTCTTGTGTGAGAGACCTGCTCGGTGGATGGCAGTGTGGCAGAGTGTGAGTGATACTTTCCTCTGGAGGATGGACTCGAGCTTGCATCGCAACACAGGACCAGTCTGGAACGGGTCCTGTTCAATCAGGGTGCGAATGACTGGACATGCCTGCTCGAAGAAAGTGGATCTGCGAGCTGGGACCCGGGATGGGTCATCCAGCTTGCATCCTCGGTGCCATCGATGGATGGTGCTCTTGGATACACTGAATATGGAGGCGACCTTACGCAGGCTATGGATGAGGGCGTAGCATCGCAATGCGGCGGTGCGAAAGTCGGATGTGTGGCGAATGGTCATGGCCAGCGCGCGATAACATTGGGTAACAAAATATTCGATGAATGGTCAAAAACCCGGGTGTCCCGTTTTTTATTGGATTGCCTGTAATTGGTCCTGCCTGCTCTCACTGGATGCCGACGGTGTGGTCGCTTGATGTCTCGGCTGACCCTGGCAATTTGACCTCCCCGTCGCGTGGCTGGCGGCAGGCGCGAGGGGCAGCCAGAGGGGTCCGTGCGGGGCACGAGAAGGGCGCGGAGCGGTGCAGACGATGCAGACGATGCAGACGACGCCGATGAAGCCGTGGGTGCAGGTGATGCTGGTCCTTGGGGGATGTCGGCAACATCGGCAACACCAGCAGCCTCGGCGGACAGCGCAGGACTGTGTGGGTGTGGGTGGCTCCTGTCCTGGGTGTCGTCTGGCAGCAAAGCGACAGCCGCAACGGACGCACACAGACACACACGGCTCAGTCTCCAGCACTTGCACAGCGACGGCAGTGTGTCCTGGTCACCTGTTGGAGGGGGGGAGCCACAGATGCGCCTCTGCCCCCGCAATGCCGAGCAACGCCGAGCAATATCGGAGGCCGAAGCAGACCGTCGCCCCGACGAATTTCATGAAGATCTGCATGGCGATCGCCATGGTGGTTGCCATGGTGGTTGCCCTGGTGATTGCCCTGGTCAGGGCGGCGGCGACCAAGGCTCCCGTGTCGCACCGGCTGTGCGCCGTTGCGCTATCCCTCGCACGTGAGCAGCATTGTATGGACGCGGTCGCACATGGCCGCTGCGCACACTGTCGGTGTGGCACGGGCTTGTGCGCGCGCAGCCACCGGCACAGCCACCGGCGAAGCGAATCAAAGGGCGATGATCAAATCCTGGTCGGCCCGACGCAGTTCCCATTCAACATGGCCACCTGTTTAACACCACCACCATTCACCACCACCACCACCACCACCACCACCACCACCACCACTACCACCACCACTACCACCACCACTACCACCACCACTACCACCACCACCATCGACCAAGCCGTGTGTCCGCCCCGTCGCCGCACCATCGCCCACGTTGCCCGTGGCGACACCCGGTCCTCACGTTCCGGTCTTCTCGGCGTCCTTGTCAAAAGTGGTCCCTCTGTCCCACCATCCCCACATTGCAAACTTTTGTCCTGGCGCCGTCCGCTCCTCTGGCCTGCGCCTTCGATAAATACCCCCCCCCAAGCGTTCCGCCGTCTCTGCCCAGGATCGCCTCTGGGACTTTGATACATCTATCCGCCGTCCCATCCTCCCGGTCGGCATCAGCTCCCATCTCTGGTCGCCGCCAATTCCCATCCACCCTATCTTCGCCTCCGCCTTCGCCATCACCTTCGCAGTCGCCTTGGCATTCGCCTTCTCGCATTCCGTCGCATCGCATCCGTCCCTTGGATCCCACACCTCTCATTTCCTCTCATCCCAACCTGACGCCCGACAACCCAGCCCGCCATGGACTCCATGCTGCCGCAACACTCGCATCGTTTGCGAAAGCCCTCCGTTGCCCGAGATAGCGCTACATACCCATCCCATCCCAGCACCTTTGTGCCGCTCCCGCCGCCTCCCATCTCGCCCGTCGGGCAGAGCCGAACGTCGCCCGGGTTCCATCCCTCCGTCCCCAGCTCTGTGATGTCTCGGCCGCCGGCCCTTCAATTCTCGCAGACCCAGCTCTTTTCGCCCGTCAGCCCCACAAGCCCTGCCAGTCCCGCCAGCCCCGCCAGCCTCGACATGTCTACGATAACCCGGTCGCCTCCCAACGAGCCGCTTCCGCCCACCCCGGCCAGCTGGCAACCCACCGCCCCTGTCAAGTCCAAGCGACCCACCCGCTCCTCCAGCATCATCTTTGGCAACCCAGATCCCTCGTCTGGACCAGGTCCGCGTCCAAACACCCGGTCCAGATCACCCCGCAGGCTCTCGAGCCATGCTGCCTCGGATCCCCGTCTGTCGCCAGTCGCGCCGGCGATTTCCCTGACGACAGCGCTGCCTCCTGGTCTGCGCGATGATGCCACCGCTCCTGTCTCGATTCCAGGGCCCACTCGCCGGTCCAAGAGCCCGTCCAAAAGTCCGTCCAAGAGTCCGTCCAAGAGCCCCTTGCGTGGTTTCCTCACCGACCAGTACTTCAGCACAACCGACAAGGAAGCCTATCTCAACTATCCCCTGCAGCCCGTCTCCATCACCCCAAGACTCTCGTCGCGCTGGCTCGGCATCGATGAGCAAATCTCAACCCACCCGCCCCGTTGCTCGAGCCTCTTGGACGATGCGGCCTTGGACTCGCCCACCACACCCCGCTTCGGCCTGCCCTCTCCGCCAACGCCGCCCAACGTCTCGCACTCCATCCATTCCTCTCCATCGACCCACTCGCTCTCGTCAGCTAGTCTGCTCCAGCCGGTCAGCACTTTGCGCTCGGCCGTGGCCTCACAGACTCCTGCCGGCCTGCCCATGACCCCCTCGCACTCTGCCAGCCACCACCGAGCCGCCAGCCCAATGCACTCCCCGAGCTCCACCCCAACAATTGCCGTTCTGCAGCCCACCCAGACTACTTGGGGCACTGGGCTTCCCCAGCCTGTCAATGCCGTTCAGGCCACGCTCAGTTTGATGCAGCCCGTCATCGCCTCCTCGCCAACTCACGCTTCTCGCTGGGGTGGTATTTCGCCCAGTGCCCAGCATCCCTCGAGCACCATCTCGCCGACTACGACCCCGCGTCCGTCGACACTGGATCCGCCGTCGCTCTCTGTGATTTTGGCGCCGTCTCCAACATCCGCTCTCGTCCCGGCTCTGGTCCCCGCTCCCGTTCCCTCGAGAGTACCAACACCTCCCAGTCTCCTGTATGCGACGCTGTCGCATACCAACCTTGTCCCCGCTTCTCAAACCAAGACCCCGTCCAACCGCCACCGCTCGTACTCAGCCCATGCCCGCTCGGTAGACTTGTCGCTCCTCATAACCCCGCGAGACGATCCCAAGTTGTCTGTTGCCACATCCCCAGTGATGTGTCCCACGGCCCCGCCCAACCTCGCCGGTCTCTCGCCCTCGGTCTTTGATTCATGCCCTCTGCCCAAGGACCGAGCCAATCTCCCCTTCCCGTCGCTGTCGAGAGAGCGGTCCCTCTCGCGCGGCCGCTCGATTCAGGGCTCGCTTGGCCGGCCCAAGCACAAACGCTCAAAGTCTCAGGCTGCCGGACCCGCTCCCATCGGCAGTCCGCACAAGGCCGCCGAGTTTGAGCGCCTCATCCTGGCCATCGAGAACGACTCGGGCGAAGAGCTCAAGCCCATCAAGATGACCTTGACGCCCGAGTATGCTGCCAAGCTCGAGAGCGGGACCATGGACTTTCTTCCCTCCCCCACGGATGACGAGAAGTATTTTGTGCTTTGACGTCCCACTCGCAGCCTGTAATCTGCCTCTCAGCATCCAGCAACCCGGCCGTCTCGATATCCAGGCCGTCTCGATACTCGACGACTCTCGGCTCAACATCCAGCACCTCTAAGCGTCGATGCTCAGATACTCGGCGCCTGTTGAACTCTTCTGCACCCAAAGCCCCCCAAAGGAAAACGAAATCGAACCCAGAAACAAAAGCAACAATGAAAGTGCAACCCCGTTTTTATTCTTCACGCTGACTCTGTCGCCCTCAGTACACCAAGCACCGTTATTTCCAGCGCCACTCCTTCGTAATACACCCAAAGAATGCAACGCCAATACCTGTACACCCCGCCAACGCTCGACTCGCACATGCTGCTCCTTACCCTGTCCAAACTTTGTCAAGTTGCCCTGTCTGTCCTATTCTGCTCTGCCCTGCCCTGCCGGTCTGCTCGCTCTCCCAAAGCCCCCTTGGTCTTGGGTCGCCGGCTCAGACCCAACCTCATCCGGCCCACCCACCGATTCCAAGAAGCATTGCGCTCGTGCCCATCGCCTCTCCTGCAGTGAAACCATGTTTTGTACGTGTCGCTCTCTATACCACGATCGCTCCACGTTGCTGCACCTCAATATAGCCCCGGACGCCCGTGTGTTCGAGATCAGTGTGGTTGCGAGTGCTGAACAGTGCTCCTCGACAAGAGAGTTCATCAGCAGAGTTCATCAGCAGGGTTCATCAGCAGAGTTCATCAAGGAAGGGCTCGTTCGCTCACCATCGTCCGCTCACCATCGTCCGCTCACCATCGTTCGCTCACCATCGGCCGCTCACCATCGTTCGCTCACCATCGTCCGCTCACCATCGGCCACTGCCGTGACCACCAGCACGCCTTCGCGACCCAGAAAGAGTGGCAGCCCTGGCTCGAGCTCGATGTCCCGTTTCGTTTTGAACGGGGCTGTATTTTGAAGGCACAACTCTTGGTGCTTTCGTGCTGGCACTCATGAAGGTGCCGCATGCTCTGCGTTCCACAGCCTGGCTGTCATGGCTGTTGCCACCAGTCCCCGTCCAGCGCCTCCTTCACCACCAGCCCGAAAGTGCCCATGCCCAGGCACAGCCGAGTCTTTGCTGGGTCGCCCGTGTGCTCGTTGATGCCGGGGGGATGGCAGACAGAAGACCCTTGTCTCTGCAGCCCCCCATGGTCCGCAGCCAGCGACGGTGGACATGCAGTCGGGTCGTCTGGCCCTATATCAACGGGTGCTGTCTGCCTTCCCACACCATCTCCATCTCCATCTCCACCTCCATCCCGCAACAGCCACCGCTGCTTTGGCATCGTGCCCATCATGTCCCTCACCTTCGGAATGCTCCTCTACGACGGCTGGGAACTCATGGACGCCCAAGCCCCCTTCTCGATCTGGATGAAGCTCGCCTCGCTCCAGCGACGCTCCGGCAGCACCCATCACCACCGGTTCGTCACCGTCGGGGAGACAAAGACAAAGCCGATCGAGTCCGTGTCCCACTTCTCGGTCCTCTGCGATCATGATTTGGCTTCGTGTCCGCAGCTCGACGTTCTCGTCGTTCCCGGCGGCCTAGCCTCCGTCGTTGCCGCCAGAGACCCGGCCCTCATCGCCTTCATCAAGAAACAGGCTGAGAACGCCAAGTGGGTCACCAGCGTCTGCAGCGGCTCTTCGCTCCTGGCCGCTGCAGGGCTGCTTGACGGACGCAAGGCCACCTCGAACAAATACGTCTTTGGCATGATGGTCCTGGTAGGCAGCCGGCGTGCCCTGCATCGCAATACTACTCGCATGGCCCTTCTGACTGAGACACACCGTGCACACAAGCCGCCTCCGCTTCGGCGTCTGCATTTCTGCCTCCGTTGCCACCACCGATCCTTCGTTGTGGTCCAACAGGCTCACGGCCGCATCCCTGTATTCTCACACCTCGATTCTTGCAGTACAGCGACAAGACCGAGTGGATCCACAAGGCCCGCTATGTCATCGACGGCAAGTATGCCACCGCCAGCGGCGTCTCGGCCGGTGCCGATATGGGCTTTGCCCTGGGCCGGTCGCTCTTTGGTGATGCCCTCGTCGACCAACTCTTGCGCGACATCAAGTATGTTCCGAACGAAATGGACGACGATCCGTTTTCGCGCATCCATCCTCTCTCTGGTGAGTAGTGCCGCCACGGCAGCATGCAAGTGAAGGGGAGGGGTAAGGTACATGGGACGCATGTCATCGCTCGTATGCGCCATCATGATCCGACAAGATGATCGCCACGGGCAGTCTTCAGGCCATTGTCTATGAGCTTCTCCCCTCACTGACATGCATCCATTGTCCTGGCTTGAACCAGGCCCTCTCCGATCTTGGCTGGCAATGCGCTTCTTTGAACTTGGCAAGGATATCATCGTCTCGGCAGAAATCAAGCGCGCCGGCACCCAACACCGCTCGTCGCTGTTCTCTCAGACGCTCAAGGACCAGGTCTCGATCCTCCTGGTCGACGGGTCCGACAGCCTCGACATTGCTGGAGTCGGCGAGGCCCTGCTTGCGATCGTGCAGACGCACTATCTCGAGTACGTCCGGGTTGCTGCCGACGAGCCGTCCAAGCTGACCGTCCTCACTGGCGACGCAGACTCGGTTGCCGACCATTCCATCTGGCCGCTGACCTGTGCCTGCGACCGGGTTTTGCTGTCGGCCGACGACAACGGTGCCGCCCTTCCCAAGCTCGTGTACATCCCTGCGATCCCACAGACCCAGGCGCATCTCCTGGACCAGGAACCATTTGCGGGCTATCTGCAGAGACTCGCCAATAGCCCCGATACCTTTGTTGTTGGCTCAGGAGAGGTTGTGCTTCGCAAGTTCAAGCAGCTTGGAAAAATGCCTGCGAGCCTCAAGCTCGGCGAATCGGAGGGATGGTTCGTCCAAGATAAGTGGGCCGTTGGTCTCACTGGCATGCAAGGTACCATAGTCGTGGCGTGAAGACATAACACACAGCGACTGCACTCTTGATTACCTGACGCTCGCAACTGTTGTCGCCGAGCGTCGCCGATGCTTCCGATATCTGATCCCCCGACACTCTCTATTCGTTTTACAACCAGGCATTCGCGCTGTCTTTGAGCTGATCCAGATCATCGCCGGTCCCGATGCCGTCGCCACCATCGCCAAGAACATGGAGATCAGCGAGACCTTGCTCCCGGCCAACATCCAGCTCACTCCCACGGCTTAGGGGCTCGGTGCTGTCTCGCCAGCCAACCTCGCCCTGTCGCCTGGATATTGTGCCTGTGCTGCCTCATGGCACTGACGGCGATGTAAATGGTCAGGCGTCTTATCCGCTTTGCATCCCTTGACGATTAATCCTCGGCGTGGGCCGATATGCCCGGCCATTCATATATCCGCTGTATATGGAATCACTACCGCAGCCAAGTGCGTGGCGACCATGTTCAGAGCGTTTGTCGCTGGGGAGGATAAGGGCCACTTGCTGGCTCGCCTGCCGAGTCCAAGGCCAAGAATGCCAACAGTAGGCACCGCTGCCACGAGTCATGAGCCATGGATTGTCTGTATTCATCGTTTGGGGAGGGGCGAGATTGGACCCACGCGCTCCTGCCTGGTTGGTTGTGCAAATCGCCACCAGCGCAAGGCAATCAGATCTCTTCGCTGATCTCGTCTCGACATCCGCCGGCTCCCAACCAAGCCCACCGCTTTTACTGGTACCGAGGCGGTCCTCCGCATTTATCGACCCCCCCCCCTTCACTGTTCCATTGCTCCCGCATCGGCTGTGCTGCCCCAAATGTCTCAGTTTACCGACGTCCACGAATCGGTCCTGTATCCGATCTATGGTATTGTGTCGGGCTCCTCCTCCCCCCTCCTCCGCGGCCGGTCGACTTGCAGAGCCGTTCCGGATGATATTGCCGCACGCTACATCGCACGTTCACACAGGATCCCTTCGCGTTGGCAATGGAATGCCACCACGGTCGAATGGTCATCAGCGGGAGATGCCCAATCGTTTGAACAGCATCGAGGCGCCGATTCTGACCATATCTCCCTCCTCGCCGCCCGCGCCTTGGCAGACGCTTTCGATTCCGGCAACCCAAAGCAGGCCCACCAGCTCTGTCTCAAGGCACTCAAGAAGAAGCCCAACGCACTAATTCTTAAGGTATGCCATCCCAGCCGTTATTCGAGCGGCACATACGGCTCTGGGAACTGGTCTTTGCCGCTAGATGCTGCGACCTCGACCGGCTGCTGTGCATTCCATTAATCGCCCAGCTCGAACTTTCCTCCGTATTGCCTGCCGTTGTCTAGGGCCTCAAAGCTATTGCTCTCGATCGCCTTGGCAAACCCGAGGAGGCCTACGAGGCGTGCGAGGACATCAAGAAAGCCGGCGTCACCGACGAGGCCGTTCTACAAACCGCCCTGATGGTATACCGATCCCAGAACAAGAGTACGTGCCGAGAGATGCGGGAAGCTGCCCTCTCCGCCGGCCAGATTATCCATTGGCTCGGGACATTGAATCGGGGCATTTCCATCGCTATGGACATTGGCATCGAATCGAGGCATCAACATCGCCATGCCTCGCTGAATCGATCATTTCGTGCTGGTCTACTGCTCTGCCTGCCCTGTTGGCAGTCGCTCTTTCCGCCTCGTTCCTTGGGAGTCTTTTGGTCCGGCTTCTGACTTGCCGACATTCCTCTGTCATTATTTCATTCCGGCAACAGATCAGGACATCCTGGAGCTCTACGAGAAGGCCGCGCAGCTCGATCCCAGAAACGAAGAGCTCGCCAACCATTGGTATATGGCGATTGTGCGGTGCAATGATCCCAAGAGCCAGCAGCAGGTAAGGCCGTGACGTCTCTCCACTTCTTTGTATCTCGATGTATGTGTGAGTGGTATTCCCCCCCCCGCCTGACACTTCGGTATCGATACCGGCATCGACTCATGTCTTTGGGTCTGTTGGTACAGGCGGCCCTGAAGCTCCACAAGCAGTTCAAGAAGGACAAGTACCAGCTTTGGGCCATCATGTGCTTGTACTTGCAGGTGAGCATGAGCAGCAGACAGAGAGCTTGTTCGGCCTCGCTATCATTGCCACTCCAGGCAGACAGCGCGGCGAGAAGGCATCGTTAACTTTGTGGGATACGTGCGGCAGGCTCCCCAAAACCCCCTGTTGTACTCGCTTGCCGAGCGCATGGCCGAGCGGGCGTTGCAAGAAAAGAAAATCAAGGACTATGAAGGTACGTATCGGCCAACTGCCGCTTGATCGGACATGCATGCCACTCGGCTCTGTCTGTGACTCGATTCCACACATATTCGCGGACGGCCACTCGGTGGTTTCTGTCGGTGATCTTTCAGTCCTGTGCTGTGCGCCTAGAGCCACACCTCAACTCGTCTGTTCGGCCATAAACATATCATTTGCAGGCCTCCAGCTCTATACTATGATCCTGACCGCCCAGAACAAGCACCAGGAGGCTGCCGCCTTGGTCCAGGGTCCGGCTGGCGCCCTCTGCAAGGTGGCATCGGAACGCAAGCGACTCGAGGTTGAGCTACTCAAGCCCCTGGGCGATTGGAAGCGGATCTATACCCTCAGCCGCGAACTTCTCACCGAAAAGTATGCATGCGACCGGACATGGCGACTTTGCTTGCATCTTGCTCATGGCCAGCCAATGTGCCATGCGGCGATTCGAATCACGGCTTCTCCATTGACACGGATCCCATGTGGATGTCATTTATGTGGCTAACTTTGACCGTCGCCATCTGGCTCAGCATCGATGACTGGGGCTGTTATCTTGACATGGTCGAATATGCAGCCCATGTGAAGCAGCAGGACGATACCAGCCAGTGAGTTCCCCATGCTCGCCATCGATAGGCAACCCCACTTTGCGGCCATGCTTTGGATGCGGCTATCCTCATGCCCTTCACCCTCAAACCCATGGTTGCATGTAGAGCATCGTCTGTGGCCGCAGAAGTCCTGGAGTTTATCAAGCAGCAACAAACCGTTGCTTCCAAAGCCAAGCGCACGCCACGCGGCCCGTATTTGGCCGAACTGGCCTACCATCACCGACTCCTGGCTGACCTTGGCGCTTCAGGCTCGTCCAAGATCCAGGAGCTCGTGTTGGAGTACTTCCAGCGGTTTGGCTCCACCCAGGCGTTTTTCGAGGACGTCTGTCCGTACATTGGCTCCGTGGACTCGAGCGACCGACCCGCCTTTGTGCAGGGCCTGGAGCAAGCCATCCAGCCGGGAGGCAAACCCATCGATGCAATCAAACAGAGAGTCAACCTCAAGAAGATCGAGAACAACCTTGCCGTCCACGACACAGTCGAGGCCAAGCTCGAGTTTGTGAACCAGCTTGCATCGCTCTATCAGGACACGCTGCCCCACGGTGAGTCCAGGGCGGCGGCTTTGGCCTCTTCCGACAATCGCTGCGGCCGTCATCACCAATCATCCCGGACATCCGTGCATTCGTACATGTCCGTGCATTCGATGGCTTCTGACCGGTCTCTGTTTGTTTGGCAGGCGTCGATTTGAAAGAAACAGAGAACCAGTACGGCGACGACTTTCTCGTGCTGGCCGCCCATGTCCTCATCGACCTCTTCACAGCCAACCGAGGTACAGTTCTAGATCCACAACCATAGGTTGCACTCCGCCCGGTGATGTGTGCAGCCAGCAAGATGCCGACCTTTGGGCGATCATAGCGATTGACATTCCATCTCGAACACATCAGAGGCGTTTGGCTTCCTCTTCCGAGCCATTTCTCTGCTCGAGTGCGGACTGCTCGCCAGCAAATTCAACTTTCAAATGAAGCTGCTCCTCGTCCGCTTGTATCGCGAAGTTGGTCAGTACGGCACCGCTCTTGGCGCCTCTGCTGTTGTGTCCGATACCATGGATTTGTGCAGCAAGCTATTGAGCCACGGTTTAATATCGCTCGGACGAGCCTCGGCTTGGAGGTTCGGTATGCACTCCTGACTCATCCGGCACGATTCTTGATGGCTGGATTTGTAGGTGCCATCGAGCGATGCATGGAGGTCGCCACCAATCTCAACGTCAAGCAGATCCAAAATGACACCATAAGGTATGGACCGTCGCATGGGTTGCTTCTTGCCCTGTCTCTCTCTCGCCAATACGGGTTGTCACCTTGCAACAATGCCGTGTCCTCAGCAACACGATTCTGTTTGCGCTCTGCGAACAGCTACTTCTTTACGGACGACATTGAAACCCTGGGAACCTACTCGCAGGCCATGCCTGCTCTGCTCCGAGGCGCCACGATCTATACCTCCAATGAGCGCGAGGTAAGCAGCAAACTCGCCCGGAGAATCGAAGGAGAATCGAAGGAGAATGAAGAACCGACTCGATGCTCGGGTTTCGCCTATCGCAGCCGTGAGCCGGTGTCGAGCGATACCCGAGTCCAAACCTGTGTTGGCCCTGCTGTCACTTGATTCACTGCCTCTCGATTTGCTGCCCAGACCCCAGAGATGATCGTCAAGGCGTACCAATTTGGCACCTTTAGCAAGGTAGGCTCGGCCCGACTGCCCCACACCCCAGAGCAGATAGGTTGACTCTGCTTCCAGCCCCTGGCGTACTAATACTGGGTTGCGTTCGTCTCTTGACAGATACCCGAATTCCTCAAGTTCCAGGATCGATTGGCAAACTCGCTCCAGCGCCGCATCTTCAAGTTGCAGACGCTCCGCGTCGAGCTCATCCGGCGATCGCTTGACTGCGAGGAGCTTGCAAGCGTCTTGGAGGAAGTCACCGGCGAACTCCCGACGACAGAGGGTAAGTCGATTGCCGCAGACACGCCCGAGCGATGCCAGCGACGATGGCCACAACGACTTTGACGCCCGCTGTGTTCCTCCCCCCACTCAGAAATCGCAAGGCTCTCCGACAATCGCGACAAGACACTGATGTCTAACTGGAGCAACTTGCAAGGCTCCATTTCCTCCCACCTTGCCGATGAACCTGTACCTAGACCCAGGGTGTGTGCTCATGTCGAGGCTTGATCGGCCGTGCTTTCCAGAGAGGAATGCCACCGTCATTCAAAGAGCAGAGAGCTAACTGCACGGGGAATCTTGGGTCTCACAGGAAAGCTGGATCAAGCTCTACTCGGCGGTCCTGTGGATTCTCAAGAGCATGGTCACTGCCAATGTCGACGCCGTCGCGGCAAGCATCCCCGCCCTCGCGGAATGTGTCGCAAGGAAACCCGAGCTGGTGAGAATTGGAGCTCGTCAGACCGTGTCCCGGACTCCTGAAGCCCTTTGCGACTCTTTTCAACTCCTGTTTGACTCGATTGGCCCTGCTTGACTGCCGCATTTACTATTTCCGAGCTTGGACGTTTTCGAGTCCCTCAGTTGCAGTGCCTCCGTGTGCGCCTTGTCCCCATTCCAACTTCCTCCGTTTTCTCCCTCCATCACAGGTCATCAGCGAGGAATCGAGCGCAGAGATTCTTCTAAAGGCCACCAAGATCTTCCAGCAAGTGGCATCTGGCATCGAGGATGGCAAGTACAGTGCTGCCGTCTTAGCCTGTTGGACCGCTCACCAGCGAGACTCTTACCTTTCTCTGCCTTGCTATGGCCCATAGATGCCCTCGAAGGCTCAATCGAATCAGCGTTTTCCCAGATCGATGGTGAGTAGAGTCGTCGCTTTGGGTCGCAGCTGTATCTCCGCACAACAACAGCGACGCAAGAACTGATGCTCCTCCCGGCTGTGTTTCTAGAGATGCTGGCCCTTTTGCGCACTCGTTTCGACTATCCTGTCGTCACAGGCGAGTCGCTCACTCTCACCTCGTTGGTGCTGGAGGTACGGGCTCTTGGAGCAGCAGTCGGGCATACTGGCCACTCATGTCATGATTTGAAACTCGGAATGGATGTCCTGCCCAGCATGATGGCCAAGCAAAGCATACGGCATTCGTATCGATATCATATACGGTCCATGTCGATCGAGACTGACGCACATATCCGATGCAGGCCCTCAACTACGTTGCCATCGTCCATTCGTCGCTCGTCAACGTCCACAAGGCCAAGAAGGGCAAGGCCAAGCCTCAGCAGGTGAGTCTCCCAGTCGCAGCCTGCATGGTGCCTGGACAGCCGTAGCCACACACCATTCCGAATGCCTGTTGGTCGTATCTGAGAGTCGGTGCTGACCTGCCAACTTTTGGCAGCCCAAGGGCCTTGCTCAGCTCAAAGAAAAGCTCGGAGTGCGCATCAAGTCGCTGACGGCCATCATGGATGGCGCCAAGAAGGAGACCAAGAAACGCGATGCCGCAACCTTGGCAGATCTTTTCTTTGAAGCCAATCCCGAGAAGGATTTCAAGGTGAGCAGGCTGATCATCCAGGTCTATACCGAGCAACCGATCGAGGCGAAAGCAGCGGCTCAGCTGATACCCTCATTGCTTGCGGACAAATCAGAATATGAATGGCGTCTACACCAAGATCGTCTCGGAGACCCCCAAGAGCTACATCTCTTTCTTTGAGCACATTGTCAAGGAAGCCAAGCGACGAATTTGAGAGCCGGCAGCACAAATCTGTGATTCAGGGGCGAGGAAATGTGTGCACCATAGAGCCCCTTGAAGCAGGGCGCAGCGTCCATTGTCGCCATTCACCCACCCGCTTGCAAATGACTGTATCGCACACTCGCTCAGAGTGCGACAGGTTGCAAAGTGCAAAACACCATCGTCGCTCAGACAACCCAGCGAGTCGATCACCTGTGCCATACCGGCTCGTCCCCAAGGGTACTGCGAGAGAGCATGCTGCACAGATGAGGATATTTGGAGTGCCGACGGTGATGAGGACTGAAGGGATATATTCAGAGTCGTGCTACGGGGAAGAGAGTACAATCTGAATGTATATGGGAGGGACGCTGCGCCATTAGGATGGCGTTGACACATCATTCCCGTTGCCAGAGAGAGACGTCGCCGAGTTATAAAATTGTACTCGGCCGAGCTCATCTACATGTCGCATTCATAGGGTGCCGACTGGGCTCTTGCCCTTCACGACCCAAAAGCCCAGCATCGCGGCAGCGACACCGGCAACCCCGACAAGCGGCCAGAACATGCTTCTGTGGTGGACAACCGGCAGACGGCGCGGATGATCTTGAGATGTTGCTGGATTTGGCGCCGACGCATCGATGGCGGTGTGGAAGAGCGGTCCGATCGCAGCGACGAGGGGTGGAGCACAGATGCAAGGACAGAATCAGAGGACGGCAAGCAGGTCGGGAGCGATCGGGGTCACTGAGGAAATCAAGGGGACTGAAAGGGATCCACGACTAAAATCACACAGGGACCGCTGACGAGGCCGGGAGTTTGGGTCGCCGAGGCTGAGAGAATGCTGCCAAGCGCTTCGGTACTGATACAGTGGCTGTGTATCCTAGGGGAGTTGGCGGCGAGCGACATTGAAGAGCGAACGATGTCGGCGTTTGCAGGGATTTGAAATGAGAGTGGCATTCGTCGAGTTGAGGGGGAGTTGAGGCCGTCGAGTCGAGTCAGGTCCAGTCGAGTCCAGCGGTCAGTAACGAGAGGCAGAGGATTCGCCGATTAGATGGCCTTGCAGTTTGAGCGCAAATGTGAGCATGTCGACAATGGCCGCAAAACGCATAGGGGATGAACATCCTCGGCTCCTCGGCTCCTCGGCTCCTCGAACTGCATGGCACATCGGCTCTTCGACTCTTCGGCACCTCGACGCCTCGACTGCACAGCCCTGCCTGCTGCTTGACCACGAGCGGCTTCTGGAAACAGCGTATTCAATCAACGGAAAGGGGACGCAGGCGGCAAGATGCAGGGTGCCCTACCTGGGCTGGGCCCGGACCGAGGTTGGGCTGGACGGGGTGCCGGAGCTGGCCGTCTCGACTTTAGGATGGCATCGATCTCAAAGTCGCTTTCCCAGCGCTCGAGCATGCGGGCGATCGCCTCGACCGAGACACCGTGCGAGTTCTTGCGGGCCATCTGGTCCACGTCCCGACGAAGCCACCACTCTGTCTGAGGCTCCTTGATCTCGACGGCGTAGTTGAACTGCAGGGCCAGCTGCACATAGGGGCGGGCCTCCCACTTTTGCGTGTGGGTGTTGTCGATGATGACCAGCGGTACTTGGCGCTGGAGAGCATCCAGAGCCCTGCTCTGGTTCCACTGGTGCGCCTGGCCGAGCAGCGACGGGTCGAAGTCATACTCGTGGGTATGCGGATCGACGAAATAGTCGTCGGTCGAGAGCACGACACTGCGAGGATGGTTGGCGGCGATGGCCTGGGCCAGCGTCGACTTGCCCGAGCCGGGGCAGCCGCGCATAACGACCAGGACGTTGCTGGGGCTTTCGGACATCCGGCACAAGAGGGCGAGCAGCAGAGGAAAGGGCAGAGCGGTCGGGAGGGGAGCAGATGGGCGATGGACGAAGAAGATATTGCCGAGGCACAAAAAAAGCGGCCGGTGGCGCTGCCGGCTGGGCCGCCTCTGCCACCGGCCGATGGAAGATGATGATCGGCGAGATACGAGACGTGAACGGTGATATGATGATCTGATGATATGATGACATGATGATATAGTGATATAGTGATATAGTGATATAGTGATATAGTGATATAGTGATATAGTGATATAGTGATATAGTGATATAGTGATATAGTGATATAGTGATATAGTGATATCATAGTAGATTGATCTATACAACCAGGGTGTTCTTTGGTCCAGCGACAATGTAACCCATTGCTTTTCAACAGTCCTTGCTCTTTCCACCGCCAAGGCCTTTGCATATCGTCCCCAGACGAACGTTGCATTCTTGACCCTGTTCAGGAGAAAGCCGACCACTTCCCATTCAGTTTTTGACAGCGTCGTCTGGACGGCCGCCTGGGACCAGGGAACTTGGCACCCTGGCTCGAATACTGCTGTCCTGACGACTTCGCCACCGCTCCCACTCTGTTCCAACTCTCTCCTCATCATACCATCCACTCTCGCACGGCCGTCGTGATGAGGGTCGATCTCCTCCAGTATATCCCGCCTGTCGGCAGCAGCGCTTTGGCCGAGGGCCTGTGGGTCCCGGTGATCAAGGCCGACTCGCCTCCGCCCGTCTCTGCCGGCCCAACATCCCTCCGGATTGCCTCGCTCAATGTCTGGTTCGACCGGTACCAGTGCGAGACCCGATGGAACAGGAGCCTCGAGACGCTCGCCGCACTCGAGCCCGATGTCATTTGTCTGCAAGAATGCACCCTGGAGCTGACCGAGCTGTGTGTCAAGTCGTCCCAGGCTATCCAGGACCACTACTTGATCACCGACTTGACTACCTTTGACGGCTGCTGGTACGGGCTTATGGTCCTCGTGCGCAAGAAAAGCACCGTTGCGGTCCGCTCGGCCGAGTCTCTCAAGTTCCATGCTGGGCGCCTGTCTCGGGGACTCTTGATAGGGCATCTTGAGGTTGGTGGGATGGCAGTGTCGATAGCCACTAGCCATCTCGAGTCCTATCCGCAAGATTTGCCCTTCCGCCTCCAGCAGCTCGAGCAGGCCACCCAGGCCCTAGCAGACTCTTCGTCTGCACTCACCATCCTGTGCGGTGACTTCAACATCCCAAAGGCCACCAACGAAGAGGAGTCGCTCTTCATCCACCGCCTGGGCTGGACCGACGCATACACCAGCTTTCACCAACTGAGTCTCTCGGACGACGGCGGTCTGACCTTTGGGGACTGGACGCCCAAGAGCTGCTCGCAGTGGCCCGGCGCAAGACTCGACCGGGTCGTCTACCGGACCGGCGATGGTGTCGGTGCTGCCGTGAAGTCCTATGCGCTGTTCGGCAGCGAGCCCATTCAGGGCGATGGCGAGGCCTTCTTTGCCTCAGACCATCTCGGTATCGTTGTCGATATGGAGTGTAGGTCCGAGTGAGAGGGAGCCACTGGTCCATATCGCAGACATGGCAGACGGCCATTGTGATGAGCGCAGAAGCCGGACCCGTATCAATACATTGGTGTTCTGTCCAGTTTGGAGCACAGCACCGAGATCGGTGCCGAGACAATGCTCAAGTCCAGGGCCTCGTGTCATTCGCACAAGCCAAAGATTTTCGATCTTTGCCTTCCAGCGGCATCTCTGTCGTCCATCATCTCCACCACCAACCACTGCTGCCTATAATCCATGTCGAGCAAGCCTGCAGCCCGTCTCCAGCTGGCCGAGCTGGTTCTGATGGCAGCCCCGCTGGCGGCGCTCACCACCTCGTCGCCACCCCGACTGGCCCGTCGGTATCAGCACCAAGCCCGATTGCAATCCGCCGGCGTGCCTCCGCTGGCGATGTGCCGTTGCCCAATATCACCACTGCGAGTGGCATCGGAGGATGGCCTGCATCAGAGGATGGCTACATCGAGTTCCTCCAGAAATACACGCCATCCGATCTTGACGGCCGCTGACTGATGCCGAGGCCTGCTCCTTCTCCGATCTCATAGGATCAGGTCTGCTCTTGCTGGCCGTCCTACTGCTGCAACGCAAGGAGTGTCTTCCACTCTCGGTCGGGTCGAGTGCATTTCGGTGAGTTTGCATCGTCCGGCGCCATGCACTAGTCATGTACTCTCGGCCAGCGCATCAAGAACGAATACCATCCAATGCCGGTCTCACTAGCAAGCCCGATCCACCGGCCATCGCTCATCCGGTTTGTAATTCAGACCCAGCATCGGCCAGGGGCTTCCGCTCCTGCTATTGATTCCAACTGTCGCCGAAGCAGTTCATCAGGACGCCGCATCGACAGTGCTCAATCCAGGCAAGTACAACTCGGTCCGCCAACAGCCTGCTTCCGAGACGATCGCCGCATTCGAGGAGCCACTCGAGATCTCATATCTACTGTGCATGGGCACTTGCCTGCACCAGAGTACGCTGATGTTTTGTCGCTGATGGCATATGCGATTGCGGCGCTGCAACTCGCCAACGTTGCTATCGTTCGGTGGGCCGCGTCCTCCAAGGACTGTTTCTCTGGATTGGCTCCCAGTCTGGTAGTTGCGCTCTTGCTGGTGCTCGTTGGCAAACAGAGCACCGATCTTGGCGGCCAAGGTAACAGATTCGTCTCTGGAGCGATGATTTTGGGGTCTCGGCAGCGCTAACGAGCATCATTGCTGTTCGCATCCATGCACCCTGTCTCGTTGGTTCACACACTCTGACAACCCTGTCTGGCACAGCTCCTACTCCTTTGCTGCTCCTTGCCGCCCTTTGGGCCGTGCTTGGATCGCAAGCGTCGCTGTACTTTGTCTGCTCGGCATTTGCCCGGAGCTTCACCCTTGGCGAATGCGCTGTGGTAGGATCTTGGTGGACCCTGCTGTCCTTTGATGCTGCCGCAAGAACTATCTATAAGGCAAGTTCAGTTCCATCGTTCAGTACGAGACCCGGCAGGACACTTATTCCACACCAAGCGCTGACATGCGCTGTCTATTGCCGAACCAACAGCTCGGCGCTCTATCTTCGGCATCGTACCTGGGAATCTCAAGCCCGCACTACGTCTACCACCAAGCACTGCTGCTCGGCATGGCTGCTATCGGATTGGTGCTCTATCCACTCCTGTCGGCAATCAAGAAACAAGCAAAGCGACACATCGGGGGTCATGGCTCAAACAGCCGTTTGGGGGCGGCCTTCTACGTCCTGGCACTCTCTGTCATCGCTGTCATTATTGCCCCATGGTGCGATTTGTTCCTGGGCCGATTTGGATCCATATTCTGGTAAGTTGCAGATCACCCATATTACTGAAGACCGGTATGGCAGCGATCCCATCAACCTGCCTCGAGCATCGGTTGACCTGCATCGGGCAAACTCTGACGTCTCTGCTGTGCTTCCAGGATTATGCAGTTCGTGCTTGCCCCAAGAATCGCTGGCATCTGCTGCTACTTTGCGACCTTGATTCTCGCGGCAGTGTGGTTTGCCTCGCTGCGACTTGCCAAAGGATCGCCGACATCGGCCCAACTCAACATGCGACGCAAGTTTTACCATGCGTTGGCCATCCTCCTGTTCGTTCCCGGGTATCTGCTCGAGGTAATCGTGCGATTGTCTGTCGGCTCTCCCGCAGCAGCTGCTCGTTGCTCATGGCTTGACCTGACCGGGGCCTCTGCGGGGTTGCTTGTAGGTCGGCACTGCTCACATCGACATGGCTCTTGCCTTTGCCAAACGGCCCTAGCCTGTGTTTATGCACATTGCCTTCTCGGTTGCCTTGAGTGGCACCTTCTTTGTCGAGTACCTCCGGTATTTTCGAGTCTGGCCGTGGGGCCATGCCATCGAGCTGTTCCTGCGGCATTTTATCGACTCGCGCGATGCTGGACCGGCTGTCCTGGCACACATCTATCTTCTTGTTGGATGCGCTGTGCCTGTGTGGCTCAATAGGTTGGTACTGTCGACGAATAGGGCTTTCGGTGGACCAGCCGTCTGGGATCGCTCTTACCTGAGACTGCATCTGATTTACTCTCTCTAGCCTTGCTATGGATCGGAAACTGGCTCTCGGCCTTGGCGGAATGCTGACGATCGGCGTCGGCGACTCCATGGTAAGGGCTGGTTTGCGTCCGGGATGCATGGGGGCGCTTGTGGGAGCCAGATAGGCCGTGCTACTTTTGTTTCGAAAGTGGTTTCTCTGCTGTGGCGATCGGCTTGCATGCTTGGCTTATGCGTCCAATCCTCTTGTGCTTCGTTTGCATTGCCCCAGGCATCGATCGTTGGGAAGCGCTTTGGCAGACACCGATGGCCGGGCACGAAAAAGACCATGGAGGGCACGGCGGCATATATTGTCAGTGTCTTGGTGGTCTATCAAGCAGTTTCGATGCTCCTGGCTCCCGAAGATCGCATCCCGGTAAGCTTGCTGGCCATGCAGTCCGCGGTCTGGTTGGAGAAGCAGCCATCGATTCAGCCCCACATCTGAATGGCTATCTTTTGATATCGGCGGGACGGGACGGGACACACACCTATATCAAGATATTTGGACTCGCTGTCTCGACCTTAACGGGAGGTATGTACCCTGGCGGAAGATGAGCTCGGGTGGGCTACATCCAGAACACGGCTTTGTGCGTGCTGACCAACCCGATCACCATACACTTGCTTCCAGCGATGCTCGAGGCCGTCTCGGATCAAAACGACAACATTATGATCCCGGCGTACACGTTCTGCTGGCAGGCCTACTTTGCCGTCCACAGCCAGTCGCTATGATTCCCAGTGTCGGTGGGGCGTATCTGCATTGATTTGGGTCGAGAACTAGGCCAGTCCGCCGTGTTAGCAAAAGGACCCAAAAATCGGTGAAACTTTGAGGCAAATTTTCGGTCTGTTTGTGCATCATGAAAGTACCTGTGCAATCCAACTGCTGGAGTTGTATCTTGGAGCGACCGTCTCGCCACACAGGCTTGGGTCGCAGATCCGGTGTGTGTGGTGCACGATTTCAGGCAGCCGAGCACCACACACACACACATCACGAGAACCACACGTGATCGAAAGCACACCGAGAGACTGCCGAGAGCACACCGAGAGCGAGGCGCCAGCCCCGGTTTTGGTTTCCCTTGGCCGATCGTTGCTCCTGAAATCAATGCCTTGCCTGCGATAACCCCGCTCTCCGGACACACTTGCCATCGATGAGCAAAGATACCAGGAGACCAGCCTTGATATTCACCAGCGCTGAACTGTGGCCGCTCGGGTATGCGCTCCGCTGTGCCTTCCTGGATCTGCAGACTCAGCATTGTTTTGGGAGATGGGCTTGGAAGGCCGACCGCTCGCCACCATAGCTCCTTCCGCCCCGGCCTTGCCCATACCGATAACGTGCAGCGGACTGTCTTCCTTCCGTGATTTAGAGAGCCTGAGCGGCCTATGACTGAGCATTCATACTCAAGCAGACGCAAGGATCAATATGAGCGCCTCCGGCTCCATCAGCTGTCGTTCATGGTGAATCACCATGCCAACGAGCTCAACGAGCTGCACGATCGTCTCGCCGCCGAAACAGCGGGCAACGTGTTCCGCTTTCCACCCATCCATGCTTTGAACTGCCTCCTATCTCCCGAAGAGAAAGCTCATGTCGAAGCGGAGCTGGCGAAACGGTACCCGAAGAGCGAGCAGACACACAGCCTGGACGAGTTGCTGGCTTGGAAGAACTCAATCAATGTACTGTACTGCTGCATCGTCTGCACGACAAGATCAGTTTCGCTGCTGAGTGGCTCTGCTGAGCGGCGCTGGTGCTAGCATGAGCAGATTCAAGTGTATATAAGAAGTGTGGGATGGTCAGCTGGGGTCGATGCTGTCGATGCTGTCGGTGCTGTCGATGCTGTCGATGCTGTCGATGCTGTCGATGCTGTCGGTGCTGTCGATGCTGTCAAAGAACACGCACCGCATCCAGCGACTGAACCAATCTCCTTGCCTCGATGGACACCCGCAACAGAAAATACAAAGAAATGCCGTCAACGTCCTCCGACTCGAGCAAACGAACGAGCTCCATGCCCTGCAGCTAGATCAAGTGCGGGAGAATCTCATGTTCATCGAATCCAGCAAAGAGGATGCTCCCTCCGACCCTTCTCGAGAGCCACCCAAACAGCACCACGCCCCGGAATCGCCTGAGCCGGCAGTCAAGTCTTTGCAGGGGCCATATGAGCTCACGACAGAACAGCTGCCGCTGCCCGATGAGACTACTCATCCCGAGCCTCCGCCAGTCAGATCGGACTATGTTGTTGCGGGCAGTTCTCGGTTGGACGCTCAGGGCCACCACGCCACCTTGGATGCAGATGCCACTGACACAGCTTCGAACATCAGCAACGAGGACGCTGGCGGAGCAAACTACTCCCCTCCAGTGCGCCCAACCTCAAGCACATGCCGCCCCGACAACCTGAGCCCATGGATTCATCTCGCTGGGCAGTCCAAGATTGTCGCCAGCGGCCCAAACCCCCTCGACATGAGCTTTGAGTTTGCTTGCGATCGATCTGTGCACATCAGACTGTGAGTAACAGCGAGAGTTTGTACCATATGCACAATCCCATCCTGCATGATCCTACTCCGCACAGTCTCCTTGCTGCAGCCTCGGTCCCGGGGCATACGGACATGCAGTGTATGATCCGGCTGCTTCATTCCGATTCCAGAACACTCACTTCCCTCGTTCCTACGCAGTCCGTCGAGAATCCGCATAGATGAATACCTCTCTGCCGAGACGCATCTCCAGAACTTGTCAAAGATCCTCAGGAATCCAGAAAACTTGACGATGGCGATGGTGCCCCTCAGCCCCGTCGGACAGTCGCTGCACGAGGTCCTTTTCAAATTCTCAGCCGTGGTCTATGCCAAGAAACAGGTATGCTCCGTCGGTGCTGATGCTCTCGCCACAACGGGGTTTGAGGTGTGCAGCGATACTGACATGCCGATGCCGACATACGTCTCCCGTGGTTCACAGATCTTGTTGGCACACATCGACAAAGAGCGCAAGCTGACCATTATTCCATCGAAATACGTAAACCACCAGTCGCTTGACGGATTCCACATTTACAACCGCCATCCTTGCTTCATAGCCGTCCTGGAGGGCGACCGCCAAGTGGTGCCGACCCAAACTCTAAAGTGGAGCACTACCACACTCAACAGCGTGAGGCGTGGTATCGTGTGGAAGCGAAGCTCCTCGAGCAAATCCGCAGGTTCGTCGTCCTCGAAGCCGACGATGAAAGAATCTGGTGCAGTGTCCGCCACCGGCTCGCCTCCTCGCTTGGAATCGCCTCTACAGGCGGGTGTGTCGCCAATCCATTCCGAACACCAGCAAGAGCCGACGACGGCCCAGAGCGCAACGACGGCCCAGAGCGCAACGACAACCGCTCCGCCTCTTCCCCAGCATCTCATGAACGGCATCCTGAATGCGGCGATAGAGCACGGCATCTATGTCTTTGATAATCGCATTTCCCCAACCACGGGCACGGCTGGGAATGCGACGTCGACTGGAGCCACGGCTGATGGTCTTCCTGCAAGCAACGCAGGGTCCAACCCAACCCGTGCAGCCGAAAGGCGATCCAGCAGTACACAGGATCCACTGCCCATTCCAACGGATCCACGCAAGCGGCCCAGGTTCGGTTAGGACAGCGCAATAAAAAACGGGACACCCGGATATTGAGCATTGGTGAATGTTCTCGCTCAAAACACCACACGCTGGCCATGACCGCTCAACGATGTGTTTCTGGATCTGAATCAAGGACGCTTTCTCGCTCAGATGGATACACGCAAGCGACTCGAGAAGGCCGAGTATCTTGATATCGAGTTAGTATGGAACTGTCCAGAGGGTCGAGTGGATTCATCACACAACGAGATTGCCAACCAGGACGGGAAACAACCACACGGCTTGCTCACTGGAGCCTGCAGCAGTTCGGCAGGTTTCAGACATCTGAAGCCAGAGTGACTGCTCCGTTTCTTTCTGGATCGACTGTGTCAGCACCTTCACGGCGCTCGAGCCATGTGGCATGAATATAGCCGAGGTAGCACCGAGCGACACTCCTACAATAGCCGTCCATGTTCCAAGGTGCATTGGTGAGGTGCATCCGCTTGGGCTTTCATGAAGAGCGCGCCATGGGCGTTGGGTTTCGCCTTCGTTTCTGTGCGGGGCGTTTGGGCACTTTGCACCCCAGCCACCTCTTGCTTGATCTGCGCTCGCTTCTCGTCCTCGCACCGCCAGAGCCGTCATGCAGCCCACATCCACCAGTCGACATGGAGAGCTGCTCCTTGCGAAGCATCTCGAGCTATGGCCGACCGAGTAAGCCTCCTGAACGGCAGCCCTACCATCTGGGTTCCAAGCTCCCGCTCCGTTTCGCTAACGGTCTGCATCCAACCACCACCAGCGCCCAGATCTCGGAGGCCAGGGGGCTATCGTCCGATTTTGTCTATCCACGCATGTCCGACTACACCAAACTGCATAGCTTCCGGATCGGAGTCCTCGTCCAGCACCACCAGCAGGAGATCTATCAGGCTCTTCACAGCGCACCTCAGCCCGAAAAGCGACAGCCGCCCGCCGACAGGGCCTATCTCTTTCATGCCACACAGTCGCTCGTTTCGCAGCTGGAGCGCTGCAACCTGGAGGTTCCGTACCATAGCCGCAACGGTGAGCCCACGCAAATTCTGGATCTCTCGCCTGATCGCCAGCCGCCATCGTCTGGTCTGCATACCCTACTCGAGAAATACAGAGGCGCCATCGCGGCCGATCGAGCAATGGTCGAGGCCAATGTAAGTCTATCGCCGAGCAGGGGCAGCCGAGAGGGAGCTTAGCGGCAGCATCCCTGCTTTCTCGAAGACATGCTGAAATGGGTTTCTGGCTGCGGGGTTGGACACCAACATCACACAGCGGGAGTTGGAGGAGCAATATCTGCAGCTGCGGAACCGGCAGAACGACCAGCTCCTGGATCTGCACAAGCACCAGACGGCGTCAACTATAGCCTTTGAGAGACATCTGCAGGGGCCTTCCGTTCGGACATCACGATCGACGGAACAGAAGGCCGGTGCTGGCGCTGCATCGTCAACATTGCCCCCGCGCAGGACGTCGTCTCCAACAGTAAGTGAGGCTGTATGCGGCGCTCGGGTTGTGTTCTTGGCATCGGCCGAGATGGCTTGTGACTGCAGCTGCTATGGCATCTCACACTCTGTCCAACGCCACCAAACTTCCGCTCCAGGCTTATTCGCCAAACGCGGAACGAAAGGATAACGATAGGAGTGCCCAGAGAGGCTCTGACAGCGACTCCAAACGTGATCCTCGCTCAGACTACAGGAGTGACTCTCGGCCTGAGTACAGAGGCGATTCTCGACCAGACTACAAATCTGCTTCTCGCACGGACAGCAGACACGATCCAAAAGCGGACAGCAGATACGACCCAAGAGCAGACAGCAGACACGATTCAAGACCGGAGAGCAGATACGATTCAAGAGCGGATGGTCGATACGGCTCTCGGTATGACACCAAATATGACTCGAGGGCAGACTATCGCCGCGACTCGAGGCCGGACCACCGCTATGATCCAAGATCGGACTACCGACGTGACTCTCGACCAGACCCAAAGTACGATTCGCGCCCAGATCATCGATATGAGTCCCGGCCCGACAACCGATACGAATCTCGGTCGGACTACAGACAAGACTCACGCCCTGATCACAGGCCCGATTCCAGATATGAGCCGCGCCCCGATCAAAGCTCATATCAAAAGACGGACCACAGGCCCGGCAACCGGCCTGATCCCAGATCGGAGCCCAGGACAGACCCAAAGCCTGCTCCAAAACCCGAAGCCGCCAAGCGCGATCTGAGGCAGAATACCAATGCCGGCACCGTTTCCGACCCACGTCGGCCGGCTGCTGCCGAAACCACGCCCCCTCGGCCTACCCCTGCCGAGCGCTCTAAACCAAAGGCGCCCGCGAAGACACCGGCCGAGCCCGATACTCCTGCGATGGCTGCGGCCCATGTGGCTCTCGAGACACCAGAGGCACCCGAGGCACCCGTTGATCCACCGCCAGCGCCAAACAAGACCAAGCGAATTACGATCGCCACATCGGATGACGAAGTCATCGCTACCCGCGAGATCACCGGCGAAGAGTACCAAGCCATCCTCACCAAGTTGGTCAAGTACGTCCACCACTGGCGCGAGACACTCCCACGAGAGCCTTTCGTCGACTGGGGATATCGTCTCTGTCGGTGTAACATCGAGCTCGGTCCAGAGAGCAATCGGCTTGGCTTCAAAGCTGTCATGTCTGTCAACTCTGAAGTTGATATTGAAGTGTGAGTCGATGGGCGAGTGGCTTCGGAGGAGACAGTTCTGCAAGCGCGCCACTTCCCTACTTGATGTTGGTTCTAAATTGTTGGCATCGGTTGCATATGTCGCAAATGCTCGCATCTGCCCGGGCCGTTGTTTTTGCTGCAGTCTTGCCTCCAAGCTCCACTGCACACAAACTCGGCACCCTCGGCCTCTATTAACCCTGTGACTCTATCTGATAGACCCTCTCGTCTCAAGTGCTGGGAGCAGCTGCACCTGGGGCAGTGGTGGGGACACCTGGGTCGGATGCTGCAAAACCCCAGCAACACCAAAATCCTTGTATCTCTACCTGATCGAGGCACGGGAACGGTATCGGAGAGCCAGGTCGAGACATTTGTTTCCCAAGAAGAACTGAAGGTGAGCCCGCGATCGCAGTTTCCACCTGAGCAATCCCCCCCCCTCACCAATAGACCCGATACAGACGCATCGTTCTCATCCGACCGAATGTCTTTGTGCTGCAGGTGTTCAAAGCCAATGTGAATCGTCCGGGAATCCGGTCGGTGTATCTGATCCCGATCTCGCACATCAGCTGCAGCGATGCTTCGTTTGTGCTCGTGCGGCCGCTGTTTGTCGGTATCGTTGTGAACTCGACGCAAGCCATCCCCAGCGCGGTAGACGACCGATGGACGCTGTCGCTCGAACCGCTCGAGTCGATCAATGCTCGGATTGAACATTCTATCCAAAGAACTATGGGCGAAGCCCCCCACCAGTCCGACGACCCTCTGCAGAACAGTGCGCCTGCGAATCCCGGCGCTGATGGCCACGAGGCAAACAGCTACGAGGATGCCGACCCGTTTCTGATTCCGCAAGCTGCTCCAGAGCTCCCCGCAGTTTTGAGCTGAGGCTTGCTGTTAACGATAAGTCAGTGCGTGCCACATCAATACACACGATCATGATTTCGAAACAAACGCACTGGTCCCCCTCCCTCGTCTTTCCCTGTATGTTGAGGAGTGGGTCTGTGTGAATCCTGGGACAACCGAACCAATGTTATTTGAACGACGACGGATATATTCTTTTCCACAAAGCGTGACGGAAATGGATCGAGGGAAAAGCATGGCCTAACGACACTCAAGGGACAGGAAAGAAAAAAAAAGGGGGGGGGAGAAGAATAATGGACTGACGGAGGGGGGAGAGCCATTGCAGGTGAATGGACGGGGTGCAAGATAGTAAGGCTCTGGTTGCTTTGCTTTTTTTTTTTTGTTGCTTTTGTTGCTGTTATGTTTGAGATTATTTTTGAGGAAAAGGGAGAGAGGGATGATGACCGGGGGTACTATCGGGCAAAACAAGAAGGGAGCTGAAGGCACAGACGCTGGAAAGTGGAATGTGGCGGAGGAGTTGTGGTTGGGGGTGCGATGCGATAGAGCAGTGCCGCACGACCATGGTGACAACGACCAAGCCGACACAGGAGAGTATGGAACAGCCAGAACAAACCAAGTGGAAGAACGAGCGAAAGGGGGGGGTGATATGATGTCAAGAAAGTTGGATGATGGAAAAGAGGAGCAACGGCACGGCAAGCTGCGATGAGATGGAGGGCAGAGACACGAGATGTGCGTCGGTCGCGGTGCAATGACGTATGCCCATGTCGGTTGGAGAGTGTCGGTTGAGCCGACCAAATCTTTGCTTGATTGATGCCGGCGATGGGAGGAATGAGGAGCAAGGAGGGAGAGGGGAGGAAGGGAATGACGAGGAGTTGAAGGGGAGGAGGAGGAGGGCATCGGCGGTGCCACATGGGGCTGGCAGGGGCACCAGCTTGGTTGATTCGGCGTTGCTAAGGATCCAGGCATGGGCTCGGTATCGGTCGTGGAGGGAAGGTGGAGAGGGGGGCACGTCATCCTCGCCAGCTCAGCCGACCAGCATGTTCTGCCGTTGGCGTCCTACTTCTTTTGACCCGAGGCGCTGAAGCGGGTGCTAACACCGTTCCAGAGGTCGGACATTCGGCTCGATGTCGAATTGCTCAGCCGAGTCGACGACGATCCCCGTTCAAACCGCGGCGGGTCTTCTTCCGAGATGACCCAGTCACTCCGCCGCCCGGTGTATCCGAGGGCCGACGAAGGTCGCTGGGAGACCAACACCTCGTCGTGGTCGGACGACGAGACGTTCATGGGCGACTCGCTCCGCGGCATGCCCGAAAGCGTGGTGTGGCTGCCGTTGCCGCCGGCACTGCTGTTGCGCTCCGCATTCTGGCTCTTGCCCATCTTGAGGAATGCCAGACTCTTTGCTCGCCGGACAAAGCTCTGCTTCATGCCCACAAATCCAGCGGCAGCCGCGCCTTCGTCGGCACCGACCATGGGGTTCTTGTTCTGGCTGATCGAGTTGCCTCGGCGCGAGCGCGTTGTTCCGGGCACAGGCGCTGCGTTCAGAGGAGGATGGCAGAGATCCTCGAGGTTGAGGGGCCGATCGGCATCCGTAGGGCCACTGGAGCCAGATGTGTGGCGGTCCTCGTAGATGGTGTTCATCTCGCGCGCGGTCGGGGCCGATGCCAGCGACACGAGCGGGCCAGTTTCCTCGAGCCGCTGGATCGATGCGCGGAAGGCGGCCGAGCCTGTGGTCGATCGTGTGGGCATAAACTGGATCTGCTCCTGCAGAGGAATAATGTCATGGCGGTTCTCCACCAAGAAGCGCAGGCCCTGGACCCACTGCTGGTAGTCAAACCAATTCGTGGGGACAAGCAGAATATCGCGGTATGGGGTCTCGATACGGATGGCGTGATTAATGTTGGGAGGGAAGTTGCGACGCTGGGGGCCATCGAGGGTAAGGTGGATGTCGGAAGGTGTCGACACCGAGACGATGCAAGCTGGCGGGTGGCAGAGGAAGTGGGGGGGGGGGCAAATGCTGTTAGGATCTCAAGATGAACACGGGGTGGCAAATGCCAAGGCGCCGAGGGACCTCCTTTCATGCCCCATTTCATGCTCCCTTTCATATACCCTGCTCGCCGCTCCCGCCATGGAGTTGGGGCTGGCGACATACCTGTTTTGGCCCCAAGTCGCTGGGTTCCCTGGCTCGGCGGCTTGACGGCCCAGTTCAGCGTTCGACTGAACGGATTAACCCAAAAGTAGCGCAGCTTCGGGTTCTTGCCGTGGCGGTTATATTTTTGGAACTGTCGTCGCCCAAGGGCAGGAAGCACACCTCGTTTAGCAGCGGATATGGGAGCACGAGTCGCAGCCGGGACTATGACGGAGAGCCTGGCAGCGAGCGAGCAAAACGGCAAGCACAGGGGTCGGTCAGGCCGATTGGACTTACCCACGAGCCAATAAGGGTATACGTTAGCGATTCCAATATGAAGCTGTCATCGGCAGCGGCCACGTCGCCCGGAAGGCTGACCTCGTGCGAGGTCTTGGAGTGGACCGACTTGGACGTATCCGATTGCTGGCTGGGCACGGCCGAGGAGAGCGGCTGCGGGTAGCGTTCGACAGGGACGTTGACCGTAGGCGTTGACTTCTTGACCGGGGTCCGCGAGGTCTTGGTGGTGGTGGTCTGAGTGGTGGTGGTGGTCTGCATCACATAGGCCTCATAGTAGACCTCGGTGGTCGAGAAGGCGGGCTCGATCTGAGAGGGTTGTGGCGGCGGGGTTGACTCGCGGACAATGACGGCGGTAGTAGGCTGCTCCCACGGTTCCGTCTGAGTCTCCTGCTCGACGCACTTGGGCCGAGAGCGAGACAGGCCAAAGGTGTCGATGGACAGATCGCCCTTGGCAACCTCAGGCTTGGTATCCTTCATCCATGCCTCCAGCGTGTCTTCATCCAGGACGTTTGAGAGGCGAACGGCAACACTGGGCGGGCGTGGCGCTGGCACTGGTACTAGTACTGGCACAGGTACCGGTACCAGTGCCGAGTCGCTGTTGGTGGATTGCGCGAGCCAGTCATCAAAGACCTCGGCACTGGGTTCCGGAAGGTGCGTAGCGGCCTCGTGGGGCCCGGAGACCACCACCACACTGGCGGCGCTGTGCTGGTCCGTGGCGGCGCTGGCACCGTCCTTTTCATCAATCAGGAACTCGTCAAAGGCCTGGATGGAGCGGATCGTGGCGGGGTGCTGGGGAGAGTCGGTCAACGACGGGTTGGTGCAGTCGTCTGACCGGGTGATGGCGCAGTCAAGCAACGAGGGATGCAGCGAGTGCTCGCTGACAGAGGTGCGGAGCAGATCCGAGTCGGGGTTGAGGATGGTGGACTCGGACGGAAGGCCCTCGAGGGGGCGGGGCAGATCCGGGCCGTCGTGTTCGTCCAGGCCATCGAGACTCGAAAAGGCGTTGCCGAATTTGCTCAGCTCGTCGCCCAGCGAAGGCAGGTTCGGGTCAAAGTCATAGTCTGGCTGGAGCGACTGGCGGCTGAGCGTCGAGACATCGCTGCGGAAGCTGACCGAGTAGTTTGACTTGCGGTGCATAGAGAGCGATCGCGGGTTCGACGCAAAGGTGGCGATGGAGCTGGGCCGCTTCTGGGCCAGTGCCGATCCGGCAATGGGATTGTTGGGGCAGGACTCGAGATGCTCAACGATGCGGCGGACGCGGCCTTCGCCCTCGAGATCGATGATTTGCTCGCAGTGGCAGCGGGCGGGCTTGGGCTCGGGTGACCGTGGTTCGGAGGCTCGGAGGCCCGCAGCTGAAATGTCAAAGACAGCGATCTCGTCGCTGACTGTGGGAGCAGGAGGGATGCGATAGGGGGCGGAAGACAGCGTGGGATCGTCCGACTCGCTGATGATGTCCAGGCGGGAGGCGCTGCTGATACTCAGAGACCGCCCTTGGTTCGGGACCTTCAAGGGGTGCTTCGGCCGCCCATCCTCTTTCCAAAGGAGCCTGCGCTCCGAAGTCGAAGTCGGGGTCGTAGTCGGGGTTGTAGCTGCGCGGTCCTCGACCTGGTCGCGCGATGAAATGGCGGAATCGCTTTCAGCAGAGTCGAGGAGTTTTTCGATCGTGCTCATGGCATCGACGAGCTGCTGCCTGAGCTTCTGCTGCTCCAGGGTCAGAGTTTGCTGCGACGTTTCGTACTCGCGGATCCCGGCGCGGGCGTAGGCCAGGGCGGCGTTCAGGTTGTCGATAACGAGCAAGCTGGCCTCGCCCCGGTACAGGCCCTGAGGTGCGGAGCCGGCTGAATCGCCACCAGAGACAAACGGCGAAGAGCGGCCCTGCATCAACTCAAACCGAGAGGACGCAGACCGCAGCGGCGAGAGGATCTGGCCGTCCTTGAGAGCCTGGTCCTCGTACTTTTGCAGCTGGTCGATGCGCCGCCGCAGGAGGCCAATGGTGTTGGCGGCACGCGTCGTCTCGACAGACAATTGGTTCTTGAGATGGATTTGGATCTTGATCAAGGCATCTTCTTTGGCCTTTTGCTCCTCCAGCTGGATGTTGAGCTGGGCATTGAGCTTATCCAGCTGGCTGACCTGCGTCGTTCGCTTGGCGCGATCCTTCTCGAGTTCCTTGATCTGCTCTTCGGCCTGCTGCTTCTGCATCTCCAGATTGTAAAAGTTTTCGTCGGAGCGTCCTGAAAGACGGAGCAAAGAAGGCAAGAGATGGTCGGGGATGTGAGGAGTTGGTCGGGATGATGGAGGGTGCGCCGGAGTACGACGACTACGGTGCGTTGGGCGAGCTGAAATAACAGAGCCGTATCCATATGATAGGACATGGACAACCCAGTGATTACGAATACATACTCAGAGCCTCACGGTCCCGCATGCACTGCTCCTCAAGACTGGCGAGATCCATCTGGAGCAGCTCGATCTTGTCCATCGACTCATCCAGCAGCTGGCGGGCCTCAATATATTGCTGCTTGAAGGAGCGTGCGCACTCGAGCAGATTGAGATCGAGGGTGCTCAGCTTGTCGGTCGACTCGAGCTCCAGCCAAAGGTCTTTCTGGATACGGTTGCGACGCGGGGTGATCAGGACCTGAGGGCTGCCGGTGCCGAGCCCCTGGCTGGTGCTGAGGGCGGTTTGCTCGTCGACGGGTGACTCGGGAGGCGAGTCGGCGGCGATTCGAGGAGGCTCGTTGGCGGCCTTGGCCAGGCTCGAGCGCATGGCTTTGAAGCCGCTCTCGAGATACTTTGCGTTGTCTTCGGAGCTATCGTCCGAGTCATCCGAGTCGAGCGAGTTGAAGAGGGGCTTGGCGACATAGGGCTCCTCAAAGCGGCTGCCGGTGGGAGAGGCCGACCGGAGCTGGTAGCTTGCGTTGCTTCGCCTCTTGATCTCGGGGCTGTTGGCCTGGGAGAGCTTGCCGACGAGATCCTTGACGGAGGTGGTGATTGTGTGGATGTCGGTGCGGATGGCCTTGAGCTCGTTCTTCTTTGGAGAGCTCTCCATGTTTCGGCTGGCGGCGCTTTGCAGACTCTCGAGATGCTGGATCCGGGCGGCCATCTACAGAAACCAACGAGACAACGGCAAGTGTTGGTTGGAATGAGTGGAGCGGCAGCGATGGAACGATGGTGCAGAGGCAATGAATGGAAGAATGGTGGCGGAAGCAAGGCTGGGCGAGAAAAGCCAACGAGGGAAAGGCCATAGCAAAACGCCGATGCAAAAAGACAGGAAATACAGAGTGGCTACAGATGCCGCTGCTGCACGGGCAGCCGAATCCAGCCGGCGAACCGACAGCAGCATCGAGTCCAGCAGCAACCAAGCGGAGGGCAAAGGATCTCTGGCCGAAACACGCCAATGGAGTCGACAAGCTCACCTGCTCGATCTGGTTCAAGAGGTTCTGACCAGCGGTGGCCGCCAGAATGCACTCTTGCTCCTTCTGCTGGAGATCCTGGTGCAGGGCAGCATTCTCTCGCTTGAGCAGCGATAGAGGCGAGTCGCTCACAATGTCGATATACGCGTTGGCGGGGTGTCCACTGTTTGGGACAAACGAGTGCGTTCCGTTGTAGCTGTAGCTTCGATGCATTCGGGTATTGGTGTCTCGGATGTGCCGAAGCGACATGGGCTCAGGCAGGCGGGAGGGGCGAGAGCCAACGGGATCGGAGACCCCAAGGTTGTTTTGGGGACTCATTTGGGCGGGAGATTGAGCGAGCCGAGCAAGAAGACCGACCGGCAGGCCGATGGAGGGAAAGGAGGGTGAGCAGCGAGAGGGAGGTGCGGTTGGCGCTGCAGATCAGCAGGGCAAGACGCTCCAAGAAGGAGAGCGGCCCAGGGACGACGGTGTGTGCCGGACGGACGGATGGACTCTCGGCCGCAGATGGTCGGGCAGAGACGAAGCCGAGACGAGGGACAGATCCAGCCAAAGCGAGCGACGGACACGCAGAAAAAAAAAACGACCGACAAAGGAATGCCCGGGGGACGGCAGCGACGACGAGGATGAGGTGTGGACGGCCCTCCCAGACCAGAGCGAACGATCCGGGACGAGGGGAGGAGAGACGACGGGCGGACAGCCGCCGGGACGGTGCAGCGGCTATATAACGGGGGCGGGTTGTCGGTGCGCCGCTGTCGTCCGCGGTTAAGAGGTTGTGCGTGTTAACGACGATGTTAACACATTGGAGTGTAATGTACACATTGGAATGTAATGCACACAACTGGAATGTAATGCATCGCAGCGAGACGCCTTTCCTTCATCGCCATCCGCCGCGCACAGCCACAGGCCGCCAGCAACAGCAACAGCAACAGCAGCGCTCAGTGCGGCTGTCGGGCTGCTCAAACAACGGGCGATGCACTTGGCGCCTGGATGTGCTCTTGGACATGAACACTCTTGCCGAGATGGTGTGGGCGATATTATACATTTATCACACACAATCAACCAACAACTAACAGCTAGCAATAGCACTAACACCAACTATCAACAGCTAACACCAACTATCAACAGCTATCAACAATTATCAACAGCTAACACCAACAACAGCACAAGGCGCCGGTTCGGGCACCCGTATTTGCTCGCCCGCTCGCTCATCCTCGCTCACGCCCGGTCGCACATCCGTCCGCTTTTGGGCGCGCTACTCCCTCAGTCGCGCCACCCAAATGTCTCGTCGCTCCGGGCTCGGCGCGCTGAAGCACATGGTCTCGCCCTTCCTGAGGGCAACCTCGATGAAGAACAGGTTTCGGGCGTCTGGGCAGGCCAGATCCGGCCAGGCCGAACAGTGCCCAGCGCCGTCCAGCCATCCGTCCGGCCGGTGCAAAGTTCAGGTCCGGTTAGTCCGGTGGCGGCAATGGAGGAGTCGGGTCAGCCGCTGCCGCTGATCCATATGCATCCATGACTGCATCCCACTGGTTCCCACTGGTTCCCACCGGCTCCCACCCGTTCCCACGCAACCCCTCATCCGCCGTATCGCCGTCGGCTGCTTGGGGTCCTGCCATCGACAGCCGTGAAACTGCAAAGTCGTCGGCCTCCGTCGCCACCCAGCCTCGATCTGCCGTTCGTCCGCACCCCGTCTGCACCCCTCTGTCCGTACCTTCGCGGTCTTCCAGCACGCCGCATTCCAAAAAGTCGCGCAGGTACATCTCGCGGTACTGGAGCAGCTTGGTCGCCTTGCTCGGTCGCCCGGCTCGTGCAAACAGCGGGCTCCATTCCTCGTCCTTCTCGTAGTCCACCAGCGGCACGACCCGTTTCTGCGGCTTGACCACCACGATGCAGTCGTTCAGCAAGTACAGATACACCGGCTTGCGTCGCTTGATCGCCCCCCGCAAGACGCACTTTGAAGGATCCTGGGCGTCTGCGCCAACGCCTCCGGACGAGGAGATCTTGAGCTTCTCGACGGGGTCCATCAGCACCAGCAGTTGCTTGGAGCGGAGAGCGACCTGTCCATGGCCATCGGCGGCAACGTTTGTCAGACCGGGCATGAACGTCGACACTTCTGCGGTCGACGTCGAGCACTCAACACACGGCAGTCCACCTCCGTGTGCCTCCGTTGCTTTCACGCGTCGGAGATGTGGGATCGACATGGATCTGTTGGCAATGTCGTCCAGTCCAACTCACCGAGGGCGGCAGATCGGCAATCTGAAGCATCATGCCAAACAGATTCCGCGTGCTCTTCATGCACACGCTCAAGTCGTTCTCCAGATTTGTGACCGCAAAGGCGGCATATTCGGTGTGCTGATTTGGCAACGCTTCCGCGAGCTCTGGGCAACCGAAGCCGCCGCCATCAGCAACTCAACACCACCGCCATCAGCAACCCAACACCACCGCCATCAGCAACCCAACACCACCGCCATCAGCAATACATCAAAGGAAGCAGCACCGATGCATCGCAAACCAAAGCTGTGCCTCCACATCGATGCAGTACCGGCGTACCTTGCAGCATGTCCCTGTACTCGCCGCTGCGCCGGATGGGAAGCGTGAGCATCTCCAGGATGGATTTGTCTCCCAGAACCGAGGCGATATAGTCGCGAAACTTTGGGTTGTCGACCAGGCATCTGTGGGTCTCCCAGAGGCTTGCTGTCAGGTGGAACGAGTAGTTCATGTACAGCGACTGTACAATCATGCTCTGCCATCCAAGCAATTGAAAGTGGCAGTTGAGCCATTCGAGACACGACCGTACGACCAGTCGAGTTGCCATTTGCTATGCACTCGTGCCCTCACCTTGCTCCACACAAACGCCGATATAGAGCTCTCGAAGGTGTGGTCGGTGCAAGAGCTCATGCACAGCTTGAGCGACTGCAAAAACTCCAGATGAAATGTGTGGATGGAGCTGATCGGCGAGAAGATTGATTTGACTTGGTCTTCTTTGAGAATGGCATGTCGCGTCTGGCCGCTTTCCATGAGTGGCCGCAGTGCCCCCTGTGCAAGCCCGGGGTTGTAGTTATGATGACAGTATCAACCGGCTGCGGAGACGATGGGATCGACAGGAATTGCGGTTTCCAGCCCAGATCACACTGCAGCACTTCAAAGAGTCGAAAGATTCCCTCTGCCCAGGTCTACTCTGCCAAGCACTCGCCTCCATCAGAAACTTGAGGTTGGATATGTATCCGAACTCTGATGAAAACAGCTTGTCCAAGATCTTGAGTGCGCGCTGGTGTTTGGCTCGCGCAGGCATGTTGATGTGGCCGAGCAGGGACGTAAACGCATCCGAGAGCTTCTCGGCCACAACCTCGGGCTGAACCACTGCAACTCCCTTGCCCAACATGCTCTGGATCTTGGACTTGGCGACGTAGATTTGAGGGGTCCGGTCACCTGAATGAAGCGAGCATGATTGTGGCCAGTCCGTATGGCTCCTTCAGCCATCTGTGTAAATCACTTGATTGCATAGCAGCCACGGGTGAACACGACGCTTGGGAAGGACCCTCCCGAACGCACATTCTCATGGACGATTCTCCTGATGTGCCGACATGGGCTGGCCATGAGTCCGGCAAACTGCACATCGGGTCCACAGACCTCCATCATCCTGCTGATTCTTCGAAAGAGACACAGATACCGAGTGCGGCTGCTGCTCTGGCGCTCCAGTGCTCGTGTGTGTGTTGATGTGCAAAGTGCGGTTGGTGACCAAGGGACGCACTCCAGAGCCCATGACTGGGACGGCCTTGACGGGAACACAGCTCTGGATGACCCGGGGCTTTTTGATCGTGATCCTTGGGTTGATGTTGACCAGATCCGAGCGAATCGTGGCCTTGGCGATGTCGGGGATATCGGGTTCCGAGGTCGTCGGGGTGGCGGCTGCCTCGATGACGACAGTCGCCTTGTTGTAATTTGCCCACCAGTCACCTGGGTCCACCTCACTACCGTATCGGCGTGTGTGAGACGAGAATACAAAATTCGAGCGACGGTGTTTAGTAGCCTGCAGCAGCCATTGAGCCTTGGCGGTGGCGCAGAGTAGTTGCTCTGGGACATTGTCGGCGCTGGCTGTAAAGCCATCCAAAACGACAGCACCAGCATGGCTCGTGCCAACGAGGTTTGTCGCGAGCCCTTCACCTCTTTTTGCTGCTTCTCTTGTCGTTGAGATTCAGCCGGAAGGTCTCAAGCGAGACCTTGATAATAGACTTGTCCTTCTTGCACTTGGAAATGAAGTCGTGCTTCAGAAGATCCATGGCAGTCGGTCGCTAGAGAAAAGATCCCGATACCACGCAGATACTGTTGTCAATCGGCCACTTGATCATGAAGAGTGGTTTGCCCAAGCGCATCGGCAGCCAGATTCACGGAGCATCGGCTCTGATCTAGATCGCGATGGCCCGTTTTTGTCGAACCAGCGCCGGATTATACCTCGGAGGGGTTCTTTTTCAGACACACTCGAACAAAATCGTGGTACTCTGGCGACCACTCCGACCCCTCGAGCTGCGGTGGCGGCGAAGTTGGGATTTGGTACAGGACCTAAATTTGGGGAGAGCGCTTCATCTCAGACATGGGATCATCCACTGACTTTGGCTTCAGTCCGTTCCTCGCCACCAATCGATGCTTGCAACGATGGGCTGGTGAGGCCGTGCAGACATTACCTCCATAGGATGTCGGTTGCTCTTTGGTGGCGCCCCCATCGCCAACTCGATAGCCATGATGCCAAGACTCCAGATATCGACCTGAGCAGTTTCGGATCACATTCGATCGGACAGGTTTACTTCAGCTTGCTGTCGGATTGCCTCGCAGCATACACTCTCGCAGAAGGCAGGGGCGACAGTGCATCACTCCAATCCATCGTCATTCATAGATGTCATGCCAAACCACTGCCGCCGCCGCCGCCGATACTTACTGGACAGCCATAGGGCTGGTTCTGGACGATTTCAGGAGCCATATAGAGCTGTCGCAGTCAAGGATAGCCGGCCAGCCAGCTCAGTCTCTGTTTCTGCTGATTCGGCGCCACATACTTGATCACAGACCGACTCGTTCTGCGCACACTCCCCTCCCCGGAGCAACGACAGCGGCTCGGTATGCATTACCGGTGTCCCGACGAATGTGGTCCGCGAGGCCCGGTCGCTGGTGAGTTGGGCGGCAACGCCAAAGTCGGCGAGCTGGGGGGGGGGAGGAAAGAGGATGGTGCAGTCGGTTGATTTTGCTGTGTTATCCCCAGGATACAATACCACACCGTCGCTCCACTCCGATGGACAGCGGTTCTCAACAAACCTTGAGCGAGCCCGTGTTGTCGAACAAAACATTGGCCGCTGCAATCATGAGGAATGCACATCATCAGATACCGCCCCGTGCACGCCAGACCGTTGTGGAGCAGCGTGGATGAGTCGGTCACGAACTCGAGACTCAAACCTTTGATGTCCCGATGGATCTTTTTGTTGCTGTGCATGTACTCGAGCCCGCGCAGCGATTCCCGGAGTATGAATCCGCACTGATCTTCCGTAAGCTTGCAGTTCTTGATCTGACAAAGATGGAGAGCCATCAGCTTCGATGCCGAAATTGGGTAGTGTGTCGGAAAGCTCTTTCTCCCTCCCACATAGAGCCCTATCTCAATTGGATTTGCGTTGCTCCTCTCTTCTTCCTTGCCACTCCGCGGATGGTCCCCCCCCCAGTAAAAGCCGATGGTCAGACACTTGCCAGCTCCTCTGCTGTTCCTCCTCCAAGGTACTCCTAGACAACGGGTGGTATTAGCCAGCAACGGTACAATGAACGGGGCTAAGCTTCCAATCGCAGTATCTGTCTCTCACAACCCGCACTTGGCTTGCCCTCCATCACAAACCATTGCTATAGCCAGTTTGTTATTCCACATCCATGATCCTGGAATGGGGAGGAATCCATGCAACTGAGTAGCACGAACATCCTTTCAATAGCCAGACCATCAAAAAAGGGGGGCACCAACACCGAATCTCTCACTCGTGCTACAGCGAACTGATCTCCTCTGCTGTCCATACCAAAGTACTGTGCCAGATGCGGTGACTGACACTTGGCTTGGAAATCAACCTCGGCCAGCAAATCTTCAAGGTCGTCCGTGGTTTTCTCGAGGTCGATGATCTTGAGGGCGACGATTTGCGGACCACTTTTGCTCATGCTGGAAAAGTGCATCGGTCCGTGGTCGGTGTGTATTCCGCATAGACGCCATGGGAATCGCCACGAGAGCAACAGCAGGAAGCATGGCGAGTGGTCAGCGACAGAAAGTAACCAGATGGGGCAACGGGGATCTGGGCATGGCGGAGGAATATGCTTGCATGGGGTAATACAACGACAAGCTCCAGTTGTGATGGTTCTGTAGGCATTCCGGTGGAGGTATCGACCAGCAAACGCTCGCTGGTCAATACGAGTCGTCTGTGGTCTGCTCTCTCACCGCCTTTGACACCGAGCGCTTTGGCCCTGGTGCATCACCGTCCAATTCGAAGACTCACGCTCTGTATATCTCTCCATAGGATCCTTCGCCGACCTTCTCGATCAGCGTCCACAGCAAGAGATAGTCCGAGAACTCGGGTTTGATGACCACGGCCGATTTCTTGGTGCGCATGGTCAAGCGGCTGTTGGTGATGCTCGACGGCGTCTTGGCCGAGCCCTGAGAGGCACTCAGAGGCGTGATGCTTTCGGCCATCTCTTCGTCAATGATGCTATCCTCGTCGTCGCTCATGTTGGTGGAGGCTGGCGAGAGCTGCCGCTTGGGGATCTGAGACTCGGTGGAGGGCGAGTCCTTCGCCGGGTCTGCTCGAGCAAGCGACGCAACTGTGATCTTGGGCAGGGTCGGCAGCCTTGGGAGGGGGGCAAAGTTCACACAGCCGAGTGAGCCAAATGACAGCACCGACAAGCGATACAGTCCAACTTGGCTCGTTGCAGGCACTGGCTCGGACTCTCTGTCTATTTGGCTCGTCTCGGCACCGTCCGCTGCTCTGAACTACCCTTTGTCGATGGGACTCTTGTCCACGGCCATTTTCTCGAATGCATCGCGGACGTTGCTGAACTTGGACGGCTCCATTGCAGGTTGACAGAGAGGATAGATGGATGGACTGCTAGGCTGCTGCACTGCTGCACTGCTGGAAGCGGGCAATGATCTGGTGCTGGGGCAGCACCAGGCCAACAACTGTATTGCGTGGTCGCTGCCGGACCCGTCCACTGAGCCTGCCCACAGCACACCTCGACAGCTCCCCCGATTTCGACAGTCCCGATCGGCAGCGTTCGAGCACTGATTGGCGAGACACAATCACTTCTCAGGACAAGCACCCGCCTCCCACAGCGACGGAACAATGCCGGGAATGCCCGACGGCAGGGCATCCAGAGCATCAAGGGCAGACAGAGATGTCGCCTGACGCTTCTGCGACAGAGCGCAACGCAGGATACTGTCGGTGTTGACGATGCTGTCGGCGTTGTCGGTGTTGTCGGCTTGCGGGCAAAGCACTACTGCTTTGTCACCTCTTTCATCTCCCTGCTACTTTGCTCGGCCGGCGATCCAGACAGATCTTCGTTCTCACGGAGCTGGCTTTCAATCGAGTCGTACGCAACGTCGAGTCTCGCCTGATACTCTTCGGTGAGATCCCGTCGGAACTGGAACCTGGGCGCTGACCCGAGGCTTCCTCTGTGAGAGATCTGAATCGCCACCAGTTGCCGGAGGTGTGGTGTAATTTCATCCAGCACAATTTCCAGATTGGCCTGTGGGACGGCTCGTCAGCTTTCTGGTGCAAGCAAAGAGCATATCCGACCCAAATCATGCAGAATCCAGGCAACCGACAGGCAGTCGTGCGTGAGGCAGCTCGCCTACCAGCTCCAGCGGCTCCGTCTTGGGGTCCATCGGCTTCCACCAGATCACGCACACCTTGTCGGTCGTCGACAACGTCATCTGCAATGATAGCACGCCCGTTCATAGTGACGACAGTGAGCCGACTGTCAAAGGCGAACAAACTGTCCATCGCCCGGCGGCACATTGTGCTCCAACGAGGCATTTGATTCGGCACTTGGCCGGTCGTCTGTCTCGTACAGAATCGCCAATGCCAAGGGTGTTGATGGCAAATACCCGGGCGTCAACGACACTTACCTTGGAGACGTACCACTCCTGCGAGCGCATCTCGACTCCCAGCTTCGACTCCCGGACCATCTCGACGACCTCGCGCAGTTGTGCCAGCCGCTTGCCCTGCCGTTTGGCAACTGCCCGCGGCAAGGATTGGGGATCGCCGGCCTTGGTCGGCACCGGTCGCATGGCCTTGGCGACGCTGATGGTCTGGTTCGGGGCGTTAGTTGTTCGCTCGATGGTGACGTCCAGCTTGCGGTTGTCAAAGAGATGGCGATCGGGGCCACGAACGTAGTGGGTATCGAGAATGTTGCGGGAGTCTATGTCTGCGGTTTCGTCTTCAGCGGGCTTGTACAGCGGCAGAGAATTCGACTGATCCTGGCTCTGGCTCTGGCTCTGGTTCTGACTCTGGCTCGAGCGACCCACATCTGCTCGGCCGCCGTTCTTGAGATTGGCCGAGAAATCTAGCAGCAAGTCTCGGCCACTGCGCTGCAAGACATGCGAGAGAACCGAGAAGGCTGATCGCTGGACGAGGCGCGGGACGGCAGCGCAGAATGCCGTTGGTATGGCTGGGACCGACCCGGCGCGCTTGCGGACGATGCTTGCGAATGATCTGCAGGACAGTGACATGGCGGGGATGGAGATGGGCGCATGAGAGCAAACCAAGGCGATCTGGCATGAGCGACACTGTTGTGTGTTTGTCTCCGCAAGGGCAAGGGCAAGGGCAAGGGCAAGGGCAAGGGCAAGGGCAAGGGCTGGGGTTGGGGTTGGACTGGGCGGCGTCGATTGGCTGCTGGACAGGGCCAATCGCAGGAGCGCCGACTGCGCAGTGCTGGATCGCTTCGCTGGGCTTGATTGCCGTCCGCCCACCCCATCCTCAGGTTCCCCGCCCACTCCTCAAGACGATCAAGACCACCAAGACGATCGCACAACCCCCGTATCGCACAATCATCACCCCGACCTCTGAGCAGAGTCAACGACATCATGGTCTGCTTCGTTCGTCTTGGCTTGCATGGCGTCTGTCGCATGCGCAATCCATCCGTGCAAGTGGTCCCGCGCTGCTGACTCACCGACCAAGGAATACGGACGCTATTTCGTCGCAACAGAGCGGAAAGAAGCGCGGCCTCTCGATGGAAGAGAAGCGGACCAAGCTCATGGAGATCTTCTTTGAGACAAAGGACTTTTGGCAGCTCAAGGTACCACCTCAGTGTCCAGCGGACAGGGCCGTCTCAAGTGCGCCCTACCCCCCCCCCTTCCAGCACGAGTGAATGCTGACCTTCTATACATCCTCCAGGAGCTGGAAAAAATGGCTCCTAAGATGAAGGGGATAGGTATGTGCTGTGGCCTTATGTTCATGGGTATATTCATACCCGGCTTTGGATGACCAACGAGCAACCGGGTGCTGGGATCACTCGACTTACGCTCCAGCCATCGTCCAGTCACCCAGTCAGTTAAAGAAGTTCTCGACGGGCTTGTGGTCAGTGCCATTTTACCTCCCAAAAACGATGGACATAAGACAATGGCATCTCAGTCCATCACCTCATTTGGGCTCACTGACCAGCGAGTCTATTCCTATTGCCATCATAGTCCGATGCCATGGTCAACACCGAAAAGATCGGAACCTCCAACTATTTCTGGGCGTTCCCGAGCGCCGGCCTGCAGACGGTGGGTGCAATGATGCGCTATCGATCATTGCCAGCGTATGGCAACTGAATACTGTCTGACATCTGCACTCGGCTTGCGGCCACCAGCGCAAGCGGATCCTGGACGACCTGACATCCGAGCATGCCTCTCTCGAGGTAAGTGGCTTGCTCCCGGCTCGCTCATGCTTCGTGGTAGGTCAGGCATCTATGCTTACTGTCTGTATTATCGATCGAGCAGAAGAAGAAGAAGGAGTTGGATTCGCAGATCGAGGCCGCTCGGAGTGGCCGCGAGGATTCGGTAAGGCATCGGACCTGAGCGATACATAGCGACATCCCATTCAACCTTGTGACTGAGACCCATTCGACCGTGCTCAACGATGCTGTTGCAGGATGAGCGTGACGAGATGCTCAAGGAAATCCAGCAGCTGGAACGCGAACAGGCAGCGTACAAGGACGAGCTACAAAAGTTCAAGGACTGCGACCCGGCCGTGCTGAGGGAGCAAGGTGAGTAGCGACTCGATCGAGGCAATCGCTGGCACCAGGCGCCCCACTGACTTCAATTCCGTGATCCGAATACTCCAGAAAAATATACAAATCAGGCTCGTCTCGCTGCAAACCGGTGGACAGGTATGAGCCGCCACATCGTCTCTGGGGATCGTCTCTGGGGATCGTCTCTGGGGATCGCCGACCGTCCTGTGGCAATTTGACCACGAGGCCGCCACAGGCGGTGCAGGGGCTCCAACGAATGCGCCACTGATTTGCCGACTCGACATGGACAGAAAACATCTTTGCTCTGCAGTCGTACTGCGCGCAAAACTTCAACATATCCTCCCAGCAATTCTATGAATCTTTCGATCTGCCTCAGGACTTTGACACCCTCTAGCCATTCGAACCCAGCCGATGCGTCAGAGGATAGTTCACGCGGCGGCGCCTATCAACCGAAAGTGGAGCAAGGTCGCTGTTCCACCGAGCCGCTGCATTGATTCATTGGCTGTTTCTTCGCCAGCAGCTATGCTGGGGAAGCCGGCCGACTGCGATGTCAACAGCGACGCTGTGCTTTGTACGCCGTTACATTCAAGACCGTAGTTGTGTGGCAGTTATCGCTACAAATACATCGTGCCGTATTTCATTTACAAGTGTACGACCACCTCACTCGTGGTGTCAAGGTGCCCGGATTCTGCTGGTCATTATACAAGCTATCGACCGCACATTCGCCCTCGTGGCGAACGGCGCACATTGGCGCCTAGGCCATTGCCGCTGGCCAGTTTATGGCGAATACGCCAAGGTGGCTATGAGCATCCAAGCTGCTCAGGCAACGCTTTCAGCCCTCCATCATCTTTTCGAAGCTCTGGCCAAGGATCAGGTTGTCATTGACAATGTCTGCCTTGGAGTTGATGCGCACCCTGCGAATGGAATCGCGACGAAAGTACCAGGTGTCTTTGTGTCATCACTAGTATCGGACAAGTGCGGTCGGCCACCGACATGAGCGACCTGTGCCCGTCCTTGGCTCAATACGATGCTGGCCAAAGATATTTTCCTTTCAAGTCAGACATCCACTTACAACGAAGGTCGAGCGGTGCCTGCGGCTTTGTCACTGACAACCTGATGCCATCCCAGTAGCACTTTCCGTTGGATACATTTCTCTGACCAGGATATAACAAAGATCTAGAGAGAATTCAAGTGGAGTTACATATCGCAAAACCAAGCAGATTGACCAGCAACCATTCAAAGATACTTCGCGTGTGACCTTACCAGCTTCCGCTGCGTCTCAAAGATATGCTGCTTGGTCTTTGTCTTCCACGGCTCCCATATCTTGTGCCGCATTTTTCGCAGTCTGAATGCATTGCACAGATCGTCCAGTCGCAGGTAATCGACAACGCTCATGCGAGCTTGGATGTCCTGGATTGAGACCAGATTCTGGGAGCGAGCAACTGCGACAGTATCGTCGGGGATCACAAAGCATTCGCGTGCCCCTTCCGTTTGGTGAAGCGCTGCTCTCGCAGTCGATGGGCGGGGTGGGAGAGCACTTGACCGGCGATGCTGAGCTCTCTTGACGGCAAGCCAGTGCCAATACTCAAATGACAGCTGCAGCATCCGGTGTTGCCGGTAGCGTTGGGCGTCCACATTCGTCGCTGCAGTTTGAGCCCAGAAACCGTATTTACGATTAGAGTTCATGCTCGAGTGCATTCCCGCTAAACACCCGCAATGCTTGCAACCCGATCGCTTGACTACACACCTTGATGGATGTGAAGATGCCACACCCATCGCCGGAAGCTCCTTTGCAGCGCAATTCGCTTTGCAAGACCGCCGATGCTGGCCCAATCTCGCCATACTGTAAAAACCTGGATTCGCAAGGAAAGATCACATCAGTCGGGCTGGACCTCAATCATTTGAGAAAGACTGAATAGATATGCTCACAGTCTCGCAATGTGGCATGGCTCTGTCTCGATGAATCCGGCGGCGCTGCTCTACTTTACCTTTCTCTTGAGCCTGGCAAGCTGCCGTCGCTCGTTTCGCTGGGCAGTACGCTGTCTCCACAGATCGAATGCTGCGGCGACCACGGCTTTCCGATGTTTGGCTTGCAGAGTGTTGACAGACTCCTCATGCTCTCGCTGTTTACGGTGCGAATACGAGGATTAGTCTTTGCATAGAGCTTTGAGCAGATTCTAAACACGATAACAGGCTTTGGTGCACTGCGTACCTTTGCAAGCCTCTGGAAAAGCTTCCACTGATTCCACGCAAAGTGCAATCGCCTCTGAGAACTATGAGAGTCTGCAATCCTCATTCCCATGCTGCGTCGCCATGTTGAGAAGAAGCGTCGCTGGAGAGACTGCTCGATATACACTGCCTGACGGTCTTGCTGTTCCTACTCTCGCAGGACAGATTTTTAGCGATCGCCCAAGCGATAGCTTTCGCTCGCGACGCCTAACGTCGCTCAGCAGCAATGCATTACCACCGCCAAGGAACAATGAGTGCCAGACCTGCCGCTCACCTTCGCGGCATCGACGGCGAGTCGCCACCGAGCAAAGTGCCTACTTAGCACCGATATTCGTGTTTTTCGGGCAATCTTGGCACGATAGTGCTCTTTCCAAACCCAGAGAGAGATGGAGAGCTTTCGATTGGCCTGGGTCTGGGTGAAGAGAATGACCTTTTGCGACTCGCATATCTGAGGGATAGATCGATTGTGCACGTCAGACACTGAGCCATCTACTCATGCCAAAAGTAGACATAGGCGGGTCTAACTCACGCTGGATTGTGTTGTTACGATTTGCCAGTGCATCAAAGCCCTCCGGAGAAGATGGTCCTTATGTAGTTTCTTGACTTTTGTTTGAATCGTGAGCTTCCGCCTCCAGAGATTGAACGCCGCCCTGCAGTTTATCATGTCCCGGAGCACTTCGTTTGTCATTTCGCGGGCATCTGCGGGCCGGCCACCCTGCCGATGAGCGATGTTGACCAACAGCTGTCTTTCATGCGAGCGCAGACGATGGCGATGTTTCACTTTGGATTGCCAGGCTTCAAATCGAGAGGCGCAGCAGCAACCATCGTTGTGCATCCCAGAATATCGTCGAGGCAGCCTCATTAGCATCGAGTCATGTCCCGGAAGCACTATGGGCACAAAAGATTGCTGGGAGGTGCAGCGGGCCCTGCATATTCACACCCTACCATGGAATGCTGCTTTGATGGCTTTGCTGTGCCTTCGTGCTGTCAGAATATCGGCCTTGCTCTCTATCGCTCGTATACCTTGCCGGCAGTGGAAGCCGCTCCTCCATGTGACCCACGCCTGGGCGAGGAAATGGCGCATGTACATCTGATTCGAGAGTCTCTCATTGAGAATGCTTGCCAGTCTGCTATACCATGCATTCCACGATTCGATAACCAGGTTTCTATGATATGTCGCTGCGGCGTGCTGTTCAAGCTGGAGCTGATAAAGTCTTGTCCGCCAAACAGTCACAGTCCACTTGATCGCCTGTTGTTCGTGCCATTCGTCAGCAGCATCTTCCATCTTCCGGAAAGTTTGGTGTTGCTGACGCAGGCTCAGCCATTTTCTGAACCAGGTGCGGGCAATGTGCACCAGAAACCTTTTGGCGGCACAGGATACCACGCGCTTGCGTAATTCGGTTTGGTGTCGCAGCAACTGCAGGAATCGGTGAGAAAGGCGGCTCACCGAGTGTTGGCAAGCGAGATCCCATTGGCGGTCTTCACGTCTTTGCTGCATCGCCAAATCACGGCGAGCTTTCCAAAGCCTCCAGAATCTGGTTATTAGATCCGAGGCATATCGACGGTAGCTGACGTCCATGGACAGGGCGACACGGGTATCCCTGTCCTTCCAGACCCCAAAGCACCTCGCTGTGATGCGACGTTCGCGGAGCTGCGCGGCAACTTCCTCGTTCGCGAAAGCGACTTGGCTTTGGTTATGCCAGGCGGCGAGCGACCGCTTCAGCAAGCGGCTGTCCCATTTTTGGTACATCTTCGAGGCTGCCTTCTCCATTCTTTCCTTCCTTGTGAGTGCGATCTTCCATTTGCGCAGCGCCGATCGGATGGCGTTCGTTTTATCGATCTTGACAGCCTGCTTCTGTCGTCGCATCAGCACTAGTCGTCGTTGCCAAAACGCCATTGCACTTTGTTTTAGATGCTGAACACGGAAGCCATGACTCAGTTCCAGCAGCTGTTTCCGACGGATATTGTATGTTTGCCATCGATCAAAGTATGTCCCTAGGATGTGTGAGTCTCGGATCTTCATGCTCGCTTGTGGTGGGCCTCCAGTTGATGGTAGAGCGCGACTTGAGTAGAGACTGCCAGCTCTGGATGAGGCAAAGAGCGGAAGACTCGAGTGGGCGTTTCCAATCCACCGCTTGCTCGAGTATCCCTGGTATGGATCGCATGCAAGCGGACAGAGGACATCCGTGGTATGTAAAATTCGTGAAATAGTAGACATGCCGCTGAAGGACTTGAGCGAAACGGATGACTGTGTGTAGCCATTATTGCTTGGATCAGAAGCCTTCCGAGAATATATCGCATGCACAGACGATCAAGAGTTACGGCAGGCTCACCATGTTGCACGTATACTGTGGCATGGCGGAGCGATCGCAGTTTTGTCTAAGTCCATGCAAAAAGTGCCCTCCTGGGTCGTCGTCCAGACTGCAAGTTCCAAGCGAATGGGTGAGTCCAGCAGCGTGGCTTGATGGCGTGGTGTCAAATCAGGCGAACATACTCCATGGCGCAGGTCCTTGCCAATAGCCGCCCAATGGCCTATCGCTACATACCCAGCATCCTTGCCTCCACAGATGAGCTTCCGTCGGTATCGCCAGATCCAGTTGCGAAGTACAATTCCCATCAGGCGTTTGAGATACAGTCTCTCGGCCAGCCATCCATTCGAGCTTTCCAGATATTTGTCTCTCCACATCGACCAGATGTGACGCATAAGCTTGACTTTCATCATTCTCTTGGATCGTGCAGCCTGCATCGAGCACATGTCCAGACGCCCTAGTTAGATCGAAGGCTGCGTGAACAGGATACAAGCCAAGCCACGCGACTTGGCTCTTACATTCCAGATGCCGATCCATTTGATAAAGTGCTTTCGCCTGTGCCGCCGACCAAATAATTCCACCGCGGCGTGTTCCTGACGAGGTGTACCATGTTGAGCGGTGAGTGAGCTACTTTGATAAATCTCTTGTATCTCGCGCGCCACCAGCGGCTATCTGTGATATGGATCGGGGTGCACATTACCATCTTTGAGGCCCGGTTTGATTCGCACTTGCTTCTCCACTTGGCGACAAAGAGGCACAGCCGACGCACGCCAGATTGCTGGATCACTTTCCGCTCAATATCAAGCAGTCGCGCGGACTTTTGATACAACAGCTTCCAAATAGCAAAGGACCGATGAACGAGACCTGGGTTTGGTCCGAGCAAAACAGCGGAATGAGACTCGGCACAGTCTCATACAGAGCCCGCGATGCCCACCAACACTGCAACAACTTGGAGGGTGCAGACTCCAAACCAGCCCAAGAGCTTCTTACTCTGCTGCGTCTTGGACTCGATTCTTTTCACGGTTGCTGCATGCGTCCGCTCTTGTGCGAGTCGCACACGCCACTTGTCCAGAACATGGCTGGGACATCAAAAGAGTTAAATGCACTGAGAGGCCCGAAACAGCGTTGTGCTCGATGCTCTTCATCCAGCATCGATGTCCACTGGAGGTGTTTGACAGGGCACCGGCCCTATGAAAAGGCGACAGCGACTGCTTACCGAGCGAGGTTTCCGTGGCGAAAAGCTTTGGCAACCAGCATGGCACGATTCAGTCGCTTGGCCCCGAGCCACCAACGTTGGAAGTAAATCACTTGCAGCCGCTGAGAAAACACACGGTATGTGAAGCCCCATACATTTCTTGTCAGTCTGAAAGCACATTCCGACGGGACTTGCTGGTGATATCTGTAACCGTACCGTCATATGGCTCTCCTGGACCGACTTCAGGCTCGTGTCAAGAGTGCGCATGGTTCTGGTGAACTTGTGCCATGCTGTTTGAGACAAATCGAGTTTCATGTTGGCGACCTGGTGCCCTCAGTGTCCTCGGTGCGCTCGCAATCCCTTTTGCAACGCCCGTACGCAACGTCCACACCTCTTGATGCAAGTTTCTCGACCAGTAATCCCTTACATCTGAAGGAGTTCCATATAAGCTGAGTGCGGCAGATCTCTTGAATCCTTGCGTGCTCCTCCATCATGCGCTGCTCCTTTATCTGGGTGTGCCTGACATCGAAGCAAAAGCGTATTTAGAGCCTTCAAAGTCGCCTGTCGCACAGTATGCATGCAACGAGTATACCTCTGGGTCCAAACTCCGAAAGCGTGATGTTGGGCGTGCTGGACTGCAAACTGGCGAGCCGACTGATCCGAGCAACTATGTGAATCGTGCTCTCGCTTCCACTGCGCAAATGCGACCCGCAAGGTAAACTCGGTTGATTTCGTCTGGAGACCCGGAGCAAATACTACAGCATTAGCGGACCCATATACAAACTCCCCCCTCCTTAATGAGCAGGCATAGTACTCACGCCTCCGAGGGTCCAGTTGGTTTGAATGGCATTCAATTGAGTCCTCCACTGAGCGAAAGCCTGAATCAGGTAGGCTTTGTCCTGGACGCTCACAAACGTAACCAGGCGTTCTGATATTCACACAGACGGTGTGCAATTTTGGAACACGTCATCGGACGATCCATGAGCGGAAAATATGGCAGCGGATCAGTATCAAGGTTTGTCGGACATGTGATTGGAGCACGCAAGTGAATCAAACAAAGCATGGATTGGCGCATTGGGAGACATTCACTCGCACAAAGTAGGAGAGCTTACCCGTAAGCACCACCGAAACATGCCTGTGCACCCTGTGATGATTCAAGCAGCGAGAGTTAAGGAGCACAACAGAGGTTCGCGATGCCAACCATAGATCATATTGTCTGGACTCTGAACTGCACAGCATGGAGGGTGACAGGTGCTCGAGATCCGAATGCGCTGCGGAGCATATCTCCAACTTGGCAGACAACTCGGAGACGCAGGGGCGCTGGAAGGATATGGTCCATGCGGCGAGGGCTCTCTTCTTCTGGCCAAAGGCTGCCACCACAGTAAACGCCTTATATCGTAGAGCCGTCATCCACAATCTTAAGCAGCTTTGCTTGATATTCGTTGAGCGTGCAGCTTGATATGTGCGTAATTTTTCGGCAAAATTCTGCAAGAGTGGGTCGTCTGGATGCGTCAGTGCATTTGCCCATGCCAAGTCCCTGCGGCCAGCATCGTCGTCAGGGGCGATCGGGGTCGTACCTGTCTCGTCCTCAGAGCTCCACTCCAAATGGTCATACTTGTCCGCAACCCCAATACGCTTGCTGCTTGCAGGAACTCGTTCGACTTTCGGTTCAAGTCCTATACGGGCAGTCTACGTAAGCCATTGAATAAAAGTCTGAATTACTGCCATCGCCTTCACCCACACATCGCCCTCGTGCAACCCTAGTGAGATACATACCCTCTTTCGGCGGGCCCAGCTTAGCCATGCCTGGAAAACTTTGCCGGCGCACAGCCGGAGAGCCATGGTCTTGACTCGCTTGCGCAGTTTGCTGTTGGGTGCCGCACACATTGTCAGCTCATAATGAATGCTGCGCCACGGACAGCACATGCTCATCTTCATGCGACAGGATACGACAGCAGGCCCGAGAGAGCGCGTTTGATGGCAACAGCGCTATCAAATGCTGCCTCGCCGCCACTGGTGCGGGTATTATCCGACATGGTCGCTCGGAAACGCGTCCTCCAGACGAGCACCTTATCCATGACAGCTCCGTCGCGGTGGTTCCGGCAGCATCACTTACTATTGCATCGCCCATCGATGAAACGCCTTTGTTTGGGCCTCCCGATCCATGAGCTGATGGAGATACCGCTCCTTGGTGTGCAAAAAGTACCAGTGCTTCCACACCTCGAGGGCCCGAGACTTGGATGCCTTTTCGTGATGGGCAATTGCCTTCTGGTGTTTGTGATGATCGGTCTTTCGCAGCCGAGTTCTGCATTTGGAGCACCAAGATGAGTGGCATTGCGCCTTCTCGCTCATTCAAAGCAGTTCGTTTGCGGCAAAGTACGGGGCAACCGAGCCATGTTCATGGTGCCTTACCTGTCAAGCCACAATCGAAAGAACCGCACGGTACGTCTCGATTCGGACTCGACAGCGAGTCGGCAGTACGTTTCGTCGCGATATCGCTGAACCAGCATCCTACAGTCGTGATGTAGAGAAGCGATGAGCATGTGGCTGCTTCACAGGCACGGGATCGCTTCTCAGGATGAGTGGCCGAGCTGTGCCCATACTGACCTCCTCCTCCAGTGCACAAACAGACGAGTTATGAGATTGAGTTGATTGGTATGGAGGAGGCGATGTCCACGCTTCTCTGTACAAGCACGATCTGGTTAATGAGGTTGTCGCTTGGGCTAGATCCTGTGTATATCGTACTGCTCACCAAGCTTGATCCGCATCCGCCAGACATTCCAGGCTTGGATCTTGAGCCGCTGGGCCCAGCGTCGCTGCAAAATCTCTTGCTTGCTCTGATCGAGCTTCTTGATCCGTGTCTCACTAATCCACATCTACAAGGACAACAGAGGCCGTTCGGAACCAGGTCAAAGGCCGCCGCGCCAGTTCCCATCTCATCAACATGTCCATGTCCGCTGTCTGCCAGCTGTTCGAGAGCCCAGCATACCATCATCGACTCCTGGATCAGGTGAGTATTCTTTTTGATTTGCACAGCCTGGGCGGTCGTGTCCTCCTTCTCTTGGTTTTGAGATCGTGCACGAAGCTTCTGGACCCAAAGCTGGAAGAAGCGCGCTACAGTGTGGGAATTGGCGAACCGGTCGACTGATATCCTGATCTTGACAACGTTCAGTAGCAGTGCGTTGAACACCGCTCGCTTTGCCTGCCAGATGGAAAACTCCTGCAGAAGATATACTTGTTGGCGCATGCATAGAGGCTGATTCGGAGCCCACACTGCCCGAGACGCTCTGTCGGTAGACCCCAAACGTACCCTGATCTGATAGGCCTTATCTCGCCACAGCCTCATCGACCCGCGAAGCTTGCGTTCCTTCCACCACTTGATGGCCACGATCCACATGGCGACCAGGCGCTTGCGTTTGCGCTTTGAATCAATTGCAAAGCTACAGAGGGCACTTGTTAGTCGCCATTGGATCGTCGTCCATGGCCAACCCATGCCGACAGAGTCAGCTCACCTGCGCCAAGAATGGAAAGCCCGAGCAAGCTTGAGCTGGCCAGACTCTCGTGCGTTTCGCGAGTGATCAAAGTCTGTCGGAAGTGCAACAGATTAACGGCGCTGATCATGCCATATGCATTCGTCAGGATGTCTCGCGGCATACGAACCATGTCCTGAGCTTGGATGGAGTCCTTGCCCATCCTCGTTTGGACGCACAGACTTTGAAAGGTCGGTAGGCATGTCTCTGACAGGAGGCGAGGGCTGCTGCATGGCCTGGAGGGTGGAAGCTCGAGCAGACGGTTCGATGATTCCCGAATGAAAGCGATTGGAGTGTCCAGTCCGATAGCTGTCGTCCAGCAGAAAGGTCGAGTCATACACAGGCTCCGGAGAGACCGGAAATGGCCCCACGGCAGGTCTCGACGTCGAGAAGAAATCGTTGTCTGGTGGGAGTCTTGCTGAGCTACCAGCATCTGGAGCTCGAGCCAAATTGTCTGGGGCCAACGTGCTATGTGAAGCGGGGACATAGGCGGACGGATACCCAGCGGACGCCGACATCGCATGGCGGTGCAATGCCTCTTGATGCAGAGGAGGAACTGCGGCAGAATAGTGGCTCGCCGACACAGACAGCCCAGATCGATTTGCTGGAACGGATCGTCCATGGCTGTTTGCAGCGACGGGAGTAATTGCACAGCTTCCGGGAACTGGCACCGAATGCGATCCGAGATGGTTGCCAAAGAGCACTGGTGCCGTGCGGTTGACTGATCGGTCGTGGCGCCTCTTCTGGGATAGGTACTGGCTTCTCAGCGTCAATTCAGGGGACCAGAACTAACCGCATCCCAGAGGCAGTGTGGATTCAAAGGCCGAAATCAATGCTATGGCTATTGAAGCCGCGCCTGCCCTGGATCAGGCACCCATCGACTCAACGGCCGTCGATGCATATTGGTCCTCTGCCCAGTCGCTCCGATACGATCGCCCGAGCAATGTCCTGCGGTTCTGCGGTTCTGCGGCTTGAGCCGGCAGTCAAAGGCTCGCCTGACTCACCATCTTTGCGCTCTCGTATTTATCCCACCATAGGGCGCCGTCGATCTCTCGCTGCATCCTCAGCAGCAGATTCTTGAAGAAGCCCGAAGGCCGCCTCGACGCGTGGGATTCAACAACGGAATCATGAGCCCGGAAGACCTTGAGCATCCCCAGGGTGGACGACGCCTGCAGGAGACTTGAGGACTCTCCATCCAAGTGGGAGTGAGCGAGCGACAGAATCTCATGGAGGATAGCCCAATCTGTCGCGAGATGCTGACGATGAGCACTTCGCCGCCAAGGACAGTTCGTGCGGATGCGGCACACTTTCCCAGCGGCACCGTCGTGAAGCATCGTGCTTACCGTGCTCAGTCAGAGCCGACGAATAGCTATCCATAATTTGCTGTTCGATACCGGCCACGGACGAGAAATCCGGCAAAGGATAAGCGGAAGGTTGATCAGAGCAAAGGCGGCTCGACGGGGCGATGCAGCCCGCGGATCCTCGCCGACAATTGCAACGCCCTTGCGTCTCCGCCAGGATCCAGGCGGATTGGAGCAAGTCGGTCTTGCACAGCTATTGGATGATTTGCCTACAGTGTGTCGCAAAACGAGACACATCATCTCTTTCGGACACACCGTAGATGGGCCATATCATCCATTCGGCCAGGAATGACCAGATGGATCAAATCATATCCGTGGGTGTTTGTCCCACGGATTCCGTCCAAGGCCCCAATATCTCATCACAGCAGCGCGAGCCGATCGACGTCGTTCAGCCAGGCGATCGATCCGTCCCATTAAATTCACACAGGCACTCTGTCGTTTCAATTTGACCGGCTGTAAGTCATCAGGCTGTTGTCCTGGGTCGGCAGGAGGGCTCTTTGGGCCAGCGGGAACGAAGGCTGTGGTTATGGAGGAAGCCCCGACGACCGGACAGCGTCGGCGACGACGATAGCGGAAGAGATGCGTTTCCGTAAGGACATGTCTGTGGCTGGAGCAAAGCCTTCGACCAGTGTGCTGGCTCGCTGTCGAGGTCGCTGTCAAGGTCGCTGTCAAGGTCGCTCGATTTTCACCAGTCCATATCGATCCCACTCGATTCCAATAATCTGCGCCGGTTCGCATCGGTCCCTCGGCCTCGGCCTTGCCCCATGGCCTGCGAACCCATCTGCTCCGCCTCGATTCCAGGTTTCTTCGTCCCTCAGCGCGGCCAGCAGCGACATGCTCGACTCCGTTCGGACAAGCGTCGTCGGAACTCGGCTGTGGACTATATCAGCGGCCCAACCTGCAGCACACCGGGATGCCCGAGAGGCAGCAGCATCATCATCGGCCGATACTCGCATCGGTGAACATCGTCATCGGTTTGGCCCTAGTCCACGCCCATACCAAGATCTGAACACTCATCAAACATCAGCATGGCTGCCAAACGGTCCGAGATGCCATGGAGGCAGTTTCTATCCAACATTTTGGTGGGACTGGCAATGGTGAGCCGGACGTTCCTGCCGGTGGTTGCAGCGAAAGCCAGATGGTTTGGGGCTTGCTCGCTCGAGGCTGACGACCACCTCTCTGCCTCCCACCAGCTGCTACTGGGCTTATGTCTTCTTGGAGGACTCAATGTGACATTTTTCAAGTAAGCCTGGAACAGCATCTGCCAACGGAAGCAATCTTCGTCTGGTGCGCACATACCACGGGGAACGACAAAAATACTTACAGGCAATCTCTCCTCCAGAGATATCTCCTGGGCTTCGAGCGACAAGTACTACACCGCCCTTTGGGGGTTCTGCCCCACGGCGGCAGTCAATGCTTCATACTCGATCTCGGTGAGTCGCATGTGCAGATACGATCTAGCGATGCCCGCAAATGCTTTCTTTGTCATTCCTGCATCTTTCTGCATCTCCCTACATCCTTCAAGGCCCCTTCCAGCAAGCAGCCCCACTGATCCGATGCTGTTTCAGGAATGCACTTCGTTCTTGGGAGCTCCCGTGAACCCAATTCCTTTCGATATTCGCCAGCGTAAGTATTGTCACCGCCTCTGCAGCACGCCCGCCTGCAGCCAAAGCACCGCACTAACCTGCCACTGGACGCTGCGTCGTATCAGTGGATATCGGCAAGACCGTCGTCGAGTGGGTGCTTCACGTCCTTGCATTCATCGTGGCCTTGGTCTCGCTTATCCTGGCCGTGACCGACAGCATCTCCATGGCATCATGGTATGCGGCCAGTGCGTCCGTCATCAACCTGTAGGTATCAGGCGTCATTCTGAACCGATCGAGTCTGGATGTGATGTCTTTGGCTGCCTTGGCTGGCACTTTGCACTCTTGATGCTCCGGTCGCTCGCTGGACTTGTCCGATCCGCTGGCTCTCACTAGTTTTCGCCAGTTCTGACCCCAACTTTCCTGGCTGATACTAATGCAACTGTCGAACCCGAATGCATCTTCAGGATCGGAACCATCGTGGCCGGCATCGATGTCATTTCTGTGATACAGAACATCAATGCCAACCATGCCTGGGGCGATAGCAATGCCAATATCGGCGCGGGGATCTTCTTCAGCATCCTAGCCTTTATGACGCTGGCTGCCTCGGCAGCAGTGTACCGAATGGAGCAGATGCGCATCGAGAAGACCGATGTCGAGAAAAAGCTCAAGAAAGTCGAGGAGCAGCTCGCCAAGGCCACCAACCCGACTGCCGTGCGAGTTGTCCGGCTGTGAGCCAAATGAAATACAGCACCCACTCACTTCCCTTGGTCTGAGTGCCGAGGGCAGCCGTCCTGATAATACAGCAGTTTCCAATCGCAGCAGCCGTCTCGGCTCAAACTGGGCATCGGGGAATACTCTCATGGACCCGGACTACCGATACAATACACATCCCATCACACACCACATATAGCTACCGCAGAGCCACCTATACGCTGCAGGACCATCTACGGCACTGCCAATACCAGCGCCCTTCGGGACTGGAATGCTGTCGTCGGCTCAGAGCCCAGAGCGAGCTGCATTCGCTCGCCAACACCAAACAGGCGTCTGCTGGCCAAGCCAAGGCCCCAGTCCTGCGCGTGCGGCCTCTGATTCCTGGGCGCCGTGCCGCCTTCGTCGCCCTCCCCTCTTCCCAACAACGCTCGCTTCTGTCGGCCCCTCTCCTTCCCGATGGACGGCGCAACATCGATCCTCCGATTGTCGGAATACCCCCGGTCGCTGGTGCTCTCGCCAGTGTCGTCCGGACGCTGCCCGGCTCTCGTTCTCGACAAGACCACGGAAGATGCCGTCAACCCCAAGGTGTGCTCGGCATTTGAGCGGAGCGACACTCTCGACCTGTCGCTCTTCAGCCGGTCGTCCGTGGCTCCGAAGCGAGTCTGGGGCTGCATCGGCACAATCGAGGTCTCGAGCGGTAAGGATTTCGTTGGCTATGCTCGGGCGCCCTTCTTCTGACAGTAGCCTGAGAGGCCCGCTAGTCTCCATCGGCCCTGCCCCCTCCTTTCCACCATCCAAAGCTCAAGGGGGTTTCTGCTTTCGCCATGCGTCGTCGCCCTGGGTTCGATAAGCATTCGCCTCCTGAGACATTCTTGCTTCGAACTCCCTGAATCTGATGGCTGCAGCGCTCCTGTTACGGGCTTCATCGACAGGGTCTATATCGGTTGCTGACCGCCTGACCTCGCTATGCTTGTCCCCTCGCCACCCATCCTCCCCGTCCGGCCGTTAGACTCGACCAAGGACCTGTTCCTCGGAGTCATCACGGATGCCGTCGTCGCTGGCCGTCTCGAAAACTCGACCGTCTTCCGCATCACCGAGGTCTCGTTCTACTCGGCGCTGACGTCTCGATACGACCGCATGAACGAAATCCTCGATAACAACAACCCCGACGAGTCCAAGCCACAACACCCTTGCTCCACCTTGATCAAGCTGCTTTCCGACGGCAGCTTTTACTTTTGCAGAAACTACGATATGACTCGCTCCTATCAGCGACAGAACCGCGATGCCGACAGCAGCATCTTCACCTCGCCGGACCCCCACTATGTCTGGAACAAGTCGATGCTGCAGAACATCCTCAAGATGCGCGACGAGCTCCATCTTTCCGAGCGTGCGGCTCTCGACAGCAGTGGCCTGATCACCCTGGTGACCCGCGGGTACTTTGGTGATATTGACTACCGCTCGTATGGCAGTGGGCAGTTGCGCATGGCAATCTGCAGCCGTCTGAGCTGCGAGAATGCGGGGACCCGATTCAATGCTCGCGGTATCAATGACGACGGCCATGCCTCCAACTTTGTCGAGGTATTTGGCAGCAGCACCACGATCGCTGCAGGCCCAGAACTCCAAGCACTCCAACCGCTGGGTTGTGCCCTAATAGCCGTCTCACCTGCCGCCACCTCCGCCCCACCCAGACCGAATTCATCGTCTATATCGGAACAACCTGCTTTTCGTTCGTGCAGCTCAGAGGCAGTGGTGCGTAATGACAGGAAGGATTGCTCGATGGTTTGCCCGAGGATTCGCTGCTGCACCGTGCCCCTGATGGGAAGACTGCGTATGACACCCGATGCAACCTCGATATGGTGTCTGATAGCCTGCTTTCCGAAATCCGTTCTTGATACCCATGTCGATGCTCAACAGTGCCCGGTAAGAAGCAGCGCTCATCTCTTTCAGAGGCGATATACATGCCGTAGCATATACTAAATGCGACTGCGCTTCTTCTGGCAGTGTTCTGGGAGCAAACCGGTATTCAGGTATGGCTGCCGGCGCATTGTCCTATCGGCGTGTTTGGCGGGGCCTCGGTGGCGAGTGCTGCTTGTTGGGTATATGATGGCCAAGTACCGCATGATTGTTGCTCTATGGATATTATTCGGGTCAGCCTCTCACCCTCCATTACTCCGTGCGCACTTGGGGCACTGTGGCAGATGACTCACAACCCCGTTTTGAGCCGAAGCACCGAGGCAACAGCCCCTGCATTCCGGAAGCACTTTCAGGTACCCGACCGACTATTGGCAGCGCAGCAACCCGATAGAGGAGCCCATGAGGATCAGTGACTTGCTGTCTCGATTTCTATGAGGATCAGTGACTTGCTGTCTCGATTTCTATGAGGATCAGTGACTTGCTGTCTCGATTTCTATGAGGATCAGTGGCTTGCTGTCTCGATTTCTATGAGGATCAGTGGCTTGCTGTCTCGATTCACCGGCTGACCTGGATTGTTGTCTTGCCCCTCCGCGCATGTAGGAGTTGACACGCACCTACGGCGATGTCCACATCTGCAATCTCCTGAGCAACAAGGAGGGCTCTCCCGAGACAGGGCTCGGGGAGGAGTACCGAAAGCAATACGTTCTCTGTCAGCGAGAAAACAGCAGTCTTAGTTACCTGGCCTTTGACTTTCACAGCGAGTCCAAGCGACCCACGGGCACCTTCCAGCAAAACGTAAGCCCTTCCACGCGACCTGAATGCACGAGACCACATCCTATCCAAGACATCAGTCGATGCTGAAACTGCAGCACTTATATCTCTGTTTAGGTCTATGCCATCGTACAGCGACTGCGAGACAAGCTTGAGCACGACCAATACTATCTGATGAACGAAGGCGAGGTGATCACCATGCAAAGTGGAGCCATGCGAGTCAACTGTTTGGACTGCCTTGACCGCACCAACTTTGTCCAGACGTACGTCATTGCGGCACTGTCTCTGATTGCATGCCCGCAGTTACAGCGGATCGCTAGACGGAGATCATTCATCGCGCTGTGCTGCTTTCAGGATGCTGGCACGTGAGGTGCTTGAGGCGCACTTGCGGCAGCTGAACATGGCTCCTATGGTATCGGATCAAGACTTTCAGAGTCGGTTCAATCAGATCTGGGCCGATGTAAGAGACGCAAGCCGACCTGAGGATGTCGCTACCAACACAGGCCGAATGGTCATCGTGCGCCTGCAGCGGAGCATTACATAAATTGCTCACTTCCCCCTCCGACAGAACGGCGACGAACTCAGTCGCATCTACGCTGGCACTGGAGCCCTCAAGTCGTCCTTTACTCGAGCCGGCAAACAGACCGTGGGAGGTACGATGATATCATTCTGGCAGCGATCGTGCAGGATGGGGCTCTATCAACGCTACTTGACTCACCCGCACTCACCTTTTGTTGCAGGCTTCTTCGACGACGCCATGAAGTCTGCCCAGCGCTTTGTGATCAACAACTTCAAGGACAAGAACCGGTACGATTCCCATGGTGTCTTGTCCAAGCGCGGTTGGATGATAGCGACGGTATCGCTGCTCGCTGATAGCCGTAGCGCCCCGCTGGAGGTGTGTGGTGGTGAACGTATGTTGTGTCTTGGCATTGACTCGTTTCTATCAACTGCTGCTACGCCAAAGCCAAGAGACCATTGATCTGCTCCTCGGCAAGTTTGCCGGTCGTGACACCATTCTAGTCCGAAACCCAATCCACGAGTCCGTGGTCGTCCAGCTTCAAGATCGCCAGGCAGAGTACTCATCTCTCTGGCCCAGCAGCGTGTTCCTGGCCACCTGGAACGTTGGTGGCCGACTGCCCAACAAGGAGCTTACTCTGGAGCCACTCATTCACCATCCTCGCGGTGAGTGTGTGTGGCTTTGGTCGAGTGTGCGAACGAGCTCCATGATCTGCTGCCCAGTCTGGATTGCTCCGCATTCAAAGGTTTAGTCAAGCCACCCGCTTATCATGGTCTCTTCTGCAAACGTGATCGCTACTCAGCCGAACTCCCCGAGATCTACGCCATCGGCATCCAAGAGCTCATCAACCTGGACATTCAAACAGTAAGACTGATCGGCAAAGGGCTCCGGGCGGATTCTGGCCGTGCCGCTGATCGTGCGCGTTCTCCCTCGGCAGATGATCACGAGTGACATTGGCCCCATCAAGACCCAGTGGGAGTCTGCTCTCCTGTCCACCATCAACCAACGATGCAAGCGACTCAGCAAGAGCTACCAGTACACTCTCCTCCGCGGCGTCAACTCGTATGCCCTGGCGCTCTTTGTATTTGTTCGATCAGATTGCATCAAAAACATCAAGAATGTTGAAATCTCGATCAAGAAGGTGAGGCGGCCCCTTGTAACGGCACTACGTATCAGCAAGGCCTAAGGAAACGCGGCGCCCTTCGGCACTGCACTCTTGCCCACGTCTCACCGCTCTCCCTCTGTCTACTAGACCGGTGTTGCGGGTTTGATTGCCAACAAGGGTGAGTTGTGCAAGGGCACTCGAATGGTAGCTCACAGGTCGCCCTGGCGCTTGCACACTCACAGGCATATATCTTTCTTGTATCATCGTATACTCCTCTCCCGTGTGTCCACAGGCGGCATTGGTCTAAGCTTAGACTTTAACGATACGAGCATCGTGTTTGTGACCTCTCATTTTGCGGCCGGAGCAAGTTCGGTTGCGGAGCGCAATGCCGATTTTGCTGCGATCCAAGGAAGCTTGAACTTCAAGGGCAAATCGCTCTACGACCACGAGTAGGTTTGGAGGCGCCTTCGCTGCACACCGGCACTGTCTGCTGGTCAGACATGTGCCAGTATCTGCGCATATGTGGTGCGTCTGGTCGATTGGTGGGTCGACCTCCTTGTCTGGCCCCAACATCGTGAGTGACGCATATCCCTTTCCGTCGATGAATCAGCATGATCTTTTGGTTTGGCGACTTCAACTACCGCCTCTCCAAGGAAGTCGACAATGACTTTGTCCGCAGAATGGTTCGCGAAGAACGATATGCCGAGCTGCTCGGTTACGATCAGGCAAGTGCCCACAGCAGTGCAATTCATCCAGATGCGTCCCGGCCCAACATGCCTGAGTCAAATAGTCGTCGCGCAGCGCAAGTGCTGGCCAAGCCCAGAGGACTCGTGGCCCGCTCCGACCTAACTCTTGCTGATGTGCCCTGTCCACCATATAGCTCAGCGAGGAAAGGCGATATGGCAACGCCTTTGATGGCTTCACCGAATCGGCAATCACGTTTGCCCCAACTTACAAGTTCGACTATGGAACTACCGACTATGACACCAGCGAAAAGCAGCGCGTCCCCTCTTGGACCGACAGAGTTCTCTACTATGGAAAGGGAGTAAGTGGGGCGTATTCGGGCCGACAATGACGCACAGATATCGCAGGGCAGGATGTATCGTTCGGTTGCAGTCGGTGACAATGGGTGAAATCTGCAGCCTCAGGCATTTGTGCAAGTGTCCTGCTAACCTCCATCCCCTCTCACAGATCAACCAGCTGGACTACACTTGTATCCCGCTGCTGATGTCGGACCACCGGCCTGGTGAGTTGCTGGTGCCCGATTGCACAATGTCTCGGCGCATATCCTGACCGTCTTCACACCCCTCACTTGCGGCGAAAGTTGTGTCCGTCTTTGATATCCAAACGGCTGTTGTCGACGTGGCCAAACGCGAGACTCTTGAGAGGGAGCTCTATCGCGAGGCTCGACGCTCTGGGGTCCCACTGGCCATCAGACCCTCTGCCAAGCCGCGAGCTGCACCTCGCCCGCCAAGCACGGCCCTGCTGATCGATTTGTCTGGAGGATCGCCTCCAAAGCGAGGTGAGCGACTCCTGTTTCAGCTATAGCCTGAGGCGCGAACGAGCGCCCGGCCTGGATGGATGGCTGCTAATGACCGCCCCATGCGCGGATGCATTGTGTACTGATGACGATATGGATGTTACCGCACTGGTACCGCTGTGTACGCATTTCCCAGCAGAGAAGCTTCCAACCGACAACCTCCCCCCTCCCTCGACTGACTCGGACCGATGGTGGGATAAGGAGATTGACGAAGCGTGGATCCCGCACGAGGGCGACGAGAACAATCCGTTCTACAAGCTGCCTCGGTCCGGCATCACGCCAAAGAGCCCCGAGCCCCTTCGACAAAAGTCGCCCAACGTCCCGGCCTCCAGGACAAACGGCAGCCAGCCGGTGTCCCAGTCGAGCGAGAACCCGTTCCTCGACAAGCTGGACCCCGAGCTTGTGGCCGTATTCAAGGCTTCGTGAGGGAAAGGGTAGCAGCAATGACTTCGACCAGAGAGGAAGGGCACCGCTGGTGACCTGTGGCTCGGGCTGAGAGTATCAGTCTCTGCAACGAGCCCTGCTCATGCCTGGTTGACAGAGCCGACGACTCTGCTCGCCGCCAGGGCCGCTGAATACAAACGACGGTCTCAGCACGAGAATATCCAAAGAGCCTCCAGGCTGCCCGCAGGTCTGGTCTGGTCTGGTCTGGTCTGGTCTGGTCTGGTCTGGTCTGGTCTGGTCTGGTCTGGCTTCCCGGGGTATACGCCCCCTCCCGGTCCGCCAGCTCCCCCCCCCGGCGGCGCCCCCTCGCCTGACCACTTTTCCTTCTTGCCGCATGGTTTTCCGATCCCGACCCTGCCGATCCCGACCCTTTGCCCTCCTGTCCAGCCTGCCCTTCCCTTTTCCTTTCCCTTTACCTTTACCTTTCCCTTCGCCTTTGCCTTTCTTGTTTGTATTCAGGGTCGGAGCTGGGGTTCCGAGACCTGCCGGGCTCTTCCGCTCGCAATTGCATCGCCGGAAGCAGAGCTGGAAGGGTGCGAGATTTACTTCGATAGCAAGTCTCGGCTGTGCGTCCTCGCCATGGACCAACACTCTCTGCCTGCATCGTGGCTCTTCGCTGGAGTGGGCCGGATCGCTGCATGCGCCGTCTGGCCAAGCATCATGCGCGCGGCCACATGGCCGCAACACATGCCCAAAGCGCCCCCTCCCCCGTCCCATCCCGCTTTCCGTCAGCCCATTCGCAACCGGCACGGTCAGCACAACAGCGGTGCCCCCTTCTGGTCTTCTTGCTGCTGCCCCGGACCGGTTCTGCTCACGCGCCTGTGGTGGGATCGTGGTGGGATTGTGGTGCCATCGCGGCTGCATGGTCCAACGCCCCCTCTTCCCACGCCGCCATTCCTATGGTCAGCACACATCCGGCAGTCATCTGACCCCCGTATCTGCCTGTCGCGGCTGCTTGCTTGCCCAGACCCCCCTGTGGTGGATCCATCGATCCGCGGGAATGGATGCGGCCCTGGTGACAGACAAGCCCCAATGGATCCACCCACCTCTATGCCCCACCAGCACAGCCCGCTCGCGCCCACCACCAACATCACGGTCTATTCTTGAGAAGTCTTGCTCTGTTCGCGAAGTATCGCCATGGCTTTGCCGTTCGCGGCTCAGTCCATCTGGCCTTCTCTGCGATCAACCGAATCGGTTTGGAACAACGTACACGCAGTGCACCTTGTCGCTGCTGTTCCGCAACGAATATGCCGTCCTGTGACATGTGTTGCTACTGTCTGCCTCAGAGGCTGTGGCTCGTCCCTCCGCGAGCGCCTTCCCGGCTGGTCATGAGATCCGCTTCGATACCCTCGTCTCGGACATCACCGATGCCGTCGGTGCACAGCGCGATCCATCGCCGTCGTAGAGACTTGCCCTCCTATCCGCCTGACTGGATGTGCATGGGCCTGCTCCCGATGCCGCCGGAAGGCCCATCTGGCGAGTACCCAGCCGAACCACAGCCGAATCGCAAACGCATGACCGAGCTGCAGGCGCGGCCGTACCATGGCCAGCGAGGCTCTTCTGGCCATGGTGCCGCGCCGCCAGGCAGCATGGCCGATACGGCACCGGCGGCGAGGGGGCTCCGGTGGCCCTGGCCATTCCAGGCGCCGCCTCCATTCTCCGAGCCAGGTCATCAGGCCCGATCATCTGGGCAGAATCGGCGGCTGGGTGGCGCGCATGGGGCTCTGGGTGGCTCCCCATCAGCCAACTCTTGCCACAGCAGGTGAAATCAGGCAATGCTGCTGGTGGTTGGGCGAAGGGCCCTGCCAATAATTGCCTTGCGTTTTTCGCATCAGCCGCCACCCGGGCATGGCTCCCTCGATGCATTTGCGGCGCTCCCCAGATGCAGTCGGCAGTCTTCGTTCCATCGAAGGCTATCTCTCCAATGCAATTGTCTGGATCCCCGGTCTCTGCTGGACTTTCCCACCCGCCCGCACATATAAAAACGGGGCTTGGTCCGGCCTGGTTGAGTTCTCCACCGGCGCTCTCGACACTCGCAGCTCAAAGTAGGACCATCTCCCGCCTTCAACCTCTCTCCGCTTCTTCCTCCCTCAATCCGCTTCTATGATCTTCAACGCTGGCTTTGTCCTTGCCGCTCTCATCGCTCTCTCGGGAGCCGTCGAGAGTGCCTCTGTGCCCAGCCCTGGCAAGTGGGACCAGTACCGCAACTCCCTTGACAAGGTCATCGGCTCGTCTGCGAACACGGCCAAGATGGCTGCTGATGCCAGCAACCTCTACAAGGGCTACCTTGCCCAGAAGAAGGACGCTACCTTCCAGGGCTTGGTCAAGCAGGTTAAGACCTACAGCAACTCCAACAAGAACGCTGCCAAGGTTGTTCTCACCACCAAGGGCGTCAGCTCCATCGCCACCCAAGTCTTTGTAAGTACTTTTGATCGCCACGCAGCGACTGAGCTATGTCAGTCAGATAATTCTATAGATTGCGCCGATCCGATCGGCATATCAATCGCTCCAGTCGAGCCGCCGCTGACACCGTTGCCGTTTGCATCTCAACCCCGGCGGATGGGGGTAACTAGGGCAGCAACGCCTCTGATGTCCACTCCGAAGCTGTCCTTGCTGCCTTGCTTCCCACATCCTGGGATTCCCGCACCAAGAACTGGGTCTCGTCCATCAAGGACCAGGGCCAGTGCGGCAGCTGCGTTGCCTTCTCCTCGGCTGCCACCGTCGAGAGCACCTTCCTCAGCCAGACCGGCAACAGCATCGAGGTCTCGACCGCTGATCTCTTCTTCTGCCTTGGCTCTGGTGACGGTGCTTCCTGCAACACTGGCTGGGAGACCGGAGAGGCCGCCAACGACATTGCCCAGAACGGCGTCGTCTCGGCCGACTGCTTCCCTTACACCGCCGGCGACGGTCAGGATCAGCAGTGCGACGACAGCGACTGCCCTCGCACCGGCGGTCTCTCCGACACCTCCTTCAGCAGTGTCAACCAGATCAAGCAGCACATCATGACCTATGGTGCTGTGGTCACTGCCTTCACCGTCTGTAAGTACTGCTGCTTTGTGCGAATGCCGATTGCCATGGATCATCCGGGACAGCCGATAGGAATCGCCCCTTGCATCGCTGCAGTTGCATAGTGCATGGCTCTAGATCCGGGCAGCGGCGCGATTCTCACGACAACTCTTCCCTTCCTTCGCAGATGCCGACTTTATGAACTGCTGCTCCAACAACCAGATTTACTCCAAGCACTCGTCCCAGGTCGAGGGCGGCCACGCCGTCTCGATTGTTGGCTGGAACGACAGCAAGAAGGCCTGGCTCTGCAAGAACTCCTGGACTGACTCCTGGGGTACCGACGGCTTCTTCTGGATCAAGTACGGCCAGTGCGGCATTGGTTCCACCAGCGAGACCTACGGCTTCACCTACTCTGGCAACTAGGTTTCCTGCGTATATCCCAGCTTGAGCTGTGGCCCTGCTCTACATCTGCCTTGGCTTGATGTCAATGGCCACCCCCTCCTCTAAACCCCCCTTAACGAGACGCCTCCACCGACCACCACCTTGATCCTATTGAGATTGTCCTCCTACCTTACCTTTGGCCTCCCACCTTACTCTTGTCCTCCTACCTTACCCTTGTCCTCCTACCTTACCCTTGTCCTCCTACCTTACCTTTGTCCTCCTACTTTGTCGCTGCCCGCCTACCTCTTGTAACTGTCTATTGAAATCCGCCTTATGTGATGTGAATATAACCCCTCGAAGAAAGTTAAGCCCTCCCACTGCAGGTTCTGTGCCGATCGACGCTGCCCAGTCGCTACAGATCCCAGGCAAAATCAATCTGCACGAACGGCGAGCGACTTACCCAGCGCAGCTCTGTACTTGGCGACGCTGGTTTGCTGCTCTGTATTTAGAGCATATGGATGCCTGTGCCCCCCTCGAGCATACTCGACAGAAAATATATTCCGAATACTGGGTACAACGGGGCGCTTATGGGATCAGAAGGCATGGTGGTCCATCCACACAAGCGGCTTGTCAGTCTTGAGGGCATTGGGTGGAGTGACCATGGTCGTTTCGGGCCAGGAGCCGGACACTGACCGATAGGCCTTGGTGAAACTGTCCCTCGGAAATCATATGCTCGCTCTCTTCCAGACGCTCGATTGCAAGGCCTGCGAAGCCCTCGCGCAGATTGTCGATGTCGGTGCATCGTTCTGCCGTTTCAGGGCCGCCGGTGCCTCGGCCAACGTTCTTGGGGCTGTAGACCTCCAGGATAACCAACCCGTCGGCTTTCAAGCCCTTGACCATCCTGCGATGGACATCCTTCTGGACTTGGGTCGGCAAATGGCACCAGAACAGAATGACGGCGTCCCAGGCATCCTCGTGAATCTTGTAGCTTGCGACGTCAGCGACCTCGGTGCTGATTTGCGCCGACAGGCCGAGCTGCTTGGCCCAGCTGGCTGCCTTGTCAAGACCGACCCTGGAAAAATCGACGCAGTGGACCAAGTGGCTCTGTTGTGCGAGATAGATGGCGTTTCGACCCTCTCCTTCGCCGAGCGAGAGAATCTTGGAGCCCGGTTTGAGGTGATGGCTTGTCTCGACCAAGAACTTGTTGGGGAGTGCTCCGTAGGCGAGATCGGCCGAGTGCTCGAACCGGTCGTCCCAAAAGCTTGCGTTTCGGTTCATTTTGGGCGGCTATGGGTCTGTGGGAGATGGGAGACTGGGATGGTGGCCGATCGCTGCCAGCTCGATTGCCAGCCAAATCGATGCAGGAAAACAGGCGATGCGCAGGATATGGCCATGGGCAGGCTTGCCTGCGGCACTTCCGCTCCTGCACAGATTGAGCATCGAGAGCTGACCTGGATTGACTTTGCTTCGCAGCATACGGGCCTCTCCGTGGTTGGTCGACCTGGCAATCAGCGGGCTCTCAATTTCGACGCTTGAAAGCTGACCTCCTGAGCTCACGAGGCTCCAGTACTCCAAGATTGCGCGATGCACCAGACTGGTCTCACTCGAAGCCATGCCGATAATGGCGGCGCTGAAATATTTGATCATCTCCGAGACCCGACTAGTGCCGCTTGCGGTGCTTTCGAGCGATTTGCCTGGGCTGGATGGACTTGGTGATTACCGAGTGTCCCGACTGAGCATCCCTTGATGGCTTCCCGCGACTACCCTGTCCGTAGCGGCTGTCCGAAGCGACTGTCCATAGGCGACGCATGCATCCCTCACGATCCGGTTGATTCGTGTTGGGGAATATCCAGCACGGAGAGTCAAAGCGCATTCGTTGAGCCCAAGTGCATTCATCGAGCTCGAGCTCCCTCCGTTTGTGTTGGAGGTGATGCCGCCAGCGAGCCGATTTTGCATGCCTGCCCCCTGTCATTCCGCTGGCCAATCAGCGCAGGCAGTTGCTGCCAGCCCAAGGTCTTTCGCCGCCCTGCCCTTCCTCGGCTTGAATCTGATCTGGTCCGACCAAGCAGAGCACTGCTCGACCAGGACCATCGACGCAGGCTTAGCGATCCTCGTCACAGGCCGTCACGCCAAGCACAGCCTATCTGCCCCGGTCTCGCACACAGCACCATGGCTGCAGGCAACACAACCAAGGCAGTGCCTTCGTTGCTCTCTCGAACACACCGCCGACGGGTCATTGGGGCCAAGTTCCAATCGCTGTCGTCGCGATACGGGTATGTCCTGTGCTAATGGCAGGCATCTGCTCCTTCGGAGCCCTGGAAGCTGGATCTAGACACATGCTGTCCGGATGCTAACGCTGCGTTCTTGCCGCATCGCCTCCGCTCCGAACGGATTCAAGTTGGGCGCTCTATTGGCTTGGGCTTGCTGCTCTGCTCGCCCTGCCGTTTACCGAGCTGCACAAGGAGGCCTTCATCGATGAGAATGCACTACTGCCCGGACAGGTATGAGGTTGGGAAGTCGGTCTGGAGGAGGGCGTCGCACTCTGATGCTCCAGTGTTGTTAAAGCCCGTGTTGAATCTCCCTGGGCTCAGACGTCAAAGCTCTCTGAGTGGAGCCACATTGTCCACCAGAACACCAAGAAGACCCAGATCGACTCGTTTGCCCGGCTGTATCCTCAATCATCGCTCGAGTAGGCATCTGTTACAGAACTCGCTGAACCGGGAGCTGGTGGCATATGGCCCAGGCTTCTAATCCTGCCCGCTGCCGCGGCGTACTTTCAACCATGTTGCTCCACATCACAAACAGACGTGCTCTTTTCCTCAAGGAGGAGCTCGAGTCTCTCGGCCTCGACGCTGATACTCAGCGATTTGAAGTTTTTGGCCTGGCCAACCAGGTATGCCCTGCTGGACCAAACACACCACCGGCTGCCACAGTCTTCTGGACGAGTTGTGGGGGAAGGTCGGCGTGGCCATCTGCCCGAGAAACTGAAGATGCCGGCGCTGTGTCCACCAGACCATCGCCAGCGGCGTCAACGCCTTTGGAATTGTTCGCGCCCCTCGAGCAGATGGATCCGAGTCAATTCTTCTCTCGGCGCCATGGATAGACCGACATGGGCAGTGTAAGTTCGCGGAGCCTGTATCCGGCTCTCGGACTCTCGCTGGGGGGGGGGATCGATGGAATCGGCGGCGAGTGGACTGTGGCTGGCGGTGGTGATGCTCAATGTCTTGACTCGTTTACAGACAACCAGAACGGAATCGCCACTCTCTTGGCATTTGCAAAGCTTGCTCGCGGTACGCTGACAGATCGTGCGGCCCTGTGCTCGCCATACGGATCCCATATCACTGAGTGGGGTACCGCTGGATCGTGGCAGGCATGATGAGTCTGATGGATGCGGTGGGCTGTCCTGAAGCATTCCAGATACCTGAATGTGGTGCTACTTCACGGATGATACGGCGTGCCCATGGCTAACACATCTCCTCTGTTCCAGAGGGCAGCTACTGGGCAAAGGATCTGATTTTGCTATTCCCAGACAGCCATCTCTTTGGAACCGATGCATGGCTACGAGCCTACCACGGCATCGACATTGTACAGGCTGGTACGCCTCTGGCGGGCCCGCGAGCTCGATCTCTGCGGGTCAATGTTGGCCAGCGTTGTCATCATGGTCGTGAAACACCGTCTTACTCTGCTGTGCATCGCATAACATCGCAACCATACCAGATCCCGTGCGCCGCTACGAAAGCCTCCGAATGCGCGGCGGAGCGATTCAGCAAGCTATCAATATCGAGTTTGACGGGCTGGACGATTATGACTCGATCGGACTGTTGCCCGGTAAGTTCGCTTGCTCCCAGATATCCGGGTGCGTAGAGGTACACCCGACCAATGTCCTGACAAGTCGTGGTACTTTATGGGCCGCACAGATGGCGTCAACGGCCAACTCTGCAATCTGGACGTCGTCTTTACGACGGGCGTCGTTGCTGGGGTGGACCAGATCAGCGTTCATCTCTACGACGGCGAAACCGCTCGAGGCTACCAGAACACCGCCACGGATCGCTACCTGTTTTATCTCAAGGCCATCCTGCTGTATATGAAGCGCCAGGCGTTTGGATATCCCAGTGCCGAACATGCGCTCTACACGACGTACAAGATTGAGGCCATAACGATTGCAGGACTCCGAACAGGCCACGCTGCTACCGTCAGTCCGCTGAAGGTGCTTGGGTAGGTCACCAAAGACAGCAAGGGTTTGTGAGCTGCATTTGGATTTCGCTTGGTGCCGAGAGACCCACGGCATGCCCAGCGGTCCCTGAATCGTGCTGAAAGTCTCCATGCGCAAGCTGACCCGCTCAATTTGCTGGCCACAGACTCATCGAGCAAACAGCTCGGTCCTTCAACAACTTGCTGGAGCAGCTCCATCACTCGTATTGGTTCTACATCATGCCCGATGCAACCCACTTCATCCCTCTGCCCATCTACATTGGTCCTATCATCCTGCTATCCTCGCCGCTTGTATTGCACGCGCTGTCCATGTGGTGGAGGTCTGGCGGATACAACCCCGCTCAAAGCCCTCCTTCTGAGCCCTCCGTGGTGGGCCCGTTCTGCATCCGTCCTCGCGGCCTCTCGCTATCGTCGAGCGCAAATCGCCATCTGCGCGAGCCTGTGGCCGTCCTTGTGGTGTGTTATCTTGCCGGGGCGCTCTGCTACTTCCTTTCGAATCAGCTCCAAGACGCCGGGGTAAGTATTTTGGTCCGTTCGATCAACGGCGATATGCGCTGGACAATCTTAACGAGCATGCAGTCAGGGAGATGCCATGACCTGTGGCTGTGATGTCTGACTCGGTCGGAGGGCTCTTTCGGACGTGGTTGCTTGGCACTGGTGTTACTAACGCGGTGGTGTGGCCGTCGGACGATTTCATACTTTTGCTCTTATCCTTGTTTCCAGGAGTATCTGGCGACGTACGCTGCTCCAGCTGCGATCATGATCGTGGCAAGTGCGGCCGTGAGACTGTCGCTGACGGTTGATTACTACGTCCTATCAAGCCTGGCGAGCCTGCTGCTGTCGATTTCCTTGCTCACGATTGCGACGCTGAACCCGTCGCTCTCGATCGCCCTGGCACTGTTTGCTGTGCCTGTGTTTGGACTAGTCCAACCTGTGAGCCCCAAAGCCAGCTTGGTCCAGTGGCTCGGCTCGGCCCTCAAGTGGGTGCTGCTGGTTGTGGTGTCGCCTTCAGGCCTGGCGCTTGTTGCTACGGCGCTGGTGGGCCGACACGGGGCCGAGACAGAGACCCGGCGTCTTGTTGAATCCAGCCTGTTCTTTGGGTCGTGGGTGTGGGGATTCTTGTACTGCTGTTACTTGCCACCGCTGATCGCAGGCATGGTTGCGGTCCTGGGCGTACAGGAGTAGTTGCTCTGGGCCTTTGACTCGCCAATGAATGCAGCACAGTGTCCGGGGATTATTTTGAAAGCTCCCGTGTGAGTCTACAGTTGTGTTTGCCGCTTCTGCACCAGCGCAACCCGGCATCGCTGAGGGCTCTGCCGCCGGGCATCCGGCCGGGTGGTGCTTGTGCCGGCAGGCTGGACTGGCTGTGGCGCAGGCACCGAGGCCATCACATGACCGAGCAGCCTTCGTCGCTCCAATCGCATTTGGCCAACGCAGGTCTGCAAGCCCATCGCCCGCCTCTGCCCTCCAGCCGTGCTGCATCAAAGGACGCTTGGCGAGGATGAATCTGAAGAAGGCCCTGTTTGCAGCCGTGCTGCTGCTGTCGGTTCTGTCGATTGCCGTTGCGTTCGACTCCGAGGACTACAAGCTGTTTGATCTGGTGCGTATTGTCGCTCGGCTTGGCGGCTGTGTCGCTCGTGGTCGTGGTGGTCGTAGTTGGCCGGCCAACATCGAGCCGTCTGTGGTCTGGCTCCGGTTGTTGGCGATGCCGGCGACGATGTCCAAACAAAAATGCTCAAGCGACCAGCCGACCACCGCGGACATCTAGCGTGGAACTACTTCTGGCTTGTTGGCCGATGCAGCTGTACCGACGACCTCAAAGCCCGCAAGAATCGCTAACAGCTCATCGCTTGCACCATCGATTCGTCGCCGCCGCCATCGTCAACGGCATTCTCGCAATGGCAACTCTCCACCTCCATGGCGGATCGGAGCCAGAACGATCGCCTTGTTGCGCTCAAGGGCAAGACTGCTACATTCTACAATGTCCTTCAGATTAAGCCCGATGCCAAGCCCTCCGAGATCGGCAAGGCCTATCGCAAGATCTCGCTCGGGATCCACCCGGACAAGAACCCTTCGGAAGAGGATCGGAAGCTCTATGAGCTCCTGACGTCGATCGCGAGCACCCTCAAGGACTCGGAGGAGCGCGAGCGCTATGACCGCTATCTCCAGAAGGGCTTCCCGACCTGGAGAGGCACCGGATACTACTACAACCACTGGAAGCCCGGATTCGTCACGCTCTCGCTCCTTGCCATCTCGGGCATCTCGATTGTCCAGTACATCACCAAGGTCTACTACTACTACCAGGAGGTCTCGTTCCGGAAGCAGGAGCTGCAGCGCCTCGAGGGTCTGTCGTACACACAGATGAAGAAGCATCTCTCCAAGATGGGCACCGACACCAAGGGTCTCAACAAGAAGGACTTTAAGAAAGGCCTCTCGGCCGTCCAGGCGGCCCAAGCCTCGACCCAGAGCGGCGCCACCTTTGACCACATCACCAAGGTCGACTTTCCCTCCATCCGCGATACCGCCTTGGTGCAGCTGCCGCTCTATGTCTTGGCCAAGGTTGGAGTCAAGCTTGGCGGCGACGAGTCTGCTGCGGGCTCGGTCGCTGGTGCAGCCACTACGGCCACCGACAGCCCGGCAGACATGGCTGATAACAAGGGCAAGGCCGATGAGTTTATCGAGGCGAGACGACGACGCAACAAGAGTTCGGCTCCTGCCGACGAGCCCAGCTCGCTGTAAGCTGCGGCCACGGAGCGAATCACCCCCATGACATTACAATTTACTCAGAAAACAACGGGACAGCATACCGGCTTCCATGAACATGTAGCATGTGATGGCTTGCGTCAAGCTAAGCCATATGCAATAAAACAGATCACCTCCGAGTGAAGAACACCGGCCGCTCTCTGGTCTCCACAATCGACCTGCACACTGGTCTCGGAGTGCCGGCGGTGAATAGTGCTCGTGGACACACCGAATATGGAGGCAGCTTTTCTCAGGCTATGGATGACAGTAGCACCGCATCACAGAATGGGCATGGCCAGTGCGCGATGGTATTTGATAATCAAAGCATTTGATCAATGACCAAAAAGCCAGGTGTATCATATTTTAATGGAACAACTGTAAAAGCGGAGGTCCGTCTGCACACACACTTGCTGTCAAGTGAGCCGGCCAAGGGAGAGAGAGAGGTTTCTATTGGAAGGGAGGAAGAAAAAATTGGTTGTTGAAAGATGGCCTCCCGAAGGAGGCCAGGTGAAGCCTTCAACGATGTGTTGAGTCTGACCCGAAGGTCAAAAGTCCGTCTCTTTCCGAGGGATTGCCAATCATCTCTCGGCTCATAAACACACAGAGAACAAGGGATCGAAAGGTGGTACATCCACACCAGGCTTGGCCCACCCGCTGTTTCAGCGAGTTCGTGCGACTCAATTCATCCCGGCTTTGTGCTGCGCAATCAGCCCTGGTTTTGTGCTGCGCCGCGGCAATCCAGCAGCTCCCAAGAGCCCGGCTCTCCGACTTCCCTCTCAGCATCCAGTTCAGAGAACAAGTCGACTCGGCTCGCGCAGTTTGGCCGCCCCCGCTGCTCTCCAGATATGGACGCTTGGTTATAATGCAGATTTGAATATTGTAGCAATGTACATGCGCTTCCAGGCACGATATAGCGTACATTTCGCGACGCCGCCACGGCGCAAGGGTAAATGCGAGGGATAACGGAAAGGCCAAAAGTAGAAAACAAGGCGGGGTCGGGAGCCCCGAGAGTCTGTTGTCTTCGCGACAAGTATCATCCACGGAAGGAATATCCTGGGTGTCATGCAGTTCCAAAGTAGAGGGCATCGTGTAAAGTATGAAACAATCGAAAAACGGTGAAATGTAAAGAGGGATTGAAGGCGAGATAGACGCATGGAAATCAGTGAGGTAAAATATGTCTGTGCAGGAACGAAAAAGGGGGAGAGCGATACCACCAAACGCCAGCACGATTGTGATGCAGGCGCGGCTGTCAGTGATGAACCGATGGAATAGTTGGAATAGTTGAAACAGCAGCAGCGGTGATTCAAGACTCAGCCGCAAAGTTGAAGAGTGCCAAGATGGAGAGGACGGGCATGAAGAAGGAGGGGGGGGAACACAAACAAGGTTTCAGACCAAAAATCAGACAGCCCCAAATCAAGCAAAGTGCCAATAAGGAGGAGAAAGGGAGGAAAGCTGACGTATATCAGGCGGCAGCGGCTTGGACATTGCATTGGGCTCGCAATGCTCGGTCGTTGCACGGCCCGCCGGAATGAAGCAGTGGTCAAGCAGAGAAAAAGCCGAGAATATAAAAGAAGGCAACACGGAGCTACAAAGGTGATGGCACTGCATGGTAGAGCCAGATGCACACAGGTGAATAAGTGTACAGTGCGTGGACTGACACAGGGCGAAATGCTTCATGCACTCGAGCAGGAGAGGGAGTAGAATCGGAAAGACAGATCAGCAAACCTACAGCGCACTTGTGCCGAGGATATCTAGTGGAGGATCTCGGGTTCGAACGGGGGTTCCAGGAACGATGCAACGCCAGGCCGCTGTTCCTGTGCCTTGATCTAGCAACCATGCCCAAAGGAACTTGGAGGCGACAGTCCACGATGGGGTGGATTCGGGGGCTGAGGGCTAGGATGCAATCTTGGCGGAGGAACCGGGGAAGCCAAGGTGCTGGGCTCAGACCCGGTGATATGCCTGGGGTCTTCGTGCGACTCCATGTCCTCAATCAGGTCGACCAGAGCCGAGTTGATTGTTGAGATGGACTGCTTCTTGCGCATGCGGCTTATCAACCGACCTTCTATGCCGCCTGCATGGTTCAGGAAATGCGACCGGGGCGGCTGCGCATCGGCCAGGCTGATGCTAATCGATGCTGCATCCCAGTTGGTCGAGAGCTTGTCGATTGACGGCGCGGGGCGAATGCGAGCATCGTCAGGGCTCCCGATGGGGATCACGATCGAGGCCGAGCCAATACTGTCCTTGCGGGCCAGGGGCACTTCAGAACAGCCAATGCGGTGGTTGGGGGGTTCGACAGCGTGAGAGAGACGGTCTATGTCTGGGCCGGACAAACTTGGAAGAACGTGGCAGTAGTCGTAGAGACTGATGCGGGTGCCTGCGACGGGAATGTTGCTCACTTCGAGAGTAGTGTATGGGCGGCTGGTTCAAAGAAGCAGTAAAGTTAGAGCAGCTCCTGAGCTCTTGCGGCGACGTCAGTCATGACAATGGTGCGTCATCGAGTCCGAGCGGTAGCAGCAGCCCCGCTGGCGATGCGAATCTTACTCTTTGAGGTCCTCGATCACAGAAAGGCGTCGGTACAGACTGCGGAGCTTGCCAATGTTGATTTGCTCGTTCGTCCCGATGGCGTCGTTGCGCTCTCTCAAGGCCGTCAGGTCTTTCATGATAAGCATAATGAGCGGAATCATGGGTTTCTGGTGGAGACGTCGAATGGTAAGGGTCAAACCCACAGTCGCCGAGGACCAACATGCCTCGTTGGGCAGCGAGTGCTGCGCAAACAATACCTTTTCGTTGATTGCCGCGTTCTCGAGTGCCCGGGTGACTTTGTGGTTGTGCTCGTATGAGAAGTCCTTGCCGAGAAGCTCCAAGTCTCGGCGAGCCTTTTTGGAAAGCAGCTAAACAGGGACCCGAAGCATGCGTTAAGGAGTGGCCCACAGCGGCTCCCGATGGCTCCCGATGGCTCCCGATGGCTCCCGATGGCTCCCGATGGCTCCCGATGGCCGCTGTCTGTCCTATTCTCGTGCTTGCCGCACTCCCCCTTTGTGTTGCTCTGGCGGCAGGGATGGGGGGGGGCTGTGCCGCATAGCCTACCTCTTGTGTTTTCTTGAGGCGCGCAACGGCTTGGTTGCTCAGACCGGAAAAGATTGCCTGCGATCCGCAGGTTCACAGGACGGTGACGGCAAATGAGTCACGGCCGCATGGCCAGGGACCCGGAGAAAACCCCCACTCACACGACACGCCGCGCGCATGTGCAGGACACAACGAGACTTACCATGGCCGAGTAGAAGTTGCTGAGCTCTTTGCAATGCTGTTTGGGGGTTGGGGTGGGGGCGGAAGAACGGACGAGTGTGAGGCTCCCGGGAGCTGCGACCGCAGAGCGGCAACTCGCAATCGATCCAGGGCGTGGGGGACGGCCACAAGCGACGGCCTGAACGTGAGACAGCCAGCCAGGACTTACTTTGGCGACTCGAACGAACAGGTCAATGACTTCAGCTCGCTTCTTGGCATGCTCGTAAGAGCACACCACGGTGCACACCCAGTACGAGATCTAGGGCGAAAGCGAGCATGTTTGCCGCAGCATAGTCGAAGCGGTGGTTAGAAATGGGCCCGCCAACATCACCAGCTGGTCATCTGCGCACACGACCCAACGAGTGCTTGCGACACAGGCAAGCTACGTACGGTGTTGCATCGGCGGATGAGGGCCAGAAGCGACTCCTGTCTGGCCTCTGCGTTGGCGGTTCTGGATGGCCACAGGTGCGAGGCGACAGCATCGGGTGTGACTGCCGAGAAGAAACGCCAGTCGACTAGCACATGTGCCAAAATGAAAGCATCGGTGGATGAGTCGGGGCGAGTGCTGGTGCAGGACGATGGATTGTTTGGGAGATATGCTCAGCGGCCACACTCTTTCCATCCTCAAAGACAGCGCGGTACTTACCCAGCGTCAACTGGGCGGCTATATGGGTGGGGTTGATCTGGGTGATATCAAACTCGCAGATATACTTCCGGTAGGCAAGAGGAGTCATGGAGGGCTGCATCTTGCCGATTTTCTCGTGCGCCTTCCTCCAGGATGCCCGCTGTAGGCAAAACAGCCAAGGGAAACGAGGACAACAAGAAAAATTAGGGTCAAATGACGAGGTTTTGTCGTGCCACTCAGAGCTGTCGAAAGAGTGGACTGGTTGATCCGAGCCTACCGATTGCATGTGCTCAGTCGGATCAGACTTGTGCTTGCATACCTGCTTTGTCAGTATCTCCCTGAGGACACTTGCTTCTCTGTTGTCTCTGGTGAGATCGATGCTAAGATGCAGTGTGTCGAGGATATTCTTGGAGTCTTCCGAGATAAAGTCCAGCGGATAAGATATGATCTAAAACGGTTGCAAAAGTATCGCCGGGGCAAAGGGATGTTAATTGCAATGTACACATCACCACTATGCTCATGCCGATCGTGGTTGTGCCACGATGGCAATCAACCGACGGCATGGGCTCGATCAAAGCTATTCTCTCAAACAGCCATGTGCCACGATATCGACCGCATACTGACCCACTCGACCAGGAACTCGTAGTAGGGCGACTTTCTGGTTTGAGTCATCATCGTGAAGAATGAGAAGCGGCGATTCTGCGATTTGGTTTGATGCCTCATCAAAACCTGCAAGAGATCGCGAGTGTCGATGAAAGCGCGATGGGCAAACAAAAACGACTTGGCCAGCTCTCGGTTCTGTCGATCAGAGAGGGAGCCTGGGTACGATTGAGGAGAGAGTCGAGTGCCGACACAGTCAGCTACGGAAGTGATGACCTGCCCCGTCCTGACGACGCACCGGACGCCCCAGTATCGCGTTTTATGAGCACCAAGAATATACCTTCAGAGGACCAAAGCTCACAGGCCCTGTCCATGGGCATCAGCTCGGGCTGCAAACAGTCGTCGTTCAGGTGATGTGGATCGTCGGCTGGATCCAGGAAACGCGATGATCGGTGAGACGTGAGTTAAGCCTTCATACAGACATGCTTCTCGGACATTGACATCCGCATCGACATCGACATCGACATCGACATCGACATCGACATCGACATCGACATCATCAACGTTGGATACCTACCGGACATGGGCTGAGCAAACGCATCCTCGTGTTGGCAGGCTCGCGCCCAGGGTGTGAATATGTTTCGGATGACACCCTTGATGTTGTTTCCATCGTAGTTCTTCTTGTGTGTCGATCGGATGGACGCAAGTCCGTTCAAATGCCGGGCGGGCGGTTCAAGGTCACGAAGCGACGTGGGCGTTTCGGAGTACTGGTGGGCAGACGATTCTGAAAAGATGAAGGGCAACCCTATCCTGGATCTGAGCGATCTCGTACCCGTCATGCCCAGTCCATGGAGTGCGGAGGTGGCGGGTCGGAGTGATGACGAACCCATCGTGGTGGATCGGATAAGGCCAGGCTGCAGGGGCAGCTCGCCGTTGGACTTTGCCGATCTCGATCTAAGTGATACACCCGATTGCGCAAAGGTCTGGGAGGGTTTCCTGAGCAAGGCCGGCCCTTCGGAGTAAGGGCTACGAAGTCCTTTGGACAAGGGTGTGGTCCCGCTAGACTCATATATGCCCTTGAGGTTGGGGGTGCTCGATGAGGACGCCTTGCATAGGAACTGGGGAATGCTGGGCCTTCGCGTGAGTCTGCCGGCCAAGGGCGCGGCCGAGTCATCTCGAGATATGTTCATTGGATCCACAGAAGTCGCGATGCCATGGTTGCCGAGGTCGGGGTCAGGGCTGCCGGGACGATGGGGGCGATTGCTCTGGCTGATACGATTGATGCATTTGCCCATCATTTCAAAGAGAGCGTCGTACTTGGGAGGAAAGGGCACAGAGTATTTGATTGGTGCCATGGTCATAGTGGGAAGTGGTATGTGCACAGCAGGCGAACCGAGGCTGAGCAGGGTCGAGCAAGTACCTGGTGTGAGGAAACGACATAGTCCTCGAGGTCGCCATAGTGGTTGAAAACGGAGAAACTGAAGGCACGGCGTCGGCGACTGCGAGAGTAGCGACGGATCTCTGAGAATCGAAACTGCTTGAGTGTCTGGGGCGAGTCCTGGAGGAGCAAACGATGCCATAGTAGAAAACGAGCGACAGATCAGTGATCGCGGCTCTGAGCAACTGATCGCTGGCGGGAACAAAGCCCTTGCACATCAATGTCGTCCTTTGGACTATCCAAGGTCTGCCAGCAGCGTCGGACTGTCCGATAGTGTCCGATCCAGATGATTGGCTGGAAGGCAAGGCGCCGGACAAGGATCGGACGGCAATATGTTGACAAAGTTGGGCAGCAATAGACTTGCCTCAAATCCAGGAGTCGATGAAAGCAAGATGCCGGCGATCGAGATACTGATATACAGGGGCTGATCGGAGGGCTGGGTGATGTTCGAGCAGCTCTATTTCGGCAAGAATGGATATGCTGGGCATGAGCAATGACTGCCAGATCCTGGCAAGAACAGCGGTCGAAGGAGCCACGCCAGGGAGTCACGGAGCCATGAAGACAGGCGTGATTGGTGGCAAGTGTGCCTTCCAGCTCGATGGAGCCTGGTTTTGTAATTGATCAAGCGAGACTCACCTCAACTTGAACGACAACACCCTGGATCAGTTGAGCAAGATCCTGTTCCGACGGTTCATTCGAGATGATATGGGCGCCGGGTTGATCCACATGACTCGTAACACTCGGGACGGCACAGACGTTCGGAGGCATGCTGGCGAGCAAGGGCGACGGTGGTCGGGGCTGGATGGGCAGGCGGGTGGGCTGATCCAAGACGGAAGGGGCCGGAGAGGCGAGAAGGCCAAGGGTCAGCTGGGATGAAGTGAGTTTTGGTGTGGTTGCCGAGATGGGCTGGGCAGTGAGCAGATCTAAGGGATCGACGGCAGGGCAAGCTGGATGGCTGGGACGCAAGCAGACAGGCAAGGGCAAGCCAGATCCAGAGGAGGAGGGAGGGAGGGAAGGCCGCGGAGATGAGGGCGAGACTAAGCTGAGACGGGGGTTGATGCAGGGAATCATGCAACGAGGTCTGACATGTACCGGTGCGGCAGGGGCAGGCCAGGGGACGACAGAGGCAAGCGACGCAGCGATGGACGAGGATCGATGGACGAGCCGATGGACGAGTGTCGATGAACGAGTATCGATGGATGGACGAGTATCGATGGCGAGCAAAGGTCGATGGTGGACAGAGTTGGGCAAATGCGGACAGAGCCGGCCAGACCGCCGCGAGAATCCCGAGCAGCGAGGCCTGGACGAGGACGGGCCCAAGGACGGGTCCGCCAGTGGGGAGGAGGCCGCGGCGGACAAGGCGAGAACGATCGACAGGGGCCCGGCGTGCCTGGCGGACACTCGTGCCCCGCCGGTGGGGAGAGCGGCCGTTGGAGGGGAGGGCGGTGGTGTGGTGTTGGTGTGGTGTTGGTGTGGTGTTGGTGTGGTGACGAGCTGATGGTATTAGCATGGTATTAGCATGTTGGTGTGGTATTAGCATGGTGTTGGTGTTGGTTGCAGATGGATCAAGTTGATCGTCCGCCCAATTGACTCTGCAGCGATCCAACCACCCACGATTCAACCACCCACGATTCAACCACCCAATGGTCCTATTGGCCTATTGGCCGCCCCCTTGTCTGTGGCCGAGTGCCACGAGTCGCTGTGCCTTTCTGCTGTCAGCCAAAAGCCAACGCTGGTGGTGGTCTCGGCTCGTTGCCGCACCTGGATGATTGATAATAGGTACTTTTTTTTTCCTTTCTTGCACACACTCTTCCTCTCACGCACACTCTCTCCCTCTCTCACACACCCTCTTCTTTGCCTCTGCCTGCGCTGGCTGTCCCGCAGCCATCGCTCTTCGTTAATCAGCCGTGACAAAACCGTCGCCTGGGGTGTTCCCACGGCCGCTGACCAATGCGTGGGACGTCCTCTGCTTGCCGAGTACCCGCTGCTCCAATGACACCTGCAAAGATCGGACGAGTCAGGGATACACGCCGCTGCGGTATGGTGTGCAGGCACGCCTGTGAATGGCGGGGGCCAAACAACCGCATGTGGAGACAAATATCTCGCTTGCCGCTGCAGTCCGCCCAGCACCCCTGCGCCGGTGGCCGGCTGTGACCCCCTCTCGTCGGCATACACTATGAAAAAATTTCATGTTAAAAAATGAGCGAGAACGAAAAAACACGCTCTCGGAGCCACCTCGGTCGGCGAGAAGAGCAGTCTCTGGCGAGAGACCCCCGAGGGAAGGCGAGAAGCCTCTCGCCGGCACACACACACATCAGCACACACACACATCAGCACACACACACATTGCACAAGGGAGTTAACCACCTCCCATCGACCATCCCAAGAGGGATGGCAACCCCGAAGTGGACTGCCCAGAATATGGGCGACCCGGCATCCACTGTGGAAATACTCAAGGAACAAGATACTTACAGTCTATCCAGAAAGAAACGGGACAGTCACTTTCTGGCTTCTGAAACCCGCTGACTGACTTGTAGGCCCAGCGGGTAGGCCATGGCATTGCACTCCTGTCTTCGTTGGCAATCGAGTGGTTTTGATTGGTTTGGGAAGCACAGTCTTGAATACACCCGGTCGATCTCCTGTGGCGATGATCGACTGGCATACCGAGATCATATTCCTGGCTGCATTGATGTCTCGATCCCACAGCGTATGGCAGCTTGCACAACTCCGGACAAAGTGTGGTTTCTCGATATCAAGATGCTCGACCTTCTCGAGTCGCTTGGCTTCCCGACAATGTGAGCACACCTGGGATGTGTTGAACTCGTTCACCGAGCACACATGGATCTTGGAGACGGATCGGTCTGGTGGTCGTCTCTGGTGGTGGTGGAACTGCTCAAAGTACTTGGCGAACCTGAGTCTCCTGGGACTGGATGCGTATCCCTTCCCTTGCTTCCAGGAGGCATTCCCAAAGGCAATCACCACTTCGGTCTCCCTTGGTGCCTGGTCGATGACTTGCTTGCACATCTCGTGGACGGTGCGCTGTCGCTTGCTGTGGAGATCAAGCCGTTTGAATCGCCGTCGCCAGGTCAGGCTGAAGTACAGCTGTTTGTCCAGCATGTCTCCATCGAACACATGGCGAATGTATCGCAGGAAGGGGGCTATCCCGGGGATCTTGGGACTTGGTGTGGTGCTCATCCATTGCTGCAGACCAAGGTTCTTGTGGGTGCTCTGGATCCACTTGGTCGCCTGGGTGATGTCTTTCGCTTGCGGGGAGCCATCTGGCGTGAAAATAGCGACGATGGCTGGTTCTGCCCTTGGGGAAGAAAGAATCTCCTCAAATCCAGCGCATTTGGGCTGGCAGAGATACTGTGCAGTGGCGTCCTTGATTCAGATCCAGAAACGCATCGCTCGCTCAATCAGTCGTGGGAAGACATCTTGTCAAGGTGAGTCTTGCCTGATAGCCAAACGATCATGTCATCTCGCTGACACACAGCCACGCTTGACTAGGTTTCCAACCAGAGAGATTCAGATGGTGGTGGTTCTTGTCCGCAATCGGAGTGGAGCTTCCAACAATGATACAATTGGTCATTCCTCCACACCAATTGCCCACCACCACCGTCAATCGGCTCAAGGTGATACCAAATGCCGTCAACCGACCATGGCCGGATTCCAACTTTTGCTGCATCTTGGTCTACAGCGTGTATTCATATTCGAGATGAGCAGCCGCGAGGGGGCCGGAAAAAATTGATAGTGATATCTGCGCTCCGTCCGGGCCATCTTCGGCGCCGAGACAGACCGAGCGAGCATCTCCATCATCAGCGAGCCGCTGGCGTGCGCCCAGGTCCGGCTGAGATCCGGGGATACACGCACGCGGAGATATGCGAGCAATCGATGGCCATCTGTGACTATCTGAGGCCATCTGCACTCGTCTGTATCGACGACCCTCCGAGGCGCTGCACAGGGCCATTCGTAGGCTACCCTCCAACCACTCGCAGACCAGCTGCTGGGTATCAGATTGCCGAGGGCATTCAGTTCCATCGAATAGATCGCACTCCATCGCGGCCAATCAACCCGCGATGTCATTCAGCCCAGTCGCCCTCGGTCCCTATCACTCTGCCCGGCCATATTGGCGTCGGTTCACCGTCATATCTCTGTTTGCGGCAATGCGGGAACGGATGGCCTGGCTTGCCAAACCCTTTTCTCTTCAAGGCGGCCCTGTCCAGATCGTCCGCTTGAGCCCCGTTCTCTCACACCGCCAGTGCCGGGCGTCTTGTCCTCTGGACGCACCCGCGCTGCTCGCTCGGGGCTGCTTGGGCCTCCGCAGTCTCCGTCGCTGTTCTCCGTCGTCGTTCTCCGTCGTCGTTCTCCGTCGCGGGCCTGACTGGGCCGTTTGGTGGTCTTGAGCTTGGCCACCGATCGACAGGGTGCGCGAGACGGCTAGGAACGAGCGGCATGGGCCGGGCTTGGATTGTGCATGTCGTCTCAACAGCTTTTCACCGCATAGGCGGTAGATATGACCGATTGAGATGCTGCATATTCATGGAGGCGCCAAAGGCAATCTGGATCCGCCATTGCCTCATGTCCAGATCCACACCCAGATCCACAACCAGATCCACAGCCAGATCCACAGCCAGATCTTGACAAGCACCCCGGGCTACCTCCCTGGATGTAACTATCGTCGCCACCGCCGTGCACCGACGAGCTGGTGCTGGTTTGTCTGCGAACCCTCTCTCCGGATGGATTGGCCAGCGATCGCTTGCTGCCCCGTGTGACCTCCCAACATCAGCCGGACGTCCTTCCCGTGTTCTCCGGCCTCCAAGCACATCAACAATCCGGTCTGCGCCCTCCTCCGGGCAGCCTCTGCCTCTGCCTCGCTCTCTTCCGCAATGCCCAGCTCCCCAACTCGGCCCTCTGGTTACGGCTCAACGCCGTTGTCTCCTCACCGAACATCCGCATCTGCTCCGTCGCTGTTTCGGCGGCTGCTGGCGCCCTTCCGCATCCGAGCCAGCCCTCCTTCCCACGACCGGCCTCACGAACGACAGCCCCTGATTCCATCCCAGCACGTCCATGCGCTGCGTGAGTCCTGGAAGGGCCTCAAGAGCCTTCTCAAGTTCATTGGCCCCGGCTATATGGTGGCCATTGGCTATCTCGATCCCGGGAACTGGGCCACCGATCTGGCTGGTGAGTCACTGCCTGTCTATGCGCTTTCGAACCCAGATCCCGATTTCGGCATCGCCAGATCCGCATTCGCCTGGGGGTCTTTGCGCCGCTGCCTCCCAAACCGTCCGTTGCCATGTCGATGCCGCATGGCACCGACACCCGGATCCAGAGAGCGGCTGCTCCAGCGGTGACCAGGTTCCGATCGAGGGAGCTGCCGTCCTTCTCAATGCACAGATGAGCATCGGCTCCAACTGCTTTCGTTGGCGACTTGCCGTATCCTCTTGCTCTAACACCCCGCTCCATCTCGTCTTGGCTCTGCTGGCCACGACTCTACGACGACGACCTCCCCCCAGCCGGGTCACAGTTCAACTATTCGCTGCTCATCGTCATCCTGGTGTCCAACTTTATGGCGGTCTTGCTGCAGTCTCTCTGCATCCGGCTCGGCGTCGTTACCGGAATGGATCTGGCGTCGGCCTGTCGCAAGCGCTTCTCCTTCCCAGTCACGCTGTTCTTTTACATCCTCTGCGAGCTCGCCATCATGGCTTGCGATCTTGCCGAGGTCATTGGCTCGGCCATCGCCCTCAACATACTCTTCTCGATCCCACTACCTGTCGGCATCCTGATCACCGCCCTCGACGTCCTCGTGATTCTGGCTGCATGGAGAACCGAGCATATGCAGTGGTTCGAAGCCGCCATTATCGTGCTGGTGGCGGCTGTTGCCGGGTGCTTTGGCTACCTCGTCGCCCTGAGCCGCCCGGACTGGGGTCTCGTTGCAGCCGGATTCATGCCCTCCTGGGAAATCTGGACCAAGCCAGGATCGCTGTACGTCGCCATGGGCATTCTCGGAGCTACTGTAAGCGTCAATAGAGCATCAATCGAGCATCAATCGAGCGTCCTCTATCCAGCACCACCCATCCAGCGACTACCGTCGCAATTGGTCCACGGCGGTGCTGTCCGCTCCGTCACGATGCATTCTAGCGCCCATCCACAAATGCACTAACCTACTCGTTTCGCCAGGTCATGCCGCACAACCTCTATCTCCATTCGCATCTGGTCCGCTACCGGTCGTCGAGAGACTCGGACGCTTTGGGCGAGATCCGTGAAGTCGAGGCCTCTCCCGAGCCTGACGAGCACACGGACGGAGACAAAGTCGGCCTGCAGCCTCTGTGCCGTGCTGCCATCATTCGCAAGACCCTGCATCTCACCAACATCGACTCGACCGTGGCCCTGACCTTTGCCCTCGCCATCAATGCCTCGATCTTGATTGTGTCGGCTGCATCCTTCTACAAGAACAACGAAAAGGACGTTGCCGATCTCCAGGACGCCTTCCACCTCATCACCAAGTTCCTGGGTCCTGTCGCCGGGACGGCGTTTGGCGTTGCGCTGCTGATCTCTGGGCAAAGCTCCACCATAACCGGGACCATGACCGGCCAGATCATCATGGAGGGCTTTCTCGGGTCGCACTTCCGGGTCTCGCCCTGGGCCCGTCGACTGATTACCCGGCTCCTTGCCATTGTCCCGGCCATGGTCGTAACCCTGTGGAAGGGCTCGGCCGGCATCAACCAGCTGCTGATCGCCAGCCAGGTGGTGCTCAGTCTCCAACTGCCGTTTGCCGTCTGGCCCCTGGTCGTCTTTACCAACAGCAAATCGATGATGCGGGTGCAGTATAGCTCTGGTAGGTTTCATCGCTGCGTCTTTGTGACTCCTCCGTCCGCTTGAGTCCAAGTTGCCAGCACCCAAGCGATGTCGTTCGTCAACTGAATGGCGCTATTCGAATGCGTGACCGTTTGATTTGAGACGGGTGCTCGTTGTTACGCACCCTGGATTGTCATCGGCCAAGCACTGACTCTGTGCTGCTTTTGCCGACCTGCCTTTGCAGATGACGGCGACGTCGAGACAGCCGTCGCCGAAGAAAGCTTCCAGAACTCGCCACTGATGTCGGTGGCGTCGATTGCCATTGCCGTGATCATCACCGCCCTCAACCTCGGGCTTATCTACCAAGTCTTTTCGGGCAACGCGGCCGGGACGTCCTCCGGCCAAGCATTCGCTTGATCCCGGACCATTGCTTCCTGACGCTTCCTCCGGCCCACGATGCCTGTCGTCAACCCGATAACCAGTCTTCGAGTTCTTTGTTTTTTGGATCGTGAGAAGATGGAAGAGCGATGTGCGAGGACGATGCCCATGGCTTCTTGATCTGAATACACATGCTGACCGGATCATACTGGCAGCCGTAAACTCTCGAGACGTGGGGCCGCGCATTCTGGCCATCGAAAGGGGACTGAGATTGTATTGGCCACTTGATGTCGTGCACATCCATCAACACCTGATCTTGAATTGTTGGACTGTGTCGTCTTGTTCTGTTCATAGCTCACTTGTCATGATTCGCCCTGTCATGGCTCTGTCCCTGCGTTGCTGTTCGAAAGTGCATACGAGCTGCTCTCAGAGCCACTCGAGCGAACGTGGCACATTGCACTGGGTGGGTTTCGACTGTTTTCATCAGCGACGCACTCATTCGACAGCGAGGGCCGGAGCCAAACCCAACAGCCGTCGGCGTTTGTCATAAACCACATCAGCGAGAATGTGCTCAGCACGCTTTACAGCGTTTCCAAAATGAAATGGGACACCTGCCCACAACCCATTGTCAGCGTAGTATGCGATGGCATGCGTCTAGCTATGCCATACGAAATATAACATATCACTTTGGCAGCCTCCGAGTGAACACCACCGGTCGCAGTGCAGCGATGCGGAAATCGAGGGTGCTGTGTTTGGCCATGATTGCAATGAGTGGATCTGTGTATTCAGGTCACAGCAAAAACCACTGCCATGGCTCAACGGGGTGTCCCATTTCATTTTGGAAACGCTGTACTTGATCACCAACAAGTGCTTCGCCGTCTGGATGCCCCGCTCGTCCCTCCTGTCCATCTGTCCCTGAACCGGCCACCGACTCCCGCCCGAAAGTCTGGCTGGCCCAAGCGCTGAAATCGAGCGCACCAACCTGTCGTGCCGATCCGTGCTCTAAGTTCTGATTCTCCAGATCCACCCCTGCCGATCTCGCACCCAGTCCACCCCCGGCAACCCAACTTCACCACATCGCCGCCACACTCCATCTATGAACAGCTCTCAATACAAGGGGACGCAAACGCAGGAACAGGAGCCCCTTTCGCAAATACCGCAGGAGCCCTCCTGGGGCCGCCTCGTTCCTTTCAGCTCTGAATATGGTCAGACTGGTCTTCTGCTGCAGATGGACGAATGAGTGGGGGGGGGGCGATCGATGGATAGTTTGACGGACTGACATACGAACGCACCGGCGGACGAATACCTGCTGATCCCCCCCCCAACTCGTCCAAGCCCTCTCCTGTCGTCTGCCATTCATCCATGCTGACGATCGGGGGGCCCGCTCCATCCTTCTTGCGCCGTCTTTGTGATAGATATTCTGAACTTGCACCCCGATCAAGACAGCTACACCATCGGTCGCCATCTGCGCTGCGATTATCGTCTGACCGAGCCGGTTATCTCTGGCGAGGTAGGTGATGCCGACCAGCTCGGCACTGGAGCCCAATCCCTGTGCTCCCTGCTGTGGTGCCAGCTCTTCGGGCCAGGCAAGGCGACAAACGACGGCATACTCGCCCAACGAGGCCCTATGGCTGGGGATCTCTACAGCAGCCGATGGCGGCTCAGGACTGGTCTCAAGATCCTCTGAACCTGCGATTTGGATCGCTACGCTGACACCTCTATTTCTATGTGGATCTGTCCAGCATGCACGGATCTTCAAGGTAAGCGACACGGCGACGGCGACGGCGACAACGACAACGACAACGATGATGATACGGCGCTCGGCGACTAGGAGTCTCTGTCCAGCGGACAGATATCCAGTTGCGTGTGTTGCTGAGGCTGAGGCACAGGCATTAGGATGATACTGTGCGTCCTCACAGCCCTGGAACTTGCCATTCAATCACATTCCAAGTTGCACGATGACAGCTACGACGACGATGCCACCATCATGATCGAGGATCTGTCTACAAACGGCACGGTATGTTCTTGCCCTTCTGCTCGCGAAAGCATCGCCAATGCCATGTATATCAACGTATCCGCTGATGCAGATTGCTCAATCATCCCGCCTGCTCTTCTTTCATGGCTCCTCACCATCCTCGACAGTTCATCAACGACAAGAAGCTGGGACGAGGTGCCGACTCTGTTGCAGAGATGAGAGAGACCGGAGCCTGCCTTTCATTTACCTCGGAGAGAACGAGGGGGGGGGTGACGCCAACTGCATCGTCCGAGGAAAGACTAATCGCAATTGTGGTGTCGATCTTGTCTTCGCAGGCGTCCGGACCATCCTGATCCATGGCGACGAGATATCGTTCGAGCTGCGAAACCAGAACGGGAAGAAGAAGGCTTTGAGTAAGGTTATCAACCAATGTGTCTGACCACCTGCATGGGCATTTGCATCAGATGGCCGGCACTAGCTTGCCCGAGGCGCCCAGAGCCAAGAAACTGAATCCAAAGCCTACAATCTTCTGCACCAAAGCATTCTTATTTCAAACCCAGCGCAAGGACGCACCCGGGAACTATGTAGCGTATCCGATTCCTCGTTGGTCTCCCCGGCTATGGCAGCATCACTTCTGGATGTTGCCCTCCATATCGCCGACTTGCCAAGAAATGCTGTCCCTGGCTTGAGGCTCTACTCTCTGCTCCAGAATACTTAGATCAAAGTCGGCCTTCTCCTCTACAATCCAGAGCTGCTCACCGTTCTTTGACAAGTATGAATTGCGCCACGAACTCGGCAGGTACGGACATCCCCTCAGCGCTCGTTTGGTACCAGTTGATTTCTTGAAGATATTGTGCAAGCCTCTGGCAGATGGATGTACATCGTCATGCTGACATAGACTCGGCGGCTGTGAATATGTGTCCAGAGGCGCGTTCTCCATCGTATGGATGGCAATCGACAAGTCCAGCGGCGAGCGTCGAGCAGCAAAGGTCATTGGTAAGCTAATTATAAGACGAGTAAGCTCCTCTGCCGACACGCACGCAGCGCCGTTGCATCCGATGAATCGAATCTGGAGGGCGTGCACACTCGTGGCCTCTGGAAGTTGCTGATCATGCCATTCCTTTGGCTTGCGTCAATCGCGCTGCACAGAAACCAGTCGCTTCGTATCGAATCCGACCGTGATGGCGTCGCTTGTCGGAGAGGTATTTTTCCGGAACGATCACGTACATGCACCATATGTCACAATACCTCGTTGTTGGAAGCCCGCGTCGTTGACTCCAACGACATCTTATCGTTGCGTTGGCAGGTTGAAGTTCTCAGGACCATGGATCATGTACGAGCCGTGTTCTGCACTCTGCCATCATGTTTCTCGCTTACTTGCTTGTCTGTTGCCATCTCGTCCTCTTGACCAACGCCAAGCCGCTTTTTGGCCGTGATACTTGCTCCTTATACTCTTCACCTCCCCTCCCTCCCTCCCCCAAAAAATGTAGCCTAATATTGTCAAGTTCATCGAGAGTTTCAACAGCGAAGAGACCATGTTTATTGTGATGGAGCTGGTGTCCGGCGGCGAGCTGCACAGCTACGTTACCAAGCGCCACGGGCTCGAGGAATACGAAGCGCAGTACTTTTTCATACAGATGGTACGGGCTCTGCCGAGCGACTGTCGCGACCGTCCAGTAGCCTTATAATTGCAAGCCACGATCGACTAACTGAGCCGCGTAACACCTTTACCTTTCTTCGGATCTCTCCATGGGAATACATGAATGCATGAATGTGTGGGCGATGCCTTGGTAGATTGAGATTCTAAAGGTAAGACTCGCATGATCAGAGCTTGGTGGACAAACTGGATTGAGCACATGTCATCGTCATACTCGGATGTGCATCCAAATTGAGAGTGGGTATTGAAAGTTGAATCGAATATCACACTGATGCTTCGCTGGCTGGCTCGCGGGGGAGGCAGTATTTAAAATGTCATCGGATTGTCCACCGCGACCTGAAGCCCGACAACATCCTGATCACAAACTCTCGGATTCTCAAACTGGTGGACTTTGGGTACGTGTGTCCTGGTTATTTTTCACTGAAACGCATCAGGGAGTCTATACGCAGTGCCCCCCCCCCAGCATTGCGGCTAACGTCACTGCGGACGGTCTTCCCCGGGTTCGCCAGTCTTGCCAAGCCCCTCGGCACGCAGATGCTTCAAACCATGTGTGGTATGTATGTGCATAGGATGTCGAGCTCCTACACACTGCCGGTGGATGAACCAATGGCTGCATCGATGGACGTCGATCACAGCCAGTTTGTAACAGCTGATGCATTTTCTCTGGTGTATTCAAGGCACGCCAATGTATATTGCGCCGGAAGTGCTCAACAGCCAAACATATGACGAGAGGGCAGACTATTACAGTATCGGTGTTATATTATACTTTATGATTTCAGGTATATCGAGCTTCGCTTTCATTCATTCGTTCGTGATTCACGGCCACTGACCGATGTGTTCCGATTGCAACGCAGCCAAGACGCCATTCGAAGAGAAGTCTCTTGGTGAAGTCCTTTCCGAAATCGAGCGCTGTGACCTGGAGTTCTCGGGTCCGCCGTGGGACAAGAGTCCACCAGATCGTAAGTGAGATGCCGTGGATGCGCTCTACTTGACAGAGTCAGATCTATTGCAGAGGTGCCGGTCGTTTCTGCCGCTGCGGCTACTGTTGATGATAAAGCGGTCGTGATCTGCGAGTGATCGCGCGGCTCTGGTGTTCTCGCCCTATGAGAAACGCGGTCTGAAATGTCGTATCTTTCCACACTCGTATATTGGGTTGCAGTTCGCGACCTCATTACGAACCTTGTCCAGCGCGATCCGAACAAGAGACTGACCCTCGAAGAGTTCTCGAAGCATGCCTGGGTAACAAAGGTAGTTCGCTGCGCTGTCGAGTTGATTGTGCGATCCAGTAAATGTGGATCGATGAAAAGAAGACGCTCGAAGGGACTGCACTCGGGTGGGGTGCCATGTGCGCAATGCGCTGTGACGATGGCAGCTCAAGCAACCAAGGTGGTACTTTATTTGGCGTACTGATCCAAGCCGCTCTTGCTCGACCAACAAAGTCTATAAACGCACCGGCCCTATCCCGAGAAGGAACAGGTAAGTCGCCTGAGTCAATCCGAACTTGGTTCTGTCAATCGCAAGCCCATACCGGTATGGACTTGCGAGTCGGCTGGTCCGCGTGCTAAATATTCAACCTCATCATCGGAACGTTTGTTTTGGCGATGTAGCTGGTGAGCACCCTCTGCCCACCGGATTATCCGACGCCATAGCCGAGATATCATCAGACTCTGTGGTCAAAGCAACGGTGTCGGCGGCGGTGGCGACGCCAACAACAGCAGCAACAACAACAGCAACAACAACAGCAACAACAACAGCAACAACAACAGCAACAACAACAGCAACAACAACAGCAACAGCTACAGCGGCGGCGGCAGTAGTAGTGGCGGCAGCAGCGGTTGCCTCGGCTTCGGATGTGGTCAAGACTCCTTCGGCCGCCTGGGGTGTCTTTCGGCCCGTGGGCAGCAGTGTATATCCAATCTACTTTTCAAAAAAGTCGCTCCTGATCGGGCGCCACGAAGGTATATGCTCGTTCCCTCAGCCTCTCATGAACGGAGCTATAGCGCACGCTCCAACGCCGCAGATATGCGTCACGACTCGCTATTTGATGTATCTGTTGCTGACTCTATCTCGCCTCACTACTCTCTCGGCCAATGGTTCGGGTGCGATTCAGCCTCGGATGTTGTGCTCAAGGATCAGCGTGTATCATGTACGGGTGTCGCTCGGCATCACTGCGCTGGTACTTGATGCTGGCGCCGATTCAGCCAAACGATTCTCTGAATGACACGTATGATCTAACCCGACATCTCTTGATATCACCACGCACCGCAGCGTCGCATTGTCAAATCTTCAACAACAATGATAAAATAATTCTCAAGGACAATTCATCCAACGGCGTTCGTGTCAATAGAGTGCTGGTTGGAAAGGGGAAAGAATGCGTCCTGATACATGGGTGAGTCGTCCAAAGTTCATATTCAGCCAACTCAGCTACTGTCGTGGATGAAGGCTCTTGCGGCTCGCCAAGTGCCTTCAGAGCGAGCCCTGTGGTACTAACAGCCTCTTCGATCCTGTGTGCCAGAGCTCGAGTGTCGCTTGTTCCAGCCGGCGTGGTCAGAGGTACAATACCGATGCCGCTGCTCCATCGCGATCTCGCCAGAAGTCGGCTCGTCATGGGCCGCTGTACTCACGGATGGCTGTGTGGTGGCATCGCTGAATGACAATGCCTCTATTATTTTTGTGCCTCATGCAGACGGCCAGCCAGACGTAGTCTTTGATTACATTTTTGAACGCATTGGCTCAAAACGCAAGATGTCAGCATCGGACCCGCAATCCCTTCGAGAAATAGGTCCGGTATGTACAAGCCCAAACACGCGATATGAGCGCACAAGCCACGACCTGTATTGCCAATGTGGTGTCTGGTCCGTGTGGCTCTGATACGATTTGCCTTCTGCCCGCAGAAACGAAGGGTCATGGCTTGGCGACTGTTGCCGCTCAACGACAACACAGCGAGCTGCAGCCTTACCAGTAATAAGGTCACATCGTTGGGCCGGCATCCAGCAAGCGACATTCGGGTCGGTGAGCTCGTTCTCTCGGCCACGCACTGCAAGTTTTATGTCGACGACTGCACCCCACCAACGCTGAGGATTCAGGACTTGAGGTGAGGCTCTCCGAGCCACTCGCCGTGGGCTAGCTCGACAATGCTGTGGTTATAAACCCCGAGCGCGTGCAGTTGGATTCAGCCACCCTCTGACCACACATGATAACGGCTTCCCAACGGCTTCCCAATGGACATGCAGCTCGAATGGCACATGGGTGAATGAAAAACGGCTTGTCAAAGGGGAGAAAAGTAATCTCGCCGATGGGGATCGCATTGTGCTATCAAGAGGCAGCGATAAGCGTAAGTGGGACTGCAGCCAACTGATCGTCTCCGAGTTGAGATGGGGCGTGTGACAGTGCAGTTCATGTTTGGCTCATCCCAACTCTTGTTGACCGGATATCAAATTCACAGTGATCGGATACGATGTCGAGTACGCATAGGGCCCCCTTTCTTTGAAGCAGTCTCGGGTGAGCTCTCCGTCTAGCAAGGTAGCAAGGCCAAGGTTCCGGGAAGCTTTGAGGACCGCTGGAGAGTCCCGGTCGACAAAGCTCCCCTCCATCGTTCGCTCCCCTCCATCGTTTCGCTCCCACGTATACCAATCCCGCTGGTCTGGAAGCCTGGTGTTCTCCCATCACATTGCAGCCTCAATAAATAGCGCCTGTATTGTCGGTGTAGTATACACGGAAGAGTTCCGGTCTGAGGCAGTCGGGTTGCTGGCCAGAGTGTCAGTCAATGTAGCCTGGCGGTCGGGGGAGAGCGCTGAAGTAAGCACCGCAAGTAGTGGAGATGAGAGAGGGCAGGGATGTGTCCACTCACAATGCAAAACGTGGAATGGGTGGGAGAAGAGTAGCTGTGATGCTTCGAGCGGGAGCGTAGATCGGAGCACAGCATCAGGAGAAGGAGTCGTGGTTTCTAATTACGGCCAAAGACTAGATATGCGGGGGTTTCCAAGAAGGCAGCGGCCACTTGATGGAAGCGGACGGGGGGATTGGCCGCGCGCCAAACAGACCATTGATAGCCCATGGTGATCTGATAACCATGTACATCACAAGAGCGTCAACGATTGCGCGGACTGGAGTCAGCACAGGCACGGGTGCTTCTCCAGCCCAACCGGGGCATTATGATGTTATGATGGCCGAATATATCCAAAGGCGCAGCATGAGCATCGTGGCGATCAGGCAACGAGCATGCAGTTTTCGAGTCCGCAGCTGTAGCCCATCAACGACTCAGTTCTGGCTGATATCTGCCTGATCAGCTCCTTAATTCACACACTCCTACAGCGTCACGTACTCACAATTGGTGCATCCTTCGTCGGTATGCCACGACACTCACCGCCAGATATTGGCAAGGCTTGGGCGCATCACTGCTTTGGCTGGGCATTCTCTTGCAGCTCGAGAAGTTGCCGAAGTCGCTGCAGCTCTGAGCCAGAGAACTCAAAAACGTACTTTCCGTTTTGTTCATTTTGCTTGATAAAGTGAGAGTCGCTGAGAAGATCCAGTCCAGAACTTGATGCTTTGTCGGTAGGGTATTCGTGGGCGACCCAGAGAGACGCCACCGAAGATTCGCGAGGCCCCACGGTGTCTCCGGGAACTTGGCGGGACTGATCGGCTACGACCAAATGTCCGTCCTCGCAGTCATTGGCTTCGGGCTGGTCATGATCTTGGTCTTGGCGCTGCTCAGCATCATCGAGCAACATTGGCTCGTCCTTGAAGGAGCTCGACGGTGGCAAACCTGCTTGATGTGCTTGGGAATCTTCGCGCGACACATGTGAGGGCCCGTTGACCGCACCGATCAATGATCGCTGAATATGTGGTGGCGGCGGAGGCGGCCGCAGCCGGCTCCAATCGGGTTCTTCGCCCTCTCGTTGAATGACGCCGCGGGAGGCTTTGTACATTTCCACAACAGTCTGCTGATAGAGCTCCGTTTCGATTTCATGCGTCAAGCTGTGCAGAGATGCCAGAAACTACCGGGCGACGATGTCAGTCCAACATTTTGCCGTAGCCCCATGTATATCTCGCTCATCATTGTCACTCGCTTCAAATGCCTCCTGAGCATCCATGCCTCGTCCCGTTTATCCGCGACGGGCTATACACTCTACTCAGGCCAAGATTGGTCGTGCATCCCATCAAGAAGATCCAAAAAGACAATTACAACAGGGAGCCTCGATGTGGGACTATCTGCCTCCATCTCTCGACTATCGAACTCCCTTACCTCGGCAAGGTGAATGGGCGAGCGCAACGACGAGTCTGCTGAGCCGCTGCTGCTAGTGGCCTGCTCAACTAAATATCGATCAAAGGACTCGCCTCGCTGCACAAGACCAGCTGCCGTAGCGAGCAGATCGAGGTGGTGATGCATCGGGTGTCTTTCGTGTCTGTCCAGGACGCCTTCGTAAAGTGCCCGCAAGCGCTTGATCCACAGCATATCCAGCGGCGACTCCAGAGGCCCCGGCGGTCGCACACCTGCTTTGAGACGATAACGCTTGCCAGTAGCAGGGTCTGTGAACTTTTCTGGAATTGACAAGAGCGCCGAGTCTCCTCGCTTGGTGCTGCGAGCCTTTCCTAATGCACGCGAGGCAGCCTGATTTTGTTTCAAGACGCGATGAATAAAGTCGTCTTTGATCCGTCTCTCGGAGATGCGACAGGCAACTCCATCTAGATTGACAATCTTGGCTCGCTCGCCGGCATTCTCTGCCTTATGCGGCGACGATGGCGGCCCTGTGCTGTTGGGGATTTGAGCTGGCGGTCGGCTGGGTCGGGAAACCGGGGCGGCCTCTTCATGAACAATCTCGATATGACCGTCGTTGACGCTGTTGGTGGTAACCCAAGGCAGAGTCGTGCCCCGGTGTGTCGGCTGGGTTTCTCTAGAGCGATCATTTGATGTGGACCGGTTTGAGCTTGCTTCAGATGGACCATAGGGCGATCCGGGGCTCATCGGCCGGGAGCGGTTGAATGGACGGGACTCATTTCGTTGGCCAGAACCGTCGTGGCCATAGTCACCATTATCGTCAAGGGCGCGCCCGGACCGTCCGTCCGCCCGTAAGAGCATCGTAGAGCATTCCGTATCCCTCTTCTGGAGAGTCGACAACGTCGATGATCCGCCAGCCGCGTCCGATCCTCTTCCTGGGCAGTAGCCAATCGGCGTGGCAAGGACACATCCACAATTTGCGGATGAACAGCGTGCCTGTTGCCGGCTCAACAAGATCGAGATCGGTGCGATAGTGCGGGCCCTCGTCATCGTCCGAGACTTCGGCGCTGGTGTTTTCGCGCAGCGGCTGGGATTTATCCAGCACTGCAGCGGACGCTCGAGTGAGTCGCTGCTCAACCTTGAGCACCTTGGATCGCTGGTTGGTATCTTCAACTGGATCTTTGCCCCACATCTTCTCGCGAAAATATCGAGCATAGTCTACATCGATGCTCTCACCAGGATCTGTTGGCTTCATAGCGAGGGGAATATCAAGGCAATCCAAATGCCACCACAGGTCGCAGTAGTCGCACTTGATCATCTCGCTCCTCTGCTGCTGGATGCGGATGGACTTGGTGTTGTGTTCGTCTGCTGTACCTTGGGGATGTGGCTGAGGTATCAGGCTCGAGTTCAAAAAGTTGAGCTGCGAAGGGCTGACGCAGGTCTGGCCACACTTATAGCATTTCTCGACCGGGACCCTAGAATCCTCTTCACCGTCATCAGTGTGCCACCGGTTCTTGCGCCCAAAATAGTTTCGTGCGCGGGGCTTGGTGATGGTCTGCTGCGACTGAGTGATGGCCCCGTCCGGCTCGTAAACAGTAACCCAGTTGCGGTTCCCGCGGGTTTCGGTCAGCTTGATATATACGCTCCGGGTATCGATGTAGCATCGCGTTGTAGGGTGGGTCATGACGTTTTTGAACTCGGAGCGGATATCGATGGGCAGTTCGAAGGATCGTGGATTCATGGACTCCAAGTTCTGAATCAGCAGCGAGAAAATCTCGCTCGGAGTTTCGGCCGGTGCGGACGAAATCAAAGATTCTCTGCCAAATGCAGGCTCTGGACTTGACAGGCTCGAGCGACCTCGTTTGCCGGCACGGATGGATGTGCTTGGCTCGGATGTCCGCTGTTGGAAAACGGAGATAAAAGAGCATTGTGGGAGGCGTTAGTGTAGCCAGCACCATATTCTGACCGATTGGCCCTGTGGCGAACTTGGAATTTTGGCTGTCATGCACGCCCGCGGTGCTCGAATGGACATCCATCACGATCGGCGATTCTCTGATTGTGCGATGCACTTCGCGACATCCAACAAAAGGGATAGGATCATACATGATATAGCAAAGCCTTACCGATTTAGAGCGACATACTTTGCACTGCCAAAATCCCTCCACATCCTCGTCCGAGCCGTATCCCTCTTCAGTACAGCTGTGGTGAAAGACGCGCGGACAGGTGTCGCAACAGAGGAGTCTGCCTGAACCAAAGCACGCCGAGCAATGATCTTCATTTTGAATTACAGGCTGAGGGTCGCGTGAAATTAGTATTGGGATGTAGTCCAGAAGAAAGAGATATGTTAGGGCTCGGGATCGGACGGCTGCATCAATTTATGGTGCGACTGTATGGTGAGGACGGTATGAAAACGTGCCGGCTCCCGTGATGTGGGTTTGGCGAGTTGACTCTTGGGACAAGGGCCATCAAGAACAACCCTAACTGCGACAGCCTGCGCCAACGATGCGGCTATCGTGGGAGGTACGGACTATCAAAGCCACTCAAGTCGACAGGACTGCTACTCACCCTCTCGGCGGACTGTATCTTGTGAGTAGCTCGAACAGGCGAGCCAGCGCGGAATCCGCCTGCTGCAGGAGGATTCCAATTCCGACGTGGCCGGTATAGACCCTCGGAGACATCGTCCATACTGCTAATTCTTCGACGGATGAGATCAAGATCCTCGTTCAATTCCGGATCGGGAGTCTTGTTATCTCGGAAGGGTTCAGGCAGCGGCGTGACAGCGGGCCCAGTCTTGCGCTTAGGCTTTTCAACCTGGACACCTGCACGGAGACAGTCACAAATGCGGTGAGCGGATCGCAATACGATGAGAAAGCACACTACAAATACTAGGAGAGCAGGCGTAAAGGAGAATCTCGGCCATCCACAAAGTCTTCTCGAACGAGCACAAACCTCGCCATCTGCCCCTGCGCTTGTCTGACGCGGCCCCTGCGACGTTTGTGTTTTGGTCTGGGAGCATTCGATCATGGAGAGAGAGAGAGGAGAGGGCAGCAAGCGAGCAAAATGCAGGGGAATCGCGTAAGCAGTCAAGCAGCAGGCGGGACAGGGCTTGGTCGATGGCGTGTCAGCCGCACTGCAAACGATCGCCACCTGCATCAGGAGCGGCAGGGTCGCTCGCGTTCTCCGGTGAGGCAGGGCTCAAGAGAGCCCGAGACGGCGGCGGCTTGGTCGAGTTTTCCTTGTTGGTTGTTAGTGCATGTTGGGCAATCGAGAGATTGTCGCTGGCACTTGTGCCAATCTGCCCGCCATCCTCCCGACCAGATCCACGTTTGGTGTCCTGGGGCATATCGGAGAGATAGATTTTGACGCGAGGGGCAGCTGGATTGGGGGCGTAGTTGAGCTCGTGCACCATTTCGCTGGCGCCATCGGTGACGGCGGCGTGGTTGGGGCTGATCTCGGATTGTGCCCAGGGAGCAGAAATATGTCGCCGGGGGGTTCCGGTGTGAGGCGGGCCGAGCAGCGTAACAGTCAAGTCCGGATCGTCCATAGCGTGGCTGGTCGGCAGCGAGGATTTGGCGGTGGCGAGGGGGACCAGGTCGGAGGCCAACACGTTTTTCGAGGGGCGCCGGCTGGCGAACAGCGGGGCGGCGGCCTCGGCCGACGCAAAGCCGAAGGCCTGCGAGCCGTGGGAGGATGAGCTCGAGGAGCTTCCGATCGAAGACAACGACGAGTCGCTGTCGTATCCATCCAGGTACTCGACATCCGAGACCGAGACAAGAAGATACGGGGCTGGAGCCGAGACGATCTGTTGACTCGCCGAGGACAGACTTTGTTCTTGTGACCAGACCGAGGCTGGACCTGAGTCCAAGCACAGCGTTGGGCCTTTTGCATATTCTCCGAAGCCGTGGCTACCCATGCCTTTGAGCGCCCGAGTGTTGGAGACGATGCTGGACATGGATGGTTTGATGGATGGAGCGAGATCTGTGCTGGCGGAACAAGCGATCGGGTGGAAGAGTGAGGGTGGCGGCTTGGGTCGAGCAGCCGGCGACAACACGACCACGGGCTTAGAGGCCACTTCAAGGGCGCCGAAGCTGATCAGAAGATGGATCAAGGCCGTATAAGATAATGAATAGAATACCGGAGCCAGATCCAGGGACAGGCTTATCCTTGTTGATTCAGCCAGCGGGACTGAGTGATGAAACAGGACACAATTAACATCGGTGACAAATCGGACATGCTTCGGCCAGCAGGGCCTCCAGAGCAATGCCAGTGAATATGGCCATCAAAGCCCCGATAATGGCACCAAACATAATTATGGCGACTGTTCTGCTCAGACTACCGGCCCCGGGTAGTATGTGCTCGTCCAGCTCTTTGAGGAACCCCAAAGTGACCGACAGAAGATCGGCGGTGCTTACCCAAGTCGGTGTGTTGGTGCCCTGTTTCGGCTATTGGCCTTGAAATGTTTTGGAGAAATATACGACCGTATCCAGGGCTTGTAACTCAAATCTCTAGAGTGACCAAAAATACAAAGATATTAGTCCCGACAAGAGGCTGGTTTCACGGGGCAGCTTGATGCTCTTGGAGGGTCGGCCGGGCCCCAATGAGCCAGAACACTGGTATCGCATCGTGGGTCGCCAACGCTTGATCTATGATGTCCATGGTTGATCACGGCCCCACGAATGAGGCTTTTGTATTTTGTTGGTCGTGTTTCCAGCCGGCTTGGGCGAATCGACAAGCGGTTGTCCGGAGCACGCTGCCACCAATGGCTGTCGGATCCCGGCCAGCGAAACGGATGATCGGTTACCTCGGATCGATGGAATTACGATTCGATACGGTACGAATATAGATTTGGGACTGGAGTCGTCAAAGGGCCGTTGTGCGCACAATGTCGAGGTGGTGACAGCGAGAGACGAAGGCTTGAGGGACAGCGACGAGTTTGGGGGCTGCAGGTTGATAGCCGCGATGATAGAGGTTCTCGACGCTGGTCGACAGCGCCTGCAGCTTGGGCAGGGCAAGGAGACGTCGGCCGAGGGAGCGCTTGTGCAGGAGGCTCACCGAGACAGGGACGTGGCAGGACCGGGACTGACAGGGAGAGGTGGTGTCGAACACGCTGGTGGATGCAAGTCCAAGGGCGCGAGGACGGCTCATTGACAATGTCGGGAGTCCCACAAACGATGTGGGCCGGACAGCCGCCAGCCACGTGTTGTGCTGCGCACAAACCACACACGTGTCCGATGTGCTGCGCGCGGCTGAGTTCGAATTGGTGTATTGGCAGAGTTCAAAGCAATAGCAGCGATGGCAAAAAGCAGTGACGGCAGAAAAAAAAAAGGAGCGAGGAGAGAAAGTGAAGAAGCGACGTATATGATACGGAGATCGGCCTGGAGCCGTGAGGGTCAATGTTACCAAATAAATAAATAAACTGCGAAAGCTGAGCAAGCTGGTGCCCCGAATGATGTGAGGGCAGGTGATTGAGGGAGGAGCGGAAGGCGTTTGCAGCCAACAGCGCCGTGAACAGAAGAGCGACAGCAGAAAAATAGAGGGAGGGGGAGCAGAAACAATCCTTGGAGAGACTGGCTGGCTGGTTGGTTGGTTGGTTGGTTGGTTGGTTGGTTGGTTGGTTGGTTGGTTGGTTGGTTGGTTGGTTGGTTGGTTGGTTGGTTGGTTGGTTGGTTGGTTGGTTGGTTGGTTGGTTGGTTGGTTGGTTGGTTGGTTGGTTGGTTGGTTGGGGAGCCGTCATCAGAGCTTGCATGGAGCGACGCTATTTCTTGGCGCTCTCGTTGATTTCCAGGATTGCCATCTTCATAATGTCCAGTACCCGACTGTCGCCATCCAACCGCATTTTCCGGCCACGATCCACGATTTTCTGAGCGAGCTGGTCGTCGGAGGTCAGAGTTGCAAGCGTTTGAATGTCAAAGCCGACCAGGCCCTTGAGAGAGGCATTCTTTGGCTGCTCCGGCGAAGGAAACTGACAGCTTCCATCGACGTGCACAGTATACTTGGAATGCGTGCGGTTGTACTCGCGCACGCTGTCGAAGCGAAAGATCATCGTGAACTCGGGACTCTTTGATCGACACACGACCGTCGCAGAGTCGGCCGAATCATCCAGGTCTGTATGCATTGCTGCCGAGTCCGGAAGCAGTTCATCGTTGTTGATGAGCTCGCTTTCGATGCCGTACTTTTCCCGACATTCGTTGAGCTCGTCGGTCAGGTCTAGTGAGGAGGCCATCGGCGAGGTTGCTGACGACTCTTCCTTGGGGGTGGACAGGTAGCTACCGTTGGCGAGATGGCTTAGCACGTCGCTGCCACTCGTCTCAAGCATCCGCTGTCGCACAGATCGATCGAGGCCCATAGATATGTCGCCGCGGTCAAACTCTTCTGCCGAGCGCTTTCCAAGGGCAATTCCAGCCAGCGAGTTGCTGGTGTCGCCATCCTGAGACAGATCCTCGCCTGGAAAATCGATGAACGAGTCAAAGTAGGCATCTGTTGCATCGTCGAGGTTCAAGTCTTCGGGCACGTCCGAAAGCAGACCCTGACCCGGACCGCTGCCAAAGATGTTTCCGATCTCATTGACAAGGGGTACACTTGACGACGAGTCCATGGGATCCATCAGCAGAATTGACGATGCTGCCAGTCCCGGGGTCGCTGTCGGGGGTGGCGTGAGCGCCGGGAACGGTACCGGGAGTGGACTGGCGGAGGCAAGCGAAGGCGTGGGCAGAACAGGGCCCGGAACTAACGAAGGTGTCCCACTAACCAGTGCAGGCGGGATGGGTGCGATGCGAGAAGCAAAGTCACTGATGGCCATAGAGGTACTATCTTGGTTCTTGGAGGCGTGCTCGGGTTTGACGACACGCTCGGGTTTGACGACAGGCTCGAGTTTGACGACAGGCTCGGGTTTGACCACAGGGCCCGATTCATCCGAAAGAACTCCGAGCGCCGAGGTAGTGCCCTGGTGTGCTAGCCTATCCTTCGTGGGCCTTGATTGGCGCTTGGTTTTGAGTACGGAGCTTTCGATCTTGGAGTTGACTGGGTTCTGTGTCGAGGTGTCGAGTAAGCCGTTCGACGGGGCCGGTACCGGCTGTGGAGGTGCACTAGTCGATTTGGACGATTCGGGTGCTGGAATTGGGGTTGGAATAGCCCTGCGTCGGATGGCTTGACTGACGCTGTGGACATGCTCATGGGCTTCCTTCTCCAGATCCGATTGCTGTCGCGTTTCGGGAGCCGGCGGAACTGCGTTGCTGCCGCCAAGCCTGTATTCGGTGATCAGCGGGTGTAGCTGAATAGGCATCACATTAACGGGCAGCCTGGCTTGAAGCCGCTGACGTTTGCACGCCTCAATGATGTAGTTGATTTCGGTGATCATGGCAAAGTAGCGCTGAAGCTCCTTAGAATCGATGTAAAATTTGTCTGGCAGGGCTTCATGCTGCACTTTCAAAATCGAAGCCTGACAAAGTGAGAGGATTAGAGACATACCGCTGTATAGCAAGGCGGCATAATATCAGTGGCCGACAGGGCTGCGGCAGAGTCCTTACGATATGTATGAGCATCGAAGAGTATTTGCCTTCCAAAGCGAGCTCTTTGACGGCAATCGTCATCGCCTGAATACTGGACAGCAGGCTGGAATACACTGTATTGAGCTGGAAGGTAGAAAACGAGTCAATAGTGACCAGTACTGGCGGAGCAATTCGACGAACAAGGACAGGAAGCACCTCAGCCCTGCGTTCTTGGAAGCAGCCATGGTCATACCCGAACCTGGACCAGCTGCGCCTCCTCAGCCGGTAGAATCTTCTCGGTGATCCGTGGTACTGCGGTCACAAAATTTAGGCAAAAGGAGGCTGTGTCAGTCACAGAGCTGCAGCCACGATGGCCGTCCAATCGCCCTTGTCGACACCGGCACCGGAAGTTTCATCGGCGCTCCCGTAATGGCCTATCATTGATCAAACAGGGAACCTTCCGGCGACGGCTGATCGGCTGCGATCCCATGGAAGAACACCCTTCCAATCTGCAGCGAACACGTGATTGGATATAAGAGAGCCATGCATACCTTGGCTGAATGTGCCGGGCGATGGCATCTGAGATGTGGACGCCTTGCCATGCCTTTGAAACTCCTCCTTGACGATGGGGTCCACATCGGTCAGCGCAGCCGGAGTCGGATTCGCAGCCGTGGTTACGGATGTGAGCAGTGTAGTGGGTAGCTGTGGCTGAGGCTGAGGTTGAGGCTGTTGTTGTGGCTGTGGCTGTGGCTGGGAAGGATCTGGCTGTATCCGGTTGAGGGTTACCAAATTCTGAGCTTGTAAACGGGCAAAGTATTGTTGCATTACTCGTTGCTGCATCGGATTGAGTGGAATCTTGCGTCTGTACAAATTGATAATTTCCTGGAGCTGTTGTTGCTGGGGCAACGACATCCCCAGGTTGACAAGCTGCGCCTTCATGCTCAAAGTAGCCTGATGATTGGCCAAGGAGGGTTGCGCCATGCCCGGAACTACAGTATCCGCAACAGGGGCCGGTACTGCCATCTTGGTTTGTCCCGGGAACAAATTTGGGTTGGGAAGACCAGAGGCCCGACCAGAGCCGGAGGCAGCATCGCTTTGAAGCCCAGAGGGGAGAGAGCTTGGAGGCAAACTAGACTGCCTCGAGCCTTGTGCCTGAGACATCAAACCTGGTGTGCCGGCAAGCGCGGCCGAACCAAGTGACGGGGAAGCCACCGACACCTGTGATTTTACGATGCTCGGGGACGCGCGCGGCTGAGTGGTAGGTGCCATGCTTTGGGAATAGATAGCCTGGGGAAGCTCTGGCGTGGACTCGGATTGGAAGGGCTGGGGTGTGGGTGACGGGACCACACCGGGTAGGGATATGGAGCTGGAGGGTTGTACCAGAGGCTGAGTGGTTTGGACTTGTGTAAAGACAGGTGCGGGGGCCGAGCCGGACACGGCGGCATTGCTACGTTGGGTACGGGCCAGGATGTCACGCTGTTCCATCCGCAAGGCCACCTCAACCTGTTGGATGTAGTTTTCAACAGAAGCAGACTTTTCAAAGATCGAGTTTTCAATCATCAAAGCGCGACGCTGCATAGCTTGGCTCATTTGTTGACTCAGGCTATCAGGAGCAACCATGCTTCGGTACAAGTTGAAGCTTGGCAAACAAGTGAAAGTCGTTTTTCGTCATTGGAATCAAGGGATGATTAGGACGAGATATGGCGATATCGGACAGCGCGACCGATAACCACGCATAGCAGACTACGACGGCATATCATGCGCTCCTGAAGAAACTTACAATTGTATCTGCATCTTTTGTCGCACGGGGCCCAACTGAGCGATTCCCCACGACTGGCTGGGTGTCGCTGCGGTATTGAGGTTGGTAAGCCCCGGCGTTTGCACGGCATTCTGCATGGCATTCTGCATGGCATTCTGCACGGCATTCTGCATGACATTCTGCATGACATTCGACTGGGATTGCTCGTGGCCCGGCTGCAGCAACAGCTGTGGCGATGACTGGGTCTGTTGAGGCTGCTGATTCTGCTGCGGTTGTTGAGGCTGCTGAGGTTGTTGAAGCTGCTGGGGCTGCTGATTTTGCTGATTCTGTTGATTCTGCTGCGACGCCAACGGGCCCTGCTGAGATAATTGGGCATGGGCCGACATCTGTTGAGGCTGCGCCTGAGCTTGAGCCTGAGCCTGAGCCTGAGCCTGAGCTTGAGCTTGAGCTTGAGCTTGAGCTTGAGCCTGGGCCTGAGCTTGGGCTTGAGCTTGAGCCTGGGCCTGAGCGCGAACGTGAGCTTGAAACTGCTGCGAGTGCTGGTGAGCCTGAAGCTGTTGTTGCAGTTGGTGCAGCTGTAGCTGCTGGAGCTGTTGCTGCTGTTGCTGTTGCTGTTGCTGCTGTTGCTGCTGTTGCTGTGCTGTGCTGCTGTGCTGCTGCTGCTGCTGTTGTTGTTGTTGTTGTTGTTGTTGTTGTTGTTGTTGTTGTTGTTGTTGTTGTTGTGCAGTCTGTGATACCTGTTGCGGCGCAACTTGTGCAATCGAGCCAGCCATGAGTGCATTTTGAGGAATTTGCTGAAAAATTGGCTTGAGCGATGCAGCGACAAGGTTGTTCGCTGAGATTTGAGGCGAGGGTGACATGCCTCCGGTAAGATCTCCCAGCTTCTGATGAGTCTGGTTGGCAGAAGCGCCAAGTATTTGCGAGGCCATCTGAGGAGAGGGTTGTGATACCTGGCTGCCCGATTGCATGGGGTTGCTGGGCATGGCTTTGTTTTGGGAAGCGAGGCTCTGTTTTTGCATTCGTTTGTGCTGCTGAATGATAACGTCCATCTTCAGATTCTCGACGAACTGATGCGCAACAGGCTGGCCCTGAGTAGATCCCAAAGGCGTCGGGCTCGATCCGGGCTGAGTGCTGGGTTGGGAAGCGGTGGAATCTTGCAAGTTGGAAGCTATCAAGTTGGACTGATGTTGCTGCAACGTTGTGGCGGAATCGGCGCCGACCCCTTGCTGGCCGACTTGGAAAGGTGGAATCCCCACCTGCGATTTTTGCTGATGGAACTGGTGCGGGAGATGTTGTTGGATTTGGGCAGGCGACTGTTGTGGTTGCTGTTGAAGCTGTTGCTGAGGAGGCTGTTGAGGTTGCATAACCGATGACGGAGCTTGGGATTGGATCGTCTGCTGCTGCTGCTGTTGCTGCTGTTGTAGTTGTTGTTGCTTGCTGCTGCTGCTGCTGCTGGTGATTATGCTGTTGCTGCTGGTGCAGCTTCAGATAAAATTGCGTCGAGAACTGAGGATTGACGATACCAGGCTGCAAGGGTATGGATGTCTGAAGCTGCTGAATCGCTGGAGCATTGGCCATCTGTATCAAGTTGATGGCATTCTGGTTCTGGAGGCTGGAGAGCTGCAGTGGATGAAGTGATTGCTGCTGAAGCTGCGACTGCTGTTGTTGAAGCTGCTGCTGTTGTTGAAGCTGCTGCTGTTGCTGAAGCTGTTGTTGTTGCTGTTGTTGCATTATAAGCTGCAGTTGAAACGGTGTGGCTATATTCAAGAAGGCAGGATGGTTGATAGCAGTTTGGGAGACGAGTGATGGTGGCGTTTGCTGGTGAGCTGGCAGGTGCTGCTGGAGCTGACGCAGGAGTGCCGGATTGATGGTCGGCTGGTTATTCGGGGTATTGTTTTGAGCGCTCATGGTGCAGACGTATCGTCGGATTGATAGAGATAGGCCAAGGGGACAGGGTCAGGAGGGACTTGAGGCGGGATAGCGCCCGCAAAGTGGCTGATTGCCAGGTTTCAAGGGCGAGGGAGATCTTGTAGACTCGTTGGTTCAGATACAGACTGACTTTCAGGCACGGCAGGGTGGGGACACAAAGGAACCCGCCTGGCGCTTATCCTAAGAGGACGAGGAGAAGAAGCTAGTTGGAGGAGAGCCGGGGAAAGAAATAAGGCCAGAGTTTTGTTAGCAACCCCGAAAACGAACACGAACAGCCGGACTGGGCGCTTGGGCGACGAACAGGAGTGGCTTGGCGACGGGATCGGGAATAGCTCTAGAACATATACCCGGCTAACAGGCAAGCTACGAACGAGCCCGGAGATGCACGCGGCTTAAAACAGGTGGACGGATGTCTCAGAATGTGGGGGGTACTCAAGACGCTGGGTGTTCATGGAAAAATCGGATGGGAGACCAACGAGATCGCTACAAGCCAAGACGCACAGGGGAAAGGGCTGCCGGGAAGGGGGGCCACGGGTTTGTGTGAGAGCTTGAGAAAAATCCAGGGCGGAGCAAGCAAAGACAGGGTGCGGCATTGACCGGAGAGAGGGCCGAGTCACAAACCTCTCTGGAGAAAGCCGGCGGAGGGGCGTGCCGAAGGAGGAGGACCAAAGACGGAGGAAAGGGCAGCGGGCAGAGGGCAGAAAGGGGAAGGGCGAGGGAAGGGCGAGGCGAGAGGGCGAGGAGAGAGCATGCCGACAGGATGAACGAGTCCCGCGGGCGAGGAGAGAGCATGCCGAGAGAGAAGCAATCTCGTTGGGGGCGGAGCGGCGAGAGAGAGGCCACCGAGAGAGAGCCCACCGAGAGAGAGCCCACCGAGAGAGAGACTACAGAGAGAGAGCATGCGAGGTCAAGCGCGATAGGCGGCGCAGCGGAAGCACTGCCCTGCACAGAAACTGTGGCAACGCGCATGCCTCGTTGGGGACACGGGCGACGCGCTCTACATTGGCGACGCGCTGTACATTGGCGACACATCGCGCCGCCCAAGCCGTGATGCTTGGCCCTGTTTTCCCGGCCCCTCGGCTGTGGTTGTTTGATGGGGACGTGGCCTCGATGGTGTGTGGCCGGTGACCGTCGGAGACGGCGGACTAATCAAACACGGAACCGATCGATGTGGCCACGTCGGTCGCCCAACGATTAATATGGCCAAAGCTCCACACCTCCCCAAAGGCCTGCATGAGAAAGCCCTGCCTCCTGTCTCGGCTATCGGCCCACCTTCCATCCTCAAGGGCAACAGAGACTAATGCACTATATGAACGCTACAAATGGAAACGGACGGCTCGTTTTATCCCAAACGGGCGCCACGACGAACGAACAAGCCCAGACCATACTGTCTACAAATGCAATTGTAATCAGCTGAAGGTCTGATTCCAACAAGGATGGATGGCCCACTTTTGTCTGAACACGCCGGTTTTGCATCCTGGAACGGGTGCGAACGCGGCTCTTGAATCATCAATCATCGACAGCACAAATGGGCGGCTGCGTCTGTAACAACTCAGCTGGTTTTGTTTCTTTCATCATCGGGGCTCGGCTCTACCTCGTCCCGCCATCGCACGCCGTATTCGAGCACCTTCGACTCCTGTCGGGAGATTGGCCAGAGCCTTTGTCACCGCTCCAGCGCACCCACATCGCAACTCGTCCATACGACCGTCCTGCATCAGCCCGTCTCTCAATTCAAACCACTAATCCGCCAGGACGGCATATTGATGCTATTCGATTGCTGTATTTGATTATGCAGAAATCGTCTGCGGCTCATTTCTATTCACGTCTTTCATTCCGCACTCGCACTCGCACTCGCACTCGCACTCGCACATCAAGCACTCGCCCTGTTGCTTAAACGGATACCCTTACCCTCATCTACTCGCCTCGACAGCACTGCGGGCCTGTCATGTCAAAGTACTCGCAAGAATACCACAATCTAACGCTGACCATATATGAGGCAAAGAATCTCGAGTACGGCGGCCAGAGTCTGGCCAAAGAGGACGAGACCTTTTGCAGCATCCTCATCCAGCGGCGCCTTCGGGAAGGCGAGATCGCCGATCTGTCGGCAACCTCGGGCCCAAAGCCGTCAGGAACAGGCTCACTCAACAAGCGCAGGTCGACGCGTCAAAACGACGCCGATGCTGGCGGCAGCGCCCTCGAGTCCACCGTGAGCGAGCAAAGGAGCAGCCCCAATATCGTCGCTGCCGAGGGGCGGTCCAGAAGTGCGCTCCTGGAAATCGGCAATTCTTCCACAGGCAATCTGGCGGTCCCATCTCCGGGAGGAACCCATCGAAGCTCCGCAAGTGGCATCAGCGGATTTGCCCGGCGACTGTCGTCCAATATTTCAGGGTCCATGTCACGCAAAGATCTTGAAGGCGATGTTGGCGACGAAGTCAAGGCCCGGGCCGTCACAGGAAAGGCCCCGGTGTGGGCTGAGGAGTTCCATTTCGATCTGGACGAGCGCTTCCATGCCATCATCAGTAAGTATCGGCAATCTTGTGCACTACTCCTTCGGCTGCTAGAGACGTCGCCCTCGACTTTGCGCACTGAAGGAGTGTTCCATAAACTTGTTGTCGACTTTGATCCTCTATTTTGCTTTTGATCATCGGCCTTCTTCGATCCTTTGATTTTCCTTCGATCTTCGGCCTCCTTTCGATCATCGGCTGCCCACCTCCACCCTCCGTACTTGGTCACAATAACATCGCTCCATTTGCTTGAATGGCCTCCTTTCATTCTACGTCGCTTGATATCCCGATAATAAGGGATGTCAGCGTGCGCTGGCACAATATCCCCGATTCATGTGCCACGATAGATCTTGCACTCGTGTTTATTGCTGTCTGGCGTCGCACCGATTTTGTAAACGGCGCCTCAGTAACGAACGCCATGTGTCCACCTTGACCTCGCCCCCTTCAAACCGCTGATGCTTCGTCGCCATAGTTCAAATCAAGAAGTCAAACGTCATCGGTCGCTCAACTGTCGTCGGCAAAATCACTCTTCCGGCAATATGCCTCGAGCCCAACGGGAAGCTTCAGGAAGACTGGTACGCTCTTCAGTCCGAAGAGGAGGCTAATCAAGGCAGCGTGGCAGCAGCAAAATCCATTCATCGCGAGCACACCTTCCTCGAGCGCACATTTTTATCACCGACGCTCTGCTATCAATGCCGTGGTGTCCTCTGGAGCATCATGGGCCAGTCCAACTACAAATGCGACTTTTGTGGAGTATCCTGCCACCACGACTGTCGATCATTCATTCCATCCAACTGCGGCTCGGTCGGATCTATACGTATTGGATACATATACTGTCGTGAGCGTATTTTGGTAATGCCTTATTTTCGAACTCGACTGGAACGACCCATACTCACAGGATAGCATCGAATTGTTGCGGCATAGTTGAAGCGGCGCCCCCTCTTTTATGACGCCTCACTCGATCTCGATGCTGATGCGTGCCGTTTTTTTGCCTTGGCCCTGACTCGACCGAACAACAATGCATCGCATCCGACTGTGGCACGATCTATCTCTCCGAACAATACCACCTAGCCCATTAGTCAATACGGTCGCCTCAAAGATCTAATCCTTGCAGGCGACTATGTTGCGCTGGGTCTCCTGAGTCGGGTCTGTGATGATCGCGATGTCATGGCCAAGCACGTGGTTAACATTGCCGATGGTGCCCACAGGCTTGGTGCCTTCCTCACCAAGCTTTGTGTGATGGAGATTCAGTCCACGAAGGATCCCAATGTGATCTTCCGCGGGAATAGGTAAGGCTCGGTGTGAACAGTGACGGTGGGACGCTGGGGTATCTGATACATAAGTTCATGTCATAGGCTGAGGAGGATGGCGGTTTCACCATCTCCCCTGTCTGCTGTTTCGGCGTACAATCGCCAATGATACAGAGAGCATGTGTGTATCTGGTATCTTACCAAGGGCAGAGTCAGAGCATATTTACTGATCGCTTTGTCTAACTTGATCGGATTGAAGCCTTTCAGCTAAACTCGTTGACGCCATGATGAAGCATGTTGGAAAGGAGTACCTCTTCGAAACCCTCTCTCCGGTCCTATTGAATATTATCCAAGAGGATCGAGACTGTGAGATCGATCCGATGAAAGTCGAAAAGGAAATCTTGGACAGTCCAGAGAGAATCCAAGAGCGGCAGAAGGCACTGATGGGTTCGTATACAGATATCCGTCGAAGCATATGTATCTGATCATTTTGTCGAGCCAGACATCCGATTCGCCGATGCAAAATGAGCATCCACGCAAGATGAATCAGAAGGAGACCCTGGTCCGCCGTGGCACTTATTGATTTGCTGAAATCAGCGATTCGAATCGCTCGCTGTTCATTGTGGCATGATCACTGTCCCTCTCCTTTCATTGTTTGCTTGTGGAGCGAATTTTGACGCTGCCCATCTCCTGTTACGCCTTTGGCTCACTGCAAATCGAGCAGCACTGATGTACTGACTGAATCGCTTGATACTTCCCTATCAGAACATGTTCAGGCAGTCCTGGACGCAATCATCCAAACAGCCGGAACTTGTCCCGTGCTCATCAAGCATGTCCTCGGGTCGATATACACCGAAGCAAAGCTCCAGTTCCCAGGCGACGTTATTGCTCCCTATACCGCCGTAACTGCGTTTCTGTTTCTGCGGTTTTTCACACCGGCCCTCCTGGGACCGAAGCTTTGGGGCCTGGTTACTGTCCAGCCATCCGACACGGGCATGCGCACTCTGACCCTGGTTTCCAAGTGCATCCAACAGTGCTCCAATATGCTTCCGTTTGATGGAAAAAAGGAGCCCTTTATGGAGCCTCTGAACCAAGTGGTGTCAGCCAGCATCGGCAAGGTCAAGGACTTTGTGGATGTACTCCTGGCTCCCAAGAAAAAGAAAAAGGGCAAGGGCTCGACGTTCAGTCTCAAACGGTCGTCCCGAGACAACATGGGCTCGGGCCACGTCCACACGAGCTCCGGCCCTGCTAATACGGGATCGGGACTCAGTAATCCGGCTCAAGTATCCACGGCATCGGCCTCGGACGACGATGATGGCGGAGAGCGCGATGGCTGCTGCTTCGGCTTCTGCGCCGGAAGCCGAAACAAGGTGTCCAAACTGGCCCCAAAGCCAATCGGCAAGGCTGCAGACGGCCACAAATCCGAAGCAAGCGTAGCCTCCATCGGCTCAAGAAGACAGAGCCAGTACGGCGACATTGACCACCAGTTCGTGGCCAACATCGATGTTGAGAAGCACTTTGCAGCCATATGCCGCATCTTCAGCCGCTGCCAGACCAAAATGGCCGAGGCAGCCGAGACAGACGCAGAGAAGGCTGCAGCCCGTCTCGCAGCGGAGATCGTCAACGAGCTCGAGATCCAGTCTGGCGCCAAAGAGCGTCAGAAGCAGCGTGAAGAGCAGCTTGTCAAGTTGGGACTGTCTCCCGAACGAAGGAAGGACCAGGCCGCGGGCACGAATCCAAAACGGATGTCCAAGCTCGGTCAAATGGGCATTTCTGGCTTTGACGTTGCTTCGTCATCGAAACGCAGCAGTAGTATCCCTCCCCAGTCCAACGGAGATGGTAAGGATGCCGACAATGCCAACGCTGACACCGCTGCCGACGACGACGACGATGACGATGCTGATGGCAAAAATGAAAGTGCCGCTGCCGAAGAAGAAGAAGACAACGACGACGACGACAACGACGACGACGACGACGGCGGCTCCAAGTCCGCCGGATGCGGGACCAATGCAGACGAAGTCCAATCCAGCCAATGCAGCGAGATTCGGGCCCGTGCCCCAACCCGAAACAACCACGGCCGTGCCGTGGCCAGCGGCATCGCTTTGTACATCAACCGCCCGTCCACCTCGATGGATGGTGGCTCGCTCACCGGCATATCGGATGATGGGCGGCAGGCGTATCTCGATGCCGTGGAAAAGTCCCGGCCCATGACCGCGAGCTCCAAGACCAGCAATACCATGCTCTCGAATGCTAGCATGAGAAGCGGCCCTGTTCCGAGGGAAGTGGATTCGGTGCTTGGCAACGTCGTCGAGTCCCCGATGGAAAGTGGCAACGACCAGCCAGAAGACTTTATCAGCTACTACACCGATAGCAACCGAAACTCGGTCGACCTCCGTAGCGACGATGGATATCATGTTGTCGAAAGACAGAACTTGGCATCTCGCATCGGCCGCCAGTCTCTGTCGGGCGCCGCACCCTTTCGCTTCGTTGGTGAAGCCGGGAGGAACAGCACCGACGATATGTCTTCTCGCTCAGCACGGATGAGCCACCACGGCCCTCCGGCCGTCAACCGGGTCGTTCAGGCCCACCGCCAGGCTGCCGATAGTGTATACAGCATGGCGGAATCCTCGCAGTCTCTGTCGCTGGCCGACGGCCGGCGCTACGACTCGGTCCAGTCCTGCCAGACAAACACCACAGCGGCCTCTCAGGCGTACTCGACAATGATGAGCTCGACGATGATGGACTCGACAAGAGATGTCAATGACCAGCTGGAACGAAACAACAGCGTGCTGTAGCAGCATGTGCATCATCGTGGGAGGGCATGTATGTCTTGGCAGTTCTCGGAGTGTTCGTTTGGCAGCAATACAGCGCAACTTGGTCCATGCGGCGCCGCCGAATGATCGCAGCCCAGGTTGCTGTCGCCGCAGCAGTGCCTGTTCATGTCCTTCCGTTTTTCTGCCAGCGCTCTTGGCCTGCGTTCCATCGCCCTGCACCATCCCGGGCTCACTGTTCTCTCGGTCTGGCCCGGCTTGGTTGGTTCCTGGATCATGTTCACCACAAGCATGCCCACTTTCCTCGACCCAGCCATCCCCGGCCCAGCCATTCCCGGCCCAGCCATCCCCGGCCCAGCCAGCCTCGCAGACGCTGCTGCCCAAGAGGATCGGATGCTCGTGGCCTTGAGCACCTACGCTTTCCAAGACTATATCGACAGCGTCCCAGTCCTGCTCCGTCTGCAGTCCCTCTCGAGGCGGTTCGGAGCAATCTTTGGCAGTCGCTGGCAATGGAGGCGCATGTTCCAGCGCTTTTTCCGCCTGCCACCGGACTTTGATATCGACGACATTGATTATCGCAGCGTCGTCTGCGCGGCAGACTCATACTTTGGCCGCCGTGCCGATGAACCCACCTGGCCGGTCGAACAGGCCCTTTGGCGGACGGTTCAGACCAGCGCAGCGGTCCACGAGCTGGTCCTGGAAATGTGTCGGATCAACAATCGGATGTCAACGTTCGTTCAACTTGGCACACACTCTGTGTGCCTGTGCTTCTCCAGAGCCCTCAGCATCCGAATCACCCACAACCTCGATGAGTCGCTCGTCTTCAGCCCTCCGCTTCGGCTGCATTTCGCCATCGACAGCACACTCAAGCAACTGCCTTATTTCGCCACTGCCCATCTTCATGCCAACGCCGCGCAGCTGTGTCTTGGGAAGCCTCCCCGAGCAGCCGAAGGCTGGCCGCTTGAGCTGACCGGTCTGGAGCATCTGCATTTTTGCGCCGACGCCTCTTTCCCCACACAGGTCCTGGACGGGTTCGATAGCTGGCCCCTGATGCCCAACCTCAAGTGTCTCTCGTTCTGGCCGCAGCACCAAGAGGGCAGCGGCACCGTCATCATCAGGTCCTTCCGAGGGTTCTCGCGTATCTCACCGAGTATCAAGGACCTGGATCTGCGCGGGACCATCATCGAGAGCTTTGAGGGCTTCAGTGCACCCAGTCTCCTCATTGCGTTTTTGCCGGACCGTCACCCGGACCTCGAGATGCTCTCGCCGGCGCTAGCTCATGCAAAGGAGCTCTACCTCGGCCTGGCTTCTCAAGTCGCTGATCTTCGCTATCTGGCGTGCTGCTCCCAGCTCGAAGTACTTGCTCCGCCCATGTCGGTTCGATCGCTGGCGGGACTACCAGCGGACATGATGCGTCTCCAGCAACTGGATCTCAGTGTATGCACGAACCTTACGAACCTTGTGCACATGCCTACTGCTCCGGCACTGCGGGTTCTCAAGATGCCCGGATCGCTTCAATCCCTCTGGGGCATGTCGGGCGACTTGGTGGGGCTTGAAGAGCTCGACTTGGCCGATTGCGACAAGCTGGTCGATCTCGAGTTCATGGCCACGACGCCCCTCTTACGACGATTGCTCCTGCCCAAGTCACTCGAGTCGCTGAAGGGAATGCCCCGACTTCTGGACAACCTTGTCGAGTTCGGGATTGCTCAATGCGACAGGCTGACGGGCTTGGAGCACATGGCTGCAATGCCCCTGGTGAAGATATTGGTTCTGCCAAAGTCTGTGCGGTCGCTTCGTGGAATGCCGACAGCCATGAAGAGCCTCGTGACCCTCGATCTCCTCCGGTGCGAGGAACTGTCCAGTCTTGAGCACTTGCCAATCGCCCCACGCCTCAAGAATCTCAGGCTGCCCAGATCCACAGGATCCCTCAAGGAAATGTCGTCACTGAGCAAGAGTCTGATGTGGTTGGACATGGGTCACTGCATAAATGTGGATACATTGAAGCACCTCCCCGAGACTCCGAAGCTCCTCTCGTTCAGACTGCCCAAGTCGTTGCGTTCCCTGGAAGGCATTGCTCCAAGATTCGAGGTCCTAGTCGAGTTCAATATCAGCACTTGTGAGCACCTGGATACACTAGAGCACATGCCCTCCCTGCCTGCTCTGAAGGAGCTCAGTCTTCCAGAGTCCATCCGATCTCTCCACGGAATGCCACATATGATGGAAAGCTTGGTTAAATTGGATCTTAGCAACTGCACAAATCTCACCAGCCTCGAGCACATGGCCAACACACCCCAGCTCACGACCCTCCAGCTACCAAAGTCGCTTCGGTCACTCTTTGGAATGCCTTCGACTCTGGGCCACCTCGGCGATCTTTCCCTCGGGGCGTGCGAGAATCTCGTCGATCTTGCACACATGGCTCGGGCGCCGCTGCTCAAGACCCTCGTGCTGCCTGCCTCGCTTGGGTCCCTCGAGGGAATCCCGCCCGAATTGCCAAGGCTGCGATCACTGGACCTGAGCAAATGCGGCTCCATCACAAGACTTGAGTACCTGCCCTCTGCCCTCCCGAACCTGGAGTATCTCAAGCTGCCGAAATCGCTAGAGTCGCTTCATGGCCTGCCCTTGGCCCTGGAAAGCGTCATGCGGCTGGATTTGAGCGGTTGTACTGGGCTCGAAAGTCTGGAGGGCATGCCAGACGTGCCCCAGTTGATTATTCTCAAGCTACCTAGATCGCTCCGATCACTGCGAGGTATACGTTCGACTTACGAACATCTTAGACGCCTGGATCTGGGTGAATGTGCTTTGCTGGATGACATACCGCAGCAGTTACCGACAATCCCACAGGACTGCTGTGTGGTCATGCCGGTGAGTGAGCCCGCAGCTGAGAGAAGGCTCGATGGCGAATCGCAATAGTGGGTGGCTAGCAGGGCATCCATTCGACTTGGGTGTGTGTGCTGGACGAGTCTCGCAAGCTCTCGGCCCGAATGGGCGGCACAACCACCTCCGAACGATGTGAAACAGTGGACTCAGAATCGGCAATGCAACCGGGGCCTTCAATACAATCGGTATAATCGGTATAATTAGTGCCATCAGTACAATCCAGGTCATGCAATTGATGTGGCCCATGCCAATACTCAACCCTCACAAGAACGGTGGGATGCCTGATTGTTGGTCAGATCTTTATTGTTCATCCTGCACAATACTGAATCGAGTTGTTGTACCAAAACCAAGCAACACGCATTCCGGAGAGAACGTGGGAGTTGCGGGCTCGATTATTGGAAAGTAGCCTCTATCGAAAGTGATCTCAACCAACTTGATCTTTTACCAGCAAGCGGGAGATAATCTGTAGTACGTCAAACCGGTGTTGGCGCAGCATTCTGCTCACTGGCAGGGGTTGTTGACATCGCCAGAGCAGGAGCTCTCCTCGGGGCAGTAATACTCCATGGCGCCGGCTATATGCAACAGGATTGTGAAGAACTCGGGGTCAGCAAGTGGATTCAAGCGGCTCAGAGGATAACCCGTGGGGCCAGTGGAAAATGGTCTCTGTGTTTCAAGCAACGACGCAAGCAATCACTTCATGGCGCAAAGCGACATATGTGCACGATACTCACCGGGGTCACAGAACCAGAAGCTGTTGCTCTCGGCACAGACGATGCTGTAAGGGTCGGCGCTGCCGCAGGCCCCGTCGGGAGAGGGAGCTGGGGTGTCGGTCTCTGTGGGAACAGGGTTCGGAGCTGTGACGGTAACGGAGGGAACAGGGTTCGGAGCTGTGACGGTGACGGAGGGTGCTGGAAGGGTGGCAGAGGGCTGGGGACCGGGGCTCGGGCCGTTGCCAGAGGTGGTGAAGCCGAAGGTCTCGCTGGTGGAGGCAATGCCGCACTGTCCGAATCCGATCCAGAAGAAGCCATCAGTGCCCCAGGAAGCAGTCCAGGAGTTCTTGCAGAGCCAGGCCTGCTTGTTATCGTCCCAGCCAACAATCGAGACGGCGTGACCGCCCTCTTGCTTGTCGGACTGCTGCGTGTAGACCTTGTTGTTGGTGCAGCACTGGTCGTCAAAGTCCGAGTCTGCGAATAATCGACAGCAGGGCATATAAGTATCAGGATCTCTTCTTGTCGATTGACACAATTGATAAAAGCATGAACCACAGCGCAGCTCTGATGCACACGGCTTCGTATCCAAAGCGCAATCGTATTCGAAGCGCAGAGCTGTCGAGGCAGCTCGTAAAGAGAATGAGGCGCACTCTCTCGTTCCATCGCAAAACGAAAGCAAAGACGGCCGTTGGGAATATGGATCGGACATCGATAGACATTGCGATCGTGTAGCCACGACGATACTTACAGACGGTGAAGGCCGTGAGAACGGCGCCATAGGTCATGATGTGGTGCTTGATCTCGTCGATGCTGTTGAACGAGGCCTCAGTAAGACCACCAGTGCGCTGGCAGCTGCTGTCGGAGCACTGCTGGTCCTGGCCGTCGCCGGCAGTGTAAGGGAAGCAGTCGGCCGAAACGACGCCCTTGGAGGCAATGGCTTCAGCAGCCGAGCTGGTCTGCCAACCGGTGTTGCACGACGCCTCGCCTGCAGCGAGACAGAAGAAGATGTCGGCCTCGGAGACCTCGATGCTGTTGCCGGTCTGGCTGAGGAAGGTACTCTCGACGGTGGCTGCAGATCCGAAGGAGACGCAGCTGCCGCACTGGCCCTGGTTCTTGACCGAGGAGACCCAGTTCTTGGAACGCGAATCCCAAGACGAGGGAAGAGCGGCGGCTCGGACGGCGGCGACATGGACATCAGAGACATTGCTGCCCTGGAGACGAGATGGGGGGAAGATCGTTGAAACAGTGATGTGAGAACACTACAGCCGAGGGGAGATATGGAGTGTGCTGGCAAGACTTTGGAGGAGCATGGTCGATTACAACGGGATACCAGCAACCCGGGGATTGGCAATGGGCAGCGGTAATTCCGCAATCAGAGGAAGCACCAATACTCACAAAGACTTGCGTGGCGACTCGGGTGACGGATTCAGTGTCGGGAGCCAGGCTGCCCTTGCTCTTGAGCGACTTGTGCTTCTTGGCCTTCTTGACGAGCTTCTGGAAGGCCGGGTCCTTCTTCTGAGTGACATGGGCCGTGAAGAGGTTCTTGGACTCGGACGCCATGCGGCGGGTGTTCTCGGCAGAACCGATCACCTTGTCCAGCGACTTGCGGTAGGTAGACCAAAGACTGCCCTGCTTAGGACGGGCAGCATCGGCGGCGCCGGTGAGGGCAAGGAAGACCGTGAGAACGAAGCCAGCGTTGACAAGCATAGAGGCGGTTGGACTAGAGGTAAAATCGGGGATAGAATAGCACCAAGGTCTGCAGGGACTTGAAGGTACGACTCGATGCGCTCGAAGGGGAGGCCAAGTAGTGAACTCGGAGGATCGAGTGCTGTGGTGGAGGTTTTGGACGAGGCCGACGAGGTGGCTTTTATACCTCATCTACCGAAGGGGCTGAAGGATCAATATCGAACAGCGGCGAACGAATCGGGTGGCAGGGAAGTGGGCGAATGGGTACGGGATGCGCCAACCGAGAAAAGGAAAGGCGGTTCTGCTGCCCTCGCTTGTCGTTGGTGCGAGAACAAGGGGTGACGAAGCAAGAGGCAATATCCCCACAGCCTTGTGAGTGGAGGCGCTTCATGGATCCGATGCTGCGGACGTGTCTTTTCTCTTGCGGACCTGGATGTGGGCACCAGACGCAATTGGGCTGATTGGGGTGCTGGCGAGGCAAGCGTGAAGCTTAAAACATGTCAGCCAGCCACCGGTGCCTCATGGATCCGCGGAGGCGGACCGCGTGGTTGTGGCCCACGATGCCGGTCGGTGGCCCTTCTGACATTTGGAGCAGTCAGCAGATATCCAGCGCTGTTCCCACAGGGCAGAAACAGATGCCATGGCCGGAAGTGGAGGTCACGGCGACTCCTCCGCCGGGCAATATCGCAGCGATTTCCGAGGATGGGAACCTCATGACCGAAAGCAGCAAGGACTGGCAGTGTATGATGGGGCTGGGCTGGGCCATGAAGAAAAGCGCACGAGGAACTGCTGACGGAGCTCGCCAGCATGAAGCTGGAAGTATTGGAGCGCATGACGCACAGATTGAATGGGATGGATGGGGCGGATGATATGGATGGGGTGGGTGGATGTGGTGGGGTGGTGGGGTGGAGCAACAATGGCTGGCGTGGGAAGAAACCAGGTCCACGGTGGCTGTGTGGCTGTGTAGCTGTGGCTGTGCAGGGACATCCCAGCCCTTGCCCCTGCCCCTGCCCTCGCTCCTCTGCAGCCCTTGCCCCCCACCCAACCGCAACCGCACGCCACCAGGGCTTTGGCGGCCTCTGCCTCCGATCGCCCTCGTGCCTCCCTGTCCCCAATCCACCCTTCGAACAGGAAGGTAGGCAACGACCGATGTCGGCCCGCACCAGCCCGCACCAGCCCGCACCAGTCCGCACGGATCTGCATGGGTCCGCACCGACTTTGAGGCAGAATCTTCGCCAGCTTGCCAAGCGGCGTTGCTCCATTTTGCTGAGTGCTGCACTCTCTTCAACAGCACAACCATGGCCACCCCAGACAGCAGCCTACTGCCCAGCCCTCTCTCGCGGGAGCGGGGCTCGTCGTTTTCCCTGACCACCCCGATCATCTATGAAGTCAACCTGTCGGTGCCCAAGCAGCTCTCTTCCGGTTATATTGAATACCTCCGTGCCTTTACCAAGGAGACCTGCAGCACCGTCGACGGCTTCACCAGCGCACAAGTGTTTTCCCAGCCCAAGCCAGGTCAGTACCGGCAGCAGCCCCAAGTTCGGGGACTGGCCTGTGTTGTGAGCAGCCGAGTACCCGTTGTCAGAAGGAGAAATTCATTTCGGTGTCGACTGGCGATCAAGATCAGGCACCGTCGCTGGTGCAGTCAACATGAAGCGCGGAATGAGAGACCGCCGGGTGTTCTGTGCAGAGGCAGTCTGGGCTAACTCTGTCGGTCCATGCCCTGAACACATCGTCATCCAATCTCCAGTTGGTCTCCATTGGCTCAGTGAAGAGGGCGATGCCAAGGTAATGTGACCCCGGTGTTGATGCTGCTCATATCCTTGAGCCACCTGTGTGCAAGTGTCCTGGCAACCTGGATCACTCAAGTCGCCGCCATCTCTCAATCGCAATCGCATTCACATTCACATTCGCGTTCGCATCCCACGACTGGACTGCTCCCTCCAGGCTTACTACACCGTCCACTACCATGTCGAATCCCAAGAACACCTCGACAGATACCTCCAGCTCCACCAGCAGGGGTGAGTCTATCCGATTCGATGCCGTCGGCAGCGCTGTGAATGACAGAAGCGCCACCTGATCGACAAAAGCTGCTGTTGCTGCTGGGACCGAGTCCTGGGCCGCGATCTTGGCAAGTCGGAAGCGATGCCACCAGCCTGACGCCCCATCTCTGACGCTCCAACCTCCATCATCTTCTGCATGGCCATGCAACGTTCCGTCGACATTACCAACTCCGCCTTCGTTGCGTCCGTTGCGTCGGGGACCTACGGCACGGATAACCGGGGCATTCCGCTTCGATCGATGTGACCCGTTCAACTGGGGGGGGGGGCTTTCGCGACAGCATTGCCCAAGCCGGACAGAAGGACTGGCAGTTCCTGGTGACCTCCAGAAGGATTTTGCGGCTGCAGCATACCACCGACGAGTGAACATCGCTTGTCGTGATCTTGATCTGCGACTCGTGAGCCTTGTCCTCGTTCGAGCAGCTCTCTAGTATCCCTGTTAGTTCTCACTCGCGCTGCGAGCGTGCAGACAGCCCCAACAACTCCATGTCGGGGCCAATGGGGTTCCAGGAGCTTGATTCCATTTGGCCGATTTGTTCTTGTCTCTGCTGTTTAGTGTGTTCATTATGTCTTGGTCTTCACGACGAGAATATCGGCGCAGCTGGGTCAAGGCCACAATCAACATGAGTACTACCACCGCCCAAAAACGATGTGTTTATCAAAAGTATATCGCTGTATTGATGGCTCAAAGGGTGCATATAGGCAATGCTACGAATCAACGAGAGAAAGCGGCCTCTATTGGGTAATCGGTCCAGGCGAAGCAATTTGATGCCCTGGGAAACTGAGAGCTTGCCAGTCGATGGAGGGGGAGAGATAGGCAGCGGCCTATTTTCGGAGGCATTTACAGACCGGCCTCGGTAAGCTTCTGTTTGAACAGGTCCTCGGCGTCCGTCCAGACACGAGCATTCTGGCGATCGGCCAGCTGCAGCAGCGAGGGCAGCAGATCGGCAGAGAAGACCTCGGAGGCTTCACGCGGCAACAAGGTTGGCAGGTGGTCGATGGCAACGACATCAAGCGGCTTGGCGTTGCCGTGCTTGATGACCAGGGCAGGGGTGTCAAAGCTGGTGGACTCGTTGTAGATGGGGATGGGGTTGTACGGGTTGGTGGTGTCGCACGAGACATCAACGACAGCCGTAAGCTTACGATCGGGGTGCGAGAGCTCTTCAAGGGTCAGGAAAGGAGCAATGGGCTCGGAGAGATAGATGCAGTTGACGAAGACGTCATTCTCAATGATCTCGACAAAGGGTCCACCCTTGGCGGTCTCGGCCATATCCCAGCGAATGATGTTTTCTCTGTCGGAGGTACAAATGCGTGGAGGGGTAAGCAATACCGCCGCCGGGCCGGGCAGTCAGCACAAAACGAGAGCCGACAGCCAGCGCCAATGGTCTTGACAGTCGGGCGATAGCGTCCGGCAACCACCGGGATTGCAGCTGATCATCCCCGCTGCCATCCAGCTCGCAGCAGTGGGACATGAATGCTTACTCAGGGATGGTAAGCTCACGGCAAAACTGGACAGCGCCAGAACCGCAGCGACCGAGAGCACCGGTGATAATGATCCTGGGGAAGCGGCGAGCCCTCAGCACTTGATCGGAAAAGAGGAAAAGGGACTGTCAGGGCAGTTGCGACCTCCGATGCGAGGAGCGAGGCGGAATGCAAATGGCCACATGGCCGTGCAACCCACAATCGGTTGATCTGCTGCGGACCCCAAGTGCCGGGCCTTGGAAAATACATACTGGCATGGTGAAGTCGGCCGGCGACATCGGCAAGGAGGTCCAGCTCACAGTCAAAGGGTCGGACGCGGGGGAAGCGCTTGTCACCATCAAGGATTCTGTGGGTCCACAGATCGATGCCAAGGGCAGCACCGGCAAAGCCGGCATGGTAGCCAAAGGCAGCGACACGACGACCTGCGCCAGGAGACAAAAGCGGCCAGGGGCGAGAGCGATTAGCGAGAGCCAGCCGGGCGGGGTGACACGGCTCCACCCGCTCGGGTCCCACAAACTCGCCGAAGGTGGGGGGCAAGGAGACGCTGGCACAGCCCGGGTCAAGCCGCTGGGGGGAAAGCCTGCTCACGGCAGGAAGGCCAGCAGCCGATCCAAGAGCAGCCCGATGGACGCGAACGCTGGTCGTCCCAAAGCCCAAGGGCCAGGCCAGGGCAGAGATCAGTGCCGCTGGCGGAGGCTGCTCAAACGATGTGCCAGGCTCAAACGATGTGCCAGGCTCAAACGATGTGCCAGGCTCACAAGATATGCCAGACACATGCCACACAGCCCAATCAGATGAATCGTCGCCGGGGACATCTGCATCAGCAGCCTCACGGCAGGCCCGTCCTTACCCTGGTCGTTTTTCAAGAACTCGAGATCGAGCAGGGTACCGTTGCCACGCTTGAAGCGCGAGAGCACATCTTTCCAGCCAGCCTGCTGCTTGTAGCAGTGGGCGAAGAAGATGTGGGTGTGGGTCAAGGGGGTGTCATCGCCCTCAGGCAGCTCCTTGAGGCCAATAATATAGGCGTCAGCGGGAGCGGTGCGCCAGGTGCCAGCGGGGACAACGGTCAGGCCCAGCTTGGTGTACTCGGAAGAATTGAAGGCGCTGCTCTTCAGCTCCTCGATGGTGACCTGGAAGCCTGGAGAGGCCAGCAGAGGGTGGGAGGGAGGATCAGGACGCAAGAAGCAGTAGGTCCGAAGCACTCGCCAGGCTCAGAGGGGCAGACTGATGCCGAGCCAAGGCCTCTGGAGAGAGCCACAGCGGAGTGATTCAAAGCAAGATGCAGCAGGAGCAGCGCAAGGCCCAAGGGCGGCGTGCTGCCGGTTTGTGACATACCGTTGTCAACGAGGGTCTTGGCGACCTTGGGGGTCAGAGCAGTTCGCTGCTCGTTCTTCTTGGTTTCAGCGCGGAGCCAGAGATGAGGGGCCATGGCAGACAGATATCAACAGAAAGAGACGGACAGGCGGATGGCAAGCAACGAAAGATGCAATCCTGGCGGTGGCTGGGAACCGGAGCGGCCAATGCCTTTTATCGAGCCGGCCGGCGACCAGATGAGATGCGCAGCGCGCGATAGGAGTGCGCAGCCGGGAACACGAGCCCAACAAGAGCGGAGATGGAGATGGAGATGGAGATGGAGATGGATGCCATCGGCGATAGATCAGAGGGCTGCATTTGGAACGGATAGGGAAGCCACGAAGAGCCAAACGTCAGATGCAACAAGAGCAAGGGCGGAAGCAAATGCGGGCCCAGGCAGCACATCGGGGCAGGACAGAGGTTGGAAATGGACCACCCAAGAAAGGGACAAGGCAAACAGGCAAACAGGCAAACAGGCAAGAAAGCGGCTGGGACGAAACGAAACGAAACGAAACGAAACGAAACGAAACGAAACGAAACGAAACGAAACGAAACGAAACGAAACGAAACGAAACGAAACGAAACGAAACGAAACGAAACGAAACGAAACGAAACGGAAAGCGGCGACAGGGTCCGCAGGAGGATATATCGGCAGCCTGGGCCAATCCTTCAAGGCTTGGCCCTGTTCACTCGAACGCTCAACCCAAGCCTGTTTACGTGATGACCTGCGAACGGTCCGAGAGCAGACAGATTTGATATTAGTATCAGGCCCATCCACTGGGCCGATCCGCCGGGCAGGCGGGGACGGACGTTCGTCTCTCCGCTGACTCCGCTCGCTCTGCTCCCCCGTTTTACCAATCCTCCCCGCCCCCACCAAACCCAGCTCCGATCTTCGGATGGTTGGGCGACAACTTACAGTGGGCTCCTTGCGACCGGTGAACTCCTCGAGGCGAGAGATATCGAGAGCAACCTGGATCAGATCGCGGATGGCATCTGGAGTGTTCTGGCTGTAGTTGACGGCGTCGTATTTTTCAACATAAACACGGATGGTGGCGCCCTGAGAGCCAGTGCCCGAGAGTCTGAAAATGATGCGCGAGCCGTCGGTGAAGACGATGCGAACACCCTAGAGGCAAGACACATAGGCATTTCTTCAGCGTCAGTCCGACGAGTGGCGATACGGTCGGGTGTTTGTGCAATCGGGCGAACGGTGAAGGATGAAGCAGCCATGCCATGCAGGTGCGACTCTGCCGGGTGGTTGCTTGGAAGGTACATTACCTGCTTGGTCGAAACGCTTCCGTCGATGGGATCGGTGTAGGCAAAGTCGTCGCACTCGGCAACAGTATAGTTGCCAAAGGTCATTCCGACGGTCGAGTCGTGATGCTCGCCAACGAGGCTGCGGAGCAGGGTAATGAGCTTGTTGGCACCCTCGCTCTCAACCTCTTCATAATCGTAGCGCGAGAAGTAATTGCGGCCATATTTGGCATAGTGGCTGTTGAGGATGTCGTTGAGGCCAACGTCGGGCTGGGTCAAGCTGGCATTAGCCAGGATCGAGAGCCAGGCTGCGACAATATTAAAGATTAGGTGCTGTACCAGCCCAAGAACCTGCGCCCAGCAGAGGGCCACGACCGTGAAGGCCCCCGAGCCAGCCCGCGGCACAAACGAGTCGCAGGAGCAGCATGGACGATGCAGATCTGGATGCAGCCGCATATACAGGGGCGCTTCCAGATATCTTGCAAGCTGCGAGCTTACCCAAAACAGCCCAAATGCCGTCCTTTTCACGGATGTGATCCGAGCCCGTGCCAAAGCTCTCCTCGCCACAGATGGAGAGGCGGCCAGCATCCATGAGGTTGCCAAAGAACTTCCAGCCTAGACACGGAAGGCGGAACAAGTGTCGACCGTAGTTGTTAGTGATGGTACGATCGCACACTAACTCCCGAGCGCATAAAAATGCTTGCCAAAGGTCACGTACCGGTGGGGACCTCATAAATAGCAATTCCGTTCTCCTTGGCAACACGGTCGATGGCAGCCGAAGTGGGCATCGAGCGGGCAAGACCCTTGACGCCAGTCTTTTTGAAAAAGGGAATGACTTCGGCATGGGCAGCGATGACTGAAAGACAGGCCAGGGCAGCGGATCCGACAAAGACGGACGTCAGCTATGATAATCAAAGGGCCCATGCAAGGAGCCCTCCCCGCGGCATAAGTTGGGTGGAGGTTTCATACCGGCGACAGAGTCAGATGGGTTCACAAAGGCACCCTTGCCAATGATCATGTTGCGATCACCATCGCCATCTACAATCGTGAAAGGGCAGAAAGGCAACTTGACGTCAGTCGACTGATAGGCGGGGTGAGACTCCATCGATCAATAGCTTGCAGAGAAGGGCGCCCTCGACACACGTACCAGAGGCTGCACCAAAGTTGATATTCTCCCGCTCAACACGCTCGACGAGGTCGTGGGCATACTGTGAGTGACAGATGTTATGATCAAGGAGTTAGATTCTGCAGACCGAGTAAAGGGCCTGAAGATTGTTGCTGGAGACAGGAAGCGGATCACGGAACTCACGGTGAGGTTGGGATCAGGATGACCGCCTGAAATGCAGAGAGACAGGTTACCGACTGTATGTCTCTCGAAGACCTCCGCGATGCTGGACTGGGCGGACCACAAGTCGCACAGAGACACCTGTTCACAACGGCAGCGAGCATTGGGCGAGCGGGGAAAGCATCATACCACCAAAATCCTCGAGGGGGACAAAGTTCATGACCGAGGAGATATCCAGACCCAGAGATTCGCTGAGAATTCTCTTGGCATATGGCCCGGTCACTGGAGGGGGCAAGATGATACCTCGATGAGAATCTCGAACTCCATGCAGGCGTCCGTATGTGCGCAGGCGGCGGCAGCAGCGATGCAGTCGTGGCCATGGTTATGTAGTGCAGCATACCTCCATGCATGGCATCAAAGAGAACCTTGAAATCGGGGCGCGACGCAAAGAAGCTTCGGATGAGATCAAAATCAAAGACCTCCTTCATGAGCTCCTCGTAGTCGGCGACCGAGTCGACAATCTCGACGGTGAGATCACCAAACTGGTGGGTGGACAGCTCCGAGAGATCGACCTGATCAAGGAAAGAAGGCGACATGATGGGTCAGGGATCTCGGGATTGGCTGCTGCGTCCACTGTGGTTGGTGCGGACAATCTCCACCAAGACAGGTTACAACCCGGCGGCGCGAGAGCAGCGACATGGCGAGCGAGTCGAAGGTGGTGGCTGTTTGACTTGCAGTCATCAAAAAATTGGAAAGAGGCAAACCTCGGGGATGTCGGCAGAGTGATAGACTTGGATCTGGGTGGTGAGCTTGTAGATATGATCGGTAACGCCTTCAGGGGCAGGTCCTATGGAGGTTGCCATGTGCAGATGCCGGGGTCAGAGGCCAGCATACGAACGCCGCCATCCAAGTGCTAGCGACAGCGGAGAGGAAGCACGAATGCAGAGCGAGGGGAAAACGGAACAGCCAAGCCTACCGCCGTTGCTAGCATTGTACTTGATGCCAAAGTCGTTGTCAGGGCCACCAGGGTTGTGAGAGGCCGTCAGCAAGATGCCGCCTGAAAAAAAGAGAGTGGGTGCAAAAGCAAGGAGGCATGCGAATAAGTGGGCAGGGGAGGTGAAGCACAGCCGCTGCGAGATGGAGTTCGTAACAAGCAGACAACCGACGGCACAAGAAACGGACCAGTGGCCTTGCGCTTGCGGATAAGGTTGGAGGCCGCTGAGGTCAAGATGGAGTGAATCGAGAATACGAATAGTCAGCCACGAGATGGCAGAGCGGCCGCTTGGGGTTGGGAGGTTAATGTCAGGGAAGCATTTGGGCTCGTACCAGGGGTAGACAGGATGCCGTTGTGGCCAATGATAAGATGGGAAACCTGGTTGGGTGGAGGCCGAAAATGTCAGAGCCAGAAAAGGGGGGCACTAGATTGTGGCTGTCTCAACAAGATGTGCACAGCACCGCTGCATTCCGCAGAGCGATTGCTTGTCCGATAACGAGAGCAAACCGAGCGCTTACGCCGTTTCCTGCAGAGAGACGGATGATCTTGTTGACGGCTTCCTTGCCAAAGTACCGTCCGTCGCCGCCAACGACCAAGACCGCGCCCTTGGGGCCGCCGGGGATGGCCGAGAGGATGGCCTGCACAAAGTTCTCGGTGTAGTGGGGTTGCTGGAAGACCTTGACCCTCTTGCGGAGGCCTGGGATCAGACAAGTGCGACCGGGTCAGCATGACATCGCTGCAACGGCGGGACTCGAGCGTGCAAGCAGTGACGAAAGCAGGGAGGGTGCTCGGGGGAGGGAGGGAAACGGCAAAGACCCGACAGCAGCGAAAGACATATACCAGAGGTTCCGGGCTTTTGACCATCAAACGGGGTGGTCTCGACCTGGCGGAAGAGGCAAGGACACAGATGCAGGTATGTTATTATTCGCCTGCGATGCTGGGGACAGACGGAGAGTGAGGCAGCCTCGATCGAATCTTGCGAGGCGCTTACGGTTTGCACAGCGAAGGCCATGGTTCAGGTTCTGGGAAGGAAAGGTGGTGGAGGTCAGATCGAAAGCAAGCGCAGATCGGCGCTGATGACGAGAAGTGGCATCGGGCAGGGCGGTGGCTCACCGGAATGTCTTGGCAGCGGGCAGATGCAGGCAGATGCAGGCAGATGCAGGCAGCCGGGGGCAAGACAGAGGAAGAAGGGGGGGGCCAGGGCCGGGGGGGGGGAACTTTTGGGCGAGGCGGAGGCGAAGGACTGGCAGCAACACGCGGCCTGGCAACGCGAGCACCAATCGCATTGCGGATCTGCGGCGGCATCGGCTCTGATCGTCCCCAGGATCTCTTACAAAGAAAAAAAGCGATACAGAGCTATGCCGAACCACACACCACACAGGCGCTATCTCCCGGGCCATCAGTAACACCAACAGCACCAGCACCAGCACCAGCACCAGCGATATCTCTGTCCTGGCCAGCGCATCGACCCGCAGAGGGTCCTGCGCCGCAAAACGAAGGTGCGAGCAACGGTGCGGCAATCCTCCAGCGGTGGTGGCGCTTGGCTCCGAGGATTGCTCTCGACTCGCGACCAGGATTGCTGCTTGTGAGCAAGCGCTGCCGCCAGCAGTCCTGACGCAAGCTGCTGGATCGGCCAGCGGTCCTGACCATAGAACCCGCACGGCCGAAAGAGAAATGGAGGTGAGGCCCAGCCGGGGGGGGGCGAATAGCTTGCTCTCCATCCGAGCAACTATATTTGCAGCTGCGATTGCCGGCCGGTGGCCCCTCCGATGGAATCCAAGGAGCCTCGCAAGCAGGATTTCCGCCCGATCCCGTGATGTCGTGGGCATCGGGATTCAAGAGGGTCGGCCGGCATCCAGATAATTGCCGAGGCAAATGCTTTCACACGCCAGTGGAGCTATTCTTTCTGAAGACTGATATACAAGACTGTGAAGCAGAGGAAGGAGGGCCATGTTTAGCGCGGTCGCCTGGCAATCGATTGCGCAAACTGGAGGCATATCGCCGGGATGTCGCATATGGAGACGCTCGCGCATCTGCGCTCACCATTGTTTCCGCGGATGAAGGCGTCGCCGTATGCATTCTTTCGCTGACCATTGACAAACTCCTCTGTCTGCTCCAACGCAATGTTCTGGCGAGCCGCGGGCATGCCATAGACAAGGACAGAGAGGTTAGGTGACGACAGATCAAACGCCGAGCCATACGCTGACGGGGGGGGGAGCGTCGACAGCAGCCGCAAACAAGTCGTACCATGTAGCCATCGAGACAGGAGAGAACGCCTGGACAGAGACACGTCGGGTAAGATGTTCGAGCCACCGTTAGCGACACGGAAATGAATCGAAATCACGGAGGTATCGTCAAGTGAGTAATGCTTCTCGAGCGACCAGCCACGATGAATGCAACCGACCGGCCAGCCGCGATGAATGCAATAAGAGTGCCTTGTTAAAGGACCCTACCTCGATACTCGACACCCGAATTGAGCTTGACAATAACAGGTCGTCCAAAGACATTGGACAAAAAGTCGTTGGGGGTCTGGATCAAACCGAAAGATCAGATAAGGAGACATCAGTGATCTCTCGCCTGCTACAATCGCAGTGACGCAGTTGAGACGATTGGGCTGGGCCGACCGGATCGATCAAGGGATGGTCGAGCGATGGAAAGTCTTGCAGCTCCGTTCGTAATGTGCTTTGGCTCAAACGAGGTTCAGTCTGCGTGGATCTTAATCGTCTGCTGGTCCGGGTTGGCAAGGATGGCAGTGCATCGCCGATTGTCGTTGCTGGCTTGGCTGTGCCCATATGCGACGACATTCCTCTGCGTCTTGATCGACCGCAAATTCGATCCAGTGAGTCTGCATCGTCCATATTCGATATTGGAGCAGATCGAGCGTATCCAGTCCAGCACCGCGGGCGAGTCGGGTGTGCTTGACAAGGCCGGGAAGATCGGCTCGGATCGTTCGTGAGATCATTCGTTGGCTTGAGCAGCTGTTTCGTCGCTGCGTTCTCGGCATCAGCCGCACTCCCGAATCTCCCCCGTCCCTGGCGAAGTTGCCTTGGACCGATCGCATTACCTGCTTGGGCTTGGCCGATACGTCGGCCATGTTGGATCGAGGGTGTGGGCAGATGGAGACGACGACGAGCAGCCGCGCTGTTCTCGCCGAGAACGCGAGAACGGCCATCCTCCTCGGTCATGTGGAAGTCACGCGCACGCCAAGCACTCCAAGAATCCAGCCTCCGGAGCCAGAAACCCAAGTCCCCAAGCAGCCATTCGGTGTGCCCAGCAGCCAGGCAGGCATCCCAGACTCCACACGCGGCGAGGACGGACGACGGGACGGAGAGAGTGTGCTTTCGATATGCATATTTCTTGAGTGTATGCAAGCAAAATCACCAAAACTGGGTCTACGAGACAAGATCGTCTGGTGCAGTCCCCAGCTCCCAACCCTCACAACACCGAAACACCCGAAACATCGCCGGCTACAAACTTTTTTCTGATTTTTTCACATTTTGGGGAGGGGATCGGATCCCCGGGCAGTAGTCCACGGCATCTGAAGCATCTCCAACGTGTTAAACTATACAATATAGACAGTCAGAGCGCCAAAGCGACACACATTGCTTAGTAACCCTTGAGCTTGGTGGTCTTGGCGAGGAAGTCACTGTATTCTTGGTAGGGGGACTTGGTGAATTCAGTGGGGGCCCAGAGATCGGGGGTGAGGTAGCCGTAGGTGTTGCTGATGGCCATGAAGGTGGCCTTCAGGAAGTTACCGGCGGTCTTGGTGGAACCACGGGAGGTAGTGTAGCAATCGATGATACCGGCGAGCTGGAGGAGCTTCTTGGGAACGGGAGCAGCGACGATGCCGGTACCACGGGGGGCAGGGACGAGACGGGCAGTGACGGAACCGCACTTGCCAGTGACCTTGGCGGGGACAGTGTGGGGCTCACCGAGAACGGTACCCCAGTATCCACGACGAACGGGAATGATAGAGAGCTTGGCAAGGATGATGCCGCCACGGATGGCAGTGGCGACTTCCTTGGAGCACTTGACACCGAGACCGACATGGCCGTCAAAGTCGCCGATGACGACAAAGGCCTTGAAACGGGTACGCTGACCAGCGCTGGTTTGCTTCTGGACGGGCATAATCTTCATGACCTCGTCCTTGAGCTTGGGGAGGAAGAAATCGACGATCTGGTACTCCTTGATGGGAAGGGAGAAGAGGTAGATCTCCTCGATAGAGCGGATCTTGCCCTCCTTCACAAGGCGACCGAGCTTGGTAACGGGAACCCTGTGTTCGAAACCCCAAAAATACATCAGTCCGTGCGCAACGCTGGCGGGGGGGGGCGAGGCGCCAGGGTCGCAGACAGGCGACTGTACCCAGCAGAGGACGGCAGCCAGCAGACACCACTTACCAAGCCTTCTCTTCGCCGTCCTTGCGGCCGCGACCGCGTCCACGGTCGCCACGGCGTCCACGACGATCACCACGTCCACCACGGCCAAAACCACCAGCTCCACCACGACCGCGACCTTCGGCCTGTTTCCGAGTGAGGGAGAGGATGCAGACGCCGGGTTAGCTTCTGGATGCGCATGGCAACTACCACCTGCCGATCCGTAGATCGATGAATGTCCCCCCGTCGCGCACGGGCCGCAGTCAGCGAGGATGGGTGCTGCTTACCGAAACAGTGTCAGCCATTTGCTGAGAGAAACCAACAGAAGGCGACAGAAGGAAACGAAAGCGCTGTTAGCAAGCTGGCATCGAGGCGCCGGCAGATGCAGACACACCCTATCGGCCCTTCTTTGGCACATCCATCGGTTCTCTGTTCCAGGCCGCCGCGGGAGTCTTGTGCGGCGCCGTCGTGCGTCCGACAGGAGAAATGTTTCGGGGACATAAGTCCCTCACTCCAGGCACAGCCAGGGTCAGAACGACGCCGGGCGGCCCAAGGAGCATCATGCAAAACACATAGAGCACGGATCGAAGCGTCGGCGTCCCAAACTGAGGTTCGCCACTCCGAGATCCGGCAGACGGTAGGATCGGCTCGTCGCTCCAGGTCATCGTGTTTGCAGACGAGTCAGTCCGCAGAACGGAGGCTGACATTTTTTTCTCGGAATTGGGGAGGACGACCGCAAGGGTCGCCAGCACTCGCTTGGAGCAGACATTCGACGAGTGCTGCTCCAGCGATGCAGGTCGCGGACAGCCAGCGAGTGGCTTGTACTGCGCCATCGTCTCCGCAAAGCTCTTGCTGGGCTCAGCCAAGGAGCATCCATTTCCATCCTTGAAGATGCAGGAACAGAGAATCGGGTCCGTGTGGATATGCCCATCGTGTTGCGGCTGGTAGGTGTCGGCATTGGAGCCGCAGGGAGCTCACGCGGCGGGGGCATAGTTGCTGCCACCGGCTATCAAGCTCGGATTGCCGAGAATGCACAAACGTGCACCGATCGACATTCGCATGGCCAGGGACGGATGGACGGATGGATGGATGGACGGATGGGCGGATGGATGGATGGATGGATGGATGGATGGATGGATGCATCGTCGGCGGGCAGCGCCCATACTTACAAAGTCTTGTTATAAGTGTGTTAAGGGTTGGGAAAAGCTGAAATTTACCGCTTAAAGCGAAGGAGAGAGAAACCAAAGGGATGGCCGCCACTGGTCTTTCAACAACACCCTGGCCGGCGCGGCTGGTGGCGGGCGTGCTCCGTGGCTGGCTGCGGGCTGGCCATGCGCTGCTGAGTCAGCGCGCTCGTGGCACTGAAGCCGAAGGAACGCTGAGATAAGCAGCACGTGCGAGGGCTGGGGCTGGGGCTGGGGCTCCGGGTGTCCCAAAAAGGATACATGGCCGGCTGGATCCCGGATCGAGCTGGATCGAGCTGGATCGAGCCCATCTGCTGTCGCACAAATGCATGCGCAGCCCTGTATCTGTGCGACTGGGCTGGCCAATTGCGTGTCGGTCCGGCCGCGCTGCGCACATGACGCAATGCGTCCTGTGAGCAACCACCGCGTCACGGGCGCACCGGTCGCACACGCCCTTGCTCGGGGCCTATTTCCGCTGCCACAGCAAGCACACCGCTCGCACAAGCGCACTGGGCACAATGCCGGCGCGCAACCCCTGGTTCGAGCCGCCCTTTCCTTTTCCGCCGGTCACGTGTCCGATAAGCGCCCACTCCCTTCCTCCCTTCCCGTCGGCAATCCGTCGGCAATCCGTCGTCCTTTCCCAGCGGCTTCGTCTGCCCCCACCCCTTTTGATCTCGGCCCACCCGCACACCGCTGCCGCCCTGTCTTGACTGTCGTCGCTGCTGTCGTCGCTGCTGTCGTCTGTTCTGCCGTCTCCCCCTGACCACTCCCTGCATCCTCCCCACAGCCGCCGTGCGATCGTCGTTTCTCCCAACTCTGCCACTGCCCCCCCTCCCACTTCTGTCCTGCACCAACCGCTTCTCGCTCGCCATCATGACTTCTGCGTCTGAAAAGCCCTTCTCCATCACCGCCGCCCTCAAGGTCTTGATCGAGCAGCCTGACAAGTTTACCTCTGCTCTCGCTGCCAAATGCGCCCGCGACATCATGTCTCAGAAAGCCACCCCGGCCCAGATTGCCGCATTCCTCATCGGCCTGAAGGTCTCCCGCCTCGACCAAAATCCTGACGTCATTGCCGTTGTTGCCAACGCCATGCGGAGTGCTGCCATCCCCGTCGATCTGTCGGCCATTCCCGAGCCCATCGTTGACATTGTCGGAACCGGTGGCGATGGCCAAAACACTTTCAACGTCTCGACGGCCTCGGGCATCGTCGCCGCAGGAGCTGGTTGTCGGGTTGCCAAGGTAGGTCCTATGCCGGGCTGCTGTCGTTGTGCATCGCGCCGATATGCTGAAATGAACTCTGGCGCATCGAACGTTCATATTCCCCAAATCTCACAATCCCTCACATCCTCCATATCCCACAATCCCTCACATCCTGAAACATCCTCTAAATTACCCGTGCTTTCCTTATTTACCATTTGCCCGCCCTCGCCCATCTCCAGCACGGTAGCCGCGCCTCGTCGTCTGCATGTGGATCAGCCGATGTCCTGGAGACCCTTGGCTGCGACCTGAACAACGTCGAAGCCGATCTCGTGCCCAGGCTCCTCCAGGACGAGTCGTCCTTTTGCTTCCTCTTTGCCCAAAAGTACCACCCCGTCATGAAAACTGTGGCTGGTCCGCGCAAAGAGATTGGCGTGCGAACCATCTTCAACATGTGAGTCCTGGTATCCGGGTATCGGGAGGCGGCTTTTATGACCCCGGCGACGTCTGTGCGACCGGCCTCGCCTCCACATCCGCTCTGACCGATTCCCGGCCACGGCGTTGTTTCTCGGTATAGCACCGGCCCTCTCGCCAACCCAGCCAAGCCTTCCCACGCCGTCATTGGTGTCTATTCTCTCGATTTTGCTCCCATCTATGCCGAGGCTGTTCGTCTCTCTGGAGTCAAGCGCGCCTGGATCGTCAACGGAAACGGCTGTCTCGACGAGGTATTTCCTTGCATCATCGGCAGAATTGCCCAGAAACGTCCAAAGCAACTCGCTGCGCTTGATAACTGCTGGGATTTCAACATCGAAGCACCGGTCACGGAGTTGCCAAGTCGGGTGCGCCGTGGCGAATCGAATCTGTTTCGTGGCACTGACCAGAGTGTGGGAACCGATCCCCCGGCCGTCGTCTCCGTCCCCAGGTCAGTCCCGAGGGCCCCACCCACGTTTGGTCCCTGGAGAACGATCAGATCACAAAGTTGGTCATCCACCCATCTGACTTTGGCCTCGAGGAACACCCGCTCACTAGCGTCGGAGGAGGAAGCGCCGACGAGAATGCCCAAACCATGCGCGACCTGCTGAGCAACAAGCTCCAGGGCCCTGTCCTTGATTTCGTCCTCATCAACACCGCCTCGCTGCTCTATGTCGCTGGCAAGGCCACGGATCTCAAGGATGGCGTGCGCCTGGCTCGCGAGAGCATCGCAAGCGGAAAGGCTGCCGCAGCCTTCGAGCACTTCACTCGCTCCACTGTTGCCCTCTGAGCTGGACTCGACGCCCTGACGACGACCAGTTACCCCCACTTGCTCAGTGTCGTTTCGCTGCTGCTTCCAGCATTTCCAGTCCTGGATTTTGCTTCTGGTGACCACCCTGCTCCGGTCTGTCAATACATAAACCTATACACATCCTCATGAATCGTTGCAACCGCGAACTCTGAGCTGCCTTCTTTCGCCAACTCGACCGCATGGCGGCTATCTCCAAGCTCGCAATATTATCAGATGATCGGAACTCGGTCGGCACATTTCATCTCGATAAGTGTCGCTCTATTTTCCTCCTGCGTTTCCGCCGCCGCGGCCTCCACGACCTCCTCCACGTCCTCCTCCGCGACCTCCTCCTCCACGGCCGCCGCCGCCGCCGCCTCGAGGCTTGCCGCGATTATCACTGTTATCGCGGTCGTTGCGTCGATTCGAGGATGGCTTGTTGGATGGGCCAGGCTGATGACCATCGCTGCCGGCTGTGGCCCGATTTGTGCTGGATGGGCCATCGTCCAGCTTGGGCAGCTTCTCGCCGCGGCCCTTCGGCCCACCAAATGCCTTCTTGCTATAGTTTTCTTCCAGATCTTCCTCCAGCCGGTCCTGGATCTGGCGCTTTCGGTCCAGTCGCTCCCTCTCATGAGCCTTGAGCTCAGGGCTTCTTTCTATTCGAATGTGGATCGCCGAGTTGAATCGGTGCTGTACCTCCAGATCGGCTTCGTCGTTGTCGCTTCCGGGATCCACGTCGTCCACGAGATCAACGGACGAGGTGCTGATCTCCCACCGAATGTCGTCTCCCAGCCGCTTCTTGAGCAGCAGAGCCAGGTTGACGGCGTGCTGTAACGCCGCACCCAGGCCATGAAGCACCAGAAACGTAAATCTGTGCAGATCCGGGCCGGCGTGCGTGTCCCATTGGAATGGATATGGTTAGTTTGCGGAATCGGTCGAGTCGAGGGAGGGGGCGTTGCCTTTTTGCATGCCATTCATCCATTCATGGCGAGCGATGCAAGAAGTGTGTGTGGGTCGGGGTGGAACGCCGTGAGCCATTCCTTCGGAGCGCTCGACAGACATAGCCTCGGAGCCATCACAGATTCCCAGCTCGAAGCGATCACAGATGTTTTTCGAGCAGTTCATCCACGACGTGATCTAGTGCTGGATTGCACCCATTGGCACCCTCGCCGATCGCATCCACTCCATCGGCAGAGATCTGCTCCCACATACGTCGGTGATTCAATCTTCTTGATGGCCCGCTGCACCAGAGCGGGCAGGGGACTCTTCCGGGATATGTAGAGATCTGTTTCCAGCGTGGGCAGTCGTTGAGGCGGACGCTTGTGCCTAAGCGCTAGAACCCCCAGATTCCATCCAAAGCCAAAGCAGTGAGGAGGCAGCCGATGTGCATATACCAGGTTGTGGGAGCTGTGTGTGATCTGCTCGAAATCGGGCCGCAGTCTCGGCCAAGCAAAGATGCCGGCGACGGCCCAGGTCCCACCCACGGATATGCATGTCGTTGTTTGGGCAACACTCGGCCAAGGCAACGACACAATCTGCCCAGCAAAGAGCGTCAACTTACAGCGCTGTCGCTGCAGGTCCGGGTTCGGTGTGAACTTTGCTTGTGCTCCTTGCGGTGCTCTCGACATGGCAAGCTCGTTCTTGATGGGCGAGATCGGTCGTGCTGTCCGGGATCAGCCGCGATTGAGACCGGCTGCAGATCACAGATCACAGGTCGCAGATCGCAGGTCGAGCAAGAAGCCTGCTTTGTTGGCGGCGAGCAGAACAGGCCAATCGCAGCGCGCGCCGGTTCCCTTGGACGGAAAACTCCCACACCGCGGATTGTCGTTTATTGATTTGGTGCATTACGATCCATCGCTCCCTTCATCAAAACGGCCGGAAGCATGCTCACGGTACGCAAGTTGATCATGGCCACTCATCCAAGCTCAACTTGCCAGCGGCGACCATCAGCAACAACGAATCGTTGGCTTCCAGACACAGTGAGCATACTGTTTGGTTGTGGTAGCGATAGGCAAGTGAGTATTCAGGTCCCAGAAAAAGACAGCTCTGGCTCAAACCAGGGCGTCCCCTTTCAAACTGCGTGCGCTGTGGCATCCACCTTGGCCAACTCGCTCAGCGAAATCCCTCTTTAGCTTCGGAAACCCGTCCGATCGATCCATCTGCAACTCTGTTCTCGGGAACAGCGTCTGGGCTCCTTGCTTGGCTCGGAGATACAGACCCCTGTGCTGCTTCGACACCCGGCGGACACGGCCCGTATGTGGCATCCATAAACTCCACCCAGCGAACAATTACTTCGCGGATCTTTGCCCAGTCCTGCTCCGTTCTGTTGCGACGAGCGGTCACGTCTTCCACTGGGATATGGATGTTTTGGAACGGATCAGGCTCCACGACATCCTTGCATGTGTCCGTGGGAGCCCGAAACCACTCGCGGTGTTTCTCCTTGCATGCTCCGGGACAGCCAATATGACCGGGACTGAATCCTCGCTCGCGCAGTTCGATGTGGATGAGTCGCTCGGTCCGGTTTGCATATCTGCACCTTGGCAATTCGGTCGTGAAAACGGCTCCTCGGAAGTTTTGAGAGGGTCGAGGGCTCGGAAAGAACTCAATCAGCTTTGGAGTAAAGCCGCACTTTTTTTCCATTTGGCTGAAGCGGCGGTAGGGATTTCTCGTTCGCCCTGGGCAGTATTGCAGGGGGGTCAAGCATGTTCGCGCGAAAGAGCAGGAAATGCCAATCAGCAAGCATGGCCATGTTGTCCCTCCGTGGCTCGATTCTTTCGCTGGATTCTCCTGCCTCTAGAATGATCTCTTCGCTCACCAATTTTGTACATCTTGAGCTCATTCTTTGAATCTACAGAGGCATCTGAACAAACGACGATTGTGAGCTGCTCGTGGCTGCTACGACCGGTCGATGCCACCCAAAGGCTTTTGCACCCATTCGATCAGCAGGTCGCATTGGAGTGCTCGGCATACTAAATATACAAAGATACGAGATATGCGGGATACTCTGTGTCTGGGATGACCCCTCTGGCAATCAGTGCAGGATCATCGACAACATTCGTGTCCTGCTTGACCGGAATCCCCGACCACCTACCAGGCCGCAGCTCGAACACATAGATGTATCCGTCTTGGTCCTTGTCTGATATAGGTTTGCTCATCTCGGACCGCAGTACCAGACGCGAGCGCTCAGGGAGGTCATCGCAGATCCATTCTGTGATGAGCGGACGCCGGTGAGAAGTGAGAAGTGAGAAGTGAGGATAGTTCATAAGCGAGTCTTATCCAGACGGGGGAATGAGGGAAATCGACGTCGGCCCGCGCTCGCTTTACCGCTCTAGGACTGCACTTACTGTCGTAGTTGATTGTAACATTGTTGGCTGGGGATTCTGATAGAGGCCAGGAGCTTGGTTCCAGGGGCAGTTTGCACGTTTGCGTGGCCGCCGGACTGACACTCACAAAAGCCCTGTCAACAAGCCTCTCGTATCTGTGGTCCTCGGGCAAGTCGCTGGTCGTTCGTTGCGTCTGCTGTGAGGTTGTGGAAATTTCCGGGCTGGCAAATCGCACGACCCGCTTTGGTCTCTCCAGCATATCGAGGGCAGCAGGCAGCTCTGTCTCCAACCCCAAGTTACTTGAGCAGGTAGACTGGGATGGGCCGGAAGTTGGCGGCGATGGACTCGCTGTCGGCTGCGGTGCCAGACTGGGTTCGTTCGAGGCAAGGAGGGCACCAAAATAACATGAAGCGACTTCGAACATGGCTGCAAGATCATCTCCAGTCCGCATGCATGAATATCCATCGAAAAAGCCACATGGCTCTGGCACCGGGAATGCATCCACCGTGCATTCGCTGCTTTGGGTGGACAACTCGAGCATTCGGTGGGTCACCTCAGCGAGTCCCGAAGCAACGTCCGCCGAGCTAGCCATAGTGCCAATACCCGGTGCGGTTGTTGCATCTTCATGGTCCCAACAGCTTGCGAGGCTGCTTTCAAAGTCACTGCTGCTGCATCGGCCGCTGAAGCAGCTGATCATGCCACACCCCTCGATCCTGTCGGGTTGGCTGTCGCTGGCGAGTTGATGCGGGAAGCTCAAGCGTGCTGGTTGGTCAATCACCGACTGGATTGGCTCACATTTCGGAGTCGGAGGAGCACATCGAGCACCCACAGTGAGGGCATGCATCGACAGCGTGACGCTGTCCAGATCCCTGGCCTGTCGTAAATCCTCGGCGATGCTGCGGAATGGGGTGCGGGTGGATCCCAAAGCATCGCCATCGTCCAAGTCAGCAGCCTCAGAGTCGCTTGAATCGGACCCATCGTTGTCGTCGCTATCTGTGCCAGTTGGCGAGTCCCGAAGCCGCATGTCATATTGGTTCCGGGGAGACGATGCTTGACTTTGGTGGAAGCTGCAATAAATGCGCTGCCGGGTGAGCGGGGAGAGTACCGCTGCTTCCGCTGACGATGAGAATGGCATTGATGATAATACCGGGCTCCCAAGAGGCACTGAGACACGGCGCTCGCAGGTCTTGCCGGTGCTGGTGGCGATCCCAGAGCAACGGACGACTTGGGTTGGCGTCTTTTTGGATCGTGGGGGCGAGCGATCCGGAGGCGTTCGAGGTGAGCCACTCACAGGGATGCGTATATCCGGAGACCGGGGACATGTGGGCTTCATAGCTCAGGGAGGGCTTCGGGCCAAGCGGGTCGTGGGCAGGGAGATGCAGGGCAGGCAGATGCGGGGGAGGAGCGAGCGACAGGGGTGAGCAGCAAGGGGCGGATCGCGGCAACTTCGCAAGGGTGCAAGATCGCCTCCATGGGTGTCGACCAAACATGTCCGGCGGGGCATGGAAATGGCGCCATCAGTCCACATGCCCGACTCCTTCCAGGCATCTTGTATTGACTGAATCGACTGGCAACTTGATTGCTCAGCCATTGGCCCCGCTCATGTGAAGGATGACACTCGCGCCAACAATCATCCCGCCGTATGCAAAGCCCGCCGCGCTGAAGTGCCGGCCCAGAGACGTCCACCATGGCGAGTAGACGTATCGGTATCCTGGGTCCCCCACCAACCACACAGCCAGCGTCATGCCGATAATCTCGGTAAGCATCGTGCTGATGACATTGCTGGCGATCAGACCAAGCCACAGCTCCATCGACGGAACAAACAGCGAGCACGGATGATGCGAGCCATCGCACGAAAATGCCTGAAAGCAAGTGATGTCGCAGGGCTGGGGTCAAAACGCAATGGTCGCATTTTAAGATGCGTGACAGATAACCTCGTGGATAAATGACTTACCGAAAGAACGCCGGTGTAGTTGGTCAGACTCATCAGCGCCAAGATTCCGAGGGGATACATGCTGGCGATCATATCTGTGCCCTAACCATACGAGAACCAACCTGCTGTCAGCAGCAAATCACCACCAAACTCCCCGAGCGACAGCCGCACAGAAGCGACCTGCATCGCCGCCAGCCACTGTGATCTGCGCAAACGGCCATCCTCACTATGAAAATTGCTCGGACGCTCGAGTGCTCCAGAAACTCCACAAAAGGCAGAACAATCCCCGTGAGTTGCAGAAGCTTAAGTCCTAGATTTGTGCGAGCCAGCACTAGCAAGTGTAGCGGAGCGGAGTGTCAGTCGTGGCAATCGGGAGCGGCTCGGCGTTTGTTTTTGAGCCTTTCTGGGCCATGTAGAGGGCTTCGTGGCTCGGCACCTTCTCACCATCAAGTATCACCGTTGCAACAATGTTGAGGACATATGCTCGCAACGACTGCGACATGGATGCAAGTCGCAGCATCACATCGATACCCTGCAAAATCACCATGGTCCATCAGCAAGCATCGCGGCACTGCTTGGAGCATGCTCGCACAATCACAAGGAACATACAGCAAAGCCCGCCGTCACAAAAGCCGCAACATGGGCTCTCTGCGGCGGTGTCCAGATATCTTCGCAGGTGGCGATCCGTGTACATTTTGCCGTCAAGGTTGCTTGTTTGCGAGCCGGACCGCTGCTGCATCTTTCATGCTTTGCCCGAGCCGTGCTTGGCTCCACCGCAACCGGGAATATGAGTCTCTCAAAACCACGTAGATTGTCTTCACCAATTCGGGCGAGGTGCGAGTCGATAACGAAGAACGATCGTTCGAGCAGCCATAGGGCAAAGATTCCACACAGGTTGAGCACCACGGGCACTGTGATGTAGCCTGTATCGACTGCGTTGGTGCTTTGGGCCACAAAAACCGCCCAGTTCATGTAGGCCCAGAATCCTACGCCAAAGATGCATACCAGCACAATGAAGCAGACGAAATACCCCACCAGCAGCGGCAGAACCAATATTACAAACGTCCGGAAGGGAATCACTTTTGGAATGATGCATAGCCCAATGACCAAAACGACGCAGAAGCAGACCAAGGCGACAGAAAACAAAAGGATGGTGGATGGCGAACGGAGCATCAGCGGTGATAGGAGAATCGACACTCCACTGGTCATAAACAAGGCAGGGATGCGCCACGAGAACAGGCATTTGATGCTGCTGAGGACGTGGGAGTTGCTTCAAGATCCACGTAGAACGAGCAGTCGGGATAACCACACAGCAATGAGTGTCAAGTCTGCGCCAGTTCCCGGGTAAGCACATGGTGGTATTGTATCCATGAGCGGGCGCTCGACCGGGCCGAGGACACATCCGAGTTGCCAGGTGCGCACTCCTCGGTGTACATGGAGATACTGACCAGGTAAATATGATCACGCATATGAACACGAGCTGTGTGATGTATACCAGCTTCTGCGATACAGTGCACAATTCCTCGCCAGCGAGATTGATGCATTCGGGAATTTGGTCGCGAAAATACAGCCATGGGATGAAGTGTACGATTTGGAGAAGTGTCGCCAGTACGAAGGGAGCCAGGCACATGGCCAGCTGCATGCAGTCTGACTTTGTGAACCGCACATCCAGAAGAGTTTTCCAGCGGCACGGATGCCGGTCGGCATGGCCACTCGTGCTTGACACTTGCAGACCGCTTGTCTTGCTGACTGCTGAAAATCTTGGGTCGCGCACACCAAGAAGGTGGCTCGCTTCGCCTCTGCTCTCCCTGATGGACCCATCCGTGGGGCCGCAATGGCTGGCGATACTTGCGCGAGCTGGGGAGGAATCTGTTGGTTCGACGTTGATATCCGGTGGCATTTGGAGGAGTAAATCAATTCCCATACATGGAGAGACAGGGCACTCGGCTTGCTCCGCCCGGTAACTTTGGCGAGAAGGGAACTTCCCAGGTGATGTCACTCAAGATCCTCCTCAATCACCATCCTCTCATTGTTCATTGCAACACTGCATGACATAGATATGGAATCGGTGGACAGTGATGCTCCAAGATGCAGACTTCACACATGAGCAAACGGGACACCCTCACGACTCCATTTGTCAGCGTAGTATGCGATGGCTTGCGTCCAATGGAGACACATGCGATTCAACAAATCCCCTCCGAGTGAAGACCTCCGGTCGCTCTCCGGTATCCACAATCGACATGCACTGCTCAAAGTACCGAGCAAACCGCTGCCTCCTGGGACTGGGTGCATAGCCCTTGCCCTGTCGCCATGACGCAGTGCCAGCGGTGAATGGTGCTCTTGGACACTGAATATGGCCAGGGTGCGATGGTATTGGATAGCAAATTATTCGGTCAATGACCAAAACCAGGGTATCCCGTTTCTTTCTGGATCGGCTGTAATACACAAAATCGACGTCAACGTATCACCCACAGTTATGGACCTATATTCAGCAGACAATACCAGTTCATATCCACTGATCTCTCGACCAGCAGCGCGACGAGTTTCGAGACTCAAGCCCCAAGGGCGGGTGCCATTCACAGAAACTACTTGTTCTGCGTGAGGCGACTGAGCGCCTGGTGGAACAGGAGTCTGGAGGACGGACGCTGCAGATAACTCATCGGCCTTTGCAGAGATTCATCTGCCGTCTGCGGCCGGATATCAGGGACCGCCGCTTCGGTTTTGACCTGCCGGACAATCTTGACACGGCTCGACTTGGCTTGCGTGTCAGTTTGTGATCGGAGTGCACCTGTTTCGGAGAGAGGAGGCCCTGTTCCAACGATGGAGAGTCCTATTGGCTGCGACGATGCCGATTTGCCCTCATTCGGAGGCTCGGGGAGGTTGCGTGTGGTGGTGGCTTGGGCGTTAACGAGGCCGCCAAAGCTCATCAGAGCAGGCGTGGAGAGGCTGTTATCAGGTTTTGTGAAGCTATCCCGTCGCGAGAGATCCATGTTGCGCGATACACCTTGATGGCTTCTCGCTAATCCCTGAGGAGAGAGTCCGGGCTGTGTCGTGGAGGTCGTGGATATGCGCAGTGAAGTACTTTGGCGATCTCCGGAGCTTAAGTCTACAATACACTTCGGGGACCGCTGAGCCGTCTGGGCAGCGACATCGATGTAGCTGCCATCACGGGCTTCGTTTGGATACTTCACATGGTGCCTCTGGCCCGTGGGCCGACTCTCAAGGATCGGATCCAGAGAGCAGCGAACTATTTGTGTCGGAGGCTTGGTTAGCGACAGGCCATCCAAACCATCTGAGCCTATGTCGAGTTTGGTCCGTTTTCGAGCCCCGTCGCCTCTGTCCACGTTGGTCTGGCTGGGTGCTGAATCTGTACTCCGGATACGCTTGCGCTGCACGGACAGCCCCGTGCTACTGACGAAGCTTTCGTCTTGCTCCATGATAACTGTGCGTTTTCTTGTGGGCTGCGCGCCCGCGCTGCCTGGGCGATCAGCATCGACGCAAATGCGCAGAGATTGGGCGGAAACCAATATCGTAGAAGCCGGTGGCTGCGCTGTGTTCGCAAGCTCGGGTGTTGAGGCTTGAGCAGGACGATGCCCAGCCGTACGAGATGGCAGTTTTGATGGCTCTTGCGTCGAATGTGGCCTATTGGGGCTGTTTGAGTCAACATGAGCGGGTAATTGTGCCTCTGGAGCGACTGTAAATTTGCTGGGCTGAGTTTCAGCGATCGGCACTGGAATCCGATGCCAGGACGGCGTCAGCTGGACATCGACCTTCGATCCAATGGGGGCTTCGAAGAACTGACAGCCAAAGTAGCTCAGTTAGCGCCATACCGGATATCTGCGAGGACAGCCGACACCCGGGCATAGAACATGTGCCTACTTGGATTAGTCGCACGGTGTTGCAAGCAGACCGCTGTAGCTTTTCCTGGTGGGGACGGTACGATGGTCAACAGTCGTCAATGTTGAACGTGCCGCAGCGAGCAGAGACAGGACGATCAATTTACCGGAGCTTCTTGGGCAGCGCCAGCGCAATGCATCTTGACCAATCTAATCCTTTCGGAAAACTCAGCGCCTCGCGCGTGTAAATTTGGGTTCTTTGATAATCGATGTGGATTCGTCTGAGTGAGCGCGGCTTCGCATAGGCACGATACATGCATGCATGCGGAGACGGAAGTGGCGCTTTACCATCTTTTCCAGCAGATAGAGCCCGTAGAGCAGCGCCTCTGCAGTGCCAGTCAATGTAAGCTCGCATCAGTACGGTGGCTGAAGAGGGCACCGACCCGCCATGATATTCACCGGCATCTTCAGAATGTCCGCGAGACCTACCGAATTTTCCTGTCGCTAAGGCACTCGGAGACATCTCCACCTTGGCCTCCTGTTGACCATTCGACGTCGAAGGCGCGGCTTGGTCAATCTCGAGCGACACTGTTAGCACTCAGACCACTCTGCCTGCAAACCCAAAACCATAATCAAGCCATCACCGCGCCAGTAGCAAACAAGGATGATGATGTTACCGTGAATAGCTTTTGGATCATGGTATAGAGCCTGAGCAGAGCTGATGGCTCGGATCGGAGGATCGACTCGGCAAGGAGGTCAACGGAGAGCTTGATGAGCTGAACCTGATGCCGGGCTGCCAGTTTTGTGTGCTGCTCGACCAGTGAATCGACAAGATACAGCAGCAACGACGGCGACGAGGCTCCGCGTTTCAAATGCAAGTGGGCAACTTTGCCAATTTCCATGAGTCGTCGAATCCCGGCATCGTCGCGGAACTGTGTCGTGATGTGTGAGGTAAGAATTAGATCACGACCGGGGCCCCGCAGAGGGACAGCCCAGCCTGTACTCCACTGGCCTTTCCGACCAACATCCAGTATCACATCGGACGACGTCGGCACATACATCAAAGGGTGCGCTCCGTAGAATTCCGGCTTCAAGGTCAATCCATATATCGCCGATTCGAGGCCCTACTGAGCAGATATCTTGGAGCCGCATCACAATCGACCTGATACTCTCAGCGTGGCCCCCGAGAGTCTCCATCGATGAGATCTGCAGAACGAACCCTCCGCCGGGCGAATAAAGTGAGGAGCGGAGATCTGACTCGTTTCGAAACCGTCCGGAAAGAAAGCGGCTGTTTCTGGATCCGAGCTTTCCATCTCCAGCGGTGTCCTACCTACCGCTCGTAGCAGCTCAAGAAGACAGTCCAGGGACTCGGATGACTCCAGATACGTGTTTGCTTTATCCAGAATCTCGGTTTGGAGGAAGCCCAGGCTTCCACTCCGAAGCTCAACGCTGCCGGTCTGAAAGTGAGTTCTCAGCTTTTTGGCGACAGCTTGGTTGATGATGGGTTCGGCATATTGGGGGTTGATGAGTTGGAGGTGAAACATCGGAACGACATTGATCCAGGGTTGCTGGACCCAGATCTCACTGCACAACGACATTGATCCGATTCGCGACTGCGAGGGAATGCTGCCAATGCTGGTTCTGGGGCCCAGCCCGACAGACAATGATCCCAGACATCAGCCCTTACCTATGGAACTCTGCTTCCAGATACATCCGAGTCCGACTTTGACAGCTTGTAGTTCGTCTGGCGATTCTAGATGGACCAAGCTGATGAGTCGATCGAGCCATCCTTATCCCCGATTTTGTCCGCCATGACATAATCAAACTCATATGCTGAACGATGCTGTCAAAATTGCGCTGCTCTACACTTGGATGGTCCCGAGAAAATCACGAACCGCTCTGTAACAACTGGACCAAGACGTCGGCGATCCGGTCGATGTAGTTCGGGGTGTCTTTGGCGAACAGCGACAAGTACCGCATTGCATCGAGTCGGACTTTTGTATCATCGTCTTCGCACAGATCCAGGTGCGCATTGACGGCTGCCTCCTGGATCTCTGCCGGAAACAGCTTGAAGTGCTTGGGAATGGCAGCAGCGACCATTCGCTTGAGCTGCGAGTGAGGAAACGTCCTCAGGGACAACAGAGTGGAATACGCTGTGATGTACTGGATGGCATGCGATACATTGGGAACGTGCAGTCAGCGACCGGACATCAGAGGCGGGCTTGCACGCAGTTGCTCCCGTTGAAGCAAGGTATATCTGCGTGGTTCTTTCGCAACGGCCGAGATCCAGATCCAGACGCAAATCCAGACGCAAATCCAGACGGTGCATAGCGTGGCAGTCCGTCGCTTGACATACCCTAGCGCTGTTCCGAGGCAGGCTATCGAGCCCAGTGAGACTCGCCAGAGCATTTGCGGCCTCGTAGTACTGCGACGATGCGTCCTCCATGCCGATCGATCTGGAACACTCAGGCGCTGTCGTTTGCAGACCCCAAAGCACTTGAATCCGCCACTCAATGTCGCCGTCACGTGTCGCTTCTCATGTGGCAGAAGCGTGGCGCGATCGATGCTGCGCACCAGTCCGTCGCACAATGCGGGTTCGCAAACGCCCATTTTCTCATGGACCATGCACAACCTGGAGCGGCGCTGGGTAATGAAGGAACAGGGCAAAAAAATACACTGTATTCAGAGGGGTTCGGGACACTCACATGCCAGCGTAGTATGTGATGGCATGCGTCAAGCTGAGCCATAAGAAGGGCGATGTGGATGGCGACGGTGCGCTTGAATTGCTCAAAGTACCGAGCACACCGCTGCCTCCTGGGACTGGATGCATAGCCCTTGCCTTGACGCCATGACGCAATGACAAAGGCGATAACGACCTCGGTCTCCTTTGGCATACTGCATGGCCATGGTAGCGATGGGTGTGTGTATTCAGGTCCCAGCAAACAGAAACTCCCATGGCTCAAACCAGGGTGTCCCGTTTCGTTCTGGGTACGCTGTACACTTTATTCAGAAAAAAACGGGACAATATAGCCGTTTCCATGAACATGTAGTATGTGCTGTGCTTGCGTCAAGCAAAGCCACAAGAAATAAAACAGATCACTTTGGCAGCCTCCGAGTGAAGACCGCCGGTCGCTCTCCGATCTCCACAATCGACCTGCATACTGTGATCATGTTGCGCGCCGCATTGACGTCGCGATTCCACACTGTCCGGCAGCTGGGATTCTTGCAGCTCCTGACAAAGTGGGAATTCGCAACACTGGGCGCATCGAGTCCTTCCAACCGAACTGGCTCCAGGCAGTTGGAGCACACCTGCGAGGTGTTGAACTCGTTCGTCGAGGCCACCTTGACGCTTCCATGATGGTGATTGGGACGGCGTCGGTGGTGCTCGAATTGCTCAAAGTACCGAGCAAACCGCTGCCTCCGAGGGCTGGATGCATAGCCCTTGCCCTGTCGCCATGATGCATTGCCAAAGGCGATCACCACATCGGTCCGTATCGGGGCGTGCTTCAGGACGGCCTTGCACATCTTGTCGACGGCCACTTGGCGCCTCTTGTGGCCCGTGAATCGATGGTGACGGGCCTTCTTGCCAAGGTGGAAGTCGAGCTGCACTCGCAGCTCCGGTCGCAGGACATGGGTGAGATGGACCTTGAAAGCCTCCGAGGACGACACCTTGGGCGAGGGGTGGTCGACATCCAAGTCTCGATGCTGAGTCGATACTTCATGGTGTTGTGCCACTCAGTATTGGACGTATGGCCACACATGTGCTGGTAGTGGCCATTGGAGAATGAGACCACCTCGTCTTGGTGGCCCGGTGCTTGGATGACTGCCGTGAAGATGGAGCCGACTCCAGGATCGATGCCAATCCAAGTGGTGCGGTTGGGGTCTGGGTCGCCAATGTGCTCCTGGATACGCTGCTCGGCAGTCGGAGGAGGCTCGATGGTCTCGGTGCGATTGGTTCGACGCACAAACTTGACGAGGCCGATGGTGCATCCAATGCCATCGGTGCTGATCTCGTAGTTGAACAGCTTGTGATTGATATCCCGGTCACGGAAGAGGGAACTACGCAGCTTGAAGCAACTGCGCCAGAGACGATCCTGGTTGTTGACACCGTCCTCACCTTCTTCCTTGAGCTTGTCCCGGGTGAGTCCAAGGCGTTTCTTTGGACCCAGGAGATCCCAGAGAGTGACGGTGTCAATCTTGACATACTTGGCCGTGGCAGTGCACAGAGGAACTATCGTGCACACGGCCGGAGGAGTGTCGACGGCGAGCTGCTTGAGGGCCCAGTTGATCCTGGATGCCAGCTTGTTGATCTTGGACTTGGTGGTGCCAAGCTCCGACTTGGCCGTGGTGAACCTCTTGTCGTCGGAGGGAATGCCTTGGGTAGTGAGCTTGTCCAGCTTGGCCTGGCGCTGCAGCTCAGTGACTCGGAGGGCGGGCATGTCACAGTCGATCCACTTGTGGACATTGTCGACCATCTTGTCTCGGGCGAGGATTCTCACATGGTGTGAGAGGCGATGGAGGGCCCGGAAGCGGTCCTGGTCGCTGCTGTACCGAAACTCGTCCAGGACGTGGCCAAAGTCTGGATAGAGGAACTCGAGATCGGCCTTGGGTGGAGTCTGCCCTGGTTTCTCGAAGAGCTCGAGACAGGCCTCGATGGCTTCGTGCTTGTGCTTGTTGGCTGGGAAGACGGCAGCGCAGAAGCGGCGAAGGAGTCGCCAGTAGGCCAGGTCGAGGTGGGTGGTGCAGTTGGTGGCATAGGCATTGACAGCCAGGGTGAGAAGCTGACTGTGTGCACCATCAGGCAGACGAGGGGCCGGAGGCAGGTCTGCGTGCCGAGTGGTCTGGTAGATGCCAAAGGAAACAACCAACTGCTCGTTGTACTGCTCATTGTCCCCGGTCGGCGAGAGGGCACCGGCCTCGACAATCGTGAAGCATTGGCGGATGAATGCAGGTGTGGACTTGGAAATGACGGGGACGGGAAGATCCTGCTCGATGCACCGGAGGATGTGCAGGTTGAGCAGCCTGGATGCCTCGAATTGGATCTGGGTCATGGCCTCGACGGTGGCCTGGATCTTGTCGCGGAGAGCGGGATTGAGACAACAGCCATCCATCGTCTGCTTGAAGCAGCTGAACTGAGGGGCGGATGACCTTCCATCCACGAGTGGGACGACAGAACTCTTGAGGGGGTGATATTCGGGACACCTGTTGGTGTTGCTTCGCTGATGATCGGTACCGTCGCACTGGCGACATCGCTTGCCGGTACTCGAGGAAGTAGATGGACCAGGCTCGGTGGGATCGACATCCATTGGATCTGCAGAAGCAGTGGTGGTGAGCGACGGAGCAACAGACGACCAAGCATGCGTGGGGTCAGAATACGAACCAGAGACAGGCTCCGACTGTGACTTGGCTTTCTTGGGCCTGGGTGGCCGAGGCTGGCCATCACCGGTACCCTTGCGCTTCGGAGGCATGGGGGCAGAGGATGCTGGATGCCTGCCAGTGGTACTGGTCAGAACAGAGACTTTTTTTATCGTACAATAGCGCGATGATCAGATCAAGGCGAGATGAGGGAAGAAAGCAGCAGGACGAAGGTGTGGCATTTATACCCGAGAGCAGGAACCCGTCTTTGCGGGCTGGTTGGGGAAGTGACCCTGTTCAAAAATCGCCGAGAGGTTCAAGCCAGGGATGTGAACGCGAAAATGGCGGCTTGATTGGGGGACTAAACCCCAAAATGATGGGGACTCAACCCCAAAGAAGTTCTCGATGGGATTGAAGTCGGGCGAGGCAGGTGGGGTGAAGATCACTGACCATCCTCGGCGCTCGATGCAGTCCAGGACAGCCCTTGTCTTGTGCATGCTGACATTGTCCATCACAGCCACAGAGTCGTCTGGGAAGGTCGCTCGCTCAAAGAACTCGACCATCGAGTGTGTCTTGAATGATGTGGGGATGTACATGCGATGCAGCACACCAGAGTGGTTGATGGCAAATGCAGCCGAGACAGACTTGTGTTCCATGTGATTGCGCTGGCGAAGCGGAGCACCCCTCGGTGAGTATCCGTAAAGAGGAAAAATGGATATCCTGATCCCTGTCTCATCGACAAAAACGAATCGTCGTGGGTCGATGGAGCGGGCCTGGTCCCTGAACTGTGCCACTCGCTCATCCAGTCGCTTGGACTTGTAGAGGTAGGTGTGTTGCCCTCTTGTGTGAGAGACCTGCTCGGTGGATGGCAGTGTGGCAGAGTGAGAGTGATACTTTCCTCTGGAGGATGGACTCGAGCTTGCATCGCAGCACAGGACCAGTCTGGAACGGGTCCTGTTCAATCAGGGTGCGAATGACTGGACATGCCTGCTCGAAGAAAGTGGATCTGCGAGCTGGGACCCGGGATGGGTCATCCAGCTTGCATCCTCGGTGCCATCGATGGATGGTGCTCTTGGATACACTGAATATGGAGGCGACCTTACGCAGGCTATGGATGAGGGCGTAGCATCGCAATGCGGCGGTGCGAAAGTCGGATGTGTGGCGAATGGTCATGGCCAGCGCGCGATAGCATTGGGTAACAAAATATTCGATGAATGGTCAAAAACCCGGGTGTCCCGTTTTTTATTGGATTGCCTGTAAAATGAAAACTCGAGACAGGTGCTTTGTCGCTCGCCAGTAGCAAAGCTCGTTCGCCAATAGCCAAGGCCGCTCGCCACTGCCCGCGCTGCTCCCCAACACTTGTGCCGTCGCTCGATCCCATGCCCCCCTCAGCCCTCCCTTGGCTCAATGAGCACCTCTCTCTTCTGTTATGCAGGCGTGCCGGATCAGCCCTTGCTGGCCTTGGTCTTGGCAGCCGATCCCTTTGCTCCGGCAGCTGTCTTGGCCGAGTCCTCTTGCATGGAGGCTCGCACCTCGCTGATCATCTCGCTAACAGCGCTGTACCATTCTTGAATGTTTGTTCCCGGGCGCGCGGTCAGCAAAAACGAGCCGGCCGACCAGGTCAACGCCAGGGTTTTCTCGTTGCTGTCGGTGAAAAGCAGGCCGTTTATCGCAGCAATTGTGACAATGAAGCCTTTCTCTTTCTGCAGATGTCAGAGCAAGCATTGGGTATCAGGCCACTGGACGGCAGGGCACACCGGTCTGTCCGTCGTAGATGCACCGACGCCAATCCACGACATGCTCAAACGAAACCACTTACTGGGTTCTTCGAGTCTTCAAAGACCAGGAAGGGATTTTCTGGAGCGCGGCAGATGATGCAGTTGATCTTCTTCCACTTTTGGGGAAAGAAGCTTCCAGTGTCCTTCCAGATGAACGAAAACTCTTCAAAGGCCTAAATGCGGTCATCCAGACACCGATGAGCGATTCCAACAGCAGGGAACGTGCCATTTGCGGCGCTGCAAGTGAGTCTGTCGTAGCTCACCAGTTTCTTGTCACTCAGTTTGTAATCCTCAGCTCCTCTGACTCGGTTGGCTGCCGCGGAGCCCGTCGATTTCGATTGTGTCATGACGCTGCTTCCAATCGTTCCGGCATGCGTTTCCTTGTAGACCACCATCAAAATGGGTGAGATCAACATATGCTGGATGACTGTCAGGCAGAACCACTGCACAAAGAGGCGGATCACTGAGCGCTCGCGGAGACTCTGAGTGTTGGAGCCGACATTGGGTAGGATGATGATGCACGCCAGGACGATCGTGTACACCGAGATGCTAGTCTCAAGCGCCTCTCCGAATCTGTAGACCACGATCATAGAATGTCAATATCAGAAACTATGCGTCTCTCAGGACTCCTCATCGGCATCGAGATTGAGTAAAGCGATCGGACTTACTGGCGGGGGACATTACGGGTCTTGTACGCCAAGAATACACAGAGAAGCAGGAAGATGCCGTTCAATGCGTAGAGTGCGCCGATGGTTCCGCTCGAGACTGACGTGTTGTTTGGTGTGCACAGTTGAAGCTTTCGAAGTCCAATCTGAGTCACCGTGACGGACTGCGGATTCATGCCATGGTTGACCGCCAGCAAGATCTGCAAGGGTTGGCAGAGGTATGGGAGTGCAGTGATGGAGGAAGCAGGGAGGCGAAGACAAAGTGAGGACTGAGCACTCTATTGTTGATATCATGACCCACACTTCTGGCCGGGTCATACTGCGACGGAACTTTCAGCCTACCGTCTCGGTCAAGCAGAACACGCCCGTGATTGTCAGCAGGAATGAGTCGCTCAAGTTTCTTCGCACGAGCTTTGCGTTATCTGCGAGTCGGAGATTTCCAAGTGCTGGTCAGCTATACCAGGGCCACGGAGATGTCACTTTGCCGATCCACTTGAGCAGTAGGCACGTACCAAAAATACACCACAATCGCCAGGCCTTGACGCATATAGATGACTAGATGAAGCAATTGGATGATCAGAAGCTCAGGATAGCCAAATCAATGACACGATGGCACAAGACCCGGGTCGTCTGTACTGCAAAGCGACATGCGAACGTACAGTAACGAGAGAAAAGCCGAGGCCCATGAGCCATGGCTGGATATAGCTGTGCAGCAATGACAGTGGTATTGCCAGATCCGCAACAAACAATCGATGGTCGTCGATGCAAAGGATGGCATGTGTTAGAACGTATCAATCAATCCACAGCGAGCAGAGACATGACGATGCAAGTGGAAGGAGCGATGAAGGGACTGGGCGCAGCGCAACTCGGACAGGACGAGATCAGAAGCACCCCTTACCAGATCCATGTGTTGCTGCCAACGTTTGCAATGTCAATCACACTTTGAACGCCCCAGAGACAGAGGCCCACCTAGATATGGCCGACAATTGCGTTCAGGATCAGGCTTGATCATTTATCGCCAGAACAATATCCATAGTCCTTTCCGGGATCCCATACATACCAGCAGAATCGAGTTGAACAGAGGGCCACGTTTCATGACCAGCGGATGACGCTTCAAGTAGATCATGAAAACGAGGGACACGACGGAGATGCAGATAGACAGGGCAAAGAGCACAGCGATAAAGATAGACAGTCCGTCGATGAGCCCTGTCTCGGGAACAACATAGCTGAGCTGATCAAAGGTGAAGACCGGATAGTCGAGCGGGACGCTGGAGCCTCCTCCGCTCCAGGTGGGGCTGCTTGTCATGTTGATGCTGGAAGTTGAATAGTTGGCAATGGCGCTGTATACCACTGTGGTGCCAACGCTGCTGATTTGCTTAATATATCCAGGCCTTCGAATAGATGATCAAGTTGATTAATACTTTTCAAACCGAGCCTCAGATACACTTCCATTTGGGCAAACACTTACAACACAGCGCTGCCCATGGGGTCGAGACTTGAAGAGCGCAAGTAGACAGCCCGATTCGTCAAACAGCAGAGCAGTTCCCATAATGTTGTTGGCGTCATAAGGGAAAGGAGGCTCAAATCAGTGACGATCGACAATTCATTCCATCAGATGGTATTCGATGTCGATGAGTGCTCCCTCCCTTGTGACGCGATCAGCATGGGAGCCAAGTGAACCTCCTAAAGGTGAATCTGGATAATATTAGGCGTCTGGGTTGACTGCGCGCATATTTTACATACACAAATAGGCCGTTGACACCTTGGTAACCAGTCGCCGTGATCATGGCTGGCGTGACGGGGCCAAAGGTAGTAGCAATGGCACTAGGCGTCAAGTTGTTTGCGCGGAGACCCTACGACAGCGATATGTCACGCAGCGTCCGATGATGGGAAGGTAAGCAGGGGGGTCGGCAGCCGTAGGGCGTTGTTGGAAAGAGAACAGCATCCAAAAACTGGCTACTTACTGCATCCCATGTTGTGAATATAGCCATGGCGGCATCGTAGGCTCGGCTTTAGTGGAGGATATGTGAGCAAAGATTAGCGATACCCGCAAGTCTTGAAGGCTCATGGTAGACAATAGCACAGACTTTTGCCAAGACACTATCGAGGCCCATACATGGCAATGTCGGAGGGTATGCCAGTAGAATCGAACCAGTTGACGTTGGGGGCGTCCGTTCCAGCAACGCTGCGAAGCAAACCAACTGTTAGCCCAATCGGGGATATTGTGCAGCTGATGGCAAGACGATCGATTGATGGCAAGACGATCGACGAGAGCCGCAAATGCAGATGCTACCTGTTCATATTGCGGGTTACAAAGTAGCTGTATCGATTGTAGAAGCTGGTGTAGGTGGCTGTCGTGAGAACGTTTGGGTGCTGTCAGACAGAGCGAGGTTAGCGTCGCTAGCGTCAGCACGATGTCGGATTCCACATTTTGAAGCGCAGTGACGGATAGGCATTGATACTTACTTTCTGGAATGTTGGTGTCAATACACCCACGGACTGCGCAGAGGTTCCGGCACCGAAATAGGCGTCGATGCTGGCTGGAAGGAGGGTCTGGCCGAGAGGCGTGACTGTGATCCATACCTGGCAGAAGAAACGGTCGGCAAGTGCCGTCGATTAGATACAGGAATCTGCCACTGGCAATACGCCTCTGCCTCCTGCATTTCTTATGGCGCAGCGGACGGCTTACATATCCTGGACCGGTGAGACCGTATGCCCTGGCGGTAGTGCCAAGCTCCAGATTAGCCTATAATTCTCAAACCAGACCGCCGCTCGCCGATTGAGGTGTCCTCAGTTGACCTCGCTGCCACATTCAAACATGGCCCAACAGACTGGACTGCCATCGGCCTTGCGACAGAATAGCCACAGCAACGAGCCGAACTTACGCCGCCGCATAAAACACAATGTCGGTGTATGCAGGTCCGCCGCTGCAGCCGAGACAGATCAAACCAGAGCATTAGATCGATGCTTGCTTCACATACGCACTCACAGCACACGCGACGGACCGAAGCAGAGGCGGCTGAGCGGTCTGCGAGGCGTGGGCAACTCAGGTCGGTTCTCGCGCTCGCCTGAACATGCTGCCCGAATCTCGCTCCCGGACTTACATCAAGAAAATAATCCGGGCGAATTCGTTCTGGATCGAGGCAAACGCTGGACCCAGCTCGGCCACTGCAAGCGCAGGGTTAGCGAGAGCAGCCGAGCTGAGTCGAATAGCTTTGTTTCACGTGGATGTGGAGGCGGATGATAGCGGCGATCGTTAATCAATGGAAATGGCGATAGAGCTTGATACGCTGTGAAGTTGCGGAATACAGCGGTCCAACGCATTGCGCATATTGAAAGACGGCAGTGTAGGAGCAAACGACCATGGCGCTCTATTCGAATACGTGAGTCCACAGGGGCTGTTCCGAACATGCATCCACTGACCTTGGGAACTCAATAAGTTGATGTTGCCTTGAGCACCAAGGGCCCAGTTCAACATATCGAGCGAGTCGCTCTCGACTGAGTAGAGCACAGCCATTTTGGTCCAGTTGAAGCTTTGAGCGATTTGCATGGCAGCGACAGCGGCACCCCTGGAACGAGAACAACAGAAGCAATCAGAACCAATCGACGCCCGGATTTATGCGAGCGTGTCAAAACGGATCTGGGAGCAGCAAGCTCGCGTGGCGTAGCCGAGCCTCGGAACATACATGGGCTCCATTCGTACAATCAGAGGGTATTGCCCATTGGAGAGAGCAGTAGCATTGCAGGTCACGCAGACTTGAGGGAAGCCAAGGGAGGAGCTCAGGGTAGCCGAGTACGAGGTGAGATCGCTGGTTGGATCCCCAAAGAGTGCGACACAGTTTTGGTTCATGATCAAATCGATGATGGCCGCGTCCTAGCGAGTTCAGGAGCGAGAAGTAGCTTGCGATGTCAGAATACCGAAACACGCGGCGAGACGACTCTTTGCCCATGCCTGGGAGCGGCGCCATCGCGTTTGCTCTCTCGCCACCACATTAACGTACAGAGCCGCCTGGCTGTGCTGCCGATGAGGCTTGCTTGACACTGATGGTGGCAGTCGGCAAGATTGTAGTGCTGTTGTTGACTGTTTCGACTGCCATCAGCATCCCCATGGTGGCCAGATAGCTCTGAGCTTGAACCCCGAACCCATAGGTAGGGGTGTAGTTGGCTTGGACAACGCCGACATTGAGCTGCACGGCACGTTCCAAGGTAGGCACAGGTTAGATGGCGAGAGATGATGGCGGCCACTAAAGCGCCCGGGCGGACCGGCCTCAGGGAACCTCCCCGGGGCGAGCAACCAGGGTCTCTCCAACCACCTCATCAAGCAGCACAATGCCCGTGCGTTTGCATGTAACCATACCGTGTAGCTGTTCTTTGCAGCTAATACCAGGTGACAGAGCACATGCAGGACCAGAAGCACCGGGGTCCTCATGCGAGCGTTAGCCATTGTGTCTTGAGCACCAACCGATGTCCGTATCGAAGCCGAATGCGATTTGAGTAGGGGCCTCTAAGTAAGAAGCCTTGTCCCCAAACTTGCCGGCTGAAGCGCGATATTTAGAGGAAAAATTGCCCGATTGCAAGCTCGTTGAGGGAGCGGGCGAGCCCACAGCCTCCCACTCGCAAAATGTCTCCGAGCTTCCAGGTCAGAGTGGGCATCGACGGGCCTGGTGCTTTGAAGCACCTTGATTGGGGGCAGCCAGCTCACTCTTGCTCTGCAGCTGGCATACGGAAGATCTGCTGGTCTGTACCGATCATGGAGTGTGACGTCAGCACAAGCATTGATCGAGCTGTCAGGAGCCTGCGCCCAAAGGTCAATGACGGTAACCCTGGTGGTGAAGGGCAAGATGCCAGCAGTCGTCCGTGCATCCGATCCCCAAGGATGCCCAAGAAAGCCCGGCACCTCCATTGCGAGGATTAACCGCAGGATGGCGTGGAATGGACATGTGCTGGGAGGTCCGGTTGATCTCCCTGAGCGACGAGCGACTACCTGTGGAGTGAATGGGGCCCATGCCATGAGGAACGGGAGGCTGGTTTGGGCACACAGTCATGGTCACCTTACTGCATCTCTGGGCTGTGGCCCGCCTGGCGACAACAGCTGCGGTGATGGCTCAATGGGATCCCAATTGATGAGCCGTCTCGCCCGTCACCGCTCACCCAGCCATGACGTCTGGGTATCGCGTTGACGCTTGGAGCGTTTGGCTATGTGTACATGTTTTTTTTGGCAGTACATTGTATTTGCACTTCAATACAAGAAACAAACAAGATGGCGTTGGGGAGAGGAAGAGCTATCGGCGCATGTGTGGAGAGACGAGAATGCTTCGGAGAGGATCGAAATGGCCATGTGTCGCTTGACTGAGCGCTCAGCAGCACTTGCCAGCAGCGGGTTTCTACGCAAAGACATCGAACAGAGTCACAGGCCGTCATTTCATATGTTGTTGGAGGTAGTGGTGATGTCGAGAAACGAATTCCGGTATTGGCATTGCGGAACGATAGATGGCCATGTGAGGGAGAGAGTACAGTGGTGTGAGTTTTCGGCCCAGCGCTGGGAAAGCACGCCGTGCCAGCAGCAAGAGGAGGAGCTTACGGCGGTGGTATCGGTCTGGGTGATCTTGATGCCGCCGGTGGGCTTGACAGGGCCAGAGGGGGAAGCCTCCATCTGGGCAGCGGCGGTGTTTACCGAGTTTCGATAGATCTCGGTCAAGATTTGGTGCAGAGAAAGCTCGACGTTGCTGGCATCCAAAGCGGAGGTCTCGATGAAGGAAATTCCATTGTCGGCTGTGGTAGTCGTTGAACAATATCGAGGAGAATCGCACATCAGAAACAGGTTGGGATAGCGACGGGTTTGCTCGACGAGGATAAGCAGTGTTGCCGCCATAGCAATGCGTCGGAGAAAGAGGCCGGTAACTCTGAGCACGAATGCATCACTGCATCGATATTGTGCATCTGGACTTTGCCTTGCAGTACTGGCCGCTCGCCAATGACTGTAAACCAACGATTGAAATGGCCAAGGCGACCGAGACGACCCGGGCAGTAAAAGCGGCTTGGAGGGAGGACACTCGCCAGCAATCTACCCCGGCTACTTACTGGCAAACTGCTTGGCTTCTTCAGTGGGGACGGTTCGCATGTGCTTCAAGTCGCTCTTGTTTCCGACGAGCATGACCGAGATATTGCTGTCGGCATGGTCTCGCAGCTCCTTCAGCCAGCGATTGACGCTTTCAAAGGTCTGCTGCTTGGAGATGTCATAGACAAGAAGTGCTCCAACGGCTCCGCGATAGTATCTGTTGGCGAGGAAGTGGTGGCAGCGAGCGGCCATGTGAGAACGAGACAACTTTCGCGAGCATCAGCGGCTGAATGATACAAAGGACACAAAAACATTGCTGCAAAATGCAGAGGACAGATGTGTTGACAAAACATGGATGAATCGGTGGCAGAGGTCAAGAAGATGCAACGGCGCAGTGCGGGAGGTCCCGAGAGAGGGCTGTGCTGTCGAGCGGCAAAGTGGTCGGCTCGGCAGGTTGGATGGTCGCCCTCGGGGGATGCCCGGGCGATGGCACGGATGCAGTCATATAGAGAAGCAAGCGATCGCGGTGGGACCAAGGAAGTTCGACATACGCGCTTGTGATGGCACGGTAGCGCTCCTGGCCGGCCGTGTCCCAGATCTGGGTTTTGATGTTCTTTCCGTCGATTTGGAGGGTTCTGGTGGCAAACTCGACGCCAATGGTTGATTTCGAGTCCATGTTGAATTCCTTATGCGTGAATCGGGCAAGGAGATTTGACTTTCCGACGCCAGAGTCGCCGATAAGCACAACTGTAGAACCACCGAGGCGCCACAAAGTGGGCGAGCAGCAGGCGAGCAATAACCGCCGAAAATGATCGTGGGCGACAGACCAGGCAAGGCCAACACGGTGGCATTTCGCGGGTTATCGAGAAAATGAAGGCGATGGGCAGGAATCAGGACCATATAAGGGTGCTTGGGCCTGATAACAAGCTCTGTGCGGGTGGGCGGGGATGCATGGCGCATCGAGTCCCTCGGTGGTGGAGGGGGGCAGCGAGCGGGCAAGCATCGGCAAATGCGATGCAGCCGGTCTTCAGGCCCTCAGTAGCAGAGTCCCGGTTGCGCCAAGCGAACCCTGCTCCTCCTCCCAGTCGAGGCAGCGCGGCTGCCAGAGCGTCCCAGCGACAGAGCGACGACCCTGGTCGTTTGGTGACCAGGGACGGAGTGGGCCGGGATAATACCTTTGAAAATAAGGTCGTATTCTTCCTCTCTGCTCATGATGGGAGTCAACTACGATGGGCTGGTTGGGGGATGGCTTTGGGGGGGGGCGAACCCGATGGACGGAAGAATGGATGGATGGATGGATGGATGGATGCGACGCAGAGCACGCTTGGCGATGACGCCGGCCAAAAACGAGCCCAAGTCGACGAAGGAAAAAAGGGCGAGGCGCGAGACCGGGCCGAGAGCCAGCGAGACCGCCACCAACGAGGGCTCGTCTGCGGGTGCACAGAGACAGCGTGCTTGCCGAACAACAAAGGCCGGCGGTTGTCGCTGTGCGCCGCAAACAGGAGGATCGCCTCCCCGTTTTGGACAGTCCGAGCGAAAACGGTGCGGGTTTCGGGGTGGCGAGGGCGCGTTTTGCTTCTCGGCGAGACGACGCCCCGCCATATCGCCTCCTCGGCGAACCGAGAGGCTTCTCGTCCGGCGCACCGCCACACTGCCCCTGGGGCGATCTGGCACACCCATGTCGTGGCCAGCAGCATCCATGCCGTGCCTGTATTGACATCATTTCAGCTCCAGCTTGCCGATCTTGGAGACCCGTGCCGCCTCGTTCAGGCTTTGGATGTCCACCAGCAGCGCCGACATTTCTTGGAAGAGAGTCCTGGAAGAGCAAAGAGATGAGCGCCAACGCCAGAGCCCCGTCGATCCCCACCCACACCCATCATGCGACTGCCCATAGCCGCCAGCAGACCTACCGAGTTCCAAGCGACCGGTCCTGCCACCACTTGACGAATGCAACCATGCTTCTTTCGAGATTCCGGAGGTGCTTGGGCACCACATAGCCGCCGTCACTTTTCCATTCTTGCGGGATTGCCCTACAGATCTGTTTGGCACATGCAGCGTCAGTCTGTGGACGAGAACGAGAACGAGCACGCCAGGTACCAGAGTCGCTGCACCGTGCTCATCGGCAAGGAGCCAAAAGGAAAGCAGTGGCTCCGAGGACGCCCAGACCGCCCTTACCCGGGCATATTTGTCCAGATCATCCAGCAGTGGCTCGGGGCTGTCCAAGACACTAAGCAGCATCTGGTCCAAGATGCTTTCGAAGCACCAGCGCTGTGCCGTTGGGGTGTGCACAAGGTCTTTCCATGCCAGCAGGTTGGGCAAGAGCTGTGGGAGGACACGAAATCGTAAGCCCACGGCCACATCGGTTGCGTCCGTTTGCGGATATCGCCGCATCAGCCACAAGCAAGAGCGCATCGTTCATAACTTGCCTTGAAAACCGTCCAGAACCAGCGGTTGCGATAGGGCGCCTGGTCGACAGGAAGAGGCAGCACCTTTCGAAAGTTGTCTGGGCTTTGTTGTAGAAGCACCAGGATGGTGTCGTCGACGTGCTCGACCAACTTGCCGACCAGCCCCTGGATTGAAACGCAAAGACACAGCGCCCGACATGTGAGCTTCCAAACCTGATGCCCAGTGGCTGCAACATGAAGCTGCGCCATTGGGGCCTGGAAATGATGGTACGCAAGCGCTTACCTTGAACGCCGCCGAGTCCCGAGGGATGTGTCGCGCAACAGACTCGAAGACTTCGATCAGCATCCGGGTTTCCGTTGTGGAGAATGGGTTATACAGCTTGACTCGGGAGAGCAGGCGCGGAACGACAACTTTGCCGACAAGTTTTGAGACGATCTCCGCGTCCGACTCTTGGGTTGACCCATCGGCTGGCCGCACGTACTCCGTAACGGCTTGGAACCATGGCATCTGCTCAAACGACCTTGCCGGTTGCTGGCAGCACATGAAACAGTGTCGTTGGTTGGCTGGCCATCCATTTGCCCAACGCCGTCGTGACCCTCTGGCGGCAAGAAGCTCGGAGGCTTCCAAGTGCGATACAGCACAATACGATGATTCGGTGCCGGGACGGCCTTACCTGCAGCGGATTCCATCCGACCATTTCACACCGTATCAGCAGCTCCAAGACGCCTGGCAGGCAGAGCCCGCCGTAACTCTGCTCATACGCCTTTGAATGCAACTCCCGCCACTTTGCAAACTTTTGGAGGACCTTGGGAATCGACCCAAGGCTGTCGCGGGCGTCGGCAAGAAGGTCCTTTGCAGAGCTCTGGATGATATCTGACGAAGGAGTTGAGAGACCGTTACTTTCTCCGAATACACTCCACTTGGAGGCTCATGCTCTCCCTTTGCAAGGCGAACATCCTTACCTAGCTTGGGACGCTCAATATCGGTCGATTCGTCATCAGAGGACAGTCCCTCGTGATCGTCGGGGAGTCCGCTCGCTTTCCGACTCGCGCAGTGACGCTTGCGCTTCTCTGCTCGAGCAACACGTCGAGCGTTTTGGAGAGTAGCATTCTTCTGCATAATATCCCTTCCCAACTCGTCGACCCCGGTCTCGACTGCAGCCAGATATCAAAGCATCAGCGGAGGTAAGCGTTGCCGACGGAGGAGCATCGATCGACAGTGAAGATAACTCATGGGAAGCGAGTGGTTGGCCCTATTGATCACCATCGATTCCTCCAGCTCTGCTACGACGAGCGCTCACCAGGCTGAATGGTGAATGCGGCCAGGTCATCTTTGAGCAGGCCCGCACGCTCATCGATACGATCTTGCTTGGAGTCGCCCATCGCCTCGACCGCGCGATTTTCCAGGGCTTCGAGTTCTGGGAGCTGGCATGAAACAAGGGTGCGGTATATGTGAGCCCGCAAGAGCCGCTTGTGCTCCCAAGTCTGGGTACTCAATCTAGGAAGCACAAGCACGGCATGCGCCGATATAAATGCGGGATGTTGACGTCGCTCACTACCTTGGCGTCGATCAAATCAGCCATGTCCTGAGAGTATATACTGAACTCCTGGAAGTAGTTGTACTGCGCCGAGGCTCCTTTGATTTCATCTTCGATCCTGTGGGACTCTGTCACAGACTTATCCATCTCGGTCTTGGAGTTGCCAAGCCAGGCTTGGTTTTGAGAATGGCCATCCTTCATCGCTGTCAGAGTTGCAGACAGACGCTGGATGACATCGTCGACAGAGGGTATGGGCAGCACCGACGGCACTGTGGCAGAAACGACACGATCTCAGTCGGCCGTGATTCCAACGCGATCGAAACAGAGTCCCGACAGGACCGAGTACTCTAGCCGAGTTCCCAATCATGTTCTGATTTCTGCAAGCACCGCTTACTCTGCTGCTTTTGAGCTGTGTGGCTGGGCCAGGCCTTTGCTGTTGAGACGTCGGGCAAGTCGATTCCGCTTTTCTTGAGTTGCTCTCTCTCCCAGTCCATAGCCTCTTCGTCCTCGATCTGATCGCTGTGATATGTCGCGACGCACAGGAAAAGCGAAATCAGATCAGCGGGCTGTATCTGAGATCCGCCCATCAAAGCCCAGAGGGGCGAGATTGTAGGTCTGCATTCGAGTTTGCAGATCACGACAGCCATGACCAGGTGCCTCGAAATCCAGTGACTACTCTGACGACTTACGTTGTTAGCGTCGACTCTGACATTTCTCTTCTTTTCCGGTCCTGCAACGTTTTGGCGGCTGTATTTCCAAACATGATCTGGGCCCCTTGGTGGTCCTCAAAGGCCTCGTTGTCGCTCTCACATTGCTCCTCAGTCACCAGTCTCGATTCCTGCTTCGCCGATCCGACGTCGGGCTTGGGTCGAGTCGCAACCTTCAGCGAAACATAGTCATCCTCTCTCTGGCTGCCGCCGGCCTCTGCGCTTGGCTCTGCCTCTGGGTCACCTCGGCCGTGGCGCCGCTTCTGCCGTTCAAGCTTGGCCGCCTTGATGGCATCTTCGTCCGGAATCGAGTCGGCAAGGGCAGACTCATCGAGGCCAGCTTCTCCAGGTATGACGATGTCCATGGAATCCTCAGGCAGATCGAGCGGGCGACGGGATTGCGCTAGTTTCAGCTCGGCGATATCGTGAGCCGAGTAGGACCGCGACGGAGCTGGCTCTGAACTGGCGCTGCTCTCCTCATCCAGATAGACTTTGCTGACAGGGAACTTGCGCGGCTTGGAACCTTTGCTGGATATTTTTTGACTCTTGAAGGCGCTGAGGTTGGACTATTGGCATCGGTCGGGCGTGCGAGCAGGATGATGAGTCTGTGGCATTGCGAGGAAAGCGGGGGCCATTTCTGCTCTACTTGTCATGCACCTGCTGGACAAGACGGATGGATACAAACGTGGCTGTGTGATGCCAGCCACCGAGATCCACCCACCTCTTCATCCTGGCCGATGTCGTCGTCGAAGCTGAGCTTCGATGCCTTCTTTGGCTGTTTCTGGTCGGCGCTGGAGGACTTGCTCGGCCGCACAACAGAGGGCTGTTCTTGCTCGCCCTCCAACGGATCATCGGGGTCGTCGGTCTTCTTTCGTATCGCCCTCGCTTTCGGCTTGCGGAAGGCTGACATGGCGGATACGGACACAGCTTCGTGCGCTGATCGCCCTCCAGAGTCTGCCGTGCCGATCGCAAAATGCCGATCGCAAAATGCCGGGCTGTCCAGGATGTGTCACGTGCCTTCCAGGACAAACCCGTGGGACGAACCCGACCCAGCACCAGAGAGGTTCGCAGCCGAAGCGATGGATCTCAAATGCAACGTGGTCAAGTGTCGCCGTGTGATCGCAGCAGGCAGCCAGGCATACGTTACGACGTGCAGCCGTGAGTGTGTGAGGCGACTGAATGAGCCGCGGCTGCCGGTCGCTCCCGGCCACAGCAGCAGGGAAACGCTCGTTGATACATGTGTGTCGGGACGAAAATGCAGATGTCTTTTGCAAAGAGTGCGCCATCAAATCGTTCCAAAGCAGCCGTATATGGTGAGCTATTCCACAGAAATTGCCTTACTTCGATTTGGGTGTGGGAAAGGCTGTTGCGACAGGAGAGCTATGAGCGCTCGCTTGGCTGTGTGTCGTTCGCAATGACTCATCGCGTGTGTCGGAGGAATCCATTGTTGGCGAGATCCGTCACAAATGAGGCTGCAGGCAAAGCAAAAGCATAGTATATGCCTGTGGCATGAGCGCAGCTGCACCAAAGCTACGATATAATACAACGATATTACTCGCAGCCCTCGCTGTCGGAGCGTCCCCGGCCATAAGCGATGTTGGCACATGGTTCCCCAATCCCCAAACTTACTTATCCGGCATCTCCTTCCTCACACTCGGCGACGTAGCCCAGCTTGCGAAACGTTCTTGAACAAAAGGTACAGCATCGATATTTGCATAGAGGGGGGGGCAAGAGTGAGGAGGTGGTGTGGATGAGCAGGAACTCATGCATTGCTCTGTATTCGAGGGACGACATTGCGTTGTGCGAATCAAATCTTTCGGAAGAGTATAAATCGGTATGCGTCGATGCGAATGTGCTTTGATGGACGTCGATCCAGCACCGGGACAGTGCCAGCACAGCGCCGTATGTCCAACGAGCTGGTGCTGCCAAAGCATATTATTGGGATGGCTGTGTGTCTCTGGCCATATCAATTGTGTTGTTGATGTTTGGGCTTGTTATTTATTGGGTTCGATGCTATTGCACAGACAGTTCTGGCGGGCCAGAGGCCAGACACAATCATGGAGGTTGCTGGCCGAGCACTTAGTTTCTGGTGCTATCAGGTCGACCAGGAGATGAAGTTACAGGAGACGGTACTGCTTGTGCAGTCCTTGCTGCGAACAGTTGGACACCGTGTCGAGCGCCAGAACCATGACTGAGTGATCACCTTGCTCTCTGTTCGAACAGATTCACAAAAGCTTCAAGGACAAGTGCCAGCGTCTGGAGCAAGACATGGGCACTCTCGTGTACAATGCTAATCAAGAGATTCAAGGTATCGGCATGAGCACGCCACGGAGCATGTCGCTGAGCTTCCCAGAGTCAGCAGACATGATTGACTGACCCATCGTTGCTGCAACGCAGGCATGGTTGCGAAGTTGGAAGGTGAGCTGCGTCATCGCACAGTTCCGCATCGGGGCGGATGCTTTGGGCCCGTGGACTCGGCTACCCATTGTATCGCTGGCAGGCTGATATGCGCAAACCATCGCACGCAGGTCTGGAGCGAGAGCTACACTCGGAGCGGCGCAAATCACATGGACTCTGCGAGCAGGTCGGAGAGAAGCACAGGCAATTCCAGCGACTCCAGGTCGGCATTGCATAGAGTGTGCATATTGGAGCGACAGCAATGCGACAGCGATGCGTCGGCAATGCGTCGGCGAGGTCATGGATGCTGATTCTCGATGAGTGTAAGTAGATTGCGTTCGACAAGCTCAAGACCAAGGCACACAGCGCAAGCCTCACGGCTGTCGAGGCCGACGTGGCACCCGCAGATTTCGGCTGCCGGCGGTCGTTCAGCTTTCCTCCCTCGCCGATGCCACTGCCCAGTGCAAGGCCAGCAGACCCGCTTGCAGGCATCGGCATCAAGCCCGGAAGCTACCGCGACATGCTTGCCCGACCCAGCCGCATCTACGACGAGACCGGGAGCCAAAGCAGTGCACGATTCACACCGGAGCGGTTGTTCTAGCAGCTCGAGCAAGACCCGCGACGGAGATGTTATTCTATGCGCATCCAACCAAGAAGCGACAAACCGTGCGCATCGAAGGGGCATAGCCGACGACATGATGGTGTGATTAGGTGGATGGCGGAATTGCAGATTGAACAAGGACGCGATGAACTCGCAGGGCTGCTCGCACGAGCGCTCGCATGATCGCTGCTCGGGTTGTGGCAAGCGACAGCTCGGACATGAGCCAGTACAATCGGCCACACATGAAATGGCTGAGCGTGCTCATGGCACCGAATATCGCTGCATGCCCCGCGAGACAGGGGGAGCGCGAGCGCGAGCGCGCACAGGGCGGGTGTGTTGACGAAGCGGGCCCCGGACTGGCTAATGCACAACAAGGACGCGAGACCCCTGTGCGTGGCTTGCTCGATGCATTTGGCCGGTGTGGGTGGCGGTGGCGGAGTGTGCCCAATCAGCGACGGGCTGCTCATCACCCCGTGCGACTGCTCGACACGTTGTGTGACGCAGCATCGACGCGTGCCACGCAGGCGCAATTGGCCACGCGCGCACAGACATGCCAGACGCGCTGGTGCTGCGGGGACGCCTTGTTCTGGGACGCGGGGTCTCTGGGCACAGGGCGCCCGGGCAACCGGATGGCGTTGTTTGGATGCGGTGGCGCTGCTGGCGCTGTGCCGGGACTGTGCAGCAACAGCGAGTGTGGTCTCTGTGTGTGCACTGTGTCGTCTCTGTGTGCTCTCTGCTGGCTTATGGGCGACCTTGTGCAAAGTGCCTTGGGAGCAACAGCGACATTGTTTTGCCGGCTTGTGTTTTGAGTGCTGCTGCTCAGCCATCGGCGACGCCCCCTCGTGGCTTTGCTCTTGCACTCGACAAGCTGGCCATGCAGTCGTGCTCTGTTGTTGCTGCTGCTCCTGCTGCTGATTCTGTCGCTGTTGATGATGAAGACGATGGCGGTGCGAGTCAACCGGGCGCTGTTCCGGACCCTCCTGCTTCTCGCCACGACCACGTCCACGTCCAGAAACCCCAAGCCTGCTGCCTCCGCTCCGGCCTTCATCCACCACCATCCCTCGATCTGCCCTCGTCCAGGCCCCGCCCTCGGGCTTGCCATCCACCCCCCTCTCCCGTCCTTTTGAGGGTGCTCGCCGCTCCCTCCTGTCGGCCTCTCAATTTCCTCCGAGCCTTCGCTCCTGGGCTCATCTTCAGGCTCGCCACAACCTTCTGGACACCCTCAGTGCCTCGAACGCCTCGAACGCCTCGAACGCTCAGCTCCAGTTTCTTGGCCCATCGCCCAGCAGCTTCTGGAACGCCATCAACCCGGCTAGTTCAGCAGCAAAATCCCGTCGAGCGAGCCCCCATATCTCGCAGTTCACCCCACCCGCTTCGGTTGTAATCCAGCACTGTCCTCTGAGGCGATCTCACAGACCTCTCGACCACCACCCGCCTACACTCCCAAAGCCATCCTCTGACTCTATCGGATTATCCTGATCGCAAGTAGGCATCACAATGTCTGACGCCGACGACCATGCCCAGGCACCCTCGAACTTCAAGCTCGCCTCCCAGCGATTCCTGGCAAAGCTCAAAAAGATGCCCTCGAGCCAGGCAATGTCCCGCTCCAAAAGCCAAGCGCCTTTCACTTCGACGTCGTCCTCCAACCTCAAGTACCACTCCAGTCAGTCTGGCTCGGTGCAGCCCACGTACTATTGGAACTCGGACCCACAGCACGCCAACCACGACAAGTTTCCAGAGCCCTCGCCCCCTCCCCATTCGTCGTCCTCTGGGTCGTCGTCGTCCTCGACGCTGGCCTCGACTCTGACCTCGCCCAGGATCCACTCGGAGCCACACGAAGCACTCAGTCTGTCGTCCTCCGACACGCGGGCGCCCTCGGGTCCGTCTGGATCCTCGACAACATCGCACAATCTGCGCCGCAAGATGTCCAAGGTTGCCCTCATCAGCTCGCTTCGGTCCAACCCCGATCCACCCCCGGCCGAGGCACGCTACGGCGATTCGATCATGCAGAGCAAGCGCTCCAGCACCAGCAGCATCTCGGATCACTCTAATCTGTCGTCGCCCACAACCAACGGTTCGGGTGGCTCGCCCTCCGAGGGAGGCCCTCCCAAGTGGAAATCGCTCTTCAAGTCCGTCAGCCGACCCGAGCTCAAGCCCTTTGTGACCAAGAAGCGCTCCATGAACAACCTGTCGCAGGTCAAGTCCTCCGATTCGCTCAGGGAAAAGTTCCTCGCCGATCAGCAGTCCACAAAGCACGTCCGCTTTCCCAAGGAGAACCGTGAGGGCGGCGGGCTGCTGTTTGCCATTCGCCCCTCCAACAATGACCTCTCCATGTCCCGTTCGAAATCTCAACCCCAGCTGAAGGAAACCGACCCAATGGAGGCCCAGCTGGCATACAGCCCGGCTGTGCCCTTGGTGCTGCCGACCCGAACGACGTCGAACTTTGTGCGCTTCCAGTCGGGCCAGAGCTATATGCCGCCGCAGCAGGAACTACCTCCGCTTCCTTCGACCCTGCTCGACGGCAAGGCTCCACCTCCGCTTCCCAGCGAGCCGATTCCGTCGCTCCAGTTTATCTCGTCCTCGGAGCAGGCGCGCTTGACCCCCAAAGCGCAGGTACTATCGCCACCCCAGCAAGTACTCTCGCCACCCAAGCAGGTGCTATCGCCTCCACAGCAAGTGCTGTCGCCTCCCAAGCAGACGCTTCCGCCTCCTCCCCTTCCTCCCCTGCAAACAGCCTCGCCTCCCCAGCCACTTCGTCCGCTCCCTCACCACCTTCGTCACCAAATGCCCCCTGACGCGGTCGCTGCTCCTCAGCAGCTCTTCATCCCGGCACCGCAAGCACGAAAGCCCTCGGCCCGTCCGACATCGCTGATGTTCGAGCCTGATCTGACTCCTTCGGGCACGTCGTCCTCACCCTTGCCGGCATCGCTTTCCTCCGCATACGTGGCTACTGCGCTAGCGGCATCCTCGGTCTCTCCCACTGCTGGTGCCGAAGGCACTGCGCCTAATACCCAGTCACTTCGAAAGGTGCGCTCCCGTCGATCCTATATCCTCGCTGCTCGAGACCCCTTTGAGCTGACGCCCGAGCTGATTGCGCGGGCCAGTGCCAGCTGGGCACCAAAGTGCGGCTACACGAACTGGCCGCTCCTCATCCCGCTGCTCAAGGCCGACGGCCGGACCCCGTTCGAGTCCGAGCTGTACTGGAAGATTCTGTTTCGCAAGCTCCCCGTCAATAGCGTCCTGCGTAACCCTGTAACGGTGACATGCCCGCACTGCGCCGAAACCGAGACGCTGGAGCACTTTATCATCGAGTGCCCGAACTCGCGCCAGTTCTGGCGCCAAGTCGGCGCGGTGCTCTCCCAGGCAGTGCGCATGGACCTGACCGATCTCGCGCTGCGGGATATTGTCTTTATGTTCCCAGATCTTCCCTCGAACCCGACCGAGGCCCAGTTCCATGTTCTTACGGTTTGCCACTCGGTGGCGGTATGGTCGCTCTGGAGCGCCCGCGACTATGCCGCCAGTGCCTCCAACGATGCCTGGGTGTTCTTCGAGACCCGGCTCAAGGCTCGCATCGCACTCGAACGGGACTCGGGCATAGGGTCGCGAAGATTCCTCGAGCGCTGGGGCAGCATCCCAACCTTTTCGCTCGAAAATTGGCCGACGGTCACCAGCCCCCTGGACGAGCGATCAAGTCCATAGAAGTACTGCTGTGCCGAAGCGCCGCGGCGCCTGCATTCCTGTTCTGGCGATGCAAGCAACGGCACGATTTCTGCAGGGCCGGACCCATCCTCGTAGCGTCCGCCCGGCCCCTCTACCACCCCACGTCTCACCCGATTTTTGCCAGCTTATTCCGTTTCTCCCCGTCTCTCCGTATCTCTCTACCCCTCTCTGCCAAGTGAATATTGTCACTTTCCTGCCAGTCGGACTCCGTCGCCTGCATCACCCTGTTCTTCAGAATTGCACTTTTTTTTCAACAATTGTCCTTTCTTGTCGCCGCTCTTCTTGTGTTGCGGCTGTGTCGATCCGGCTGCGGCTGTATGTCGACCGACTGCGACTGTACGTCGACCGACTGTACACATCCGCTCCGACTTTTGCCGGCTCATGGAGCTGAACCTGGACCATCCTGGCGTGCCAGCATTGCTGCTGTTGCACAGCCAACCCCAGAGCATTGAATAGCACACTGGACCCGCTGAAGCGCATGGCGCCTGTACATGGGTGCTGTTGGTACATGTGCATGGTGCTGTTGGTACATGCGTGCGGGTGCGCAGGTCTCATCTTTGGGCAGCCGGCAGCCGCGAGGGCAGGGAGGGAGTTGGCGACTCACATCGCCGATGCAGCAACGACGCGGCAACGATGCAGCAGCGATGGCCCGATCCCCCCTCGATTTGCTCGGTCCCCACAATCTGCCGTCGACAAGCCGCTCCGGCTTCCCCATGGCAGCGATATGTTTGCCAAGGAGTTTGCGGGCAATCGGGTTTGTCCCTGGCCTCGACGTGGTCGTTTCAGGTGTGTGATTGACGGGTGATTCTGCTTCGCCGTCCACCACGAATGCCCCACCACCGCCATCACCACCACCACCATGACAGATTGCCCACCACGGCAGCTGCGTTCGATGGCGACGATAACGGCGGCCCTGGACCCATCGGGTATCGGCGCACCAACGGCAATGTCGCCTGCGTGCCCATGGCCCGGCCCGTCGTGCCGCTGTCCACGCGGGCGCTGCTGCCCCATTCCGGGTCGCTTGTTTGCTGCCCTTTCTCTTTTGTCGCCACATCCACCCGCCACGGCCGCCACATTATCGGCAGTCCCGGAGCCACAGCAGATGCCCGTGGGGTTTACCCCCCTGCGAGCGAGGGTATCAACGACATCAACGACATCAACGACATCAACGACATCAACGACATCAATGGTATTAATGGCATCAGCGACATCACCCATATCAACTATCACCCATATCAACTATCACCCATCAACGGCATCAACCGCTGTCGTTGCGACTCAGCGCTGCTCACGACCGCGGCCCCCACCCTGCGCGGCCCACTGTCTGTCAGCAGCCGCCCAAGGCAAGAGCACCGCAGCGAGCACGGCCTTGTCCCAGCCCTGCTTGCTGTTGCCTGCTGCTCTCTGGTGCTGCCCTGGTGTTGCCTTGGTGCTGCACTGGTGTTGCTTGCTGATGATTGCTGCTGGTTGGTGCTGCTGGCGTGTCTGTTCCGGCTGCCCCTCCAAGTCGCTCCAGCTCGTCCCCGATCCTGCTTTCTCTTTCCCACTGCTGCATCATCATCCATCCGCCACGCACGCACGCTTGCCCCACCCATCTCGGCGTATATATCCACCGCCTGCCCCTTTGCCCACACCCCCATCCCTGCTGCTGCTCCATTCCCTCGGACCCTCGCTGGCCATCTGCTCCTTGGCCACCCGTCCGTTTGTTCGCTGCTTCGTTCGTTGCTTCGTTTGTTCGCTTGTCGCGGCTGCTGTGTCATCTCTTCGTCATTACTGCTGCTGTCATCCCTCGTCATCGCTGCCGTCGTCATCGATCTGCAACCTTTGATACCGTCGGCCCTTTTTCTTCGATACCGACAGCCCTCTTTCTCGATACCCCCCTCGGCCTTCTCGGGTCAAATCCCCGCTGTGCAAAATCACTGTTTGTCCCGGCCGTCCCACCATTCCACTTTTCTCTGACCCCCCCTCTCACACGCATCTGGATCTCCTGCCTGCTCACCTGTTCGCAACCGTTACCCGCTCTTTGCCTCCCTTTTCCTTTGCCTGGGCCCATCCCCTCACCCCCCCCCAACCGCTGCGTCCATCACGGATTCGGTTCGCTCGATTCAGCCAACCAATTCACTCGCTCCAACCTATCTACCAATCAGTTCCGCTCTTCCATGACCCACTATCAGAGCTCCTATGCCGCCAATGACCGCGGCAAGGTCGGCGTGGTTCGGAGCCAGTCGACATCATCCGCCCGCTATGGCCTCAAGCGATTCGTCCCCAATTTGCGCGGATTCGCCCCAAGCTCTCATTCACCCACCTCGCCGTCACCCTCGTCGCCCAGCGTCGAGTCTCCCAGCAGCCTCGACTCGTGGGACCAGCGGCTCAACCCCAGTGCCTCGCCGCGCTCTGAGCACCGGCTTGTCGAGTCGTCGTCGTCCTTTGGCGATCCCTCCGACCTCACTGCCTCGCCAAGCAGTCCGCTGGAACTCAGCCAAGCAAGCGAGGCCAAGGAACACTCCCTCCGCCTCGCCCCGTCGCTCTCCAAGCTCTCCATCAATCAATCCCCGCTCAAGGACGACCAGCCCACCAGCGCCGAGCTGTTCCGTCTGCTCAACGCTCGGGTGCGTCGGCCCCGCACCTCCTCGGATGAGATGTCTCCTCCACCCCTCACTGCTCCGGCCGCCGGCCCTTCGTTTTCCTTCCAGATCCACCCCACCAGTCCCTCCAACGCACCGTCCTTTGCCGGCTTTGACACCGCCAGTACTGTCAGCAGCGCCGTCTCGGCTGGCTCGATCCAGTCTTCATCGGCCTACTCAATCACTCGCAACAGCAGCCATCCGAATCTGCCGCAGCTGCGGACCCACCGCTCGCATCTCGCCATGGATGTCCCCCTGGCTCCGCCGTCGCCGTCTCCAACGCCCCAGATCAGCTCACAGGCGCTCGCAAAATGGGCCTCTGTCTGTGGGGCCTTTTCGGTATCGGACATCAACGCCGTTCTCAGCCACAAGAGCCGCACCCCGAACGAGAATGATCTGTACATCAAGCTGCTGAACCGCCGGCTGCCCGTGAACCAGTATCGCAAGTTTTCCCACGACGCCGCCATCCAGGACAATGTCAACAGCCATACCTGCCCGCGCTGCAAGACCGAGGTTGAATCGCTGGTGCACTTCTTGTTCGAGTGCAAGGTTGCCAGTGCCTTCTGGAAGCGCTTTAACCGAGCGCTGTCGCTGGCCCTCAACGTCGAGCTGCCGTCGATGCGCCTGCGCGACATTGTCTTCATGTTCCCGGAGCTGTCCATGATCGTCACCGACGCCCAGCTGCACGTGCTCGTCGTCATGCACTCGGTCGCCGTCTGGACACTATGGGGCTCGCGCAGCTATCCGGTCGGCTCCGAGTGGCGCTTTTTCCTGCATCGGCTACAGGCCCGCATCGATGTCGAGCACGGCCAAAGCTCACAAAGCATGTCGCTTGTTGAGGAGTTCTGGAGCCGATGGTGTCAAAACAGCAAGTTCCTGGTTATCTCCCAAGAAGCCGTGCAGCTCCATCCCGATCTGTGACACCCTTCCGGCCATCCACTCGCCCGTCCGCTCTCGACCCAGCGATCCCCCAAACCCCATCCATTATTCCGGAGCCCCGGCTGCCTTTTCCAGGCTTTCACCGGCCACTCCATGGGATCACCAAGATTGGTTTCTTTCTTGCTTCTCCACGTGATCTCCTCAAACGCAGTGCTTTCGCTTTTAGCTCTCGATGTCTTGTGTGCTTGCATTTTCTTGTGAGTGTCTTGTTCAACTTCATGTGTCTCGCCCGAATCACTTGCTCCACAGTCTCTCTCTCTCTCCAAGCCCATGTGTCTCCGTCGTTTCCCATCCATTCCATTCCATTCCATGTCATCGCGTCTCCTCGCCAATCACAATGTGACCCCTCCTTCCCCCTCCCTTCTTCCCGCACTTCCATTGTTCATCCATCGTTTTTGGTATATCACGACATGTTTGTCTCTGCATGGCTCGCAGCTGGCCACGGCTGCTGCCTGTCGGTGCTCTCAATGGCAGTCGGTATTTATTTGGCTTTTATCGAGGCAATCTGCTCGCTCTGCGTTTGGGGCCGTTGTGCCATCATACTCCCACCTTCGGCAGCGGCTGACTCTCTGATCGAGCCTCTCTAGGACTGGTGGTGCCTCTGCAACCAGGCCCTAGACACCACCCGGCGCAGTCCACGGCTGGAGCTCGCAAAGAGTGATGATCTTCCGCCGCATTGTCCTCTCTTGCTTGGCCCTCTCTTTGTTGTGCTCGGCCCCGCCACGCTTGCATGATTTGTTTTCTCCGTCATCTTCTTATTGTCCAACCCATTGCAACCTGTATAGAGTGGGCACTGTATGGCCCAGGACTGCGTTTCTTCACCCACCCTTTGTCTGTTCTTCTCGGTATCTTGTATCCTGTTCGTTGCGACATAAAATGATATCCATAGTATGCTTGACATTCCTTCCCATCACTCCTCTGGGTGGGACTGTGTCGCAGTAGTCCACAAGACGCAGCCTTGCGCTGTCGGTCTTGATCGAGAGACGCTGCCTCTTGGTCGGATGGATATCCTGTGCGAGGGTGTATTGATCATCCTGATCGTATTACTTTCCTGTCTCTCACTGGAATCACCAATATCGTTCCATCCTCGCCCCTCTCCCCACGGTAAAACCCTAGTATCTATTGCCTCGGAGACAGCGAGAGTAATGACTGGTGTCGATGACGAGGCCAAAGGCGCCTTGCCTTGCCTTGCCTTGCCTTGCCTGACTCCGGCCCGTCCGCTTCGCTACAGATCCACGAGCCTGACCGTCTTGGCTCCGACGGCTTTCTTGCCGACCTTGACGTCCTCAACGGCCCGGCTCTGCTTCTCGGTCGGGATCAGATTGGCGCGCCCGCTCTGGCTCTCGAGTGCTTGGTTCTCGATCAAGACGTTGGCGAGATGGCTGGTCAGGTAGGTGCCTCGAATACCCCGGGGCATCAGGGGCTTGGCCAGCAGTGCACTGAGCTTGCCACGCAGCTTTTTGGTCTCGGCCGTGGATTTGGCCGTGGAAGATCCGTCTTGGTTGTGTCCAGTGTCATCGTTGTCGTCGTCGCCACCGCCGTCGCCGATAGCGCGGGCCCGCTTGAGCGATTTTTGACTCTGCTTGCTGCCCTTGCCCTTGCTGCTGAACAGATCGTCGTCGAGCTCGATATCGGCTTCGAGGGCGGCCTTTTCGAACCAAGCCTTTTCGTGTTGCTCCTGTTCAGGCATGCCCAGCGAGAGATGTCAGAGCGCAAGTGCTGGTAAGCAAGAGTCGGCGGGTGGGAGTTTTGATGCCTGATTCTACGAAGCCGCAGCGAAGAGCACGGCAATCGTGCCCCAACTGCCGCCGACACCACTGTGGCCATACCTTTCTTTGGCTGTGCTCGATGCTGTCGATCTGACGAGCGAGAGCGAGACGCTCCTTGATCTGGGTGACAATCGACAGGTCTACGGGAAAGTCGGACAAGCCCTCCGCTACAGGAGCAATGCGTCCGGGGAGAAGAGGGTGAGATGCGAGATATGCCTGAAGGAGCGATTTGTCTTCCTCCTCCCCCCTTTTTCCAGGCCCATCATGAGATCCTCACAAGGCAGGAAACATAAAGCGTACCTTTGCCCAATGCATGGCAGATCTTTTTGTAGACCGAGAGCTCTTCTGGCGAGCAAAGCATCACACTGACACCGTCGTTGTTGGCGCGCGCCGTGCGGCCACTGCGGTGGACATAGAGGTCGGCGGTCCGTGGCAGCTGGTAGTGCACAACATGCTCGACCTGAGGAATGTCGAGACCGCGGGCGGCAACATCACTGGCAACCAAAACGGCGTTGGGGGTGTCTCGGAACCTGGAACCGGAGCAATCGGACGACGGTCAAGCTTCATTGCCGGTGGTTCAGAGCAGCACCAGCACCAGCACCAGCACCAGCACCAGCACCAGCACCAGCAGATAAACTCGCAGGTAGGGATTCAATTCGTTGGCGCAAACAAGTGGCAGAAGCGTACCGATCCAGATTCTTGAGTCGCTGTCGTTGCTGCATCTCGGCATGCAGACCCATGATCTTGACGCCCATCAGCGTGAAGATGGGAAGCAGTCGCCGGATCGCGTCGATGCTGTTCACAAACACCAGAGTCTTCCCCGGATAGCGGGCCAAGATATAGTACAGATACGAATCCTGTGGTCGCGGACAGCAGTCGTCATGAGTGGATCCGCTCAAGGCACTAGAGAACACTGCCAGTGGTCGCCGAGGGTCACAGCTCGGCAACAAAAAAAAAAAAAAAAAAAACGGTATCGGTGGATCTGGGCCAGATCACCCATGTTGATGAGCCCGCCCTCAATCCATGGGTCCCTCATCGAGTAATCCAGATCGAACTTGTCCGAGGCCGTCGCCCAGCCAAACAATCCAGGCCATGGCCATGGCCATAGTCATTCGCTCTTGACCTCACCTTCTCCTTGGTCACACATTCGATTTTTGTTTCTAGCAGCTTCTCGGTCACGATCGACTCCTTGACGACATTGATGTAGAGTGGCTGCTTGTCGTTGAACTCGAGCTTCTGCAAAAGTTGCTCTGCCAGCAGAACATTCACACACGCACCCACACCCACACACACACACACGCAAGACACCTGTCAGCGACCGATTTCCGATGGCAAGCGTGAGCACAATCGCATCCCGAGACCCCGCCCTGCTGTGCAATTTTACTTGCCCATGGTGGGCGTGTTTGCCTTTTTGCGGCTGGAGCCCTTGAGCTTCTTGTGGAGCTGGTCGTTGTGGAGCAGCGTTGCGGAAAAGACAAAGGTTTGCCGCTTGGCGACGACTTTGCGAGACGAGGTCGTGCCGTCTTCGGAGAAGTCGGTGTCGACGCTGAGAGTGGGTTTAGTCAGAAGTGAGTCTGCTGCAGGGCCGCCAAGTTGATGGAGTCGAGTTGCACATCTTGGATAGACGGCAAACAGAGGGTTTCCGAGGAGGGTGCCGACAATTGCGGACACAACAGGGGCTGCGCTACATTCGAGTTACCGTACGTTTTGTTGAGGGAAATGGCTTGCAGGATCGAATCCAGGTCCTTGAAGTGACCGTGCTCGAGCATCCGGTCAGCCTCGTCCAGGACCAGATACCGGATTTTGCACAGGCGCATCAGAAAGGATTCGTCCTGGGGGCAACAGTCCCACAGAGGTAAATCGAACCGGTTAGCCACCGACACAACTCCAACGTTCATCCGGAAGCGGCACACTATGGAGTGGTGTCGAGCGAGCCTCGACTGGGGTCGATCTGAATATTACCTCTGAGATGAGCTCCATCAAACGGCCGGGAGTAGCTACGACGATGTTGGGGTTGCTGGCGATCAGCCGCCGCTGCTTGGGCACTGAGATTCCGCCAACAATCGGAGCAATCTGTGGGCGTTGATAACTAGTGAGTCACTCTGGACACAACGGCGGGCGATTTGGCTGTCGAGTGGGCACGCAGACTGGGTACAGCAATGCTTGATGTCCGCGGGCGCCTATCCCAGCGGTAAATACGGAGCCAGGTTGCTCGAACATGCCCAGCGACTAGAGTCACTCCGACAAACAACAAATGACGCACCTTGATGCGCAAGAACGCAGACACTTTCTTGATGTGATCGGTGATTTGCATGGCGAGCTCGCGGGTGGGCGTCAGGATCAGCGCATGGCATCCATCGGGTGAATCTTGGGCGAATCGCTGGGTTGCTAGCGAGTGAATAATCGGTAGCGAAAAGGCCAGAGTTTTGCCGCTGCCCTGGACCGGGAGACGGAGCGGTGCAGGGAGGGGAGGGTGAGTGAAGGGGAGAGGAAGGAAGAAAAGCAGAGCACCCGAGTCAAGTCAGTGGCCAACTCTGGGGAGTATGCTGAAAACAGCAGAGCATAGATATGTGAGAGCTTACGGTCTCGGCCGCGCCAATGATGTCCCGGAACTTGTCAATCGTGGCCTCGAGCGTCTGCGACTGAATCTTGGTGGGTGTGCGAAAGCCGAGGTGGGCGAGTCCCTTGACGATTTCAGGCGCGAGTCCAGCATCGGCCCAAGCGGACATGTCGAGGGTATCGGGCATATCAGGCATATTGGGAGTAGCATCATCGCCTCCATTGTCGGCACTGTCGGCTGCAGCCTCGTCGGAAAGGGTCTCGGGATTGGGCTCGTCGCTATCGGGAACTTCGTCAAGATCACCACCCTCGTCGGCAGTGGCCGCAGCTGTGGCTGTTGCTGTGGCTGTTGTCATCCGAGAAGCCGTTTTGGATTTCTTTGCGTTAGAGCGGGGCTCGCTTGAAGCTCCGTCGACAAAGTCGTCAACGTGGATGAACTCCATAGTATCATCGACAGCGACGGGATCCTCGTCGATGGTGCGTCGCTTCTTCTTCTTGCTGCCGGCAACAGCATTGCCAGATGCCCCAGATCTCCTCTGTGCAGATATCGAATGGCTAATTAGACAATTGCATATGCGGCATATCCCGCACCTCGGGAGTGGTGGGAGCAGATCGCTCTAGGGACGATCGATGCGGGCCAGGCAGCTGGAAGCAATCGCTCGGCCTCGAGAGGCTGCTCACCTTGAACTTGATGATTTTACTTCCGTTCAGAGCGGCTTCGTACTCGACATCGACATCGTCCACCTCCTCGAGGCTGTAGAATCCGCCCATGTGTCCATCGTTGACGAACGGATTTGAGACGGTTTTGGTGCCCACCCAGTTGAGATCATCAAACGGCACGTACTCTGAATTGGACTCGCCCAGGTCGGGAAGCGAGCTGCTTGTATCGGGGACAGAGCCGTTGCCATCGGACGGGGCAGTCCCGGACCGAGGTCTCTTAGCCGGGCGAGTGGTGGTGGGTCCTGTGGGTTTGTTGGGCCGTTGATGGGAGTTGTGCTGGCCGCCGGGACTGGGCTCGGCAACGCCGGATGTCGAGGGCTGCTGCGATTTGTCCTTGACGATCCACATGCCTGCAAAGAGAAAGGTGTGCTGGGGAGCTGGTGTGGGCCGGTGTGCGCCGATGTGGTTGTCGGTGTGGTTGTGCCGATGTGGTTGTGGTTGTCGTTGAGCCGATGTGGTTGTCTGGTTGCGAGGCCAGGCGCCAGCGGACGCGAAATGAAAAAAGAAAAAAATGAAAAATGACTGCAATGTTTCGTAAATGAAATCGGCCAGTCGCCGACTGCATCACATCGGACCGCCCCACACCATCGACCGAAAGACCGGACCCATCGGCTGGATGGCAACGACCCAAAGGCCCATCGACTCAGTGGCTCAATGACGAAAGGCAACCTTTGTTGGCTATGCAGGCGCCCCGTGGTGACGAAGGGCCCCACAACACACAATCCGACACGCAATCCGACACACAATCCGACACACAACCCAGCTCGCTGCTTGTCCCTCATCTCGCTGCAAGGTGCAGGCGATGGTCAGTGTATTCGCAAGGAGGAGCATTCCAGCCGACCAAGGCGGCCCTCCCCGTTCCGCACGACCTATTTGGCGCTTGAATGGTTCCCGCGCTCGGACACCGAGGGAGTCAGAGAATGGGGGGGGGAGCATTCCGACTGGGCCAGTCCGAGAGGGGATCCCGACAGATCAAGAGGGTCCAGGGTGTCGAGAGCACCGGGAGGCAGATCCAACAGGGCGCCAGGAGCAATGGAGAACAGCGATGGGGATGGATGTTGGCGACAATCATCATCGGTGGCGGCTGGAGTGCTGGCCAGGAAGGCCTCGCGCCGATTGCACCCCCTCACTCGCTCTCCCACCGCAGACAATCCGCCAGGACTGGATGACGGTCATCAGGCGGCACTGGTCGGGCGGTGGTGGTGGTGGTGGTGCTGGCTGTGGTGGGTGGTGGGTGATGGATGGATGATGGATGGATGATGGATGGATGATGGATGGATGATGGATGAGGAGGGCCTTTGTTGCTCCGGCTGGCCACCAGCCTGAGACAAAAGCCGAAAGCCAGCGCAGAGGAGTGAGCAAGGCTGGGCAAAAGACGCGCATTGGGCCAGCACGAGGCCGCTTGGGGCCAGGAGCAGCCAATCCGGGGCCGTGGAAGCGGGTCGCACGGCCCAGAGCGCTGGTGCGGGTGTGCGACGGACGTGGGGGGCCAGCAAGCGCGGGGCGGAGGGGTGCGTGCGTGGTGGGCCACGTTCCGGATGGGGCAGCCGCAGCCCGCGCTGTGACGAGCAAGCGCCGGGCGGGTGGCGAACAAGCAACCGGGCAATGGACTCGCCAGCGAAGGACACACGCCCCTCAACAGAGCCGAACGCTCGCAACGGGACGAGCGTTGGCGTGCCTGGGTTTCGTCGCCCAGCGGGATCGCCTTGCGGGATTGCCTTGTTGTGGAGCTCTGCTTGACAAGGGCAGTGAGTCGCTGCGCTGTGGCGCTGGCCGCTGCAGTGTTATTTCTGAAATCGCATTATCGCCCCCCTTTGTTGGTGCGGTCTTGTGGACGGTCGTGGCTCGCGAATAGATTGGCCCTTGGATTGGGCGACGGCAAGATATGTCATCAGTACACCTGGCCACACGACAAGGCTGGGTGTTTCAGATGCTGCGTCAAGCAGCAGCAGCAGACACAGCAAGCGATCGAGACACCGACGGGCACACCAGTACCAGCAAGCGAAAGCGACATCGGCGCCGGCAAGCGAGAGCGAGAGCGACAGGCAGTGTTCTCGTCCGTCTGGGCCAGAAGAGTCGCCGAATGCACTTGATGCGGCGTGCGACCCAGGCGGAGCTGGCCCCCCCCCAGCAAGGCGAGCGGCGTGTGCGCACCAGCGGGCCGAAAGCGGAGCAGGGCGCGGCGCTGATTGGTGGCGCGGAGCAGCGATCTGCACAAGGAGGGGGCGGATAAACCCGGGCAGAGCGAGCGGACAAGGCGGCCGACAGGGCGGCAGACAAGGCCGTGGACGAGCCAGGCTCGCCAGCGCAGGACTGGGTTGTCGGGACGGCTGGGGCGGGTGATCGGGCGGTGTGTTACGGCAGTCGACATGGAGTGCGGCGGCTGCAGCAGATGCGATTATTCAGAGCACGCAGTCGGCCATGTCGACGGTCAAACGCAGCTGCAGATGCGACCAATCACCCGGCAGCACGCAACAGCACCGGCGCTGTACAGCAGCCGGCCCACAGTCACAGCGACGCAGCCCACGGAGTTGGCGGGCGGGGCCCACCGCCGCACTCGGTGCTCTGCAATCCGCCCGCCGAGTCGTTGCGGGTGCTGCAGGCCGGCGCATGTATCGGCAGGCTTCGGGCGGGCTGGCCGGCGGTGGGCCCACGCTGTCCTGCGCTGTCCTGTTCTGCCTGTCCTGTTCTGCCCGCTCCCGCCGCGCGCGCTGGAGACTGCACGCTGGGGAAGAAACGGACGCTTGTTTCGCCACGGCGGGATTGGGTGCTGCCCGGCCGTGCGGGCCCCTTGTTGCTGCCGCCGTGGTGATCCACTCTGCGGCTGCACGCCTTGTGTCGGTCTGCCGGGACGGGCTCGCCGGCAGGTTTGGGCCAGCCTGCGGCTGTCGCTGGCGGTTGGCAGCACTGCACCAGGCGGGAGGCATCGTTCCCTCGTTCTCTCGTTCCCTCCCCTGGTGCAGGTCGCCGCCGGCCGCCCGGATGGACAGCCCCGGACGGGTCTGGACGGCTCTGCGCGGCTCTGCGCGGCTCTGCCGGTCTGGATAGCGCCCGCCGCCAACCGGCACCGCACTGACACAGTGCCGATGCACAACCCACACCGACAATGGCACACCACAACCGCAGCCACAACAATGCACCCACAATAGCACGCCGCAACAATGCACCCAGCAAGGCCGGGCCCCCTTGCCCGCCCACCACCACATTCCCAGTGCCTTGTGTCGCCCCCGCCCTTTGCCCCGGTGCCCCGCGGCGTCGCACCACCGCCGGCCATCCGGCCAGTCGTGGTGGATCCTGCCCGCAGTTGCCAAGTTGCCCCCCCGCCTCGCTCGCCCGTGCCCTGGCGAGACCCGTCTCGCTGCCGCCCCCCGCCCTCTCTTGCCGCCTCTCCGGCCGCCGTTTCTCGCCCCTCTCCTCGGCTCCTCGCCGTCCCAGGCGTTTCCGTGCCGCCCGGCCTTAACCACTTTTACCTGTCCCCTTTGATCTCTCGGGCGATTCCTTCCGTGCCGTGCTCTTTCTGGCCCCGGACTTTGGTCTCCTCGCCGTCCTCCTTCCTCGTCGTCTTTCCTCTCCATCGCCCCCTCTTCCTTTGCCCTGCCTGCACTGGCTGCTCTCGGCTTGTCCGATTTGTCCCCAGACCGACTGTTCTGCAGCTTGCCCTCGCACAGAAGCGCTCTATCGCTGCTCCCTGCTCCTGGCAACGTCCGACCCACAGGCCTCTCCGCATCCATCGCTCCCTCCAGCCGCCAGCAACCTTCCCCTCCTCCCTCTCGTTTTGCTCCCGAATTTCCCGTTCAGTCTGCAAGTCGATCTGGTATAGAACCGCTCCTGTCGTGTCTTTCTTGGCTCTTCCTCCTCCGATTTCGTGACCTTGCCCACCTCCGTCCTTGGACTTCCGACACCTGGCCCGCCCTTTTTTCACCCATTCACCCACAGTCCCCCTCCCGTCATCTCTGCCACGAACCTCGTCGGTTCTCTCCCTTCGCTCCGACCGGACTTTTCTTCTCCTCTGCCTTGGCTCTTGACTGTCTCGCTGTCACTTGCCGCACCCCTCCCCAACCTGCTCGCTCGTGATAGACATCTCGCTCTCTTGCTCTTGCTCCCGCCTTCCAACTCCCCTTCGATCTTGACTCTCCTCCATCCTTCTATTCCGGGCATCAAGTAGCCGCCCCTCATCCACAACCCCTCGCCTCTGGCTCTTCACGTTCTCACACCGCTTCATTTATGGCTATAGAAATGTCAACGCCTCCCACCCCCCTCCCTCCCCACAACTCCGGCACCACCGGCGATAATACTCCCTACCAGTTCATCATCACCAGCTGCCCTTCCGGAAAGCGCACTCCACGGTAGGGGAAAATCCTCTCGCTTGCAGCAATGCGATCGTCTTTTTTTTTTCTGTTTCCCTCTTTTGTGGATTGCCTGTGCTCCGCTCTATTTGCTCTGGTGCATCCTTGTCGGTGATACCCTTAGCCAGCATCCCATGGATTGCAAATACTGCTCGGCCGCCGCGATCCCCCTCCACTCCTTCTCCACGGCGACGTGTGGTTCGGCTCTGGCCACCCGTCGTCCTCAGCGAGACCCGCTCCGGTGTTCTTGCTTCTTCCCTTTTGGACGCTTCTGCTGCCGTGTTGGATGGGCATGGTCATGGCCCATCCCGCCGATGACACACACGCTTCTAACCCAGTCTGTCGTTCTCTGGCTTGACTCAATTCCGGGCTATCCCACTGTCCTCGACACCTCACTCCGTTCTCACTCCGTTCTCACTCGCTCGTCGCTGCATCCCACGCTCGGCCGTCGCGCTCTCCATATGCTGGAAATGTCTTCTCTTGGCTCGAATCTGTATGTTGCCGCGCCTGTCACTGGATGTTACCGCGCCTGTCGCTGCCCGACTCTCGTCTCACAGCAGCTATAAGCTGATCCTGCGACAGCAGCCCAAGCATTCCCGGATGTGCGGCTTTGGTGAAAAAGGTGAATACCGCCGTCACTCGATCGTGTGTCGCATGGACTACCTCGCCCGCAATGCTGCTGCCTTGGTCACCAACCACTTTTTCCTCTCGGCACTGTCACAGTGGATCGACGGCCCATCGATCCCCCTCCGATCATTGTAAGTGTCCCCTTTGTTATTTGCTTGCCCTTGCAATTGGCTCGCTCGGACATTTCCAGTCAGGTGTTTCCAGTCAGGAGTGCCAGCCGATCATGGCTTTGGCTCTGGCTTTGATGCCGGCCCTCGATAACCGCGCGTCCTTAGCGTCAACGCTGTGACGACTGTCCATATTAATTTGTCTCTCGTTCGCCTCACCAGCAACTCGAAATTGCCGATATGCCTGCATCGGATGACTTGTGAGTCGTCTGTGTGTGTGCGTGTGCGTCGTTGATTCAAGCCTGGCTCGGTTCCAGACACAGAGCCACTTCCGTGTTTCTGGCCCCTTTCCAATCTGCGCCTGTCGCTCGCGTGGAGAACCGATTCAGCCATGGTTACGGTCGCTCCTTGCAGACATTCCGTTAACCCGGCATATCTGCGCGACTCCACCACCCCCCTCTCTCGTCAGAGCACACACCTACAATCCGTACCACTTTATGTACGGCTCGCTGGTCTCGGCCGACAGCGACGAAGAACTCCATCTCCTGCGCGATGGCAAGACTCGATCCACAACCGGCTCGATCGTCTCGTCGCTCTATCGCTTGAAAGATCTGGATGGCAAAGAAGGCGCCTATTTTGTGTTCCCGGATCTTTCTGTCAGAATGGAGGGATCGTACCGCCTCAAGGTAACAGCAGCATTCCGTTCATGCACGTCCATCCCGTTGTGCATTGGGCCTGGTCTCTACGACGCGTGTGAAGCCGTCTGGTCATGAATCAGTGGTTATGCCCAGTCCCTCTGTCGCACGCATACGCTCTCCCTTGTCACTTGGCTGCTCCCGTCGTCCGTGTTCTAACAGGGCCATTATCCCCACCGCAGTTCTCGCTGTTTGAGATCGTCAATACCGAGATATTCTACTGCACTTCCATCTACTCGGAAGTCTTCCGTGAGTTCTCATCTGCCCATACTTGTCCAGCCAGCGCTGTTTCCTAGAGCTCTCAGAGCCCCTGTGCTTACTTTGGTTGCACCTGATCTCTGCAGATGTCTATCCGGCGAAAAAGTTCCCTGGCATGGAGGGTAAGTGGACATGACGAACTGGTGGCCTTATCCCTCGTCAAAGGTCCCGCGCTACTTGCACGTTGTTCCCCACGCACTAATCTCTCTCGGATGCCTGCTCTCCTGCAGAGTCGACTCCCCTATCGCGCATGTTTGCCGAGCAGGGGCTGCGCATCCGCATCCGCAAAGATGGTCCCTCCAAGAAAAACGGAAAGCGCCCAGCCTCGGAGATCGAGAGCAACGATGAGCGCGGCAAGATGACCACGCGCGCTCGCAAGGCGGGCAGCCCCAATGACGACAGTGACCACTCGGGAGACTCGGACGAACGACGGCCGGGCCGTTCCAGTGGTAAGTTCCGCAGCATCCTATTCTGTCCATTCGTCGGATCCACCTGTCCATTCGTCCGATCCATCTGTCCATTCGTGGTATCCGCCTGTCCATTTGTCGCATCCACTTGTTTAGCCCCCCCCCGACTTTCAGTCTTGTCATGGCGCTGCTCTCAGCAATCGTCCCTTCGTGTACTTTCCCACGACCGCCCCCACTTGCAACAACTCATGATGTCTTTGCCTCGTCCTTGCTGCTGAACCTGACCCGATGCTCTGGTCTTTGATTCTGCTCTACTCCAGGTACGCCACAGCTTCACGACCCGCGACAGGACAGCTCGGTCAAATGGCCTGTCAAGGCCTTGCCTGGCGCTGGCTATCCCGAGGATAACTACTCCGGTCGTCCCTACAACCCCGCTGACATGGCTCGGAGAGATCCCAGGGATCAGTGGGCCCAGGATAGAAGCGACTATGACCAGCGTCCTCGTGCCGAGGATTATGCGCCCAACGGCCAGCCGTATCCCCGACCCCGTGAGGCCGCATACTACCCAGATCATCGCGAGCACAACCCTGCTGGGGCGCTGGGTGGTCCCTCGGACCTGGCCGATCGCCGCAATCCGGCCTATCTCGCTCACAGTGATGCCCGCCCCTACGGCCGTCCCGACTCTCAGCCAGAGTATCCCAATCCCAACTACAAACCACCGCCCCCTGGCCACTATGGCTACGGACCCGAATCTGGTTATCCCTCCGGAAGCGCCGGTGTATACGACAAGCGCCCGCAGCAACAACAGCAGCAGCAACAGCAACCTCAGCAGCAACACTACCCAGGCGATGTCAACCCAGCACGCCATCCTGGCTACGGGGAGCCTGACCCTGTTTCCAAGCGTCGGGCTTCCGAGTACGATGCCGAGCGGCGCGGCCCATTGGATGTTGACCATTCAAACAGCCATGGCCGCCAGCTGCCGCCCGCAGACCCGTACTCTGGAGACTACAACCGCTACCGCGGCCCCGAACCCCCCTCGGGATACTACCCTCCCCAGACCGTGCCTCAGCACCATCACCACCACCAGCAATACCTCTCCAATCCCGGCGAGTCCTTCAACCGCCCTCCGTCTGGACCTTATCCAGGCGATCGCAGCGACCGCCACGCCTATCCCGAAGCCGCAGCCCCGCGGCCAGGCATGCCCCCGGCCCCTCGCCCGAGTTCGTCGCAGTATGCTGCCAGCGCACCCGTCCATGACAAGCCTGCGTACAACTACCCGCCAATGGGTCCCGGCGACGCCCCCAGAGGTGCTTATCCAAGCGCTGCTGCAGGCGGCCATATCTCGCCCAGCAACCCGCCGACCAATGCACAGCCCCAGCAGCCTCCGCAACACGGCACTGGCCACCCCCACCACCTGGGCAAGGACTCGTGGGGACCTGCAGGACCGGCCCAGGCCGAAGGCGATCAGTACAAGCTCCCGTCACTGCGCGAGTGGACAGAAAAGTCGGGTCTGAAGGAGCAGCGCGCCGCCGCCCCTCCCAACTACCCCGCTCGCCGGAGTGCGTCCTTTTCTCCAACCCACAATGTCGGTCATTGGCCTGCCAGCAACCTCGACTCCTACCACCATAATGCCCCAGACTCCAGCCGCCCCACTCCTCCAAAGATGACGCCAATTGGAACCCACGAAAGTGGCAACTACATGGGTCACAACGGGCCGGAGGCTTACCCGCGGCCTGTCAGTGTTCCGGGCTCGTTCGATGCGCGGGCAGCCAAAGGCTATCCGTCAGAAGGCTACCGTGGTGTGCACCCACCTCCGGAAAGCTATCGCCGACCCAGCGCTGACGAGGGCTACGGCCGATCCGCTGGCCACGCCCCGGCGCCAGGCTTGGTGCGCATGGACGACCGCGATCCAGGGCATCCTCAGGATGGCTATCCGTCCAACGCCGCAAACTCCTCTGCGACCCCCAACAACATGGGCGAATCTTACCCACGCGGCTACCCAACCGCTCAGGCCTCATACTCTGGAAACGTAAGTGTTGTGCTGCCCACTGGTCCGGATTCCACTCATGTCTTGGCTGATGGGCACTCCCCATGCTCACCAGATGACTCTGAGGCTCTAATTCGCGGCTCACCATCGCCTCCAGATGCCTGATCTGTCGTACAACCACCCGGCGAGACATTCAAGTGCTCCCCACGGCTACCACTGAGCGCAGCCGACTTTGGCCACAGTAGCCTATTCGAGATCCCGTCCAACGGGAGAGAAGTGATTCACGACCATATGCGACTGCTGACGGACCGGCTCCCGAGGCCTGATCTGCTCACTTCGCCTCCATTATTTCTTTTTTTCCATTTTCTTTATTCCATCCAAATCACATCTCTATCATTTCGTGTGTGTGGGGGGGGGGAGGTACGAGAGTGAGTGTCTTTCTTTGTAGTTGACCGACTGGCGCAGCGAGAATACAGCGTTCAAAATCAAACGGAGCACACTGCCTTTCGAGGTGAATGGGACGAGCGGTTGTTTTTGATTGGATTTTGTTTCACCACACCTCCCTTCAGCACGGGCAGCAATATGCCTACACGCGGTCGATATTGCAAGTGACGGACACCAGTCCGTGGCTATGTTCATCCATGTATTCCGATACGCTTCAACCGCATTCCTTGGACACCATGATACACTGTATTCAGGGGGGAAATGGGACACCTGGTCTCGGAGTGCCAGCGGTGAATGATGGTATTGCGCCGCATCACAGAATGGCCATGGCCAGCGTGCGATGGTAATGGGCAACAAAACATTTGATCAATGGTCAAAATCAAGGGTGACCCGTTTTTTATCGGATCGCCTGTAAATCCATGCATATCATCCTTACGCTGGTGGCGGACAGTCCAGCACCGACGAAATTGGCGCGGGCGGGAACGATCGGCGAGGCCCATCGAGCATCCCTTTGGCTGATGGGCAGGCGGCCGGGTGTCCATCGCCACGGCACTACAGACCGGCCCTGGTGCCCTCAACTTGATCGCTCTCGCTACAAAGGAGCGGGTTGCGGGAGGTACAATCGAGGCATCATCAGATCATTTTGTCCCTGTGTTCACGGAATCAAGAGGAGTAGCCCGGGCTAACATGGCGACTGCAGACGATGGTAAGTGAAAACATTTCGCCGCCTTGCGCTTCCAGACGCCTGGTCTCCTTTTGAGTCCTTTCGTGGTTTACACTACAACGCAAGAGGCTCCCGACCCACCCGTCCAATGCGAGTGTATATGAGTCCCTATGATGACATGAAGGAACAAGAGAGGATCCGTGGAAAAATTCCCATCACTTTCGCTCGCCCATCATCACGCAGCACTCGTCACGCAACACTCATCACGCAGCACTTATGACCCCATTACTCTGCGTATTTCCCAGAGATCGCAATCAAGAGCAGCCAGTTGTGGCAGTATTTGGACCATTTGGCTGGAAGCAGTCCCGCGGTGGGTCCCAGCGACAAGCCCATGCCAGCAACGAATCTCTCTCCAGCGCCTGACTACACACTTTCGCAGCAACCGCTGCCATATTGATGCCTTCTCGCCCGTCTCCCGGTAGTAAAATCGGTGGTGCACTCATCAATCTTGTTCTCCCTTGTCCTCCTCGCCCTCTCCCAGGAATACAAGGCGTACATCCAAAAAGTTCAGCAGGAAGCGATTGAGTCGTCGAAAGCCAGCCGGCGACGCATTCTTGAGCCTTGCTTTGCATACAGAATCGACCTCGAAACTCCCGTGGTCCAAGGGCGGCGCTTATCGCAATCGCACAGCACGGACCCGCCAGCGCGTTGGCCCGCGACTGGCAAACACTCAACTGATGTCCCGAGTCGACTCATGCTTGACAGCGCGAATGAGAGTCGCTCGGTCCAGCCAAGACGCTACTACATCAATGTTGGTAGATCCCGGCTGATTGACCCTCCAAAAAGCAAATCAGACAGCGTGTCTGTGGTCATGTCCAACGCCAGAATCGGCATTGACGATGGTAACACGATGTCGAGTGCGATACGGGTGGTGGGGTGGATGTTTATCACCCTCTTTACCTCTGTCTTACCAACCTTGCCACGACCAACTTTTAGATGACATGCCCTTCTGGGCTTACGACGTCATAGTTCACCCTAAAGTATTTGGGTATTACCGAGACGATGCCAAGTACCAAAGTGACCTAAAATCTCTGATATTTGATTGTGTTCATGAAACCCATGGAATCAAACTGCCGCCTGGAGGTAATGTAGCCTCGCCTCATGTTCGAGCCGTCAATAGAGTCTAGCGGCAAAACACGACTGCTCCGCGATGCTTCCGGATCGATGTCGGCGATCTCATAATCGCACGGTGTGATCGATAGAGGCCACAACCATCGAGAATATGTACAAAGGTCCTTTTGCCTGGACAGAAACAGGCCAGCCCAAGGAATTCAAACCCCAACCCGACGCCTCGCTCGATACGGACCCCCTGGCAACACTCGCGCCCAGCGATCTGTTGAAGCAGCTGCGGGCTGCTGAACACATCGCAAACGCTCCACCGATTCCTGCCATCTCAGATGCTCCCTCGAACCGTATTCAAGAGCGAGCAGTGATCTCAACCCCAGGGATCATTGTTGCAACGGATTCCCTAACAACGCCTGCGGTAAACAGAGTTCCCGAGAGTGTGTCGCTTGGTGGCGACCACGCTGCAAGCAAAACGTCACATCAACAGCCCCATTACGACTTATACGATTCCGAGACAGTATGGAAGGCCCGTGTTCATCTGCCGGACCAAGTATGTTTTCGTCCACACTAGAGTTTCAAACCCCACTGCTTGCAGGCCACTGTCTTCACCTTGGACCGACTCAAAAACACAGAGCACCTTCCAGGTGTGGCCTGGCTCGCTTTCCTCTGCTGAACGTGTGAGCCTGGAGGATTGCATCGACACTGATAACCCTTGTAATACGGCCAGGCTTGTGCCGACAACCTGCAAGTGGACTGGAAGCCAGAGCGCTGCATCGCCATCTCCAGCGGCCCAAATGAACTACTTCGACTCGGGATCCCGGGTGACACTCCTCTTGGCCAGCCCGTGTGCAAGTTTATCAAGAAGACTCGGTGTCTCAGTGTGACAGTGCAAAAGGGCAAATAGATCTTGACGCCTTATCTCGCGCTCGACGCTGGTCGGATCAAGTCTGTGGTTGAATCAGCACCTCTCGACGCCGTTTCAGTACCTCTGGACGCCTTATCAGCACCTGATCAGCACTCTCGCTCGATTGCTCTCTCGTTGGAATCTGGCCTCTCCAGAGAGAAATTAGAGCTTTATAATCGAAGGCTGACACTTGACAGTCAAAGACAGTGTCTCTGCTTTTCTCAGGCATCCTCATCCAATGCCTGCTGATCCGAAGGCCCCAGTAGGCGGACCGTGATATTGGTTCGCGTCTTGGTTGGCAATCCAGTGGTTTTGGATGTTCAGGAGCAAAGTCTTGAATACATCTGGTCAATCTCCCGCAGCGATGACTGACGGGCACTGATGTCGCGATGCGGAGGTGTGGTGCCTATATTTGACTGCCCGACTGGTCCCCGTGGTTTCTCGATACCAAGATCATCGACCTTCTCGAGCCGCTCGCTGTGTTTTCTGGGGCATGGTCGTCGCTGGTGATGGCGGAATTGCCCGCAATGCCGAGCACATCCGAGTCTCCGTGGACTCGATGTGTGTCTCGTCCGTGTGCGGTGTCATGACATTCCCACATGCAGCCACAGCTCAAGGAGGGCCGTGACACCGCACACAGAATGGAGGCTGTGGAACCTCGCCAACACGTGATCTGCATGGCACCCTGGTCGATTGTCCCGTGCAAGGCCGTGCCGCTTGCACCCAGGCCGATCAGCGTCTGCATCAGCGCCCTCATCTGCGTCTGCATCTGCGTCTGCAACCGCAACCGCAACCACATCCGCATCCGCGGCCCAGACAAGCACTTGCGCTCGCTGTCCTGCATCATCGGCCTGGTTCTCGCTTCGTCCGCACTTCCTCGGCACATCTCTTGGCTCTAGCTCCAATCGCCAGCCCCCTGTTGCATTTTTCGTCGCCATCAATGAACCCAGCAACGGCGGCCGCCGCGGCCGGTGGGCTCACCGCCTACTACAAAAACAAAATCGAGGTTTGTATTTCGGTGGATTTCTTTTGTTTCCACCAGCTTCAACTGCAAACAGGCAGTGGCGATCGATGCAGCATTTCTTTGTCATCGGGCGCACCGTTAGCACCGGGTCCGAGCACCGGGTCCGAGCACCGGGTCCGAGCACCGGGTCTGAACATCGAGCTGGCTCGTCGCCGTCAGCATGCCTCGACCGGCTGATCCAAGAGCGCAAATGCTAACCGTGGCTCCTTCTCAATCCCCTCCTTTCCTTTGCCCCCAATTTGTCGCTCGGCAGGAGCTCGAAATCAAAAGTACTGCCATGTCGCAGAATCTGCGACGTCTGGAAGCCCAGCGCAATCAGCTCAACTCCAAAGTTCGGCTGCTCCGCGAAGAGCTGCAGCTGTTACAAGAGCCCGGATCCTATGTCGGCGAAGTCGTCAAGCTCATGGGCAAAAAAAAGATCCTGGTCAAGGTCCACCCCGAAGGCAAATATGTCGTCGATATTAGCCCCTCAATCGACATTGCCGAGCTCAAGCCAACGGTTCGAGTGGCCCTCCGACACGATTCATATCAGCTGCACAAGGTTCTCCCTAACAAGATCGACCCTCTTGTCTCGCTCATGATGGTGGAGAAGGTCCCGGACTCGACCTACGAAATGATCGGAGGTCTGGACAACCAGATCAAAGAGATCAAGGAGGTGATTGAGCTGCCAGTCAAGCATCCTGAGCTGTTTGAAGCCCTTGGTATCGCTCAGCCCAAGGGTGTGCTTCTATATGGTCCGCCTGGAACCGGCAAGACTCTTCTTGCACGAGCCGTCGCCCACCACACGGACTGCAAGTTCATTCGCGTCAGTGGCTCCGAGCTTGTCCAAAAGTACATTGGCGAAGGTTCTCGCATGGTGCGCGAGCTCTTTGTCATGGCCCGGGAGCACGCTCCCTCGATTATATTTATGGACGAGATCGACTCTATCGGCTCCAGTCGATCCGAGTCGAGCGGCAGCGGCGGAGGTGACTCGGAAGTCCAGCGCACGATGCTCGAGCTGCTGAACCAGCTTGACGGCTTTGAAGCCACTCAGACGATCAAGGTGATCATGGCCACCAACCGTATCGACATTTTGGACTCGGCACTGCTGCGTCCTGGCCGTATTGACAGAAAAATCGAATTCCCCCCACCAAATGAGGCGGCCCGCACTGACATTCTCAAGATTCACTCCCGACGAATGAACCTCACTCGCGGCATCAATCTTCGAAAGATTGCTGAGCAAATGGGCGGAGCCAGCGGCGCCGAGGTCAAGGGCGTGTGTACTGAGGCCGGTATGTATGCCTTGCGCGAACGCCGTGTCCATGTCACCCAGGAGGACTTTGAAATGGCCGTATCCAAGGTACTATGTTTGCTTCGTATGGAGCTGTTGGCGGTGGAGGGCGTGCGCCCGCAGGTTACGTTGGCACTCTCGTTGGTGGTGGTGGTTGGCGATCGATTGCTTGCCTTGCATCGATGAGGTGTATCGGCTGCAAGTCATAATCCATCTGGCAAATGGTTCCAATCTAACTCCTTTATCCCTCCCCATCGCTTCTTTCACATCGCCTTCAGGTCTTGAAGAAGGATTCGGAGCAGGTATGCATCTTCAAAGGGATTGTGCTTTATTGGAGTCTCCGTCCTGTTCTTCAGCCAGACTCGGAATTTTGGTTGGCTAATGCACTGTCTTGGATCCATTCAGAACATGAGTATCAAGAAGCTCTTCAAGTGAGCTTGCCTTGTAGCTATCTTGCTAGCGAGCTCCATGTACCTCGATCAACCTGGCGAGCCGTCATTCCTATTATATGGGCATCAATAAACTCAAATCACAAAAGTCGAGCGATTGCAGAGCAGACAGCGACCGCCAGGGACCCCACTTGTCCCGACTTGCTATAAAAGTCAATCCGGAAAATGGGATCGTGTCCCTTTCTCTGGTATCAGATACTAGAGTGTGGTGCATCCACCGATGTGGGGATGTGATGAGTGCCTCGACCCTCTGGACAGCTCCATGGTGTACCGATATCAAGATACTCAAGCACACCTGGGATGTGTGGAACTCGTTCACCGAGCACATCTGGCCGTCTCTGGTGGTGGATGAATTGCTCAAGGTACTTGGCAAACCTTAGTCTCCTGGGTCTGGATGCATATCCCTTCCCTTGTTTCCAAGAGGCATTTCCAAAGGCAATCACCACTTCGGTCTCCTTGGACATGCTTGCTTGGCCATGACTGCAATCAGTGGGTGGGTGTATTCAGGTCCCAGAATGAAACAGCTGTCCTGGTTCAAAACAGAGTGTCTCATATTCACTTGGAACGCCGTAACTTGCCGTCAGCAACCGGCAGCGGCAGCACTGGCACTGACCAAATTGAAGCCATCAATGTGCACCGTTCGGCATTTACAGACCCAGCTGCGGCCTCAAAGTTCACTGTGTCCTACTGATTCTTGGAGGGATTGTTGTTCTTCACTGGTGTCCACATCGATACCAGGATATTCAGTAGTCTCCTCAGCGATACCAGGATATTCACTAGTGTTCTCATCGATACCAGGATCTTCGTCACCCAGGGGCGGGTTTGAATCGTCGCCATCGGCCTTGTGCTCCTTGAGATCCTCGTCGCCAGAGCTTTCGCTCTCGTCGCCAGAATCGCTTTGGTCCTCGTGGCTATCCTTGACCTGGGCGCCCTTTCGGGCCGGTATGGTTGCCAGAAACGCATCCCTCCAGTTATCCATCGCCAGGTAGTTCAGAATAATTTCATACACTGCAGAGAGACGCAAGCCGATTTGCATGAGCATCGGTAACTGGTATCGGCGACTGTCTCATCAAGTGCATCAGTGATTCCGTATCTCAGTAGCACTGGCGACGGCCCTCCCTCCTGTGGCGATCATGCTGTCGAACACACCTTGATTGATTGTCAAGACTTTGCGAGAGTCCATGGAGATGAATTCGGCAATCGGTAGCCTGCCGTGCGCTATTCCAGCGTCGAGAGCCTTTTGGTAGCAGAGGCCCTATGATCCAGCAGAAGGCCGTATCTATCAGTGCATTTGGTCTATCGCGATCTCCGAAGCCATGGCCATCGACTGAGCCAAAATTGCAAACCTTGTGACGGTTCTTATCGACAATTCCTCCAATCACATAATACTTATTCGCCTCGAGTGTCTCGATGACATTTGGTGAGTCGGCTGTCAAGTACACCAGCGACTCCTTCGGTACGATGGCATCAAACGGACGCTCCTCAAAGCTCATCTGTTTCCCCGTAGAAGTCGTTAGGATCCACTCCAACTCGACACTGAATATTCTCGCCCTTGTTCATATCGATGCGATTCGCGACTAAAAGTCGCCCAAGAACAATTCGCAATGCCTATTGATCAATCATGGTCCCACCCACCACCTGCATGCTGGCAAAGCTACCTTCCAACTCGTCCATTGCGCTTGAAATTTGTCCATTGCTTCGCGGATGGGACCCTTGTAGCTCGACGCTATCAGAATTGTTTTCTTTGGGCAGAAGCGCGACTCTGAGTACGAGCGCACCATCTGCTTGCTCACGCTGATGATCTCCTTGGGGTTCATCAGCTCTTGAAAATCCAGATCGATAATCACGCCGACGTCCGTTTCCAGTTGCTCTGCAGGGCGCCGTCGCTTGGGTGCCCGTTCTCCTGACCGAATCTCTTCTCGCTTTCGCTTGATGAGGGCCTTTCGCAATTCCTTTCGCTTCTGCTTGCGTTCTTCTCGAGTGGCCTCCCACTGCTGTTCTCGCAGCAGTTTCTTGCGCTGGTTCTTTGAGAGGCCAGCGAGCGCAGGATCGGCGACGGGGCACTGGCTGGGGATAGGCCGCTCTGGCTGGGGCGCTTTAACTTCCTCCATTGGCTGGCGCTGTTAGTGAGCGGACTGGGTGATCGCTGCCGTCGCTGGACCTTCGGTGATCTGGCCCAAGATCGTCCTGGGTGTCTCTGGCGCTATTTTTTTTTTTTTTCCCTGATCCCGGCCTGGTGGCCTTGCTGGCGTCCTGGCTGGCGTCCATTGGCCATTTGCGCTGACGACCGCTTTCTCAAGGGCTGCCCTGGTCTGCCAGCGATACCGCCGATCCTGGGACCGCTGCAAACATCGCCGCTCACGCCGACGCTGGCGCCTCCACCTGGACAAACGGGCCATCTGTCAAGTGGCCATCAGCGACGCTTGCCTGCATCCGCCCACCACCGCCTGAGCCGACATGGCCAGTCCAGTCCACAAGCTAAAGTTTACCGTCAAGGGCTGCTCCAGCTCCGAACCAGGATTCGCACCGGTCAACCTGGATCCAGAGTTCCATTCTCCAAAGGCAAGAGGCTGGCAGTCGGAAAAGTACGTAGACAGCCGGGCAGGCAGTATCGCCTGGATTATTCCAAAGGAGCCACCGGCTACCGAAGCGCTGCCTCTGCCGTCGTCCCGCCTCCATCTTGGCTGATACTCCATCTACTCCGTCAGCGTTCTGATGACTGCTATCTTTGCTGCGGCTGTTTCAGATTCTGCTCCTACCCTCAAGTTTTGATCCTGCATCTCACTCAGGGAGAGACGGAGATTCGGGAGATTCAGTTTCTCTGCCACCACTTCAAGATTCCAACTCGGATCGACATATCCACAGCATTATCTCAGAGTCGGCATCCGACCGACACGGTCATTAAACCGATTGAATCTTCGGGATTGCCGTCTGCTGAGCTAGAGTTTATTTCGCTTGGGTGAGTCGCAGGCGCAACTTGACGGAGCATTCCGGTCCTTGATGATTCTCGGCGATGCCGCTGACACCCGCTCCCAGTCATATCCAGCTCAGCGATAACGCTCAGACATCCTACAAAGCCCGTGAGCTCAAATCTGTATTTGTCAAGGTCCGATGCGATTATGTCAAGCTAGAGCTCCGAAAATGTTTCATCAACCCGTTGAATCTCTATGCACAAGTGTGTATTTCGTATCATTGCCGGGCAAACAGGGCATGTTGGGCGACCGTTGCCGGTAGCAAACAGAGTGGTTTGAGTCGAGGCTCTCCGAGCATAGCATGGAGAAGTCGTTTGCAATGGTAGCATACTGCTATCGAATCGCCATACCGTTTCGTGGCCTGCAGAGACGACACGAGGCAATCAAACTCCATCTCGCATGAGTTCTGCATTCTCGCATGTTCAAGCCGCAGTTGGGTTGGTTCGGCTTGACCAAACCGGATGGGACAAATTCAGAATCGACCGGTTCTAACGCTTTGGCATCGTTTCTGCATCGCTTCAAGGTCGGTCTAGTTGCAATTAATCTCCTGGGAGCCGCAGCTGCCTTGGATAGCCTCTCTGGGAATGTATGTTGTCCGGATTCCACGGTAGATGTAGCATTGTCATCGCTTTCGACCCGCACCAACGAATCATACATCGACTGGGTCCTCCCATTTTGGAAACACATTCGTAGTGACCTTTGAATGATAGTCAGATCATCATGCAGCCCGTCGTCTCTCGCTTGTCAATCCCGTCGATGAACTTGGATATTCCACTGTGCATGACCCAAAAATGACCACTATCTTGGACAAGATAAGCAGTTTGAAGGACCGGGCCTTAGATGGTAGAGCCTCGCATCCGACTGCATCTCATTTATTGCCATCGGGTGGCCTTGACGCGATCGATTGTTCTATTTCTTCAGCGCACCAGTTTAGCTGGGCCATGGAGCTGAAGGCTCTATATGACACTGCAACAATGGTAAGAGCTTCACCCTGATGTCGACGCAGACGCAGACGCAGACGCAGACGCAGACGCAGACGCAGACGCAGACGCAGACGCAGACGCAGACGCAGACGCAGACGCAGACGCAGACGCAGACGCAGACGCAGACGCAGACGCAGACGCAGACGCAGACGCAGACGCAGACGCAGACGCAGACGCAGACGCAGACGCAGACGCAGACGCAGACGCAGACGCAGTTACATGTCGGAGTATGTGCTTGCTGCCTTCCACCCTCGACTACGACAGTCCGCAGGAGCTGGAGGTGTTTTCACAATTCACTTCCGGGCAAGCCTGAGTACTTGTGGCTGTTTCGATGGGCATGTGCTCGCCCTTGGCGAACACCGGAACATGGACCAGCAGAGCAGTATCAGAGAAACAACTGATGAAATCCGTTACTAATTATTTATCGTCCTAACCTAGGCCAGTCTTGAGGTGGCTCGGCTGGAGGTCTCCAAGCAGCAAGCGATTGATTCAGACGACTACCAGGCGGCACACTACATCCAGGTAACTCATCGGACCGATTCCTCCAGCTCTATCGCGAACGTTGAATAACTCTTTATCTCGATCTACGTTTCCAGGATGATATTGATCTCATTACCGATGGGCTGACTTCGGAGCTACGTGGGAGATTGAGTCAACTCGATTCAACAACAGCAACAGCCTCAGCCTCAATGCTGAGTCCGCCTCTCCTTCCTCTGCAAGCAGACGAAGGACAAGCCTTTATTGAACTGGAGCCACATAGGCCCGACCCAAGGAATGGTCGTGAAGCACGAGAGTCGACTGATATAGGGCAGTCTCGGTCCCCAGCACCGATGCCGCCTGTGACCCCCGAGCTCCCCAAGGCCCTATCCAATTCTCCGATCGAACCGTCACTACCAGGCGAGCGGGATACCTCTAGACACTACGGCAATCAAGGCCGCGAGCACATGCTAACTGAGATGCAGAAGGAAGAACTGTCGATGGCGCTTGAAATTTATGGCGAAGAGCAAGTCTCAAATCTTGTCAGTAAAAAATTTGCCTTGCGAGAAAGTGCATTGCAGTACGCATCTCAACATCTCGAGGATATATTCAAGCGATATGCCGAGTTGGATCAACGGGCTGCTCCGTCACGAGGATTGGTCTCAAAGCAGCCCAAGCAACTTGAGACTACAATAGGGGCAACGTTTCAGTTCGTCCAAGTGGGCATTCGCGACAGTCGTGAGCGATCACTTTTGCTCACGCTGAGTTTATTGGAACAGCTGACACGTATGTACCACGGATGATGCGTGCCTGGTCCGGACCGATACTCTCATTGCAGAAATACGCTACTAACATAGCCCAACCAGGCATCTGCGATAGCCTTGGTGTCTCGACTGGTTACAGTTTCAAGTTCGTCGAGAAGCTCATACCGACGTTGCTCATAAAGTGTGCGGATATGAATCCGCGTATCCAGCATGCTTGCAGTGATTTAATGATGTCACTGGGTGCAGCATATCGCCAAGGATCAAGTTCGATAATGCCTCAGCTCATGCGTCCTTTCCAGGGCAAAGTATCCCTCTGGAGAGTTGTAAAGTCACGGCTTGATCTTGTCCGGAGGATGCTGCTTGAGTTTGGTCTGGGGAGCACATCCGATTCAGCAAGTGGTTTGGAATTGCAGGTACCGAGTACAGTCTAATTGGGATGCATGGTGGTCGATCCAATATTCGGTTCTGCAAGACTCTCGCCCTGTGAACCCCAGAGTGTTGTTCCAGCGTCGCGTTCTGAATATCCAACTCGAAACGCATGCGTTCTGAAACCAAATGCTGACTGATACGACCTCGCACGCAGCTTTTCGGAACTGTCGCCGTACTAACGTTGCTGTGACCAAATGTTGGTGCATTTTCTATTTGTTGCTTCTTGATGCGCTAGGCGATCATGGGGCTCGTCGTCCCGCAGCTTCACAATCCAAATGTCGAAGTCCGGGAATCGGCGGTCAAACTTATGGCGGAAATCATTGCCATTGTTGGGGCCGAAGTTGTCGATCCCTTTCTGTCATCGATCAAACCGCAGCTCCTTCGATCCATCAAGCTAAAGGCCGAGGCTGCAGCAGGAAGCCTCTCCCTCTCCGGAGTAACTCCACGTATGTCGGACCGAGATGCTTCTTGTGCCACCATGTGGTCCTGATGGGAGCGACGGGTGAGCTGCAAATGGGTCATTAGGGTTGACAATGGAAACCATCGAATCTCACCACCTGTTCTCCTCTTTGTACTCAAAACGGACACAGCTATGCCGTGGACAGAAGACTCAAAGACCCAGACCACTAATAGCCAGCTGCTTGTTGGCTCCGTCGAGCCCAAAGAGCACATCCAGCAGCAAAGTCCCGAGCCTGCGGCGAAGGAAGAGCTTGGGGCTATCGATCGAACCGAGCCATCTAAGCTTGCTGAAGGAAACTACAACGCCAAGTCTTGGCCTGCAAATGTAAGCAAAGGCGGCGGGTGGGGGGAAGACTGACCGTATAGCCGAACACTGTATCACCTCTCAGCCCATTCACGCTTTCCGCGTATAATCACACCATTCTAGGACAATTCCATCACATCTAAATCTGAGGTAGCAGGCACTCCAAGCACCCGAAACATCCATCTTCACCCACAAGAAACCCCTGTTCAAGCGACCGCAGGCCCCTTCGTCAACGAAGCTGGTAAGTGGAACAGCGTTGGTGAGACTCGGCACTCTGTGGAAATCAATAAAACTCTGGTGAATTCGTGATAACTCAAGTATCCACTCTGTTGTCTTCCAGGACCTGATGAGAGTTTCTCCGATAGGTTAGCTCGCGTCCTGCTGATATTGTTGCCCTACCAAGTGCCTACCGACTGAGAGCGCCACCCGAAGCGCTACCAGACGAAAAATCTGCACCCAAAGCCGACTCATTTTTGATTGCCCATGACCCAGATGTATTTTCTGCGAAGAATACGATCCATCCGAGCAAGCGGGTGGACTCGAAGCCCATTACTGGAGGGACTGCCCGATGCTCTTTATCTGCAATCACTGCAGCGAGGTACAAATCATTCCAAGCGTGGAAGAAGGGGTATTGGTATTGGCAGTCGCCCGCCCTTCCTTGCTCTGACTGAGCTGTGTTTGTTTTGATCGTGCTTTCAGCTTGTGGAGATTTCTGAGCTCGGCGAGCATCATCTACGCTACTGTCAGCGCAAACAAGACTTTCAAGTGTGCGCCAAATGCAAGCAAGTGATCCTCAGCAGCCATTTGCCCTTACATCTAGCCAGCGATCGATGCCATGGTATATAGAGGGCCGATGTGTCTTTAGTGGCGAATGCTTATGGCTGTCCTTTCTAGTGCTCGGCTCGGTCGCATCAAGCATTCAGATCGGCTAGCATCGGCTGAACATGCGATCCGAGGCGCTACTACGGTGCAAACGGAGTTTGTTCTTTGGGCTTACGGGCTATTTTGCATCCATCACAACCAGCTCACTCATGCAATTGCTTTTTGCTCTTTTCTCTTTCAAAACTATATGGGGTCATGGGATATCTGCCCTTTGTCTCGGCGAACTAGCTCCCCAATCCATAAATGAAGCTGGATGTCCGCTATGTTTCAAGTTATTGCCTAATACCGAGCTGGCCTGGAGGGCTCATCTGGCTTGCTGCACCAAGAACGCCCGCGCTCGCACTGGCCCTCAAGTAAGCTCACCGGAAAGGGATGTCGCCACGAGCAAAATACCTCGCCTGAGAAAGCCAAACTCGTCCGACATATGAAATGCCTCACTTTGGCTGTATGTTATGGCGAAAGCCTCGACAGAGCAACGGCCAGTTGACACGTTGTGCGAGTAAGATTATTTATGATGCCGGCTGGCTATCGGCCCGAGTGGCATGGCTGGAATGCCTTGGATTCGGGGTTGGCAAAACGTTAGCAGCCAAAGCAACGAGCATAATTCGACCAAAGCAGCCCGATAAACAGCCGCTCAGCCCATATCGATGGATCGTCAATGCTTTGTATTCCTTTCTGGACAGTATTTGGTTGATAGGCAACAATATGATTGCTCGTGCACCAATGTATTCGGCTACTTGGCTGTGACACTTTGACGATTCACCTGACTCAAATGTAATGGCGGATGGCACCGGCGAAGGGAAATGTATATCCTGCTCCTGAGACCACTGATCGCTGGTTTAAGGAACTTGAGTACTCACCCATACCAATCCAGGCAGTCCAAACGGAGAGCAACTTGACACCATCACGCAGGCATCATGCAACTGTCACACAACCATCATCGACCGTCAGTCAAACCTATCGATCACAGATCAAACCCTTGGAGAATCTAATACCAACATGCCGATTGGCCATCCCCACAGCAGATCGTTCGGGTGCCATCCAGAACAGTGCCCATTCGCCATGTGTTCGATGGAGACATGCCGGACCCACAGCTGGTTTCAGCCTGACCCGGCGACGTTGATTCAAGCGACTCGATTTCCGGGTGTGCTTACAGTGCCAGGAACCCAAGTGACCTGAGAAGGCCGAGCATCTTGATATCGATACACCATGGAACTGTCCAGAGAGTCGAGTGAATACACCACACTCCCGCATCGAATGCATGCACCACACTCCCACACTCCCGCTCCGACACACCCATACCAATCGCCACAGGGGATCGACCGAGTGTATTCAAGACCATGCTCCCCAATCCAACCAAATCAACCAGATTGCCAACCAGGACGGGAACAATCGCATGGATTGCCCACTGGGGTCTACGGAAGTTCAGAAGACTTGTGTCGCTGATGCCAGAAAGTGACTGCCCCGTTTTGTTCTGGTTTGATTATATGTGCTGGCCATAGTTTGAGAGTTACAATATGCGGGCCCGATCGGAGCGCTTCCAAGCATGTATTTGGGTTTGGTTGGCTTGGCGAATGGATCACCGCTAGAGGTATTCCATCTGCAGCGATGCGCCGCAGACATTTGCCTCCTTTAGCGACTGAGCCGCTTTTACAAGCAGTGGCTCTCTGAGGTTGTAGAGCTAGCAGAAACAGGCGGTAGTGATGATCCATGAAATACTGAGTTAGTCTTTGATGGGTCGAAGTGCGGCTGCATGAACACAGCCATCGATTCAAATATACCTCAAATCTCTTCGTCTGGGCACCTTCAAGCTTGCTTTTGACGAATGCGAACAGAGAAGCCACCGGGTCTGTCTTCAGGAACTTTCGGACGAGACGTTCTCCACCTATGTGACCGATATTCATCTCAAGTAAGCATTCGGATACGTCCAGAGTTGTGAACACACTCTCCAGTGGTCGATACTGAATATTCCTACCCGGCAGGCGAACTTGGACACGACAGATGTCGCCAGCTGAGGGCTCAGGCTCAATCTTGGGAGTGATTTGGTCGAACGCTGCCAAAAATATCGTTTAGAGCCGCAGAATCCGGAAGGGATTTGATGACGCTTGCATCCAGCGTGCCCGTACCATCAATGTCAACGGCTACAGGGCTGGGGCTTCCATAATTATCTTCGTGATCCTCCTTGGTGACGTATGTGCCCTCGTGAACGTCGCTGTGATCAAGGGCGTCGTTGTTGTATCCATCATCGTCATCGACGCGGATGGCATCGTACTTGTTTCTTGAGGCTGTTGCCACTCGTGATTCTTCAAGCGCTAGCTGCAGGGCTTCGTCTTCTGTCAGATCGTTGACAGACATCTTTCGCTAATGATCAAAACGATCAAAACTTGATACTTAGGGCGTGCGCATTCGGAACGATGAATCGTTCAATGTGGCCCAAATGGGGATGACTGCATATTTGCCATATAGTGTTCAACAGGAACATCTCAAACCTTCGGAGCCACCCTTGACGAGGCGCCTGTATCTTGGGAAGGATGAGTCGCACGATCAATGAACGATATCACTGCGATAGGGATGGTGTGAGTATTGGCGACATAGGGTAATCAAGCAAGCGGAAGCCAAGCAATCGAGCGCCAGGACAATAGCAGGTGGATTACGGACAATTGCCGTAGAAGTCATCGTGCATCGGGGCCAGACTCCAAGACCAGAACTTGGTTTGCTCGCCTGAAGCGAGCCAATGTGAATGGAGGCAACGACAGCGCGGTTAAACAATAAATATTGTGCCGACCAATGGGTTATAGTGTGATATTGAGATGCTTGATTCGGCTTGGCATTCCCCACTGACGGTTTGCAGAAGGGCGACTCAACCCAATTGCAGCCACATGCTGCGAACAAAAGCAGACGCACCTGTGAGTGGCTCGATGATTGCCGCGAAGGGATCGCCCTGGTAGCCATGGTACATTACTTTGTACTGGGCTGCCATTGCACTTTCCCTGCCCATCTGCAAACAAAGTGCCAAACGATTGGATTGTCAGTATGGCATAATGCGGACATTTCACAGCGCCTCAAACCGGAATACTGAAGCAGAGTCTTGGACCCATCACTCCAAAGGCATTGTGCAAGATAGAAATGGCTATGATTGCGCTCGAGGCAATCAAACCCGAAGGACAGCGAATGCATAGTGCATACCAGGATGAACACAAAGTTTTCTCGGATGAGCTCCTTCATTTCTAATCGGGGAAAGTAAGGCGAACACATGCTCAGTATACCGGCTCCATATCCAATGTCGATTCAGTTGATGCTGAAAGGTGGCGTACCTGGCCTGTTCCAACAGTCTCGCACCATAATTTGGCACTGAAAGTTGTTGGGGTCATGGATGGTCACAAGCACCCATTTTTTCTCCTTCTCAGCCTTTGTCCGAGCCATATTAAAATTGCCGGAAAACATGATGTCGTAAGGGAGCCTGGATCGGGAGATGGTGGGCGTAAGCTGAGCGATCTAAACCCTTGGAAGATGAGGGGATGCCACTCACTTGAAGAGGCGGGCCAATTTGGCTGCTTGGGGATCGATTGACTCTGAATGAGGCCATGGTGGTGAGCGAAACAGTGGCTGCCATTCAGCGCCGATGAAGCACATGGAAACGATAGGCACTACCATCAATCTGAAGGGCAGACTCATCGTTTGACGCGGTATCGAAGGGATCAGGAAACGAATGGCCAGCGGCGGAAGATGGCTGGTAGCTCATGTCTGGAAGGATTGGTGGGTGGTTAGGACTGAAAACGCATTGAAGCAAGTGCCTCAGCTTACTGCGACCCTACCGATCCATGGCTCCGAGACTGAGGCTGAGTTATTCCCGTAGAGCACTTCGGCTTTAGGGCGAATGGGGGAACGAATATTGAAGGGGCTGCTTTCATCGATCCCAGAGGAGCCAAAGGCATCAATGTCCGTCGCGGAAAGGGAGTCTTGGATTGTCTCTGAGCCGAGGTCCGCTCCGCCATTGTCCCAGAAAAGAGAGATGGCGGCTTCAACGTTGCCATCCGAAACCTGGAATTCAGAAGGAAGTAATACAAATTCTCAGCTTATCATGGATTGATGAACAGGTGGGCTCCGGATTTGGACTCTGGACGACCACACTGGGGCCAAAGCCGTCGATCTCACCAAAGGAATTGGGTATCATAAAGCCCTGCCAACAAAAGTAGCCTGGGTGCACACACCGTCAAATATTTGCGGGCCAGGCTTTCAGAAGCCTGTGTCAGGTCGATGAAATGTGCAATATCCTGGTCGTCGATCATGTTTACAGGCTCGAAGCGAGGTTGATGGCTGGGGGAGCGCTGGGAGTTGAGGATGAGGAAGAGGCTGGCAGGAAACTCACGAGACCAAACCCTGGTCCAAAGCCAGGCGCTGTTCTCGTGCCGTTCTCGCTTCCGTCTCGCTTCGGTCTCGCTCCTGGCGAGGGCACGCCGTCGCCAATCAGCGCACGTAAATGGCGCCCATGTCGATAATCATGTGGCTGGCCTGGTTGTGGCTGCATCCCTTCTCTTGGCCATGAAACCTGAATCCAAGTCCTGGTCTTCCTGCCGCTGGCCCCAGTGTCGCCCCTGACACCGTCACACCAACCCAGCGATGCACCTCGACCCAGTGGATCGAGCTCGACATCCAGCAACGACACAGGAGGCATCCGCGAGCCAGTACCCACAGCATCGACGTCGCAGTCGTCAACTCCATCTGGGCTGGCGACTTCTGCGATCTTGATTGATGAAGATTCATCCGCAGGTCACGACAATGTTCATCTGGATGATCCCATCGACCTGACCTCCACGGATGGTGACTCACAGCTCCCAACGGACACCCCTCCGCCCACAAACATCTCGGCGTCTGTTACTCCCGTCGACCCAGATGCTCCTTTCTTTGTTGCTCAGGCGCCTTCAGAGGAGTTGCGTGATGGCGAGGTTCTCCTCGAGTCGGATTACCCGACATTTGAAGAATCGATCGAAGCAGCCGTGGGCGACATTGAGCGCATCGAAAGCCCTGAAGACCTCGTTCCCAATCTGGAGGATCCGTCATTCGACCCAGAGAACGACCCAGAGGGTGCCCTTGACTTCGCCGCTGGACCAAATGGTGTCGCTGAGACCCGTGACATCGACTTTCCAAAGCTGTACGAGTTCCTTGACCACCCGCTGGACCATATGGACCGGTTCATTGATGCACATGAGATCCCTCATGCTGAAAGCAGCCAGGCGCCGCAATCGTTGGCGAGCCTCCCATCCGTTGCTCAGGTGGCGATTCCCAGACTTCCCCAGAAGTCCGTCCCACATGGTGTCACTGCTTCGTATTCGTTCCTGGAGAGCCGGCCTTTGCCTCATCCCGTCGGCTCCGCTCAGCATCAAGTGCCAGCACATCCACGCCTCGTTGAGACTACTTACCGTGATCCACAGAGCTCGTCGACACCAGGTTCACCACAAAGCGAATCGGCCATTCCTTCCAGGACCGTCACTGCCGAAGGTACGATTGTCATATCCCGCGTATCTTGTTCTTCCAAACTGTTTTGTTATCGATCTGACCTTGTGCTCGAACTACAGACATGCGAAGCATTGCCCTCCGTCTCGTGGGGCTGAAGAGGAGTCGGCCGATATCGGACGAGCTGTTGTCGGACATATTCAACATCATCGAAACAGGCACCGGCATTCCCCTCCCCAACATCAAAACAGCCAACAGATGTGCCAAGCGACTTGCCTCGGCCAAGGTCATCTATCAGGACGTGTGTGTGAACGACTGCCAGTGCTTTCCAAGCGATAAGAACGTCACGCGATGCCACCAGTGTGGAGCCAATCGCTACATCGAGGTGTACAGGGGAGGCAAGAAGGTCCTCAAGCCTGTCAAGCAGTACGCATACATGCCCCTCATTCCACGCCTGCAAGCCGAATTCCGCTGCCAGAAGAGGATCGATCAGCTTCTGTACAGGAGCCGTCGATCAGACAACAAAGGTGAGGGTCCGATCACAGACCACGTCTCCTGTTCTCCGCCTGGCGCTGACGGTTGGTCTCTGCTCAACAGAGTACATGAGCGACATCTTTGACGGGACGCACTATCGGTCCCTCAAGAGACAGGAGTACTTTCACCAAGATACCGATATAGCCCTCGGTCTGACCCTGGACGGGTTCCAAGTCTTCAAGAAGTGAGTGCCACTGCTTCGATTCCTGTTGGTGGGAACTGGGTGCTCCACCGTACTAACTGTGCTCATCGACCCAGGAACGGACAGCAGTGCTGGGTGTTTGCCCTGATCAACTTCAATCTGAGCCCAGAGTTTCGCTACAAACGAGAAAACACGATTGTCGTCGGGCTCACACCAGGGCCAGTTTCGCCAAAGAACTTTGATGTCTATCTGCAGCCACTGTTTTCGGAGCTGCAGAGTATTGAGAAAGGTAAACGTGACTCGCTGTCGTTGCCGACGCTGTACCCGATCTGACTCGACATCCCTGCTCACCACGTACCCAGGAGTTCGGACCCAGATGGTCCGTCAGAGCGGCGGAATGAGCACTTTCACTTTCAAGGCCCATTTGATCGTCTGCACTGGCGGCCTGCCTGCCATATCAAAGCTTCTTAAGATGAAGGGACACACCGCAATCTATGGATGTAGATTCTGTCTCATCCAGGGCAACAGCATTCGCGGTGAGTACTTCTTTCGCACAGAGACGATGATCCCGAGAACAGATGCTAGCTACAGAAGTGTATGAGATGCGCTGTATAGAACAGATGGGCGTCTTCGTAATAGTCAAGGTTCGAGTGCTCTCCAGTTCAAGGAGGCGTGATTTGCACTGACAAGCAGTGTATCGTGAGTCTGATATATGCATCTGTTCAACTTGCTGACGTATCCCCTCACTCAAGGCATCAACGGAGAGCCGATCATATGCAGCCTCAAGACGATTCGCACTCCGGGCTCCTTCCCAGTTGATGTCATGCACGCCACATCCAATGTTGGCTCCCTCTTCTTTCTGATCTGGGCTGGAGAGTTACGGCTCCGAGACACCTTCTCTGTCCGGCTCCGCAAGCGCACTGCTCTGGTGACCAAAATGGGCAGGATGATGGAGACCATCCAAGTTCCCACCGAGTACGGCGCCCGACCTCGAGACATCAAGGAGTTCTACAAGCGATTCACAACAGAAGAGTGGAAGAACTGGATCCTGATGTACTCGTTTCCACTGATGCGCTGTGCTGGCTTCCCCGAGGAGCATCTGTGAGTCGATCATCCCTGTCGAGTTACGGCATCGAGTCATGGCTATCGAGTCATCGCTGCCGTGTCGTCGTGGTGTCCATCCAAGCACCAACCCACTGACTCTCTGCCAACACAGAATCGGATGGGGCCACTTTGTCGATGCGTTGAGGCTGCTGCACCAGCCCTCCATTTCGCGCAAGGGGAGAAAGCTTCTCGCGGTCTTGATTTCCAAGTTTTATCGATACTACACCACGTAGGTGGCCGAGTTGGAATATGAGATGTCGATACAAACACTCCTGCTGACGCTCCGTCTCCACAGCCACGTTGCCAGGTTGGCTGATGCCAAGGATAGCCACTATCCTGGGTACAGGCTCATGCGAATGTGCATCCACCAACTGCTGCACATTCCTGCGAACCTCTACAGCCTTGGGCCACTGTATGCTGCATGGAAGTACGCGCTTGAGGGATATGGTGGCCACTTGATGCGATCTGTGCAATCGCGCTCGAGACCCATCGAGAACATGATCAGTCGTGAGCTCGTGAACCAAGGAGTCGATGCTCATGAAAGAAGCAACGCAGGCAACTATGCTCAGCGGGAAGACACCCAAAACAACCCAGTTCAGAGCGTCAGACAATCGGGCAGCTCAACGCACCCGAACTTCCCTGGGTGTCAACTGCAGCACTACAAGGGAATCCAGTTGGTGGACAGCGACATGAACACCTTGCTCAAAGAAGCCTATACCAGAGAGGTGATGAACGAAGCCGTGGACATATTAAATATAGTCGGCTTAACTATCAATATACAGCGTCCCATATTTCTTGCATTAGTAGGAATACTACTGCTGATCCTTAGGACTTGGTGGGCTGGCCGCGCGATTAGTTCCCGTCCTGGTTGGAAATCTCTCTGATTTGGTTGGCTTGGGGAGCATGGTCTTGAATCACTCGGTCGATCCCATGTGGCAATTGATATGGATATGTTGGTGTGGGAGTGTGGGAGTGTGGTGCATCCACTTCACTCTCTGGACAGTTCCATGGTGTATCGATATCAAGATGCTCGGCCTTCTCAGGTCACTTGGGTTCCCGGCACTACTAACACACATGGAATGTGCTGAGCTCGTTCAGCGAGCAAACATATGTCATGAACTGGGCGAGGGCGGGGCAGGGGAATCCAGGGCAGGGACAGGGGAGCAACGACTGGACGGGGACAGGGACAGACAAGGAGAGAGATAATAGTTTATTGGAAGTGATAAATCACTAGCGTTCATCCGGGAGAGAGACGGAGTGTTCTATTTAAGTGTACGCGGCACCCATTGCCCAAACTCTCCTGAGAATATATTTTGTCCCCGACCCTATGTTTCCCACGGTCATGAATCACGCCCGAGTAGCCGTCTAGGGCAGGTCATGAATGACACGTCGCATGATCGGCAACCGCGTTCAAAGCAAATAGGATTTGCGGCGGATATATCAGTGGGATATTTCTGATATTGGTGGATATCTCGTTGATAGCGAGTGAAAAGGGTAGCTCATGGGACTGAACGTAGATATTATTATGTACAAGTTGTGCCAAACGTTGAAACTGAGCCACGTTGCCTGTTCACATGCACATGATTCGGAATATTTTAGAAACATGGGGTAAGTGAATGTTTGTGCTGAAGCAGGGACCACCGAGTTCATCGAAAAGGCGACCCCGGATTGAAGCTACCAGGGGACGAGAAAATGTTCAGGAAATGAGGTTGAAGCTGAGCGGGAATATTAATGAGTGAACAAGGAAGAAAGGGAGCGGCATGGGGATAGTACTCGGGACAGTGATCGACAGGTAACGGTGAGTGTAGGAGATGGTATCTCCGACGCTGTGCTGCGCGTACTGCGCGTACTGCGCGGCGCAGTGGGTCGTGACCTGTGCTGCGCTTTGCGTTTTCACGCACCGCAGGCAGGCCACCGCAGGGTATACCTGCGGGTTGCCCCCGTTCCCCCCGTTTGTCTGGAGTTCGGTTTTATCGTGAATAAACGTAAGTGCTTCCCGAGCTCACCCGTCCGCTAGAGTAGCCTAGCACCGCCCTGTTCTGCCCTGTCCTGTCTTGTCTTGTACCCCCTCCCTCCCCGTCTTGCCCCAACGTCCCAGTAGTGGACG